TCTGCACGATGATCTGTGTGCTGTTTCTCTTCCTGTATCTGGTCGACGCAGCCTGGATCGAGGCTCGGTCGAATCCTACCTTGCTCACGCCGCCTCAAATGTATGGCCAGCTCATGAAGCGTGATCTGTCGACCCCTTCGAACTCCTGCCTGCCTGCTCTTGATGCTACTTCATGCGACGGTTTGACGGGCTGCGCCGGTGAGTACAGCCCCATTTCTCATTAAAACACCACTTGTTATTATCTTATGTCCAGTGGGCTGACTGTAAGTGCTTTCATTCTAGCGTACTGCTGCCCGCCGGACCAAGAGTGCTGCAATGCTCTTGGTTGTCGGCCCAAGGACAGCATCGCATGCGGGGTGGGATATGCCACCGACGGCTGGAAGTGCTGCGGCAGCGCCTGGCAGTATCCTGCAAGCCAGGGAGCCATCTGCTGCGGCGGATCGCAGGGCTACTGGTGCCCGGCGGGGTTCCAGTGCGTGAAGCATCTCATTGTGCAGTATAGCTGCTGCACCGACGACACCTGCAATGTCTACTGGAACGGCACCGACACTGTCACCACAAACTCGTCCTCGACGACGACCACGCCCGTCTCCCTTCCCCCGCCGACTACCATCTCCACGCCGCCAGGAACAATAGAAGAAACGCCGCCGCCGTCGACGACCACCACGCCCAAGTCAACAAGCAAGAAAAGTACTTCTTCAAGCAGCGCCGCGGCTCCGACGCCAACCACGTGCAACCCCTCGGGCCTCCAGCCGACGTTCATCATCCAACAGACCTCCAGCACGACCAAGGAGAACGGGACCTATGCGGTCCTCTCCAAGATCGGCGGCGGCCGCGACAAGATCTCCTTCGGCGCCACGTCGACCAAGGCAACCAAATTCACATTCAACAAGGCCTGCAGCCTCGTCGGGTCGGCCAGCAAGGAAGTCGCCAACCTCCACCCCCCAGTTAATGCATCGGGCGCTGCCATGACTCTGTTCTTCGACTCACCTGCCAATATCACAGCGATGGACTACGCAACTGCCACATTTAACGTGGCTAGCAGCAAATTGACGTGCAAGGTTGACAACGTAGCCGAGAACTGGTTCTCCTGCAACGGAAACCTGGCCGTCGGGGCCAAAGCTGGCAGCGGATGCGTCAAGATCGCTTTGACGCCGTACTTTGTCAAAGGCTGAACCAACACTACTAGTTTTGTAGGATTGTTAATGAGCTAATTCACTTTGTAACCGTCCTTGTTTCTGTGGTGTGTAACATAGCGTTCCCAACCTCTAGCCAATCTTGTGCCAGACACCTTTAACCTGCCTCCTCAAAACAGGGGAAACTTGTGTATCACTTCACCGTGCCGAATCCCATATATCCCGACACCTTTTCGTAGCCAATTGAAATGGCAAAACCAAACCCTCGATTTCCGGGCTACGCTTGAAAAACATCGCCCAACCAAGACGCAATCAGCGCCACCATCTCCTTGGTGCAGCTGTGCCCTGTATTCTCCTGGACGAAGAAACGGACTCGGCCACTCTCGTTCTTCCGCTCGACTTCTCTTACCCTGTCCACCCAGGCCACCGTGTACTGTGGTGGGACCAACGGGTCGACGGCGCCGTTGCACAACAAGACAGGGACATCGGTCGGAAATTCCTCCGCAACCACCCTGTCGCCTTCTCGGACGAGCCCGGCCAGCGCGCGCGGCCACCGACGCTTCTGCTCCGCCGTCATGACTTTCTCCAGGTCGTCGTAGCTCGCGGTCGCTAGGGCCGCGACGTCGATCTCCAACCGCGAGAGCAGCAGTGGATTCAAGCTCGGACAGCCCACGACCATGGCGAACCCTTCAATCTGGCCCGGTGCTGCTAACGAGGCCATCCGCCAAGCCGTGTGTCCGCCCAGCGAGACGCCGGCCATGATGTTGTGGAAGCGCGTGAATTGGGGTAGATACGCGGGCAGGTAGTCGAGGATGAGCTTGAAGTCCTGAGCCGAGCCTGAGATCATCGAGAGGAGGTCCATACTGGTTTCGCCCCGAAGGGGTCCAACGTCAGCATCTACTCAGAGAGGGAAAACAACAGCAGGAAGACAAGAACACCCAATTATGTGTACAATGGGTGATGGAAGTTCCACCAGGCTTGAAAACAGCGGCTCGATGAACAGGGAATTCTGCTTCACTTACCCATGGTTATCGTTTCCGTCGTCCCACGTGTAATTCGCTTGAGGACTGACCTGTTCATTCACTTTCTATGAGCATGATGGAACCAAATTTGGGCTTCATTGGCGCTTCAGATCCGGCGATCGGCGGATGGAGGTGAGAACAGCAAACGACAAAGTCAAGGAGAATCCATACCTCCCGATCCCCATGGTTCCTCATATTGATCGTCAAGGCAATCAGCTCATACTTCTTCCGTCGCGTCTCGGTCCTATACCTGTGCAGGACCTCGTACGCGATGTCCTCGGTGACCAGGTACGACCGTTTCCGATTGTGCGCGAGGTACAGCACGGCGACCTCGACGTTGGACTTGTCCGCGAGCTCCTCCAGGCCGTACACGTAGACCCTGATGCCGCCAATGACGATGTCTGTTCTGCTGGAAGGTGGTGTCGTCGAGGGCAAGCTGAACCGCGGCTCGAGGGTGGACTTTGGTTGTGGTTGTTGTTGTTGGCCTTCTCTCGACATTTTGATGCCCATCTTCCACTGGTCCGGGCATGGGACTTGTTCGTGGACTGCTGGTGGCATTCTTGCAACAGATTTGGGAAATGGAAAATAAGGTCAAGAGCACACGAGTCTAAGCGTTTCTGGCCTCGGCTTGGAGGGGGGAGAGAATGAGGGTGGGAACTCGGGAGCCTGAAATGCTTCGGCAATTACTGCACTGGCGCAGACTCGTTGGCAAATATTGTATCAAAGCACTCTATTACAACCGCCGAAAATTGAGTAGAGAAGGACACGAAGGACTGAGGAGGACCCATTTCTCCTCTTCTTTGCTGAAGCCTCTCGTCTGGTTCATACCGGTTGGACAATTGGCCCTAGTGCCACCCGAAGGAATTGAGGCCCTGGCATACTTCGGCTAATGTCCAAGCACGGCAAATATCTCGACAGATACGAAAATTTCTCGGTGCTTAAATGAATCACAAATTACCGAACTAAAATGAGAGAAAGAAACTAAGTGTACATCAAGAGTCCGTCCTCACCATCCGGTTTAAGGATCTCTTCTCCTTGTTTCTCGGACTAATTTGGTTGTATGTCTCCCCAACTCGTTACTCGGCACTGCATCCGGTCGCATTCTCACTTTTGCGGAAGTCGATATTGTTGAAAAAAGTCCAGGATGATTGGCGTAGCATTAAAGCTTGCCGGATGATGGCCTGCGTGCTGGTTGTCATCGTTTGGCGCTGTGCTGGGCCAGTCGTGGCCGATGTCAGAGTCGAAAATCAGAGCCACCAGGCTTGCATCATGCCCCATTCCATAGCTGTATTTGACGGTATCGTTCGCTACTGAAGTCGTGATATTCCTCGTCCCAAGAGCTTCCCGTAATGCCCACTCCTGGATGAAGTGAGGGATACTTGGGAGGCATTCGCCTTTTCGCTCTTCTCCTGCATACGGGATGGTGGTGTCGTTGCCTCCGTGGAAAGCAAGAAGAGGTATCTCAGACCTTCCCGGGGAGCAAGGCAGGCTCACTGTCGTGGGCATGCAGGGTGAAGAGTCCACGTAATATGCTCCAGAAACGGGAGCAAAAGCCGCAAAAGTTGTCGAAAGAGCCGGGTCACAGGCCAAAATGTTGCAAAACCCAGCGCCGTCGGATTTCCCTGTCGTGTAGATGCGTGAAGTGTCAATACAGTACAGGCTTTCGATCTCATTCAAAATGTCGCTTGTGAACTGGACGTCATTCGTTGTGACCCCGGGTACTCCTTGCCATGTATTCTACTAATGTTTCAGCCTCGCCCCTCGCTGCAAGCCAATCACAGAGAGAAACGTTCTTACATTTATCCCTTGTGGATACACCACGAAAGATCTGGTGTTGAATTCTGGGCTGGTGAGGAGATCCAACTCCAGCTGATCTTCTGCCGTCCGGGCACCTCCGTGGTAGGATACAATGAGAGATGTCGGAGTGTCTTTGCGATACGTCGGCGGTATGAAGATGAGATAAGTCCGATCGTTCCCATCGCTTGTTATTGTCACGTTGGTGACCTGTCCGACAACCTGCCCGTCAGGGAGATTCTTCCCGCATCCCACAGATTGACAACTCAGGTCGGTCCGGGCACCCATCGATAGCGCCCATGCTGTCGCCACATTGAGAGTGACTGTGTAAAACAACACCTGCAGTAAGCATTTGCCCAGCGCCATCCTAGCCGATCTTGGGTTCTCGACACTAGATCAATATGTTGACGGAGGAGGAGGATGCAAGCAATGCAACGAGAAGTGGCAGCCAAGTACGATTCGGGTTCTTTTTAAGTAACCTCGAACCTGCCGTCGCACTTTACCTTTTGAAAAGCATCGAGCCAAGTGACATTCATCTCCGCACTCGCCCCCTTCCTATCTCCACAACAGGGAGATTGAACAGCATCCCCCGGAATCCTGTGTGTCTATGCCCACGGCAAGTATCAGCGATCAATGAGCGCTTCCGCAAAAGTAGTTGAAGGGTTCCGCCCAGCGGCGGTTGCAATCACGGAAATTGGTCGTTGCGGGTGTCATCGAGGTAGGTCCTCAAGGTGGCGCAATGAGATGCCATCTCGGTAGAGAAAGCACGGGAAAAGGCCGCGAAAGTGACAATGAAAGTGGTGCGGCTGAATGCCTTTGCGGAATGGTGGCAGCGCTCTGATTGGCGACCTCGGCATATTCGGGAATTTCGGCTCAGAGGTTTCAACGACCACGCACCAAGGAGTGCTTCATTGTAGTAGAGGGACGCCTGGACGATAGCTCATTCTTCCCAATACTTGCCAAAGAGAAGGACAATCGAAAGAAAGGCGAGTCAGGGATTTGTTGTTAGAGAATGCCTGGCTAGAGCATACCATAATTTCTTCTTGTCATTCAGCTTGCTGATGGCCCAGCAGAAATTTATATCCCTTCAGCACCTTCCAACGACTGCGCACCATCTACAGAACATATCTGAACTCTTCGTTCTTCATGTCTGAGAGATCCTCCTCTATATCATGCTGTCCGGCTAAACCCCCATACACTCTGTCCCTCTTCGCATTCTCCCGGCGGAGTAGGATGTAAGTGATCGTCGCAATGACTACCACGCAGCACAAACAGATACAGCTTCCCATGAAGCCTGCATGGTAGACAGGTCCCGGGGAGGCGCCGAAGATTTCAGGTCCAATCACGTTGCCCACGCAGTACCCGAGGAACGTTGTTGCACTGACGGTCGCTTTTTCTATTCTGAGTTAGACCAGAGAAATATGAAGAGGTGGCTCCCACTTACTTGTGTGTCCTGCGATATTTGATGCAGCGAGGGAAACTGCTACTCCTCCAGCAGAGACTTGAACCGCAATGAGGAAGACACCGGCAAACAACAAGCCACGGTTATCTCGCGGTCCGAGCCAGCAGATGAGGGTTCCAGCAATGGAGATGAGAGCACAGGTCACAATGGACAGGTAGCGTAGGTTGTTCCATTTGCGGGTGATGAAGCCCACAAAGAGAATGCTGATTGCGGTAATGGCGCCAATGGGACATGTTAAGGCCAATGAGTCAAAGTGGTCGAAGCCAAACCCATTGATGACCACTGTACCAAAAGTGCCGAGGGCTCCTGATGGAACACCGGTGAGGAGTATAATGAGAGTGCAGCTGTATAGCTTGTAATCACGGAATGCCTCAAAGAACTGGCCTTTGTTAAATGTGCGACTGATGGTGCCCGCGTTGTTTCGTTCCAATCTGCGGACAACGATCTTCCTCTCGGATTCAGTGAGCTTTTTGGTGGTCAGGGGACTGTCTGGTAGAGCAAAGAACAGAACGATCGACCAAACCAGGGTTACGGCACCTAGAATTAGAAACATGGGTTTCCAACGAGCCATTGAGGTGTTGATCTGGCCTAGACCATAGTTGATCAGGGGCGAGATGGTTGTAGCCACACCCACACAGCTGTACCAGAGACTGGTCCTAAGGGCTTGTTCATCGCGAGTCCACCAGAAGGTAACAAAGACCGTGAATGCCGGAGCCACCGTAGACTCGAGAAAGCCAAGGAAGAAGCGATTGAGCATGATACCGGCATAGTTCGAGCAGCCCGCTGTTGACATGACCACCGCGCCCCAGAGAAATGTGGCGAGAGAAAGAACTCTCGACGTGGGATAATGTTGGGACAGATACATCATAGGATAGGTTCCGACCAAGTAGCCGATATAGAATATCATGGACGCATTCGAGTACTTCTGGTTATTGGTGATGGGTTTTCCGTCCGCTTGGTAGCCCACAATCGTTGTAAGTTTGAGGTCGCTATTGAAGTCGAACTGGGTTGCCGCGCTCATAATGCCTTTGTCGTAGCTCTGTAACATATAGGTCGTCATCATGAGGGGCAGCAGCCTAGAATAGACAGTTAGTATCCTCATGCGGGTTCAAGTCAGCTTAATCTCATACCAGAAATCGAGCTTTCGAACGAGACGTCGCTCTTCATCGGGCGTAAAGGAGTCGCCTTCAGTTTTTGTGGTGTCCATGCCATCGATCCGCTCCGCTTCGATGGCAATATTCTCTTTCATCGCCTCGTCGGTTGCAATGCTTGCGTCGAATTCTTTCTCGCCCATGATGGCCGATGGTTATCGAGTCGATTTGGAAATGGAGACCGAGCAAAGCGTTGGTGACGGTCTATGAAGTCTTTATCTTTTCTCGCCTCCCGTCCCATGAGAAATTCGTGCCGTCTTCGGCAAACTCAACCCCACAGGAGCCCGAATGACGTGACATTGATGAGGAAAGGTCAGGTCATGTTAAGAAGCCACTCCGTCTATTCGCGGTGGGCGTGGAGAGATCTGGGGAAGGAAAATCAGACATGGGTGCCAGGTTCTTGAGGAGTTTGGGAGGAAGTTCGATCGTCGGTAATTAGTGTCACGACCAAATATGTATCTCTCGGGTCATTTGCAGATGGAATTATTGTTTGAGCGCCGGCGGTAGTACGGATGTAATGACTCTCAGTTACGTATAGAAATAGGGAAGATGATCGAACATCTGATCATTTTAACAAGTATTACCAGCGGTCATTTCACGCTCATGAGTCCTGGTCAGGCGAAAACTCTCAGTAAAGACATAGAGAAAGCTTTTGTCAGACTGCTCAACTTTTTCCCTTTGAGCCGAATAGACCGTTACTTCCCGTCAATATTTAACCGGAGGCGGGGAGAAATGTTCTACCTCATGTTCAACCCTTTAATGTGCTGAGGCCATTCTTCTACCCGAGGCAAACTTCTGCTCTTGCTCATCTGATATCAAAGCCGCCCGATGCTTCGATGCAAGATACAAATCAGCCGAATGACAAGGTACGATCGCGTTCACGAGTCGCGTGCCAGGCCTGCAATCGGCGCAAGGTTCGGTGCGACGTGACACGAACCGGGACACCATGCTCCAACTGCAAGCATGAAGGGCCCACAGCAAAATGTGAAGTGCTTCCACGCAAGAAACATCGACTTCGTGGATCGCGACGCACCTTGGATCAGACTGCGCCCTCGCTGCCACCCGTCCAGACTGTTGCCAATACAAGCCCCTCCGACCAATACAGTCCTTTGGCACGACCCAATGCCGCGGTCGATGCATCAATCACTACTGTAAGGACAACTGATACGGTTGATGGGGATGAGGATGAGGATGTTGATGCTATATTACCTGACGATTCCTCGCTTTCATATATTGGTGAGATTGGCGGTGGGACAGTAAACCTGACGAAGCACAAGCTGATCTGTATGCTTTAGGTGACAGGCGTGGTCCTCGCCTTGCGGTCTACGATATTTGCCATCCGAGTGAAGCACAGGACCCCCGGCCATATATTCCAAAAGACTCGAACAACAAGCCGAGGAAGCCTTACGAGATTGAATATATGCGCGCCAAAGGTGTTTTCGAGACATTCTCGAACGATGTTGCAGATGAAGCCATTCGCTGCTATTTCGAGCACGTTCATTTCTTCATTCCTGTCGTAGATGCTGCCACTTTCCTGAACCAGTATAAAAACGACCGCAATAACATCAGCCCACTTTTGTTTTGGAGCATGATTCTAGCTGCGGCAAATGTAAGTTTGCCAACTCCTTCTAGATGGAGCATCACTGAGATTGTCAAGTTTGTGAGCTCCGACCTATTACGAAAAACAGGATATTCGTCCCGACGTGCTCTGAAAACCTCGATGTACGAGCGGGCGAAGGTTAGTCAAGGCGGAAAGGGTTCATTTTGTCGAATCAACTGACCCTATTATGGCAGTGTCTCTATGATTTCGACCGAGGAACGGATAAACTCGTCCTCATTCAGTCTGTCATCCTGATGGGATTTTGGTATACCGATCCACAAGACCATACTGGAGCATGGCATTGGACGGGTATTGCTATTTCTCTGTGCCAGAACCTTGGCCTTCATCGAGATACCCAGTCAACCTTTCGGAGCCCCGGTGTGTCGGAGTCCTTTGGCAGACATGCAAGATGCCTCTGGTGGACTTGTTTTATTAGAGACCGCTGGGTATCCCTGGCGAAAGGCCGTCCGATGCGAATTCATCACGAGGACTGTGATGTGCCGATGCCTACTGCGGGCGATGTTCTCTTCGACCTCCAACAGATTCCAAACGACTATCTCGAGAAGTTCATTCCCCTAAAATACGAACCGCTGGCAGCAATGTGGGTTCGGTTTGTCCACACAAGTCATGCCTTAGGGAACATTTTGCGTGCCCATTACCGTGTCAAGGGCCCTCGGCCAAGTCTCGAAGCCGTCGATACCCTTGCGGAAGAGTTGCAAGAATGCGCTCTGCATGACCAGTTGCCAGACGACTCCAGCGACCTGCTTCGTATGCATGCTTATCAGGTCGAGTTGTTCTATCAGTAAGTCTCTCTATGTCCCAGGAAGTCCACGATAGAGATGCAAATGATATCCCAGAGGCACAGTTACCGTACTGTATCGACCCTACCTCCTCGGCGGGCCTGCGGCCATTCCTACTTCTGCTCCACCTTCGTGGCAAAAGACGGCTTTGATGAAAGCACGAGCGGCAGCTTCAAGTATCAACAACATATTGGAGAAGTTGATTGAGCTCAATGCCATCCAATTTCTAAAACCGATGATGTAAGCAGCCTTACTTCTGGGGCATGCAGCTGGCCTTTCCACATGCTAATTCTTGCATCAACTGACCAGAATCACGGCCTTGGTTCCCTCGATGCAAATCCATCTATTCGACTACAAGTCCGCAGAGCCCCTCGTCAGTGGTCTCGCGGGCAATCGCCTCCAACTCTGTATGCTGGTGCTGTCAAAACTACGCGAGACCTACTGGAGCGCCGGCGTCATGCACAGGCTTTTTGAGCGTGCACAGCGCATACTTCAGGAAACCAAGCTTGGCAATATCGATACTGTTCAAAGACCCAGCCAGGGCTTTGATCAACTAGAAGATCACTCGGCCACCCATCTGACTGTAAACTTCCAGGACGAACTTCAAAGGCACGACGGCAACCCGGTGATTGACTCTTCTCACCAGGACTGGTCATTTACGAATAGCACGAGTGGGGCTTTGCCGTTGTGGGATGATCCTCTGGGCTTTGACACTGTGGATGAGCTACTCGGTCCTGGCTTTGGTCTCCCTGGCGATGCCTTTGAGGGCTTATTTACGAGCAGCTACGGCAGTGGTGCTCAAGTGTTGAATTCTGCAACACAGTTGCACGATAATCTTCCGCAGTTTGACGTGGGCTTTGTTGGAGGATGAGGGAGACAGGTAGTTCAGTAGATGCCTGTCACGAAGACCTGGGAGAGATCCCCGAAATCACGGACGCCTATGAGGAAGATATCGTAATGCCCCCTCTCCATTCCAGCCCATACCCATCCCTCTGGCGAATAAAGTGTCTTTGCCGATCGGTTGATCCTATCACCAAGGACAATCCTAGCTTTCCGAATGCCTTGCAAAGAACTTCTTCTAATGCCCAATGTTCCCACCACAATGTTGTCGAAGAAGTATTCCCTTCGAGTTTCGAGAGGTTCCGATGTTGCTGCGGCAAAGACTGGTGATTGGGTACCAAATTTGTCTCTTTTCACGTTGATCCTCAATTGCTGTGTTGACAACCACTCTTTTCTCCGAGGCTCCACCATACATAGAAGCCAAAAAGAAGCCGCAACCACGGCACCACCAACGAAAGGATACAGACGGCGTAGAAGCTCGCCCAGGGATCCGACGGGTCGTTGAGGAATGTCTGCTTTTCGCTTGTTCGGTACCCTCGGAGGGTCAGGAATCTGGCGTTGCCCAGGTACGCCGGGGATATCAGCAGCATGATGGTGACCGCCGACATTGAGAGCAATCCTATCAGGATATCTGTGAGGCGGCGAGTCTCGTGCGCTTGTCTGGAGATCAGGACTCCCACGCGATGGGCCAGAAGTAATTGGAGGCAGTACAGCAGAACGCCTTTGATGAATTCGGAATGATTGTGGCGAGAGACTGTTTCGGTTTCGTGCTCGACGTTCGCGGGCATCGAATCCCCGTCTCCAGGCGGTGGTTCTCGAGTTTCCGGACCCGTGACCGCAGGATCACTTTCAGCCAAAAGGTTGGGATTCTGCGTGATATCATTCACAGAAGTCGCCGATTCCACGTCGTACTCTTTAAATGATGTGTCTTCAGTCGTGGAACATCCGGTTCCTTCCGCCTTCTCTGCAGGTTCTTCCGGAACAAGTGGGAGGGTCCGGACCAAATGAATCATTTTGAAGTGACAGAGAAGGCCGACGAGGAATATTAGGAGAGGATAGATGGCGATGATCCAGAGGGTTGGGTTCTTGGTGTCGTCAAGCCAGCGGAGCAGGGCCATTGCTTGTCAAGCTCAGCCGTACCCCGACTGATCTAGGTCTTGTTGGAATGCTTAGGTTGACGAGTCCCAGAACGTCGGAAATTGGAATATTCTCACCAAGATCGTGGAAAGAGCACTTGCATCATGCAAATCATGATGGCTTTTATTTGAAAGGATAAAAAGGTTGGGTCAATGAGGATGGTTTCTGCCTGATACCGGCATTCGGCATTCGTCGGTGAGGCTGAGCGGGCTGCAGGTGGTGAGGCTGAGCGGGCTTTAGGCGAGGCTGAGCCAAGGTTGATTCCAATGACATGGTACCAGGGGTTTCCTGCAAGGCGTCGGCCCCAGCGAAAGAGGGCGCGCCGGTCCACCGAGAAACGCCTAGGGAGCTTGACATGAGCCACACTTTCTGTAACTGGGAATGTCGTCTACCACACCATTGATGCCCGTGTCATTTAGAAGATTTGGACTTCGAATTCGTGGTTGAAACCGTTGATGGACCTATTTTTGAGTGATTGGGCTGTCCACTGACGTACTCTAAGTTGGATTCTGGGGAATAAACATGTAGATTCCGAACGATTCTCATCACCTCATCCACGAGTGAGGTCATATCATCGTCCCATGTAGATCCTTTTTTCGGTTGGTCGGTCTTCCAGCTGCCTGTGGCGGTAGAGTCTTCCAAGTATATCATATACCAATATACTCAGCGGCAAATCTTAACCGGGAAGAAAAGGAATGCGTGTGGCCTCGTCACCTATCTACGCAGCCGTCATCCCACCATTGATGCGTATATTCTGCATTGATTCAATGTCCTCGCTGCTAGCCAAGAGGAGAATCGCATTGGCAACCTCCTCCAGCTAGTGCAGCCTTCCCGCTAGGGTGAAATTGCTCTGTGTTTTGACCAGCTCGTCGGTCTTGCCCTTGACAACGCGACAATTGTCCGGCTTGAGTCGCAGGTGGTGGGCTGTGATCGCTTGGATTGAGTGCTGCTTCTTCCACAGGTGAGCAAAGAACTTGTCTGTGTGGTCGGGCATAGTCAGTTGGGGGAGGATGATGGCGCCTTATCATTGACCTCTGAGTTAGTCGCCTCGCCGCAGTCGAGGTGGCGGCTTTTCGGGATGCTACTTAGCACGTGCCGCCTACAGTAACGTGGCTCGAGCTGGGATGCGAGGTGCAGCTGTCAAGCCCCTCTTGATGGCGTTGAGTCTTTTGCCTCTACAAACCCTACCGCTCAGCACCGTTTGTGGTGCGAGCATTGAGAGTGTCCAAGTGTGCTCTCACCAGAAATGCAGACAAGAGTTCTCGATCGTTGGCAGCACCAACTGTCACCCGCTAAAACGGATCCTATCTGGGAATAAAGGTGTTCATCGAGCACCCAATAGATTTCCCGACCAAGTTTCGGTCGAACACGGCACGTCAACCCGCAGTTCTGGCAAGCTTGTAAAAAACCGCTCGTCCACAGTCCAGTTATTCACGTCATAGGCATATTTCTCAAAGAGTTGGGAGACTTTGTAATTGTTGGACGTGTCGCGGGCCAAGATATAATTGTCCGGGAAGGGCCAGCAAAAGCGGACGTAGGAGCAGTAAGCTGCAGAGAAGTGGCCTGTTCGGGAATATCTATCATGATTGAAGACCAAGCGATCACGCAGTCCAGGCCTGTAGCCTTCAAGTTAGACCGCGTTCAAGAGATCAGAAAGTCCTGGAAGACTTCTTACCATATAAAAAAGTCAATCACAATGGGATGCTCAATCCGCTCTTGTGACGGCCTAGAAAAAGTTAATACCAATTTCAAATCCAGGCCGACCGTAAGAGGAGATACCGTGGACGAAGGAACGGCGGAACTCTATCCAGATTCTCCTTCGTGGGATTTATTCGATACTAGTTTCGTATTAGTTGGCTTTTTTCCATGATGGCGCTGGCCAACGTTCTGGGAAGGCTAAAGAGCCAACGTACCAAAAGCAAGCGGTACGCAATGAGCATGTACGCAATCTTCTGTGCAATGGACCAGTTGGGCAATATCAGCTCGTCGACATGTCTGAGCGCCATCCATAACGGATGCGACCGCTGCCGTTCATCCACGACTTCCCAGCCGGAGAGAATGGCCCTGAGGGGAGATTGTAGCTCGGTTAGACTGCAATCGAATCCCATCTGTCGGGTTGATCGTATCGCATATGTGTAAGCTTCATTTCCGAAGGACCACTTCGCCTCGGCAGGGAGCTCCGAATAGGGAAACATCATCGGAGTGGCAGGTGTTGGAGCCCAGACGATGGATGATGGGATGAAGTTGGAGAGTCCACATAATGTTTCTGAAGAGTCAAACGGCGAAGCTTGAGCCACCGCTTCGACCGCTGGCTTGCTAGACGGACCAGATAAAAAAGCCCAAGCCAGGTCTTTCAATTCCTGTGTCTCATTCTCGAGATTGAAATCAATCGTGGTTGGGAATGGATCATCAGGCTCGTTCGAACCCAGATCCTGGAATACTTGCTGAGAATAGCCTGCCGCCTTGACTTCATGACCGTCCACCAGCTCCAATGGAGCATCGCCGGTGGCGTCCTCGGAGTCGGGCGTCAAGACTCGGGAAGGAGTCAGCGGTGCCGGCAGCTGTGTATTGCCTGTTGGGCTTTCTGTAGGTACGTCAGAGTCATTTCTTTAGGAAGTCAAGGTGATCAGGAAAGGAACCATTACCCTCACTTAACTGAGTGTCAACATCTGCCCAAACTTTGATTTTGGACAGCCTTGAAGCCAAACGCCCGTTCTCCTCACGGAGATCTTTGATCACCTTCATCAAGTCACAGATCCGTGAGTCTCTGTCTTCTGCTTCGAGCGCCGCTAGCTTTTCTTCCAGAAAGCGGATGCGATTCTTGGTCCGCTCGCGGCTGGCTCGTTGCGCAACTCGATCGAGCTCTCGTTTTCTTTGAGCATGAGTCTTCTCGAGCGTCGAGCGATGATTCCGTGATTCGTCGACTCTTCCCTTGATTTTGTCGGTCATGATGGGCTGGTTAAAATGTTGAATGTGCAAGGATAGATTACGTGCCCTTCGGGTCGCTTTGAATGCTATGCTACGGCGTAGTTTGAGTGGCCAACTTCCGATATTCGGTTGATTGCTTTGATCAGAATGGCCAAACCTTTGCGATTGATTGAAAATGCGTTAGCTGGCCTAGAATTGATAGCAAGAGGTTGTGCAACCACATGAGCTCTGGGGATTCTCGGTAGTTTGTGACCGTGTGCGGGGTACGACGACCCGTCCTCACCCTTGCCCATGGGAAAGAGTCGGGGTGGGAGGCTGGGGAGTGCGCCACCAGGATCGAAGGATGGCGTCGACTCGGAAAGCTTGAACCCATCCATCGCGCCACGCTGGAATGGTTCTGCAATCGAGTGATAACGCCGCCGGGCCAGAGGCGTCCTTGAGTCAGAAATCGTTGACCCCGAAAATCACGTGACGGCCCAATGGACGGCTTGCGTCAAAGGAAACTGACTCAAAGAAGAAAAGTCCGCGTCAAGCCAATAGAAATAGTCCATTTCCTGGCTAATCGAGCATTAGACGAGGGTTAGGGGGTGGATAGCGGGGACCCCGGGCCCACAAGGAAACGTGGGGTTCCCATCTTGGACTGCGATTGGGCAGACGAGCCTCCTTTGCGAGTCCAACGACCGCAGCTACTCCCTCTTGTATAAAGGCCCAGGCATGCACATCTACGTTGAAAAGAATTCATCTGTTCCGTGCTCACCTTATACGAGGCCATGCGGAACGAATATAGACCTGCAGAAACGAGAAAAAAGACTGCCCACCACCATCATGGCAATCCTAGGGATGAACTCTTACCAAGTCCTATGCCTAGCCTACATTTGCTTCGGGGCCTCCTTCTACGGTTATGACTCTGGGATGATGGCATCGGTTCTTGCCTACGAGAGTTTCCTCAGCTATTTCAACTTAGACAACAGCCGTATCGGCGGCGTCAATGCTGCCTATTATGCTGCTTGCGCTGTCGGTAAGTCACGAGCAGTTCCCACTTTAGCCCTTAGATGTCATAGGGGTTAACAATGATGGTCTCCCAGGCACACTTCTCAATTGGTACTTTCCCAACAAATTGGGACGCCTGCGAACAGTCCAGATCGCCTGTTGCGTCTCCATTGTCGGCATCGTCTTACAGACCGGAGCAGTCAACTATGGGATGCTTCTTGCCGGCCGTGCTCTCGGTGGCATAGGTTCCGGAATTGTCTTCGCGCTGTGCCCGGTCTATGCTGCTGAGATGGCGCCTCCGCATCTTCGAGGCCGAATCGGCGCTTGGTTTGCCTTGAATGTCTCGGCCTCTTACATGGTCAGCGAGTGGTTCGGCTTGGCCTTTTACTTCATCAAAGGCAACTCTTCGTGGCGCACTCTTTTCGGGCTCCAATTTGTTCCCTGTGTGTTGATGCTGATCGGATCGTACTGGATGCCATTCTCGCCGCGATGGCTCGCGCTCAAAGGCCGCTACGACGAAGCTCTGGTCGTTTTGAAGCGCTTACACAGCAGCAACGAGGACGACAATTTCTACTTCGCTGAGTTTCACCAGATCAGGGCACAAATCGAGCAGGACAAGTTCGCAAAGCTCGGCGTCAGGCACATTTTCTCCCGGAGATCTTATATCCGCCGTGTTGGACTCGTCGTCCTCTACTTCTTTGCCATGCAGAGCACAGGAATTATCCCTCTGTCCAACTATCAGGTCTTTATCTATCAGAGCATTGGCTTTACTCCTGTCTTGTCTCTCGTCTTTACTGGTATCTGGGGCACGGTCTCAACATTTGCGGTATTGTCACTTGGTTTTCTCTTCGACAAAATCGGCCGGCGAAAGTCGCTGTTCCTGTCATACGGCATCATGATTCCCGCCGGCTGCATTATTGTTGGCTTATGGGCCGCCTTTCAAGCTAGCAACAACACGAACCTGGCATTAGGCAAAGGTATAGTTTTTGGTATTTTCTTGACCGACTATGGCTATTCCGCTGTCATGAACACATTTGGTCCTGTATATGCCGGAGAGGTACGTTGTCGGTGCAGGAGGCAATCCCTCCTTGGACCCCCAGAAATTTATAATGTTTCTAATGGAAGAAACCCTGTTCAGGTTATGCCCACGAATATTCGAGCTGCCGGCAACGCATGCGGGATCTTTGTGTTCAGCGGCATGAACATCCTTCTTGTGTACATCACTCCTCTCGCCCTGGACACAATCGCTTGGAAATTCTTCCTCATCTTCCTCATCATTGACGTCATCTATATTATCATCGTCTACTTCATCTACCCTGAGACCAAGAACAAGACCCTGGAAGACATCGAGGGTATTTTTGGTGACACTGTTGCCGAGACGATCGAAGAAGCTGGCAAGCGAGTTGTGCTTGAAAGGGATATAAACCGTACTAGCTTGGAGCACTGCGAAGGAGGTGATGAAAAGCACGATACTATAGTGAGAGAGGATGCCTAGATAGTATAGTTTGGGTCGTTCGTCCAAATCCTGGGCCGAAAATGTTTTGTGTATGTAAGAACTTCCACCCGGTGCCCATTTGACATTTGCTGGCGATAAATGATTATCAAAGCGAAGGAATGGAAATTTAAAAAGTAAGGAGACCATCTGGAGTGGCCGTCCGTGTTCGGTATTGACTCGTCCCTAGGAAAGGAGGCATTTGTTGCTACAATTGGAGTATATCCCGAGACCCAGATTGGCGAACTGTAGTCGGCTCGCCGGTTTAAAATGACCATAGAGTATTATGCAAGATTCTGACCTTCTCAAGGTTCCCTCGCCATCCTCCCAGCGGCTTCATAATCAGGCATCACTTCCTCCTTCGGCAAATCCCACGGCCAGCCCGGGATGGTCATGATGAGCGAGAAGGGATCCGAGTTAATCTCGGTCGCGCGCTGTACGAGCTCTTCAACGTCCCAGTTGGCCCAGAGAAATTTTCCCGATTGAATGCATGCACCCTCCGGTGAAGCCAGCCACACGGAGAAGCAGGCCGGTAGAGACACTGTGGGTGATATGGGTACATGTCAGCTGTCTGTAAGCGCGCTCGATGACATACAAGAAGAAGGCAGACGGGGATTACTGACCGTCGTCAAAAGGCCAAAACGGGGCAGCTGCACGGGCTTCCTCGGTCATCATGGCAATACTCTTCTGTTGCATCTCGGTCTCAATGATGCCCGGTTGGAGAGAATAACACCTAACATGTGGATTCTCCTTGGCCGTGAATTCCGCTAACTTGGCTACCGCCGCCTTACTCGCTGCGTAGCTAACCGGCGCCGACTCGACGTGCACCGCGGCGAGGTGTGAGATCAGGGAGTTAACGCTGATAAAGACGGAACCACAAGGGGCGCAGTGGCGGAGAAACTGTTGAGTAACAATGAATGCGCCCTTGACCCCGATGTCAAAGGCGGCCCAGAAGTCGGCCAGACTGCTGTCCTTGATCGTTCCTTTGTCGGAGAGGTACGCCGCGGCGTTGGAACATACGTCGATCGGACCATACTTGGTCTCGACGTCGGTGAAACAGTCAGCCACGGCCTTCTCGTCTTGAATGTCGGCCTGATATACGGCAACGGTCGTCTCTTTTCCCAGCCGGTCGACGAGAGCTTTTGTCTCATTTAGAGGTCCCACACGACGCCCAAGAACGGCCACGACTTTGGCGCCCGCTTTGGCAAAAGCGAGAGCGGTCGCTCGCCCAATGCCGGAACCACCTCCTGTGATAACAACGACTTTGTGTTTTGCTGAGAATTCGGCTTTCTGGGGATCGATCGCCCGGTACGGGGCGTGGTAGTATTTCTTGGTAAATGATGGCATAGGCATGATTACAGATTTCCCAAGTGTCGTGAAACCTTTCGCGGCCCGAAAAGAAGGTCAAGAATTACTAAACAAAAATAGAGGTCACTTTCGTGCCAGATTGCGAGCTGATTTTGAAAACCTCTTCCCTGTTCAAACTCTCTCTTTATAATTTGAGTTGTCCATTTCGCCTACAACCTCACTTGTAATTTACTCTTCGACCTGACTGTGGCTTTTCGCTGTCAACTAAACGTGAGACTGCCCGGGAGGGCCTAAGTAACCTCATTGGAACTAACCCCTCGTCGATCAGGGGCGCTGAGAAACCCTTGACTATCTCCTATGTATGACCAAGAGATTCATGACTCTATCCTCCAGCAGTCATGTGGTCAAGAGGCTCGTTTCCAGATCTGACTCGGACTTCACAATGTCAGTGATCATGATATACAGGAAGAGTGGTATCATCGAGACGAGTCGATTAGAATTCAAACGCCGAACAGTAAACGTGACGTGTGGAGGAAAGTGGTGAAATGCATCTCGGCTTATAAGTTGGCTTTGCAGAAACTGTGCCGGCCTGACTCTCAATGTGCGGTGTCCGCTGGTACTTAGCAAGTCTGCAACGTGTCATGAGGTCACAACTGTGTTGCCTTTGAGGATACCAAGTCAACTACCATCTAGAATATTGTAAACATGTCAGGAGTTTCTCCATTGACCCTTGATAAAAAGATCGCAAGTGTCGTGGGAGATCGTAGTAAAAGCTCACTGCCAATGCTGCCCTCTGTTGTCAACCACATCCAAAATGCGGGTGTGTTGGTTTCTGATTTTGAGCTATCTAGGCTGTGCTGTGGGCGTACGTAACACGGCATTTCCGCAGCTCGCATCGCCAGAAGTTTATGTCCCTTGTGGAAGAAGACTGCGAGAACAATTAGATCCTCATCCCTTAACAAGACCCCCAAGCTCCTTGACCAGGGTAGCCTGTGTCGCACTACGATCCACGAATTTTTCTTCATCCGCCGCAACCTTCTTTGAGATATTGGGTTCTGAGAGGCATTGATTGAAATTTGTCCAGTCTTGCTCGGTCGTAAACCAGAATTCTGTGATGCAGTCCCATGCAGGACTGAAGGTTGATCCCTCGCCGACCGTATAGTTGCGAATATATCGCTCCACGTGAGGAATGAGACCGTTGACCATCGGTACGTGGTTGTTCTCGTAGTAATCTTTGAATTCAGCTTTGGACAGGCCGGGCTTCCGTTTCACCAGGCAGATCCATTTGACTGCTGCTGAAGACATGATGACACCCGAATGTGCTGGGTAAACAAAGTCTCAAGTTCGATAGTGTATTTTCCGCGCGGCGTGACTCGAGGTGTTGGAATGGAGGCGGTGGAAGTTGGGCTTTTCGACATCCCACTCGCAGAAACGATGACATTACGATATGCGGACTCAGATTATTTATCTCTCTCTCACTGAGAACTAACTAGGCATTTACTAGAACCCCTTTCTTTCAAGGATGCATTCCCCGCAGATGCCACGACGAATGGTCTGGACGAGCAAGCGATTTGATGACCCCTAGCTTCCTTTCTCGACACAGCTGCTGATGGGTCTTGACAAGAATGGCCTTGAGTCAGTTCGGAGCGGCGTGATTATCTCGATGTCAGATTCAAGCGCCGAGACGAAGGATGTGTCAACGAATTCTAGGTCAGTGTACGGCTAGGAGGCGAACAGACCTGTGACTGCGGTTTCAGGGAAACGGATTCAGGTTTTCTTGACAAGAACCCCTGGTATGGATTCATTCCTAGCGATCGTCAATTTGTTGACACATAGGCAGACAAGATAGACAGTGACCTTTTGGCAGTCTGCCATCCGGGCGCCTCGAATGGAGCGATATGTCAAGCTTTCGATGACAGAATCACCATGGTGGACGGCCAGGCCATTTCTCTCACACTCTATAGACATCCGACATAGGTAGGCTCCGTTGTTCGTGCACACAGCGCCGCGGCGCTGGTCTGGTAGCGCTCGCGATGCACCAAAGTGGCCCGCGGTAACGATCCGCAAACAAGCCGAAGCTGCTTGGCAGCTACTTGGGACGGCTTGTGACGGTACCAGCGTCGTCTAGGGCAGCGTTCTAGCACCGTGAGTGGCCAGGATTGTCTCTTTGCTCGCCCGTAGTGATAAGTCCTCATCTCCATCTCCTGGCGCCATAATCTCTAAGGCCGTGCTGCTCTCTGGCTAGCAAAGACTTGAAGGGTATAGGCTCAGGCCGAGTTGTGCACATGACCGGGATCTCACATACCCGATTCGGCCCCGACTATTACCTTCTGACAAATCATCTCCTCGACAAAGCTTTGGGTGATAGCACTAAACATCGCTCCACGCTTCTTACTCGATGTTGGCGGCGTGATTGTGGTATTGAGGAAGACTTCCAGCTATATGCATGACTTCTAAAGGCCATCGCCGAGGTTGTTGAGACCCCCCTTGGATACGGGCGTGTGTTGGCTCTGAAGAGTCAGAACGGATTCAGATTTACCATGTTCTGACCGTTGAACATGGACCAGCATTCATCGCCATCTCTCGGCACTCCAGCGCCGTATGGTCAAGCTTGCACAAGCTGCGCTCAGTCAAAATGCAAATGTATCATTCGCCCGGTTGGTGGCGCTTGTGACAGGTGAGCAACTTTTTGAATTTGTTGTCACGACTAACGTTCGTTAGGTGCTATCGATTAAACAAGCAGTGTCGTCCAATAGAGTCGATTCGACGTCGAAATCCCAAAAGACGTGCTGTGAACAAGACCGCACGATTAGAGCAAAAACTAGATGGTCTTGTATCATTAATTAAGTCTGGAGCGCTAAGCAGTACCGTCGACATATCTCCCCAGGCCACGAGGTCTCTGGACGATCCTCTGCCTCGTGGTAGTATCAACATGGATACAAATACTCCGGGTTACGTTCAATCTCTTGGAGTCTCATTGTTGGACGTTATCGACGCAGGTACATTGGAAACATCGTCGACAACGCCCACTACGGATGGAACACGCGCGTCATACGAACCCTCGCAAGCCGAGGCAGAGGAATTTCTTGCAAGTTTCCGGACGTACAAATCAAGATGCTTTCCCTTTGTCCACATTCCCTCCACTACCACTGCTAGCCATCTTAAGCAAGAACGTCCGTTTCTGTGGCTTTGTATCATGTCAATCGCCTCGAAATCAACTTCACAGCAACGGTTACTGGGCTCAAGAATACGACATCTCATCGCACAGGAAGTGGTTGTTCAGTTGAATAGGAACATGGATCTTCTCTTGGGTATTTTGGCTTTTATCGGTTGGTATGTCATTATTTCTGCAGTCAACCTGCTGCAATCAGTCGAATGCTCAATCTGATGCAACCAGACGCTGACCATCTGTCTCAGGGCCACTGTTCAAATCCATGACAAGCCGTTCCTTTCCGTTTTCACTCAGCTTGCCATTTCTTTGGTTTCTGAACTTGGTCTTGCCAGACCCGTTCCCAAGGACTCGCAGATGGGGCTATGCGGTATGCCCAAGCTTTCAAGGCCCACGACTCCTCGTACAATGGAGGAACGCAGAGCTGTGCTTGGTTGCTTCCTGAGTACATCAATGTACGTCTCCCAAAATCACGTTTTGTGTTTCATGCTCATTTGTAAGAGTATCTTCCTTTCTCCAGAAGACCGATGCACTCCGTTGGACGCCACACATGGAAGAGTGTCTTGTTATCTTGGACGAAAAGAAAGAGTGTCCCAACGATGCAATTTTGGTACAACAAGTACGGTTGCAATTGATAGTTGAGAGCCGCATGCCGCTTGAACGAAGTCTCTTGGATTTGCAAAATCTCAAGACGAGTCTTGTCTCTGCATCTCATATAAGTGGTACGTTGTCGTTCTCCAACTGATCTAGTACTAACTGATTTGCTAATAGACGTGGTGCTCTTGCATTTGTACGGCGCTGAGTTGGACGTCATACTTTCAGAGTTTCTTCACACTAATGAATTGACCCTGGAGCAGTGGCAATCCCTTGATGTGGCCCTTGAGTCGATTAAGTCCTGGTTCAATGTCTTTTTTACGATACAACCCCTCGCCTACCTTGGACTTTCTCACTTCATCTTTTTGCAACTGACCCGCTGCATAATGATACTCTACCGGCTCAAGACTCTTGACGATTCAACGTGGGCGGAGAATCATGTCTGGAAGACGGACGAAGCACTGCAAGTCTTGGATCGAGTTCTCAACAACATGGAGCAAGTGACGTTTCTTGGTGGATTCGACAACACTGATTGTCCCGACGGAGACGTCTTTACTCGAACAGCACGTATGTTTCGATCCCTTCGACCGGCGTGGGAAACAAAGCGAAATTCGGTTCAGAGCAAGTCATCTCCGCAGTATATTGATGATCTGATTCTTCCGGATTTAATTGGCACGGATAGTTTTGACATTGACTGGTTTACGGATTTGTTTCTTTCACCCAATCAATAACGCTGGATCCATCAGTATTGGTTTGGTGCCTGTCTTCGTATCGGTGCTTATCCTTGTATCTGGTGAAGGGCCGATCAATATTCGATGACAGCTGTATAGATTCGACGGCAGTTGTTCAGGGATTCGGTGACAGTCATCCAGAGGTTCAGGTTCAGATTCAGTGAGTATAGTCAATAGATCAAAGATTGTCTAATGATTCTGCTACAGTCTCCAGTCAGTTACCAAATCACACAATGGGAAATTACTTGCGTTCTACTTGAGTGGATCTGATTCCAGACCACGACCCGCGAACACGCGTTGGTATCGACCCAAATGCCGAGCAATTCATGCAACGACGATCCAGGAGAAGATGCGTTGCCCACGAGCTACACCGGCTTTGCGGTTGCAATTAATCAGCGCACCAATCGTTACCTGCGTGATTGGCATGTCCCATCACTTTGTATTGGTAATTCAGTACTTGTCTGGGACAATCAGATCATGTTTTGCGACCGGATTTCGGATTTACGAACCAGACCGGGTTTCGGGTTTCGATTTTCACTGAATCCCGATGCTTCATTCTCCTATTCACATTAACCACGAAGACTGTCAACTCAAGCAGTATTTTATAACTGGCCTTTTTTTAGACCGACGGGGACTCTCTTCGCACCGTGTCCGTCCCTTCTGTCGTCATTTAATCAACAACTTCAACCTCAACCCAACCCAAACCAACAACTCATGTTTATGACTGCTTAGTTGTGAAAAAATGCCATTGCAAGAACTTCCTCCTGCTCCGAAGCAGCAGCCTTCTGTTTCACTCCACCATCCGGAAAAGACTGGCGACAATTACCACCCGTCGCCCGCCACATCTTCCATTCAACATGAACCCAACGGTGAACTTGTTGAGGGGTGTAAACAAGGTGCCGCAGAAACAGAAATAGCAGCATCCTCCAGCATGGCCCTCTCCCAAAATCAAAATCTAGAGCCCGAGTGGGCTCACGGCTTCCAACTTTTCACCATCTTGGCCGCCGTGACTTTTGTTTGCTTTCTCATCCTTCTCGATGGGACCATTGTCGTCGCAGCTGTTCCTCGCATCACCGATGATTTCAGTTCCCTGGATGACATTGGATGGTACGGAGCTGCATATCAGCTAGGAAGGTCCGTGAATTCGAGCTTTGAACGAAACCTGTACCATGAGTGAACGCGAAACTGACATGCTTGCAGCGCAGTCTTTCAGCCGCTTACTGGAAAGATATATATGAAGTTTAAGCCCAAAGTAAGTCGGGTTTCAGGTCCCCATTCTACTCCCCTTTCTTGATTCTGTGCTCACTGATTATCGTATGTAGTGGACATTTCTGAGCTTCTTCGTCCTCTTTGAAATCGGTTCCTTAATTTGTGGGGTTGCGAACTCCTCGGGTATGTTGATCGGAGGACGAGTAGTTGCAGGCTTGGGAACTTCGGGGGTGTTGAATGGTATCATGCTTATCGTCGCGGAATGCGCCCCTATGCAGAGAAGACCAAGTATGACTCAATGCCTTCCTGAATATGTGCGGTTGGATAGCTGACATTGCTTACAGCTCTAGTCGGCATTGTTATGGGTAGTAAGTCCACCTCTATCTGGGCTGATTGTCATATGCTGATTACTACTTCAGCTGCGCAGCTTGGCCTAGCCAGCGGTCCGTTATTTGGAGGATTAATGACAGAATACGCGACTTGGAGATGGTGTAGGTCGCCCAACTCGCTTTCCTGCTCTTGGGCTTGGAGTAAGCTAAATATGCTAGGCTTTTACCTCAATCTCCCCGTCGGCGGCCTTGTTGCCATGATGCTGGTTGTTGTCCGCATTCCACAACAACACCCCAGGCCTCCTCCCATGTCCGTCGTTCGTTCACTACATTCAAGCCTCGATCTTCTGGGCTTTGCCATCTTCGCCCCTGCTCTCATCATGCTGCTACTTGCTTTACAATGGGGTGGCACTACATTCGCTTGGAACAGTTCTCAGATCATTGGCCTCTTTTGCGGCGCTGGGGCCACGTTCATCGCTTTTCTACTCTGGGATTACCATAAAGGCGACGCAGCCATACTTCCGTTCTCCATAGTCTGCATGAGAACTGTCTGGACGAGTTGCATCGTATATGGATTATTCGGAAGCAACTTATACACCGCTTCCTACTGGGTGCCAGTATATTTCCAGGGAGTCAAGGGCGCATCTCCAGCAATGAGTGGTGTATACATCCTGCCCATGATTATAGCTCACATCTTTGCAGCTCTATCCTCAGGTCCCATCGGTAAGGACGTTGTTTCCCATGGCACGCACTGCTAATGCTTCTACAGTCAACAAGGTGGGATACTACATACCGGTAGCTCTCTTTGCTGCGGTTTTGTTATCGAGTGGTAGTGGCCTTATTGCTACCTTCTCTCCTAGCACCTCAACAGGCAAGTGGATTGGATACCAGATCCTCTACGGGGCTGGTCGTGGTCTCGGATTGCAAATGGTATGCTTGATATTCTCCATCATTGATCCTAGTGCCCACCTACTAACATTATTTTTCCGTGGCAGCCACTCCTTGCCGTTCAAAATACAGTGCCACCTCCACAGCTCCCCATCGCCATGGCGCTCGTCATGTTTAGCCAATCGTTTGGAGCAGCCCTATTCCTTAGTCTCGCAGAAACTATATTCAGCAATAGTTTTGGAGATCTCATCTCCGAATACGCGCCTTTGGTCAATGGTCAAAGTGTCATTGATGCTGGGGCTACTGGATTTCGAAAAATTGTTTCGGGAACGGATCTTGCGGGTGTATTGACTGCTTACGCCAAGAGTATTGATCGCGTTTTCTATTTGGCAGCAGGATTGGGAGTTGGCTGCTTCGTTTTCGCATGGGGAATGGGATGGAAGGATTTGAGAAAGAAGGAGGAAGTTTCAAAAGCTTAGAATTTTGATTTGTTCTGCGGTGATAAATACCGACAGCCTCAGCGGCTAATCTTGGTATCTTCTCCCAAGTCCATTTCCGTTTCCTGGCCCGAGTATCCACTGAAAACCCCCCTTCCTCCTAAAAGACGAGTGATATTCAAGATATGATTATCTCCTGAAGATTTAGCTCTCTCTCGCACATCCTGATGCTTTGCCGCTCCAATGCGGCATATAGCTCATACTCGTCCAGTATCTTGCAACCCAACGCAGCCTCGAGCGCTTCTCGTTGTTCCGATCCGACATTGCCCGGTGCGCTCTCCTTCTGCACGGCTGCGGCTGATGTAGTCTCGGGATCCTCACGCATGTTTGACTTGAAAATCCCCGCTGCGGAAAATGGCAAGAAATCTTCGTACGTGATCGGCTCGTACTCAACAAGGCCGCGAGTCACGAGTTCTGTCAGGTGGACTCTCCGTGGCTGGAACTCGGGAGATTTGGAGAATTCACGACCAGAAGAAGTAGGCTGGTAGTGAAAGTACACCAGACACCGCGCCTGCAGCTCCGACCACGAGTCGGGATAGTGCTTGGAGAAATGTTCCAGGAGAAGGGTGTCGAAATCTTTACCATGTGCGGCGCCGTTCGCGTTGGCCACGCTCTCTCTCGTCAGATTGAGGAGTTGATCATACAGCTCCCGACCCTTGGGAGTGAGCGCTGCACCTCGCTGCTCGACCTCCCCGAATCGTGCGGTGTGTGTCCCAGGTACAGAGGATCCCTCTGAACTGCCGAAAATAACGGGTTCCTCGAGAGCCTTGAAGCTCGTCTGGCGGAGGAGTATTGGACATTGACGAGCTGGAGGGCCTTCGATTCTGTCCTTGGCTGGCATCTCTTGCCTGACCATCTCTTCCTGCACAAGATTGATGTCTAGGGTCCGCGGGGTCAAGTGATTGATGTGCGCGCTGGGGAAGCAGACGATGTCGGCCACCATTGGATGCTCCTGCTTCAGAGCCAGATATTGTCCAATCGTCACATCTGACTTGGAATGCCACTTGAAGATTTTCAACGAGTCGGTGATCAAGTCCTCGGCATCCTGCGGCGTTACAGGCAGGCTGGACTCGATTCGGTCAATTATGTCGAGCAATCGACTGGTAAATAAGTTCCGCCCCGCGAGGATGCTCTCTGCCATAGCCGCGATCTTAAGTGATAGCCTCTCCTTTCGTAACAAAGTCGTAAACACCCGAAATGGGTTCTTTTGCAGAGACGCCTCGGTAATTGGTCGAAAGGCAGTTGCGTGGAGGGGGAAGCCGACAACGCCCAAGTCGTAGCACCCAACAGGATACATACCGAAGATTCCGAACAGGCGTCGAATTATGTGTAGTTCATACTCTGTCCCGAGTCTGATGGCGCCGTGCCTTTCAAGCTCATGTCGAATGGGAAGACGTCCCCCATCTCCGGCCGAGACGACCGATCGATCAACCTCACGGACAATATCCACGAGCTTCCCATACAGAGGTACTTCTGATCTGTACATATCAGACAACGCGACCACAAACATCGTCCGAAGTTCATCCGGGTCTAGCCTAGGCAAGAATGAGTTATGAGGCCCTCAACGAAGCAATTGACCTCTCAAAACCACGTGCAGGAAACAACGCGGCCGACATACTTAATTGCACTCATCGCCATGACCATGGAGAGGATTTGTATGATCTTCGAATGTATTTTCCGCGAGAATCGTTTGTAAGAGAATAAACGACCGATTCCAGCAACAGGCAGCTCAAGGCCACGATTATCCCTTCTGCAAGGTATCAGTACTATCCCAAAGCAAGGTTTCTGCGAATCCGGCGAATTACTCGTCTCTCCATGCCTAGAACCATCATACACACTTGGCTTTATGTAAGAGCCTGGCAGCAAGTCTCACGTCCACCGTGAGTGCTAAGGCAGATGTGGTATCACAGGTCTGTCAGGGAGGAACAAGTCAGCGGAATGCGGCATTGCCGCCTTCATCCGCGGCATTTGCGCAGCGTTTCAGCCTTGCCGCACATGGAGGGGAACAGAGTCGAGTCGTCAGCTCTCCGGCATGAGTGGCGGTAGAATTCGGGGGCTCATGATGAATTCATGTCAATAGTCATGACCCAGCAGGGAGAGGCAGAGGCAACTTCGCATCTGCGGGATATGTACTTTGCAGGGAAATTTCCCGCCGAATTTGGTGGTCGGTGCCGCCGCTTTTGGAGGGCTTCTTCCCCCGATGCCAAGATTTCTCCCCGTCAGGGCCTTGTTAGCCCGATGTAGCTTAGTGCATTTTGGACACATTGAAATACTCCGCTGACCTGACCGCAATGTGAGTTTCGGCTCCAAGGAGGATATCTTCAGCGTTCCTGCTAATCCAATTAGGAAAAGTAATATTTCCAACTTGAGGTGATGTTACCGCTGCTCAACATGGTTTCGTCGAGCCCTCCATCACCACCGAGCCATGGATGGATCATCTTTATCCTGGTTACTCTTATGAGTTGCGTTCACGCCACAGTTGTCTGTGATGATTGCCGCCCGCTTAGTCTCCAAGAAGCCCCAGGTATGTGATGCGGAGGGCTGTGCCCTCATCCACCTCGAGTCACAGAAGGGGGACACTGATATGCTTTTTCTCAGGTGTTGGCTTGTCTTTAGCACCTAGTTATGGGTACGCACCGTCAGACAAAGGAAGTGCAAAGGAAAACTTTTCTGATCGATTTCAGCTCCACAAGCATTCAATTTGCCAATGGTACGATCTCCGACGTTGCTTTGATACACGGAACCGAAGCATATATTCAAGCCATGAAGCGATGGGACCATCTTGATGTTGACCCCCATCTTCTGGACCTCGAGAATAAGTAAGTACATGCACCCGCACCTGGTTGAGGTGTCTGCGCCAAATGCTAAAGTACCAAGTTCTGAGACGAGCATTGCCCCTCCGTTCCTACAACGGCTACGATCGTGGTATCAGGCGCAGCTACAGCACCACGCCGAAACCTCGCCTCAGGCCACCTACGAGGAACTCATCCCGATCGCGGAGATGATGAGTACACTTTTCTCCGAGGCGAATAAATCGGTGCCACTATCGAAAAACTTAGTATTCCTGGCGATCCCAGACTTTGAAAATAGCACCAGTGATACCTTCACCCGGCCAATTCGACAGCTTCTCCAATTGGCTGGGCTCGACCGCCTCAGTTTCCAAAGACAGAGCCAGCTCTCACTTTTACATATGTATGACCTGGACGACTGTTTTGGAATCTGGCTGGATCCGGTAACCGAGGTTCCTGACGAAGAGTGCGAAAAATTCAAAGGCAGACACATACAGTCGGTACTCTCCGTCCATCTTGATCGATCTTCTCTAAATTTGCGGTCAATGATACGCGATGACGGTATATTCCCTCACATGCCGGGCTCCGTCAAATTCCTCTGGGCGGATGAAGATGCCAAAGCGAACGCCACGGATTGGGACTGGATGGGGCATGCACTTGAAGACTTCTTGCACGACCACGATCTCATGTTTGATCTCCTGCTCCTCTCTGGCGCCCATGTCAAGGCTAGCAATTTCCAACAAATCATCCGAAACAGGTGCAAAGACAACGAGAAAATCGTGGCTCAGGACTACTTGCGAGGCTTGAATCATCACTTGTTTGCCGCGTCGAGGGGAGCTGTGCAGCTTGCTAGGGTCCGCTTGTGTATGGGTGGTGATGCATGCATGCCTAACTCGTGGTACCCGAACAGTGAGCATTGTAAGAAATGGACATGGTATTCGGATAACGATGCTGTCAGGAAGACAGAACTCTAGGGGAATCTTCGCGTGGCATGTGAGATGTGTACAGTTCCGAGAAGTGTGCAGCAGAAGAATGGGTTGGAAAAGAGGGAGAGAGGGAGGGAGATGATAGACGGTGTTCTTGTAGACGTCAAAAGCGGCGGCGCTCTTAGCCCGAGACTATGCCCGAAGCGGCAAGACCGCCTAATTCGAAGGTGGATTTCCTAGCAACGACTTTTACATTTCAGATGTGTTTCGAGGTCTATCCCCTCGCCTAACCTTCTCTAATCGAGTGTAGGGTCGTAGTCTGTACCTAATCGAGCTATTCGGAGCGGATTAATATTGTCCCAAAAGGAATCGAATTAGGAGTCAGAGTCGCACTCGTATACTGACAACGCTGATCTATCGTGTCTATGTAGTTCCGTCTGACCCTGACAGCCTACGGCCTCAACAATAGGGTTCCTGTTGTTTTCCTGCCCACGAGGTCCTGTTACACGGGTCAAAATCATTAGCACTGCACACCTCAAGCGCCGTGGAACCTCACCTTATGTGCTTGAGCCACCTCTGAGAGCGGATATATCTTGTGCACGAAGAGTTTCAGCTGACGCGTGGTGAGCAGGTCAAAAAGCTTCTCGCAGTATTCCTCGAATTCCTCGCGGGTCTCGATATATCCAAACAGAGTTGGTCTGCAAATCTTGACGCACTTGAGGGCAATGAGGCTGTGAGGAACATCGTGTGCTCGTCAGTCGATCGTACACATAGACAGTGGTAATAGCGCCTGGAAAGGAAGGAGTAGATAGATGGGAGTAGGAGACTCACTGTAGTGTTAATGGGGGAACCGGGCCACTGGCATTTCCAAACCAGACGATGGTCCCCTTTCGCCTGACGGACTCTAAACTGCCTTCCCAGGTGTCCTTCGCGACGGAATCGTACACCACGTCAACACCACGTCCGTCGGTGAGTTCTTTGACCTTCGAAACCCAGTTTTGGCCCTCATCGCTGCGATAGTCGATAACATAATCTGCTCCGAGACTCTTTACTAGCGCCACCTTTTCAGGACCTCCTGCCGTGGCGATCACTTTAGCCCCGAGGCCCTTGAGAATCTGTGTCAGGAGTACGCCGACACCTCCCGCAGCAGCGTGCAGGAGCACCCATTCCCCCGAACTAACTTTGTAGCTCTCGTTGACGATAGCAAGTGCAGTCAACCCGGGGAGTGCACAGGCGCCCGCATCTTCTTCGGATACACTTTCGGGCAGCTTCATCACTTTCGCCGCGTCGGCGGCCGTGTACTGAGCATAGCCGTTTGTCCCCAGCCAGAGCACGCGATCGCCCACGGAGAAATTGTATTGCTCCGTCTCGGGACCCAAAGCGACCACGACACCGGCGCCCTCGCGGCCCAGGATCTCGGGTTTCGAGGACTTGTAGAATCCGCTGCGATAATAAGTGTCGACGAAATTGACCCCGCTGACGGTGTTCTTGATCAAGACCTGTCCCTCTTTCAAGGCCGGGATGGGGACGTCGGTGCAGTAGTCCAGGACCTCAGGCCCGCCGGCCTCTTTGACAATGACTGCGTGCTGAACGGAAGGGACCGACATTCTGGGACGCCCCGGGACTGTATCTCACTCAAACTTCCGCTGGGTGTATTGGGCAGAGTCGTAACAGTATCCAAGGAGATAGCTCACTTTGGGTATTTATTGGAGCTGCCCAAGGAGACAGACAATATTTCGTCACGTACGAACTTCTTGCATGGAGAAAGTGATTGGCAACATGCGAGAATGCAGCGTTTCGCCAAATCGCCTCACGGGCGGAGACCTAGGCATTCTAGCGAGTACTCTCCTAGGCCCATACGACATGCGGGAGCATTGCGGAAGCATGTGCGGAAGAGAGAGGCGTCCACACAATCAGGACAGCGCCACCATGCAGTGCGGAAGAGACAGACAAGCAGGACTCCACACTATAGAAGACATTAGTAAAAGTTGATTTTGCGGAGGTTCCGAAACTCCCTTTGAATTCCCCACCGGCTTGTTGGTGCGAAAGCTCTTGAGCTGAGACCTTGCTGCATAGCTTCTTTCTGAATTCGGCGTTACAGTTGACGTGTCAAGTTACATTATTCCATTCGAAGCATCGCGAGGGTATTTCTACCAAAAATTCATTCATCGCTTGATTTGGTCTCTGTTTTCTCTGCTGGTCTAAAATTTCGGGCGCAAGCATTGATTGCCATTCAAGAGCAAAACATGGGCGAATGCTGTCTACGGGGCTTCCGATGGGACGCACAGCCTAAAGGCAAGGACACCACACTTGCCGGGAGGCACTGCTATGTGACAGGATCCGAATCTCAGCACCAGATTGGCATCATGATTATTCACGACGTCTTTGGCTGGACCTTTACGAATACTCGTGTGCTGGCCGATCATTATGCCGAAGAAATCGGTGCGACAGTCTATGTGCCAGATTTGTAGGGCTGCCTACTCTCTTTCTCGCCTCCCTTTGCGCGCGGATGTTTCCAATGAAAGATGGTCACGGCTAACCAGTGATTTCTGGACAACAGCTTTGGCGGTGACGTTCTACCAGCCGATGTAATTTTGGCCGGTCCTGAGCATTGGGGCGTCCTTGACTTCCCGACCTTCTTCGGCAGCAAAAATGCAAAGCACGTCAGAGGCCCGGAAATGGTGGAGTGTGCCAAACTCCTGCGAGCCAGGTACAAACGCCTAGGAGCTGTGGGGTACTGTTTCGGTGGCTGGGGTGTCTTTCAACTCGGGTCGACGGCAAACAACGGGTTGGTCGACTGTATCTCAACAGCCCATCCAAGCTTCTTGGTCGAGGAGGAAATCCGAGGTCTAGGCGTACCCGTCCAAATATGCGCGCCTGAAAATGACGCGATGTTCCTCGACGACTTAAAAGCCCTCTGCAATCAGGTCATTCCGACCCTCGGCATCCCTTATGACTATCAGCATTTCCCCGGTCTTGACCACGGCTTTGCCATCCGTGGAGATGTAAGAAAGCCGGCCGAGAGAGATGGAATGGAAAGAGCTAAGAATGCAGTCGTAGCTTGGTGCCGCCAGTGGCTCCATGAGCGTTGAGTTGGAATTGTTTCGTTAACATTCCCACATATATATACGGTGCCTGCCAGGAGAGTTGCTCTTCCTGCCCGGTGCTTGCCATATCTGAGGAGGGTAGAATCTCCTCCATTCTATAAATATAGCAATGGTCACATGAAGTTCCACCCATCCGGTTGTTGTGGGATTTTCCCAAGTGGAGAACAGTTGGGAGGGAAAAATGCCCATGATGGACAAGCGAAAGGGGCATTGTTGCGAACGTCGTAGCCTTCGTAGAAAGACAGCTGACCTTCTAGGTCATTTGCTCCAAAAGGATTCAGAAAGTCGCTCGACAGCTGGAAAGAATTGTCACCGGCAAGAAGTTTGTCAAACAGCTCACCCGCCGTCGAAGGCTGCGTCATATCGTTCAGGAATCCAGCCGTAACATTATCAGACTGTTCACTCGTTTTCCAAGGTTGGCCGAATCTCTCATCTGTAGCTCCAGACTGATGGTTCTCGTCCTTGTTTCGTTAGGAGGGAAATAATGAACGACGGCGGTGTCCTTACCGAGAAGAAGGGAATTCCCAACTGTGATATTCGTTTTGCGCTTTCCCTCAACAGTTGCGAGGACCTCTGGGCGACGCTACTGAGGTTTTCATAACGAGTCAAGTATTGCAAACACAGCTCCCAGCTTGATGAGAGTGATGCTGGGAGCACGGCTCCGTCATGAAAGGTGCAGAGACGTCCTAATAAAATAGTACTCCCAGATGTGTGCAGATCTATTTCGCCCCGCATGAGATACTGGGCATAACGGTGACCCCGGAACTTGGATGCACTTACAATGGATATTGTACCACCAGCAGATAAAAGAGTCTGTCTGTATCTGGGTCGTCAAAAACTCCACCAGCTCGACTGCCAAGAGCACGCATTGCGCGGCGATATCAGAAATCACAGAATCTTTGAGCTTTGCTTTCGCTGTACGGTCAGCCGTAATGAGTGACTTCTCAGTTTGTTGTTTCTCAAATAGAAGATCCAACGCCGGCCGTAGGACGAGTTGTCGAACGCAAAGAAACCTTCAATAGTTTACTTAGCGTCAGTGTGCCTGGTGGCAGTGAAGGTTGATTTCATACCTGCAATGCAGTCGTCTTGCAAGATCCGGGAAGCCGAGAACCACTTCGGCATCTGGTATGGGCTCTGACCCAGCAGCACCTCTGACGGGATCCAATTCCCGTGACGAATCATGTCGGAGGTAAAGGGGCAAACGGTCGCGCCATTCCGTGATCTCACTGTCGAGGGTCAAGACAGCACGGACCGTGGCGACCGTGTCGGATGGCTTGTCGGATTTCGTGTCTTGCCTGTTAAGAACCTGCCCAAGGATTTCGTGAAGCTGTAATGTAGAGACGTAATATTCCATCAGACTGGGAAGATCTCTTGGTTGCATGTTCCATTTGCCCACCTCATCGCTTAGACGACTGTCGTCGATGGCTTCTGGCAGTCCGATCCGCTTACCATGAGTAGGGATTGTCAATGGCTGAGCAAAGGTCATCGATACTTCGCTACACAAGAGTTAGCTTGTGAAGAAGTGACGACACGAACTGTAGTGAGAGCATAGTAACAGTGCAACTAAAGCAACCAGAAAGAAATGACAACAAACTGACGTTTCCAAGAGGATGCAGGCGTGCCACACGCGTGTCCGCATCTCACATTCAACTTGTGTGGGATAGGAGCACAACAAACCCCTTCTTCGAGCTTCTGGCAGACTGAAGTGTAACCCCATATTCTGAGCCATCCTCAGTGCCAGACCGGCCATGTTCCAGCATTTTGAAAACCTTTCCGTGCTCTGCAGATAGAACGCCATCAGTAGGCCCAACTGGACAAACTCGAGCCCGGACTCTTCGTTCAGGAGGACATGTACGTCTACGGTTTCTGCCAGTTGGAAGAATTCGGCGCCGTAAGCCGCATTCCGCTCGTGATGCCCAGACGAGAAGAGGGCGGCAAGAGCAAAGACCACGTTCACCGTGGCAGGGAATAGTTTGCCTTTACTCCTCTGCCTGCAGAGACTCACGCACTTGTGTCCTACCTTTTCCGAATCAGCCCTGGCTTCCCACAGAGCTTCGTATTGTTTCATGAATGTCGGCCGGTGAAGGACTGGAAACATTCGAGCGTGCCTAGCGAAGTAAATTGCGACCAGGAAATCGGCCTGCCTTCGCAGAGGCAAGTTCCATGGCATGGCCTCAAGTAGACGGTCACAATTACATTTTACACGCTCCGGCAGAGGAGAATTCGGCTCTGGCGTGGGCGACAGTCCACGATCCGCGGGTCGTGCTGCTATTGTTCCCTCCGAGGTATTAGTACCTCGGTCCAGTGCAATGCCAATTGGTTTCATCAACCTTTCGAAGTTGTATAATCCAATACACCGAGAGGAATGACAGTTGTCCTTGCTAGAGGATAGATTTGAGGTTGCTGAGTCGTTAGCAAATGGTGATGCCTCTCCTTCTGCGTTACTGGCGGAGACATCGTTCGCCGGCGCGCAATCTGTGGTAGCGGTGTCCTGAGAAAGATGATGACCATTGTAGGCTTCTCGGTCCCCAGCACCACCGGCGTTGTTTAGTGGCTCAGAGGAGTTTTGATTACTCGTATCCTCTGCCTGTACGGGTTGATCCGGTGGTTGGCCTGGAGCAGCTGTCGAAGTTTGCATTTCTTGTGATGGAGGTGGCATCGCCGCAGCTTTTTCCAGCTCTTGCAGCCGCTGTCTTAGTGATTGTATCATACTATAGCTCGTATCAGCCACCATGGAGGTCGTCAATAGACTTGTGGGATGATCACTGGCCGGACCTTTGATTCCATTCTCGCGCATCAGTTTCCGCAGAATAGACACATTGCGACTTGCGCTTTGTGCACAACCCGCAAGCCGGGACGACTCCATCACAACGTCTCTTTCGAACTCGGCACTCTTCACAAGCCAGTACAGTCCGTTTGCGGGTCATGGGCTTCTTGGATCCCTGGGGACAAGAATTTGAAGCCTCCGGCTCTCGTCCACGTTTCTGCGAAGGAGGGTTCATCTTCGCAGCCACACAGACGGAAGAAAGAGAGGACCAGGTTTATATTGAAGAACTTGGAGGAGGTTGTCTACTCAAGCATCCATACAGGATATCTTGGGTAACAGAGAAAGAGATGGAGGTGTGTCCTGCATCAATCGACGATTTCTCTTGAATACGCATAGACGACAGACGATATGCGCGACATGCAGGATGCAGAGACTTGGGGGGGTGTGCAATGCAAGTCGTAGTTAGTAAGCCTATGGAGTGTGACGAAGGTCGAAGGAGGGGGCCGAGGACGGAGGAGTGAGGGGGGAGGTGAGCCTGGGGAAAGCTCAGGGGGGGATCAATTGGCCTGCAATTGGCCTGGGGGCGCTTGGTGGCGTACAATTGTGGCGGCTGCGCAGTTCACGAGGCTATCCCGAATACAGAGAGCTGTCTTGGCCGTGCGGAATATCCGCACGGTCAAGACAAGGCACACCACTAGTTATGTATTGTCGAAACTACTCCCGGGGGGGTTGATGGGGATGACGAGCACACATTATGCAGACACTCCATGGCCATTCAACCTCCTCCTCTGGTCCTTCAGTCCCGTTATCAAGATTGGTGGGGAATGTACTCGATCCACGTTGAAGCCTGATTGAATTTAGTAATCGTCTGTTTTCCCTATCAGAAGGTGTCCGGTCCGCTTATAGTAGCTATCCATCCCTTCGAAAAAGGCGTCTGGGGCGTTCTCGTGATGGAAGTAGCCCGCACTCTCTTGACTGCGTTCGATGACGTCGATCGCAAACTCGAACATCTCCTTTTCGTAGGCCGCAATCGCCTCCGTCGTGATGCCAAACTCTTTGAGCTTGTCCACCAGGATGATGGAGTCGCGCATCCCCAGGTTGACCCCGTCGCCAACATGAGGCGTCGTCACGTGCGCGGCGTCGCCGATGAGGGTGACGCCGGGGTTCGGGGCCCAGTTGAGGCTCTCCACGGGCATATACCACAAGGGCCACAGATGGAAAGGCCCATCCATGTGCTCGATCAACTCTTTGAACACAGGGGCATGCTCCGCGAATTTCCCTGTCAATAACATTTTCTTCACCGCGGCAGAGTCGTTGAGGTCCAGGCCTTCGAAGGCAAATTGGCCCTCTCTCGCAAAACCCATGTCGATCCGATATTTCTCGTCGGCCTGCATTTGGTTCCAGGTGAACGTCCCCTTCCCTAAGATTGCCTGAGGGCCAATGCCTGCCATTTCCTTGACCTTCGGGTAGTGGGGGTTGCCAGGAAGAATATGGCCGGTAACGAAGCCGTAGCCAGAATATTTGGGCGTCGCATCTGTCACCTACATTCGCCATAGAAAGGGGTTAGTCACATAGTCTTACCAGTTGCTTGGTGACGACCGCGAGAGATAAGATCTTACCAGGTGTCGAATTTTGCTGCGCACTCCATCCGCTCCCACCACAAGCTTGAAGCCAGAAGCTGTTGTTCCATCGGCGAAGTGCAAGGTCACACGTCCCTTCTCGTCTCTGGTAGAGTCCGTCACCTCAGTCTTCCATCGGATCTTGTCAGGGGTGATGCTGGACAGCAAGGCATCCTTGATCTGCCATCGATCGAGCTCCGGCGCATCACGACCCTTTCCCCACGAAGCCATCTTGTTGCCGGTGTGGCTCCATACCCAGGCCTCTGTCGCGTCACCAAGTCGGCCGTACTTTCGCATCAAGTCGAAGCATCCGGCCTCCCGACAAGCACGTTGACCACTGCCAGTGTGCAGGTCGAGGCAGCCGCCGCGAGGAACTTCCTCTCGCGAACCACGCTCATAGACGATGTAGTTGTTGAAACCATTCCGCTCCAGGATCCCGGCCAAAGCAAGGCCGCATGGGCCTCCACCTACAATGGCAATATCGGGAGTTGAAGGCTCGGCCACCATGTTGTGAGCTCGTCGGCTGTCAGGTATTGCAAGGTCTCCAGTGGGTAGCGGCGAGACAGTCAACTTGGCCAAGACTTCAAGGCTGTGAACCCAACACGGACCCTTTTAATACCTCCATCACTTTAGAATGAATTCCGTATCAGTCGTGTCTTGCTGGACGTGGAGGTGATGCAGGTCAACTGTGCGGATACCAAAATGGATGGTGGAGATAATGCGGAGGACAGCTGGAGGAGTGGGGAAGCGAGGTGAAATCTGGGGATCTGCAGGCCACAGCGGATGAAAAGAAGCTCGCGATCTCTCCGGCAATGCGGGAACTGCTAAGGCAGTAGGAGGTCAAGTCTGACACATTCAGCTGCGGGCGAGTCAACAAGGCCTGATTAGTAACATTGTGATGTGAAGTCTCTAGTCGACCCAATGTGCGTGAGATGGTGGTAGGTTGTCGAGTGCATGATGAGCGCCTCCGCCAAGGAGAGAGCTATTCTCAACGACGAACTTCACCACACATATTCAACATCCTATCAAGACCCAGGTTAGCAACGAAAAAGAAGATCCTAGCTTCAACTTGAATTTCACTGATTCTAGACGGATACACATTCGATCCTCTATCCAGGGATGGAAATGGGGACGGCTATGTAACAACCCAGTGTAGAAAGACTTCCCAGTAAACAACTAGCTGAGATTATTCAGGTACCCTGCCTCAAGACATTCTTCATTTCTATTCCTGCTGCTGATCAGTGGTTACATCTCGAACACAGCACGTCAGCATTATAGAACCGTCAGGCAGAGAGAGCTTCCTAATCATTCCATTTGTCTGATTCCTTGAAGTAGAGCGAATTCTCCCATCGGGTGTGTCTCTGTCCGATAACTGGTCTCTTCTTGATCTCCGCCTCTGGCTCTCCGCTCTTGATCCGTCTCACAAGTTCCTCCGGGTCGATGTCGACCCCGATCGGGTTGACGGTGTACTCCTCGGTCCTCATAAAGGCGTGGGCTTCCTCGGCCGTCTCGAAGTTGTCGACCTGGATTTCGAATTCGTTCTTGTCGGGATCAAAGTAGTACATCGACGTGCTCATGCCGTGGTTGACAGGCCAGTGTGGTAGTATGCCACGGGCCTTCTTTTGCTCATAGCTGACCGCCAGGTCGGCGAGGGTGTTCAGCGTAAAGGCAATGTGGTAGATGCCGCATGCTGCTCTCCGGTTCTCGACATGCTTATGGCCGGCATCGGCGACGATAACGAGACGGTGGTGTTCGTCGTCAAATCGAATGAAGGCCGCGGCGGGTGATTTATAAACCACCTCGCCGCCGAAAAAGTTGCAGTGCCATTCCACCATCTTTTCGAAGTTTTCCGGAGTGGTTCGCATTCCCCAGTGGGCAATCTTGCCTGGCGCGAGGAGTTTCCCATCGACCATCTTGTCAATATCGGCTGGCACTGTAATGCCGTTGCTAGCCATCTTGTGGACACGAAATGCGGTGAAGGCTGTTGCCGTAAAGGCTGTCTGTTGACGCTTCCTTCGCAAGCTACTCCTTGGTCTTATTCACGACTTATAATGAATGATACAGCACTATACGCAAATCAGCAAGGAAGCAGTCGTGTCGTCTCGGGACATAAGACCGGCAATTTGGCTGACTTCCAAGTGTCTTGCTTACCAGAGATGCGGTTTTCCCGTCGTGTTTGCGGAATTCCCACCTCCGCAGCATTTCCCGCTTCGCTCGTCGGGAGATTCGAGAATAGTCCCACAAACAATCAGAATCACAGCGAAAATCCGTCAAGTGAGGTGGGTCCAACTTAGGGCACGAGTCTGAGGTTCGCAGGAGTCCCTTGACTAGTTTAGCCCCGGTCTTGACTGGAATAGCTATGATGCTGAATCGAGGTTTCGTTCGTGGCTGAGAATCTGATGGTGCCCATACATACCCTCCACGGCAAACGGCATTGTACAGACGCATCATCTCTCACAACGACGACATGTCTGACTACGTTCTGGAACACCCATCCATTGGTTCCATCCGGGGTATCCAGAAGACTCCGGCGGTGACACAATATTTGGGTCTTCAATATGGAACCTTGAAGGACAGATTCGCCCGAGGACAACTACTGCTAAGCCCTCCGGATGATCACGTTCGTCGCTCTGGAAATGTTCTCGATGCGACGAAAAAGGGGTATGCAGAATCCTCACCAGCCTCAATTCCTCATGCAATCAATTTTGGCAGCTTACCATTTCCCTCAGGCCAAGTCCATTGCTCCCTCCAAATGCTTGTGAGGGTCACCAGAAAGCAATCGTGCAGAAAGGCCTGCCTGTTGAGGCGTGGGATCAATCAGATACAGAGGGATTGACCCTCGACGTTAATGTTCCCACCGCCAGTGTATCCACTAAATTGCCGATCTTCGTCTTTGTATGCGGTGGTGCATTCACGAGTGGCAGCAGCGAGTATCCGGAATACGATCTGGCCGGTATCACGCAGCTGAGTATTCGATCAGGCATGCCCATGATTTCGGTTGGATTAAAGTAAGCTCGTTTCCCCCCTGCTTCTATTTGACTTTTGCTGATGTTGTTTGGGCTCAAAACAGTTATCGAGTTGGGGTTCCGGGATTTTTGTATTCGTCGGCCATGAAGGAAAAGGGCTACAGACCGAATAACGGGCTGGACGATCAACGACTCGCGCTGCAATGGGTCAAGCACAATATTGCTGGCTTTGGCGGCGACCCCCAACGGGTAACCTTTGTAGGTGAAAGTGCCGGCGCAGGTGAGCCAAAAGTAACTCTGAGCACGCTTGAGAACGCCAGCTTATACATATAGTATCGGGGTGGTTCCATTTACAATCTCCTGAGCCACTTTTCCACCAACTGGTAGCAATGAGTGGTTCTTCTTTCTTACGCCCCCGACCACTTACGTTGCTTGAAAGAGGATTCGAGTTGGCGGCTGCCGAACTTGGTGCAAAAGACTGTTCACCAGGTGATCAAGTGGCAAGGCTCGTAGAAGCACCGAAGGACGAATTTGTGATCAAGCTTGGAAGAAAGATCCCAGTTGGCCCATTTGCGGACGACGACCTTGTCCGAACACCATCCACTTTTAGCGACATTCTCAGCAAAGAATATGACTTGACCCGCTTATTTCCTGCTCTGAAGCATTGTAAGAGAGTCATCATGGGTGATTGCCAGATGGATGTAAGTAGCAATACTAACGACTGAATGGTACAGGATGACAATGGCAGCATTTGACTGACAACAACCGTTATAGGGAATCGGGTTTCATTCCCGAGTGGCAGGCCGTACAGACGTCCTCCCCCACACTCTGGCGCAGTGTCTGGGTACTGTCTTCGATCCTATCGACATTGAGATTGCCCCTGTCATCCAAGCAGCTTACGGGCTGGACATCGATGCCAAATCCAACTCCCAGGAGACCACGAAGGCTTGTCTTGACTTTGCTGCAGACGTATCGTTTGCCCTTCCAACACGCTACCTGACGCGATCGTTGGCTGCCATGGACGGCTGCAAGGCTTACATTTGCCACTTCAATTGCCCCAATCCATGGGACGGCCCGTGGAAGGGCTATGCAACCCACGCTCTTGATATCATATTCGTTTTGCAAAATTATACACATCACCTCTCGGGGGGACAACGGCTATGTGCGGAAAGATATGCTCAAGATGTAATCGCTTTTGTCAATGGAGCGGAGCCTTGGCCAGCGTACAGCTCAGAGAAGCCAGGGTCAATGGTGTACTATGCGCCTATGGAAGGCAACAAGGATGAGTCTGAGTTTGTACCGACTCAAACGCCAGAGAAAACCGGGAGGAAAAACGATCTCGTGAAACTTGTCGGCGAAGAAAGGCTAGACAAGCTTGTTGAGGCATGTCAGAAGTTCCTGGTTGGCCCACTGGTCAAGTGAAAGGAGCCAAAAATCCTCACACTTCAATAGACTCGCAACCTTGACCGTGATTTGAACATAGTGGTGTATATCCTGCCAAGGACATCTTTTCTGAGTGTGGAGTTGAGCTACTTCAAGTTAGGCTGGCATTTCAATCAATAACTAGAGCTTGAGCAGAAACCCTTGCAACTGCTCTTTCGTCCTCGCCCCGACTTGGTGGTGCCGGTTCTCCTCCCAAATCTCGCCTCCTTCTCCGAATTGATTCGACAAGTGACCCAAGAAGAAGCCCAGGTTCTTGTCCGCCTGCGGAAAAGCTTCTTTGAAAGCTACGAACAGGTCGTTGACTTGCGGCTTCTTTTCGGCGTAGGTGACCTTTTCGGAGAACAGCTTCAGGTATTTTCGCATGTGCGCCATGTCTTCCTCTGCATTCAAAGTCCACCCGGACTCTAGGTGGCCCGGAATGATTTGCATGGGTTTGAGTGCCTCAATGACATCGAGTGTCTTATTCCATGCCTCGAGGATCTGCGGAGTTTCAATCTCCTCTACCCTGAAACATTTCTGTCAGCTTCGAACAAAAGTAACAGTATCAGATACGAGACCCACCAGACGTGCGTGCTCCGTGCGTACACAGAGTCACCGCAAATAATAACCCGCTCGGTGGGCAGCCAGAACAGTGTATGGTCCACGGAGTCGCCCTGTAATGGACCAAGAAGAACAATCGGTGACGTTGGATTGCCCTCTAGCTGCAAGAAGCTGAAATTAAAGGGCGTGGGCTTCCTAGGTTGGGCCGGCACGTTTTCCTTGCCAAACACAGAGGGCCAGTACTTCACCTTCTCGTCGTATTCTCGGTCGATGCCAGCACAGACGTAAGGTGCAGCGTACAGCGTTGCACTAGGGAACGCTTCAAGAATGGGATTCGCGGAGAAGTAATGGTCCGGATGGTGGTGCGTGATGAAGACCGCTTTCAAAGTTGCTTGGGTCGTTTTCTTGATCCACTCGACCACGGAATTGGCGTCTGGAATCAAGAATGGAGGGTCGATGAGGACAGCCAGACTCTCGCCGACGATCAACGTCGTGACACTTGAGAGCCCCTTCTCGCTTGCGGAATGAATGAAAGTCCGTAAGTTCGACGCCATCGTGGTCCTGCGACAAGATATCTGACAACATGTTGCCCCAGGAGCTAAAGAGTAAGGTCCACGTATAAGTACGTATCAAGAAGGCGTTCGTATGCGCCGAAAGGGGAAGTATACCTTGCGAACCCTGTCGTCCACCATCTTGCGGAGATGTGGAGGGTGGAGGCCTTGGGGAAATTGGTCATCACCCCGGAAGCGTTCCATTCCTGGATCCAGACGCAGCAGCGTAGGGGGTTAACCCGAAAGAATTACATATCATTGTCAGGGGCTTCTTGATCTCTTTTCAGTACATGCAACAGAAGCTCCATGGGGGACGGACGAAAGGAACAAATCTTACGTTATAGTCGCGGGTAGAAGAGAAAAGTGAAAATGTTAGTATAGTAAACTATTATGGTTTGAAGTTGTCGAAGATTCTGTCCACCATTTCCAGGTCCTATCCAGACATCTTCTTGGATCAATTGAAAGACAAAGTGGTTTTATTGACAGGTAAATCTGAACTTCTCGGAGCGTGACCTTGTGCTCTGAATCTGGAATAGGTGGTGCCCCTGGTATCGGAGAAGCGCTGGGAAAGTTGTGTACCGGCAGAGGGACATAAGTCTGCTTGGGAGACTTGGACGACAAAGCAGGAAGAGCACTCACGGACGAGCTGAGCGAAACAATGACGAGACTTGAAACAATCAAAGTCAAACGAATGCAGTTGCAACACTGACTGGAGGATGCTGGCGGCAAAGATTGAGTTGCGAGGAACAACGGGCAATATTCAGTTGGAGGGGCGGAATCGTATGCATGACATTTTTACGGATCGGATCAGATTGGCTTGTAATGCCATTAAGCGACGTAAGCCACCGCTTGAATCCAGTACCAGAAATCAAAGACATATTGGCTCCTACTACTCCTTTTTCATGGCAAACCATACAAAATCCCATCTTGAATGAACAAGGCTTCTATTCTATATTTTCCTTCCTCTTCGCGGAGGGACCAAGGAGATTGTTCGGTGTGGGGTCGGATCTCGAACCCGAGCCAGAGCTCGTAGTCGTGTCGCGTACTGTATTGGTAGCGTCATGGAGGAACGCGAAGTCGGCCGCAGCAGTATCGCTGATCTCGTCATCATCTTCATCGTCCAATTCACGATACTGCTGCTCATCCCTCTTCTTCAATTTCTCTCTCGCCTCTTCCCTCATTTTCACAATCTTTAGGTAGTTGTAGCTGCCAATGCTGATGATTGTGATGATCAGCCCAGTGATGTTGACCATAGACAGCTCGTCATGGAACACGATGCCCGCGGCGCTAATTGTAACCACTTCTTTGAAAATGCCACAAATGCTGAGAGTGACGACGCTGGTACGTTGAAGTAATGTAAACTCGCTTGCGATCATGCAGAACGCAATGCATCCTGGAACCACCAGGAGAAGCAGCGCTTTGGCGACCCCATGTTCCCTAACCAAGAGGACAATGCCTGTGATGACCGCGGAGGGCGTTTCAGAGACGCAAGCTATGAAGAATAGTGTGACGAACATGATGGGAGCGATAAAAAACATCGTGGCGAACGGATTGCAGGTTGCAGGGTGGCGGAGGAGTAGAATTTGTGTCAAGGCCCATCGGAAGCCTGAAAAGAAGGATGCAGACATGGCCAACGCGAAGCCGAGAGCATGAAAAGCCGTTTCGCCAGCGACCATCATGAGAACCCCGAAGGTCATGGTGAGGATAATGAGGATGAGTTTGAGAGACGGCTTTTCCAGCCGGAAGAGGAAGGCGAACACAAGAACGAAAATCAAGACTGAGGATTTACACATGGTGTAGAATGTTAAGGTGATGAAGCGAAGTGAGGTGTTGCCCAAGCCGATGTCGAGAGATGTCGTCGTCCCGGTGGGGACTAGTCGGGTGAAATAGAATAGAGGGGTGACTAGTGGTTTAGAGGGGTGCGTTTCGTTCCCGTACACCTGCGGATGGGGTCGAGACGGTCGTAAGGAGGGAAATATCAAAAGGATACAGGAGGCTAAGATGAACTGGACAACCATGTGTAACGAGGTTGCGAAAAGCGGGAAGTGGAAATCGAGGTGGTCGGATGAGAACATCATCTTATTGTACTGCCCAGCTGGTCAGTTTTCGCCAGAATTCGAGAATTCGAGACTCACAATGGATATGGCCAGCGAGAAGAAATACCACAGGCCGATGAGGACGGCATTGATGACCAGGTTGCGGGCGACATTTTGGTCAGCCTGCCGTGCCTCATCCTTGGATATACCCGGTGTGCCTGCGATTCTCGCATCGAGCCCATCACGCCGCCTCTTTCTTTTGATGTATTTGCGTCTGTCATGTTTGTTCAACCCGCTTTCTCCGTCGTCATCGACATCCACGTCCGAGTCCAACAGCCCTAGCTCATGTTCTTCTGATTCCGACATGGAGGAACCTGCCTCATCTTCTGAGCCTTCGCTTTTGGTGTCGGAGATGGAGCCAGTACCTCGCCGTTTGTACTTACGACGAGGGTTGATGAACAGAGAGTCGTTGTCAGCAGGAGTTGTCGGCGGAGCGGTGGACGAAGGTCTTGAAGTGTGGTCACTGTAGGGTGCGGTATCCATGGAATGGATGTGAGACGTAGCAGGGAAGTGAGAGTGCGGAAGGGGGATATCAAGTCATTGGAAGGAGGACAGCGGGTGGAAAGAGTGGCGGACTATGAACGAATGACTGGTAGCCTGAAGCTTAAAGTAAGAGCAGGAGAAGGATGAGAATAACGGCGACGAAACAGAGGAGGAGCAAGATCCAAGATGACGGCTTGTGATGAATGAGGGTCGTCCTTGGTTGAGAGACAGGGGTGATATGGAGATCTGGTGTCAGCGAGTCGAATTCGGACCCCATAACAGAGGCAATAGACCAGTTTAGGTGCACACGTGACTGGATCTACTTTTAGTGCCGGAACGGTCTATCCGAGCAGCTACACAAAGGGTCTATCAACAACCCACCTCAAATCGCATAGCAACAGCTGGTTCGGACTCCACAACCTTGAACCAACTCCAAGTTCGATAGATTACTTCATCCTGCGTGTGAGTGACACAAGCGACGGTCAGTGGCTGACCAGAATCAAATTGATGAATCAGGCAAATACCAGACACACTAGTTTTGGTTTTGGGCCTCAACTTCTGCTTGTTCTGCCCTCCCTTTTCCTTAGTCATCCCGTATTTGTCTCTTTCGGTATGTCCCCGTGATCCATTGTGAAACTCTCGACGCCGAAGCTCTTCCCCATCTCTTTGTCTTTACTCTCGAGGCCTGCCACCTCTCTCTTTGCTCTGCCCATCTTCTCTTCCAGGTCCCACAGCCCACTTGTATTCACCATGGGTGAAATGGCGCGTCAGGCGAAACTCCTCCAGATCGAAGACTATGGGCTCATCGGGGATATGCGAACCTGCGCTCTGGTTGGGAAGAATGGGAGCATTGACTTCATGTGCTGGCCTCACTTCGACTCCCCATCTATCTTCGCCAATGTCCTTGACACCACCGATGGTGGGGGCGGGCACTGGAAAATCAGCCCGCAAAGCAGCACCGTGTGCAAACAGAACTACCGAGCATCTTCCAACCTTCTCCAGACGAAATGGATTGACGAAGACGGCGTGGTCAATCTCACCGACTTCTTCGCCGTGTCAAAGCATAACAAAGTCCTGCGAGAGAAATGGAGCGGTTCGACCTTGGTGAGGAAGCTGGAGTGCGTCCGTGGAAAGATGTCCATCGATATCGAACTGTGTCCCCGACCCGATTACGCGCGAGACCAGGGCTCCATGAGGGCCTCCGAGGTCAAGGGTGAAGACGGCACCCATCACCAGACACTGACTTGGGTTCCCGACGACCCCGGCAGGGAGGGATCTGCCGACATCCCAGAATTCCACGCCACATACTGCACCCACGACCGGCCGGTTAGCTCGCCACCAAAGATGTTCCAACCCCTCAAGCTCGGCGAAACTGCTTCCACCGACAGCAAGACGCGGTTGTTCCGCGCCCGCTTCGACCTCCAAGAGGGCCAGCAAATCTTCATGATCATGTGCAACCGGCACGTCGCTCCCCACCTCACGAAGGACCTTGTGATGAACCTCGAAAACGACGCCTACAAGTTCTGGACGAGCTGGGTGCGCGCGTGCCAATATCGTGGGCGCTTCCAGCAAGAGGTCGAGAGGAGCATGCTCATTCTCAAACTGCTTACCTATGACCCTACGGGGGCGATTGTCGCGGCGCCGACCTTCTCGCTGCCAGAGGCCATCGGCGGGCCGCGGAACTGGGACTACCGCTACTCCTGGGTCCGGGACGCCAGCTTCACGGTCTATGTGTTCCTCAAGATGGGCTTCCCCGCCGAGGCCGAAGCATATATCAACTTCATCTTCGCCCGCATTGCCGAGTGGCGCAAGAAAGCCGAGTCGTCGGCCGAGGAGAGGCACCATCTCCCTTTGATGTTCGGCATCGATGGCTCCACGTGCCTGCCAGAACTCACGCTCGACCATCTCGGTGGGTATCAAGACAGCGTGCCGGTCCGCATCGGCAACGCCGCCACCGACCACGTCCAACTCGACATCTACGGCGAACTCATGGACTCCATCTACCTTTTCAACAAGCACGGCAAGCCCATCTCGTACGCCCAGTGGCTCGACATCCGCTACCTCACCGACTTCATCTGCGAGATCTGGACCGAACCAGACATGTCCATCTGGGAGGTCCGCGGCCGCAAGCAGCATTTCACCTACTCCAAAATCCTACTGTGGGTTGCCGTGGACCGCGCCCTTCGCCTCTCGGAGAAGAGAAATTTCCCTTGTCCGAACCGCAATAAATGGATGGAGACAAGAGACACGATCTACGAGGAGGTGATGCAAAAGGGCTTCAACTACCAGATGAATTGCTTCGTGCAGAGCTACGAGTCAAACACGACGTTGGACTCCGCAGTGTTGATTGCGCCTTTGGTGTTTTTCATGAGTCCCAATGATCCGCAGTTCGTGGGCACATTGGACCGGATATTGCGCACGCCGGAGAAAGGTGGCCTTACAAGCGCCGGGTTTGTGTTTCGGTACGACCACGAGCAGACTGATGATGGTGCGTACCCTTGTATCCTAACCCGCTCTTCTTATACCTCGCACTGTTACCTTATCACCCACTATCGATACTGACTCGAGGGACTGGCAGGCGTGGGCGGCCGCGAGGGCACATTCGTGATGTGCACATTATGGCTCATCGAGTCCCTGATACGCGCGGCAAAGTACGACTCCAAGTACCTGGAGCTCGCCAACACCATGTTCGAGACGGTCACAAACTTCCGCAACCACGTCGGTAAGTGGCTCGACCGAAAAAACCACCCGCAGCTGACTGAATGATGACTGCTGACCCCCTCCTGTGCACTCCCAGGCATGCTGAGCGAGGAAATCGCCCTCTCCGGCGAACAACTGGGCAACACGCCGCAGGCCTTCAGCCACTTGGCGTATGTGTCTGCGGCGATCAATTTGGAGCGGGTCACCAGGGGAGATTTTGAGGGTGGCTTTGGAAAGTAAAGGACCGAAGGCGACAGCAGTCGACCGGGCCAGTGCATTCTGGGTCTTGCAGGCGTTGTGTCCGTCTCATGCAGCAGGGAAGATGAAACATGGAAATAATGGAAGATCTCCGAGCGCACTGGTTTCGAAAACAGCGCAGGCAAGAGCCAACACGAGTCCTGTGGGCGGAATAGGGCATTTGAAGCTATCCAGAGTAGTCCGAGTGCCGGTCGCAGGCGGTAAGAACCTGGACGCAGGTCATCATCTACAAGAATGGCTACGAGGGAGAAACAGGGACGTCATGGTGATCAAAAGATCCTTTTTCATTTCTATCTGGCTCTCATGGGATTCGAGGCATATCACGATCGTGTTCCTTCATCTGGGAACTTGTGCACATTCATCAAGCTGATTTGGCTCCCCTTCTCTGCTCCTTTGGCAGTTTTTACATCCTCCACCGAGTCCGTTATGACTCCTTTGTACACTGTCTCATCTGAATGTTGCACCTCACAATGGAGCTCTGTGATCGCCTGCGATTTCCGGGCACTCTTTTGTGCAGTAATGCCTTTTGACTTCTGCTCCATGCCAGCTCTGTAATCCTTCATCCTCCACCGAGTCCGTTTTGACTCCTCCTGTTTCAGCAATGCGATGTCCAAATGCACTCTTTCATCGAATGCTTTGTGTGATTTCGCCTGCCGATCCGTGATTCCAATTTGAATCCGGTTTGAATTTACCCATAGTCCTCCACCGAGTCCGTTCTGACTCTTTGTCTGGAATCATGCATTTCTTTGAATGCCTTGTGCTTGGTCTGTCGCTTCGCGATTCCTTTGTGTTCGATTTGAAAGTCCCTGATCCTCCACCGAGTCCGTTTTGACTCTTCGTCATATTCATCAAAGTGAAAGTTGCAGTCCGTACTTGGCTGCCTTGTGAGTGCTTTTGTAAGCCTATGGTTCGTGTGCATGTGTTGCGCGACTCTCTTTATTCTTCCTCCGAGATAATGGATGACTCGTCCATGTTTTCGTCGGCTTGCTCAGTCTCCGATGTTGCGGCCTGAGTTGCTTGTCCGTGTGCAGGTTGAAATGTCTGCGCTTGTGCAAGTTGATTTGCTTGCATTTGTGGAGGTTGAGGTACTTGCGCTTGTGTAGGTTGGCTGACCTGCACTTGGAGGAGAGGAGGGAATATCTGCGCTTGTGATGGCTGACTTGCCTGCGCTTGGAGATGTTGGAATACCTGCGCTTGTGGTGGCCGAGGTGCCTGCGCCTGTTGAGATTGAACCATGTGTCCTTGGTGAAGTCGAGATGACGGCAGCAATCCTTTGAATTGACGTTTGGTCAAAATCTTCTTTATGTCCTGACCCGGCTTTTCATCCTGACTGTCTAGGCTGGCGCTGCGTTTATGAGGTCTCAGTCGTAGGGTCGGTGGATTACCCTGCTGGCTGTTCGGTGCTTGTTGGACTTCGAGATTCTGCGCTTGTTTCTTGTACAGATCTGCTTGCATGCGTGCTGCGTCCACTTGACCTTCCTTGAACTGCAAGTCGAGTTGCATGTTCTTCACCGACACCTGCGCCTCGTTAAACTGCGTCTTCCAACTTTGAGCCTCTTCTTGGGCTTGTTTAATGTCTTCTTTGTCTTCTTCGAGGAATTCTTTGGCAAAAGCAACGTCCATGGCTTCGTCGGAAATTTGGTCCTGAAGATTCTTATTCTCGGCCTCCAATCTCAGTTTGTCTTGCTCGAGTTGATCTTTGGTATCCCACAGTTTCTGGAGATCCTGCGCTTGTGCTGCGATTCTGCTTTCAAGTTGCTGCTTCTCGATCGCATGCTTCTTCATGTCCTCTGCATGTTCGCGGACTTTGTTCTCGAGTAGTTTAGAGATAGGGGTCTTGATCGGTGTGGGAAAGGGGGAAGCGCCTATGCGGTCTGATCTTGGAGTGGTGACTGCGACTTCGGAATCCATCTTGTGCTGGTCGATTTGTTGTCTTAGATCGCGAATCTCGAAATCCTTGGACATGACCTGCTTCTGCAAGCTTTCGACTTGGCTGTTTTGCATGAGAGCCTGGACCTGAACATCTCTGGCACGCATTTCGAGCTCTGCCTTCAATTGTTTCTCGAGTTCCTTGTAGGATTTCTCTTTCGTGTCCAGTTGCTGCCTCATATCGCGCTGGAGTGCATAGTATTGCTTTTCGCCAGTCCGGAATCTCTCCTGGACTTCGTCCAGTTGTCCCTTGGCTTTCAGGTTCTCGGCACGCAGGTTCGCCATCTCAGTCGAAAGTGTTTCCGTTCGGCCTCTCCAGTATTTCACCTCCTCCGCAACTGGCTGCTGCTTCTCGGCGCTCTCTTTGCAGTGTGTGAGCTGATGCAGGAGGTTTGCAGCCTCCTGCTCGCGGTGGGCCAGCAGCTGTCTGAGCTGCTCCACATCTCGCTTGCTCTGTTGCAATTCTTGGCCGCCTTTCATGTTCCGGGAACGCAGCTCAGTTGTCTCCTTCACGGCCTTCTGTAGGTCCGTGTTGCAGCTGATGAGGTCGTCCGAGGTCTTCTTCCAGGCTTGCTGGTACGCCGCCAGCTCCTTGCCTTTCTCCTCGAGCGCCTTCTTGCTCGCGAGCAGCTCGGACTCCAAGTCCTCAGACGCGGCGTGCTGAGATTGGGTGTCCGGACCGATACACTCGGTCTGAGTGCCTGCATCATTGACATCTACCGGCGTTACCACCGGAGATGCCTCCGCAGCAAGATCGGTCTGAACCCCCATCTCTGCGGTGTCCACCACGACCACCGCGGCGTTGGCCTGAGCCTCCGCAAGCTGTGCCTTCAGGACGCTGATCTCAGCATCCTTCTGTCCGCGGACCCGGTCCGCAGCTGCTCGTTCGGCCTGGGCCGCCTCCATCCTCACCTTTTCGAGGAGTGCTGAGTCGGCGTCCCTCCCACGCCGAAGCACAGCAGCCTCCTCACCGAGTCTCTGAGAGACCACCCTCTCAGATCCAAGGCGAGACTCGAGATCGCCAGACTTGGCCACTTGAGCTTCAAGAGAAGACCTGAGTTTGTGGGACTCGGCCTTCTCAGCTTCAAGCGCCGACGCCATGGCATTGACTTTCGAAGCCGCCGAAGCGGCGACGGCAGTCTTCTCGGCCTCTAAGGCTCGGATGCGCCCATCTCTCTGGGAAGTGGCAGCCAGGACGCACGCATCTGCGTCTGCGTCGCAGGCCTCGAGCTCAGCAATGCGGCCTTGGCACTCCTCCCAGGCCATCCGCCATCGCTCACTCTCCTTCTGCGCCACCCGACAGTCCCGACGGAGCTTACTGAGAAGCTCGACCTGGAAACTATGCGACTGTCCTGGAAAGGACGGCCGCTCATGTATCCAGATCCCCTGCTTGTCCTTGGGCGTCGCCTGGAGCCGAAGGGCCGCAATCTCTGCTGCGAGCCGCGCATTCTCCTCACAGAGTTGGGCGTTCCTCTCCAACGCCGCTCTGAGGGCTTCACGGCCGCCCCGTAGTCGGAACAAAAGCTCCGAGGTTGAATTGGCGAGGGCGGCGACGAATTGTGTGCGCTTTTGAAGATACTTCAAGGCGGGACAAGTGACTGAGTCCAAGGCGCTCTTGAGCGTACTCCAATGTGGGCTGTTGATGATGTGGGCGCAGAGATGTTTGAGAGAGTAAAGGGCTTGCCAAGTGCTGGAGCAGAGTCTATAAATGAACAAGATCGTTCCAAAGAGGAGAGCGACCAGGTCGACAGAGTCCTTGTATTTTTGAAAGAGACTTGACAAAGTGGCGGTGATGAAGTTGAAAGTTTTCGTGGCTGCGCCACGCCATTCTTGGAGGAAGAAGAAGATGATCAAGAGGTAACAGACGATCGCTGTCCCGGGTATTCCTAGCACCAGTGCCATGAGCAGCAACAAGGCGCCGACGTGAAGAGTCTTTAGGATATGGGTGAGGTATTTTGAGACCGAGTCGTGGAGTTGTGGGAGGCCGACTTCGGGATTCTGTACTGCCTCATACATGGCAGAGAGGACTTGGTGGCGGGCGAGGTGGTATATGATGAAGAAGATGCACATTTTGGTCACGACCAGCGTGACATCTTCCCAGGGCATCTCTTCAGCCATAACGAGGCTGATGTACTCCTGGAGGGAGGGAAAGGTTGTCGTGGTCTCGGCCGCCATGTCGAAGTGGTAGAGTTTGGGTATGTGGTTGTGAAGGGTGACTTGAGCAAGCTTGGGAGGGTCTTGCTGTCGTCTGCGCTTCTCACTGCGCCAAAGGAAGAGAGGAGGGAGGTGGTGGTGGTGGCTCTGTGGTCGTGACTGGACCGAGGGCGGTGAACTTGTGATATGGGCAGTGTGCCCCAGGGAGAAGAGGGTGTCTTGGGTTAAAATGAGGTCTTGGTGGTCGGCGTGGTCAAGTTGTGGTGGCTTTGGTGGTGTTGATTCGGACCAGCGAGACAACAGAGGGCAAACGTTCACGGAGGAGAGAAAGATGGTGTCTTTGTTGAAGAGATGGAAGGCAGAAATATAAACAGAATAATTTTCGACAACGTGGACCACGCCAAGGTGTTGACTGTGTGAGTGAGGCAGTGAATAGACGGTGTAATGAATGAAGTCTTTGTTTGTTATTCATGCATCAAGTGAATTCAATGCCTTGGACTGTTTTCTGCCAGACCTCTTCTCTCAATGTGCCCATTGTTTTAATGTCAAACCCCTTCCGAGGACGCATGATCACGAACTGCGCATCACAGGCCGTGCAATAGAACAATATCACCATGTTGTTTTGCTTTTCCAGAGTGGCCACCAGCTCTACTAGTCGCGCAACAGTGGTTCACGTTCCCCTTTTCCGTGTCCGTGGCCGTGCTTTCTTCGCCGGCGCTTTTTCTTCTTGGAGTCATCATCATGGGGTTCGGGGAGGTGTTCATGGCTGCCGCCTCGTAGTTTCATCCCTGATAGGTTTTTGCGTTCATCGTGTGTGTGATGTCCCTTGTTAGCCCCCGAATTCTCTTCTTCCTCGTTCGACTCGCTGCTTGAAGTCATCTCAAGCACAACCTTTCGGAAACCGTTAGTGTCGACAATGTTTTCTGTGATACTACCACTTCGGGCTGGGCCCTTGGAGTGATAATAGGGACTTCTCGACGGAGTTCGTGACTCGGGCAAACTACCAATGGTGCTCTGGCTTTCGAGTGTTCTAGCAGGCGGTCGGGATTGTTGTATATCTTTGGCTCCGGTGCCGTCGTATTTGGAATCTTGTTCATGTGCTGAGTCTGTCTGCAATCCCTTAACTGCACTGTTCGGCCTTCTTTCATTGGGCGAACCAGAAAGAGAGCCATATCCCTGCTTCAAGGCTTGGACGCCACCAGAGGCGGATTTACCGCCCGAGCTGAGCAGGCCTTCCCCAATGCCACCTTGATATTCAGAAACGTTCTCGGAGATCTGCCGCACTGGGGTCGCTCGGGTTTCATCCTCCTTGGCCGCAGTGCTGTTGCCAGGCTTGATTTTCACCGTATTGTAACGCGTAGACCTTGGCCTACTCGCCAGGTTGGAGGGTCCAAGGTGCTTGAGATGCTCCTTGAGTTCATCTGTGCTTGCGGCTCTTCGGCCAGCCTTTCCGTCTCCACCCACACTGTTTCCTGCACTCGAGCGTCTTCTAGCGCCAGCCGGGCCCTTTGGTTTCTGGGTTGGATTATCTGCGGTTTTAGCCCTCTGTAAGTCCTCGGGCGAGAGTATTTCGCTTTCGTCAATGTTGACCAAGTCAGCTGGAGCGCCATTGATTGTCGAAGGTTCGTCGGGAAGGAAATACGTCTTTGGGATACGCCTGGTTGGTGCAGGCATGGCTCGTCGAATCGCCTTGTGTACATCGACAAAAACATCGGACTCATCCACGATTTCTTCGCCAATCAGCTCCTCGATAACATCCTCCAGAGTTACAACGCCCAGAGCGCCGTGATCTTCTCCAGGATACTCTGATACAAGAACCATGTGGGACTTGCCTTCTTGAAAGAAGTTTACAATGTCCAGACAGCTAGTGTCAGGCCGAGTCTCTGGTAGAGTGGCCAAAGCAAAGTCCCGGACAGGCTTTGCGTCCTCTGGATCGTATGTGATGAGCATTTTGACCAGCAACATGCCTACGAAGTTGGAATCGTTATCAGGGTGGTGGATAGGTATTCTTGAATAGCCCTGTGACAGAATGTCGTCCATGGTAGATTCGTCTAGCACGTCGTCAAGGGATAAGGTGAAGACATCGTCCATCGGAGTCATGATGCTGCCAACAGGCTTGTCCTTGAGGTCAAGAACAGCACTGATTATTGTGACTTCGTCAGCATTAAGCTGTTGACCGGCTTCTCCAAGATTCCTGTGAAGGGAGACTAGTGTTTTCAGCCCCGCTTTCTTGTAGGTTGTTCCATGATCTTCTCCAAGGAGATAGTCAAGTAGTTTAGCGGTTGGCCATGCCACAGGTGCCAGAATGTACATGAGGATCAGGACGAATGGCGCCATCCAGGAGCCGATGGGGAGGCCATAGCGGACACAGACGGACTGAGGAGCTATTTCACCAAATATGACTGCAAAGAGCGTTAGCTAGGGTAGGTTTCCACATTGAGGAGAGGGAACACACCGATCAAGACAGTCGATCCCAGGACGGCAGGCCATCCGCCGCCCAGCGACCGATCGAGCACGATGGGGAGAGTTTCGTTGGTGATAACATTGCTCAACAACAATGTAACCAGGACCCAGTGCTTTCCTTTCCGGAGCAACTTAAGCACCTTGGCAGCATGTGCCCTCTCTTTCCCTTCACCAGAGTCCTTGATGACTTGCAGATATATCTCATCCTTTGAACCAGTATTAGTGCCTGGGTATCATATCTTGACTCTCTTCCACTCACCTGGCCCATCAACGCAATTGTCAGCCCAGCAAATGCCCCTCCCAACAGAACAAGCACTGCTGCAACAGTCAAGTATATCCATAGCCCTGGGTCATCCGGATCTTTCCCTTCTGGTTCGTCGGCGGTGGAGAGTAGCTTTGCAGCATAGAGCGGCGCGGCTTGAACGTAGGGTATTTGCCCAAGAGAGAGAAATAGGATTTTGGCGAACCCCAAGACAATGGGCCGCACATGCAAGGAGGGGTTTGGTCTTTGTGGTTGCATGGTTGATCAGGCGTGGTATGCTAATTCCGACATCTTTGTAGGTGGATAGAGCTTCTCGATCTCGACTTGGGAATGCTTCGGTTTGGAATCGTTCGATTCGCAGCTTCGTGAGTGGTGACGTGTGTCTGATAGATTCTAAGGTGAGTATGTCGTGGAGTCTCTTTGAGCAATACAGATATAGGTCAGTAGCGAGAAGCACAGAGGTGAAGCTGAGGGCTTGTAGACACGCGTGGGCCGAATGGCGAAATGATTGGCGGAAGGCGTACTTCGTGGAGGAGGATAGAACAGCGTGGTGCGGCTGCGAATCTGATTTCGTAAGTATTACTTGTGGTCACTAGTACCTCCTCTGCGGTCCCCTTCCCAGCCTGCGATGCTTATTTGGTGTTCTCTAAAGCTTGATACATGAAGCAACCAGTGCATCTACGTCCCGCAGTGTGAACTCCGCGTCATGGCGGATGGCGCAAGGCACCTCTCGCCAGCTGGTTAATAAGGCAACTTGTGCGAGGGACCCCACGTGCACAGCCTCAGCTTTCCGATTTCCGGAGAGACGGCCTCGACGGTTATGAGCGCAGCGAAGGTGCGCTTATTCTCGGCTTCAGGATCAATGTGGCCATCTAACAAGAAGCCCCCTTCAAAATATCTGCTCCCTCTGCTTCTCTTTCTGTGACATAGATTGGGTAAAGTTGTCATTTCTTCAGTATGTTTGCCGGTCGCAGGCTCAACACGGTTTCCAGGGCGTTGAAGCCACCAACTCAGCTTCGATACGCCAGTCAAGCGTCCTCCGAAGCGCGTTTGAACAAACCCATCGACTTCAAAAAGACAGCCGTCCTCCACCAGTCACAGAACAGTGCCAGAACTGCCTACGGGCTCGCTCAAGATGCACCGGTCGACTGGGTTAACCTGCACGGTGCCATAAATGCCTCTCTCCATCATGCTTTGAAGAGTGATGAGAATGTGCTCCTCTTTGGCGAAGATGTCGCCTTTGGTGGCGTCTTTCGATGTTCAAAAGGCTTGACGGATGAGTTTGGCACCAGTAGAGTGTTCAACACCCCGCTGTCTGAGCAAGGGATTGTTGGTTTTGCCATTGGCTGTGCGGCTGAGGGCATGAAACCTGTCGCCGAAATCCAATTTGCAGATTACGTCTTCCCAGCATTTGATCAGCTGGTCAATGAAGCCGCCAAATTTCGATACAGAGAAGGCGGGACGGGCGGCAACTGTGGAGGCTTGGTGGTGCGAATGCCGTGCGGTAGCGTCGGCCATGGTGCTCTCTACCACTCTCAAAGTCCAGAATCGCTTTTCACACATGTGCCCGGCCTCAGGGTCATCATGCCTCGATCACCAAGCCAAGCAAAAGGACTACTCACAGCGTCCATTCTTCACTCTCACGACCCAGTCATCTTCATGGAACCAAAAGTCCTATACCGCGCCGCCGAGGAGTTCGTCCCCAGAGATCCATACACACTGCCACTAGACAAAGCAGAGGTCCTGAAGCAGGGCAAAGATCTCACAGTCATCTCTTACGGCCAACCGTTATACCTTTGCGCTGCTGCTATTGAAGCTTTGGAGAAGGAAGTCAAAGGTCTGAGTATCGAACTCATTGATCTGAGGGCCATTTATCCTTGGGATCGAGCTACCATTATGGAGAGCGTGAACAAGACAGGCCGCGCTGTTGTGGTGCATGAGAGTATGTACAACGCCGGTGTAGGAGCCGAGGTTGCCGCAAGTATACAAGAAGGGGCATTCCTCCGACTGGAGGCTCCTGTGGCTAGGGTTACGGGCTGGAGCACGCATCCAGGGCTGATCTTCGAGAAATTTAACATTCCAGACATTACGAGTAAGTCCACCGCCTGGTGAGCGCTGGCGAGCAACATGCAGGGACTAACCGAAGTACAGGGATCTATGACGCTATTAAAAGAACATTGGAATACTGAGGTTAGGCCAATGCTCAATAGCCTCACCTTGGACATCGTTGCCATGACATGCCCAATCAGCGTCCCTGACTCACACAACTGCTGTCAATGATATCGACTTGGAATGTCGTCCCTAGCTCCGCCGGCCCCCAAAGACGTTCCGCCTTCCATGGGCAGACATCAAGGTTAACGAGCGATCTAACTTCCGCCGGACCAAGTCTCTAACTATCTAACCATCCTCGTCAAACCAGCGCAGGCCTTGCGACCAGGTCATCACGAGTATGAGACCTCTGCCGGAGTACGGCAGGGTACTGCATGTACGGACTGGAGAGCGACGCTTTACTCAAAACTGGTGGCCACCACGGCAGCACGGTTCCGGCGATGGAGAAACGATGGAAATGTCGGCTGAGAGAGGATGCCAGGGCCGAGAAGACCACACTGTATAAAGGAAATCATGTGCTCTCCAAACCGACGCTTGGCGGCTATACACGAAGACGAGATCAAGATCAAGGAGAGAATAAAGCAGCCCGAGCTCCATGGTGGTCCATAGGAGACTATGATGATACCGGGCATCTCTTGGGACACGGTCTCCCACTTAGATCTTGCCAGATGGGCAAAAGAGAGGATATGTCGGAGGGATTGATCTATCTCTGCCAAGGCATTGAAAAAGAAAATTCCCGGTTCCATCCATCACATTCGTACCACAGCGCTGAGCGTTTCATCACAATCTATATCTTGCTCTAGATCATGATTAATATTAGAACTCTAAATCTAAGTATCTGACCACTGTGTGTAATGGTCGCCTGGGGATAGATTCCCATCAATATTCCTCGTGGAAGACCATGACTTTGGGCATCTCCACGCCCGATTCGTCAAGTTCGTAATACGCTCTAAACAGACCGCCACAGTTGAAGTCGGACACCACCCGGCCCCTCTTCTTCCTCGACCCTTCCCACTCGGTTCGCTTCTTGAGGCCATCCGTCCATGGTTGAGGTTCTTCCTCGTCCAGCTCATCGATGACTTCAATTCCGATGATGCCGCCTTGTCCTTCGCCTGTCCTTCCCCAGCGGTCACCAGCTGAGCGTTGCAGCTCGCCCCCGGGGCCCGTGACCAGTTTGACTGCATCGGCCAGTGATACGGAGGGCGGACCTGAAAGGCGACAGTGTGCAGCGACAGTACGCACGGCGTTGAGACGCAGGAAGGAATCTCCGTTGCCGGTGCCGCTCATCGCTACAGCGCGACGGCGTTTTCGTATAGGTTGACCAGAAGAGGAATAGGGGTGGCGCACGTGAGGGGGTGGGTAGGATTGGTATGTTGATATACTTGTAGTATATGTTGGGGGATCTTCGTTTAGTGGGTCGTAGGTTTGTGTTGCTTCAGAGCGATTGAGGCAAGCTCCCAAGGAGTCATTTGCGTGTGACAGGATTTGGTCCAGGACAGGCAATTTTCCGAGTCCCGAAGCCCTGCGTGAAGATGACTTCTGTCGAACTTGGGGCAGGTGAAGAGAATCTTCTTCCCAGGCTTCCGCCCAGAATCCGGCGCCAATCGTAGGCGTGTCTCCGATTCTCCCGGCTTTCTTGTTTGTGAGTCCACCGGTCGACGTTGCCACGGCGAGATTGCCCCAAGAATCTAGACACACTGCGCCGACTGTGCCTTGACTAGGGATCTCATCCACCTCGGAGTCGTCATCTTCGAAGGGTGACTCGGTATATGGATCGAGCGAGGCAACGAGGTTGTTGAATGAGTAGGAATCGTCGTGGTGAAGCCCTTTCCTGTGCTCCTCCCAACGCTTTTTGGTCCAAAACCATCGGTCTGGCTTCTTCTCAAGCCCCCGCTTCCGCCAGCCCCATTCCTCGAGCGCTCTCCCGCTCAGCTGGCAATGCATCGTACTCGTGCCGCCCAGGCCGCCATCTTCATCTGGCTCCAAGAGCACTTCCTTGGCAAGCAGGATCGGATGCCTCGTGTTCTTGATGAGACTGACAGCAGCAGCACGTTTGATTCCACCGGCAGGGGGTCCGGCGGGGTCGACGGAAGACACCATCACGCTGGCTTCCATCTCGATGGTTCCTGACTCGGTAAAGACGGACCCGCGGCCACAATTGAATAAAGGGTCATCTTCCAACAAAGTAACTGCATGGCATGCAGCGTCGAGGGCGGATGTACCCGAGTTGAGAAGCTCACGGGTGACAGTTAGGTATTTGGTTAGGGAGGCTCGGTAACGCGCATAGAGATCCGGAGGAAGATTTGCACGGGAGAGGGAGCCTGCCCCCCCGTGGAGGATGAGTGTCGGCTTGAAAGGGCCGAGTGCTGAGGGCTGCTTGAAGGTCATTTCGATCAATGTCGGCAAGGCTGTACACAGTAGGCGAGCTGATGCGAGATCACGCCATCGACTGGCGAAGGGGGCGAAAGTCGGAGGCTTTCAGAATTTTCTGTTGGATGAAGTGGACTTGTCTCGGTCTAATTGCTTGAACTGCGCGCAAGCATATCTCGAAGAAGGAACAGGAGGAATATATAATGTAGTCACCTGAGGGAAAAGCGAACAATTGACAGTGGTTGCTGAGACGCGGTTCGATCATGTGCCAGATCGGCGACTCTGGAGTCCCTGCGCCGCAGCCGCGCCCAAGTCCGTCGCCCTGGGAAGAGGATTCGGAGGTACGAGTTTCCGACCAGCCACCAGCCCATCTCCATCGCCTTTGTTCTCTCCAGTTCCAAATCATCTGATGCTCTCGTCCATGGCCCCAACTGATTCGGTCCAGCAGAACGGGTCACCTCACAAATCACATTCTGCGGCCTCAAGCGCATCCGACGGCATTGAACCCTCCGATGAGCGCATTCTCCCTGAGGCCGAGAAGCCTGCCTCGACTTCACTCGGATCTCAATCACCACCCGTGAAGCATCCTCTCCATCAGATCAAGGCTCCCGGCAGCGTTCAGGCTCTTGCTGTCGACGATGATGTGATCTTTGCCGGCACCCAGGGGGGCAACATCGTCGTTTGGTCCCTCGAGACGTACGAGCTTCTAGCTACAGTCCCTGCTCACAAAGAGAGTGTCCTCAGTCTATCCCTCTCGGACGACAGGACGCTTCTTTTCTCCACTGGTGCCGATGCCATTGTCAATGTTTGGTCCACCGAGTCGCTACAGAGACTCTATTCTCTATATTCGCACTTCGAGATTGGCGATGTCTTCTGCGTGGTCCACTCTACTAAGGTCCAGACTCTGTTTTGGGGCGCCCAAAATGCCAGCATTCAGTGGTACAAGCTCAATACCGACCTCGCTGTCAAATCTCCAGCGTCCACCTTTGCACCCGGCTCTCGCAAACATCGATTCTTCGACTCTTTGGGACCAGGCGGGATAGCCAATGTCATTGCAGATGAGGGTGCAAGCAATGGGCCTAATAACCAGGGCGGTCGAGCCTTGACCATCCCTAGCCACAACTATCTTCCTTACGCTCACAAAAGCTATATTTACAGTATGCTACTGGTAAAAGGGCTTTTCACGCGTGGCAGAGATGAGGAAGTCCTCGTCACCGGTGGCGGCGACGGAACCATCAAACTATGGTCGGTTGAAGATCTGGCTGGAGCCGGACCAAGACAGATCACAAAATTCAAAAATGCAGACTCGAATGTGTTGAGTCTCTCATACCGTGGCTCTTTCCTTTATGCTGGTCTGTCGGATGGGCGCGCCCACATTTACAACCTGGCATCAAACCAACTCGTGCAAAAGCTCCAAGTGGGCCACGGCGACGTCAGTCAGATCCTGGTGAGCACAGAGAGCATCTTGTGCGGAACCAGCCAAGGTTGGATCAAGGTAAGCCAACCATCCAGCGGGGCGACCAGTCATTGACATCTTGTCAGCGGTACGACGATCATTTCGCAGAGCTCGAATCGTGGCAGGCGGCTGCTGGAAAAATCCTAGCGATGGGCTTGACAACAACCCCGGATCACGACATGCTAGTAACGGGAGGAAACGACAGTGTGGTATCCTTCTGGAGCGGCAAGCCTGGGTCCCATGCCTCCATCGCCGCATCTGCGAGGAGCAATGGTAACATCTAGCCCCGTGCAACCTTCTATCTCCTGCTAACCAGTACTTAGATGAACTCGTCAACGCTCTTCGAGAATTTGTGGCATACCGTACGGTGGCCTTGAACCCCATGTGTGTTCGGGACTGCCATGAAGCGATCACATTTCTTCGCAAGAAATGTAATGCCTTTGGTGCGACAACCCGCCTCCTATCACCCCAAGAAGGGGTCAACCCGGTATTACTCGCAAGGTTCCCGGCATCCAAACCTACCAAATCAACAAAATCAATTCTTTTCTACGGCCATTATGACGTGGTCGATGCCGAGTTTGACACCAGCAGCTCAAATCCAACATGGAACGGAGATCCATTCGTTCTTCAGCCACTAGACGCGTACCTTTATGGCCGTGGCGTAACCGACAACAAAGGTCCTATCCTAGCCGCCATTTATGCTGTGGCCGATTTGGTCCAACACGGCTCTCTGTCTTGCAATGTGACGTTTCTGCTTGAAGGCGACGAAGAAGCTGGCTCCCGAGGGTTCCGCCAAGCCGTTCAATCGGCCCACGACGCCATTGGTCCGGTGGACTATATTCTTCTATCCAACAGCTACTGGCTAGATGACCACATCCCCTGTCTTACATTTGGCATGCGTGGAGTTATTCATGCCAGCGTCACTGTCACTTCTAACCGACCAGATCTGCATTCGGGAATGGATGGGAAGTCTGTCCAACACGAACCACTCAAGGATCTGACGGTTTTACTTGCTGCTCTTGTTGGGTCTTCCGCAACCAAAGTTACGATTCCGAAGTTCTACGACACGGTTGATGAGCTGTCCGAATCAGAAGTGAAGGCCTATGCATCCATTACCTCCTCGCTTTTACCTGGCCACCCGGAGATCAAAAATGAGAAGGCTTTTGCCCTCTCGCTAATGCAACGGTGGCGCTATCCCAATCTTACTGTGCACCGTATCGAAGTGCCTGAGGCAAAGACTGCCGTCACCATCTCTGGCTCCGCGAAAGCGACACTTTCCATTCGAATCGTCCCATCCCAGACGGCGGAGCAGATTGCCCAGTCGCTTACAGAATATCTACATGCCGAGTTCGCGAAGCTGCAGAGCTCGAATTCTCTGACTGTCACCATCACGTCGAAAGCAGATCCCTGGCTTGCCGATGTGAATTGTGAGATCTACACGGCTCTCAAAGACGCCATCATTGACGTCTGGAATCCTGACGTTGCAGCGCATCAGCAACGAACGTTCAAGGCGTCCACTGTCGGCAGCACCGCTGACACCGTGGGAAGCTCATTCCCACCGTCGAAGGCGACGACAACCCCTTCGTCCTCCAAAGCTACCACCTCATCATCAGCATCAACAGAAACTCCAACCCGCACATCCCATCGCCGGGCCTCCTCCCTCGCGACGACGGGCTTCTTCCCACCTTCAACTCTGCCACGAGAACCCTTGTTCATTCGCGAAGGCGGCAGTATCCCCGCGATATCGTTTCTCGAACACGAGTTTGATGCCCCGGCCGCCATGTTCCCCATGGGTCAGGCGAGCGACAACGCGCACCTGGACAATGAGAGGATGCGGGTGGAGAACCTGTACAAGGGCCGAGAGGTTCTGAAGAGGGTGTTTGCGAGGTTGTGATGCTTGACGGAATGGGTGTGAAGATGGAAAAAAAAATTGTAAAAGGGGGCTTTTGATATCCAACAGGTCATCTTGACACTGCTTGTCGTAGCTGCTCCCGAGTCGGATGGACACGCTGCTGCGGTTGGTGGTAAAAGCCATTTTGATCATCCCAGGTCGCTAGACACGTAGACAGCCATCTATCAGGATATCGCCGTGCAATGGTTATGGATGGCAATGTCGAGGACTCGACACAGATAGGCGTAGTCTCTCTTGCCAGGGGCCGATTGAGAGCGTGGATGGATTCTCGAGGAGAGAGCTGCACCACCCAACGTGACAGGGCGGGTGAAGAGTGACTAAGTTCTAGAAAAATATAAAAATACAAATATCAGAACCAGAAGCAGAACCAGTACGAAAGAAAGCCATGAATCAATGTCCCTACCTACGTAGGTATCAACGAACCATTTTGATTTCGTGTCCCGAATTGTGAAAGCAAGTGGCCACCCGCCTATATTCGCCGCACATTGAATTGTACGCAGATACCTATACGTACACGGAGTACCTATAATATGTATCCCGATCCTTGCTAGATATCCAGTCTCGATGCCACTCGTAATCTCGGTACCTATTCCTATCCCTATCCCTATCCAATTCCATTCACAATCTCGATGCCCCTATTTCGTCCACAATAACGGTTGAGCGACAAAATCTACTCGAGACTCGCTTTTGTGGTGTATCCATCGCCAGATCAAAACCCCTCTTCAAATATCCAAGTCGATATAAATTCAGGTGGTGGCGAAACAAACAAACAAGCAAGCAAGCAAACAAACAAACAAGACGCCGTTCGCTATGCAATGCAGTGCAATATAATGTCGTGTCGACCCTTGTGGGCCAACGAGGTGGGATAGCTCGCCGTGCATATGGCCAACAAGTCAGTGCCAGAGCGGGCGTTGTGTGTCGTGTCATGTCGTCGTGAAAGTTTTCGTTTCGGGATTAGATATGGAATCTTGCCGTCGATCCTTGATTTTCCAACTTGACTCTTCCAAAATGGCGCCAAGTCCGTGTTTGAGATCACTCGGGGCTTGTGGTGCTCGTGGTGGGAGGATGGTGGCCATGCGAGATAGCCAGATCCATGTCCGCCAAAAGTCGGAGGTGCGCACCCGGTGCAGGTCCAGGACGACATCCTGCTTGCCGTGCAAGGCCAAGTCGCGGATACCGTTGGACTAGTCGGTGTCTCCTTCTTTCATGTCTCTTCAATCCACTCTTCTCTTCTCACATGCACTCCCTCACTTCTGGAAGACGTTGCCGCCACTCAGATTGATGCCGCCGAACGTCCACTGCCCAGCCGCCCAAATCCAGGCCCCCAGTTTTGGCTTTTTCCCGTCCTTGACTTCATTCACCAGGTTGACCACGCCTTGGAAGCTTGACTCGCTTGGATCAGAACTCTGTCCGCTATCTCTCGGAGGCACGGCGGTACGCCCTACGGGGTTGGTGACACCATTCATGGCATCGACGGCGGCGATCGCGGGGCCCTGGTCGAAGAAGTCGACCAGGACGAACGTCGACGGTTTGCCGTACGCCGAGTTACATTGGGACAGGCTATATCCGAGATTTCCAATGCTGTTGCCTGGCGAGTTGGTGATGGTGATATTGTCCACGTTGGGAGTCTCGATATCGAACAGGCCCTCTTCGTAGAGGAAGTGGTTGGTAAATGCCATCCGGTTGGAGGCAATGGCAGCTTCAGTGTTCCCCTGGACGGCAGTGGGCCGATCCGGGAGGCAGCTGAAGTTGCTAGGGGAGGTGTTGTCGTAAGGGTTTTCAAATATAAAAGTGAACTCGTCCATCAGGTACGAATACTGGCTGGGTATGGACGCGGGATCCGAGATGGATGCCACAAAGACCATAAGCCGTTTATTGGCAGTAATCAGCTCTTGTAGGGTTGGCCAGGTGCCCGAGGCGGGAGGCGTGCTCGTGGAAGGAGGGACGTAGGCGTAGTTCGTGATCTGTGCCGTTGTGAAATGTGCCCCCAAGTCCTCTGGGGACGCATTGTCCGAGTTGACAAGGAGAATGGTGACAACCTCATTCGGGTTATTATCCAGCCATGTCTTGATCTCTTCTAGCCAGTCTGACAGAATTCCCGCATCCAACAAATCGCAGGAAGAATGGCATAAGTGGTATTCGCCGTTGGATTTGTGGACTTGGGCCGAAAGCAGACGGACACCGGCTGAGAGTTGTACCGTCGAGTTGTAGTATTGGTTTCCAGACGTTGAATAGCCCGTCGAGGCATCTCGGACAAAGGGTGAATCGTGCGCACCCAGATGGACGATGCTATTGTAGGCTTTCGAGCATAGAGAAGGAGAGTTGTTGCATGCGGTCGATTGGCGTTTCAACACCGGTACGTCGAGCGAAGCAGCAATGCTGAGGCTGAGGAAGGGGAGGAAGGACAGCAAGGGCCGCAAATGCATATTTGCCAAAGGTCAGAGAAGTATAGTTACACTCCGCTGTAATGGTGCTTCTCGTTCGCGGTGAGGTGTCTCTATCCCACCTGTGTAGCAGTCAAGTCGTCCAGGATATCACCAAACAAACGAGTGGTACAAAGGCAAGAGTGGAAGAAGAGAACAATGCAAAGTGAAAGAGAGGGAAGTTCCGAAGCCCAGCTTCTGACCTTGATACAGCACCTCAGGCATGGCCTCGCAGCGGCTGAGGCTTGGACAAGAGCCAGAAGCCTTGTGCATGAAACCGAGAGCCACCAGCCGCGCGTACGGATACATTGGGCGGTGGCAGAGTCTAGCCTCGCCCCCAGATCCGGCAAGGCGATCTCCAAGTCTCAAACCGGGCTGGAGAATCAAGCTTGAAACGGGGGGGTTGATGTGTCCAATCGAGGTGAATAGGTCGCCGGACGTGCAAATGTTTGGTGGAGTTTGCACGGCGGATGTGGTTTCGGCCTGGCATTCAGGCCCCGAACACAGCCCACCAACCCACTCCTTCGAGGCCTCCTAATTTTGGATCATTAGGGAAAAGGCTGATCTGGGGTACAAGGCACCTGCTACGGCGATACTACGGAGGACTCGTACTCCGTACACTTCCGTCGATAAGATTCTGACAGCACGCAGCCATTGACGTGGAGGAGGTTGGGAAGAGATCCGCTTGGGAACTGGGCCTCATCAGGTACACATTCAGTCGAAGGGTATGTGCACCTCTATATCGAAGAAAGAGTATCTTCGGGGGCAATTATGTGCTCAAGAATATAGTGAGAAATGTGACAAGACCAAGGGCGAGAGAAGAATCGGCCACTCATCACTGTCACATCCGTCATGGATCCTTTGTCCTTCCTTTCTCTCTGCAGACTGCGCATCAGCCTCTCCTCGTCATCTTCTTCTCCTGCTTCTTCCGCATCTTCTCATTCTCCCTTTCCAGAAACTTCCTCTGCTCCTCCGCGCTCATGCCCTTCATCTTCCGTTCTCTTTCTTCCTTCTTCATCTTATCCAGCTGTTTCAGCCTCTCCTCTTCCGCCTCCTTGTCCGAAATCTTCTTGAGCTTGCTCTTTTCCTGCTCGCGGATCGTGTTGATCTTTCTGAGCACCTCAGGTCGGAGGTGCGACTGCGAGACGAGGACGTCGGGTAAGCGGAGGAAAGCCGCGAACAGAGGCAGGGTAGGGAGGTAGTTGCCATCCGAAGGGAGACGAAGCGAGATGTGGAGACGTTTTTTCGGCGCCGTTTCGTTCAAGTTGGTGGGTTTGTCATGAGGTTGGTCCGTGATGATGAGGTACTGGAAATAGTCTGGGCCAGCTTCATGAAGTGCATCGACCAGTTCTTTGGTGAGCATCCAGTCACTGATTTCGGCCGACTCGCTCATGCATGTAGCCCAGTCGGGGAGTTTGGCGTGGTCTTTGGTGAACGTGAGAGACAGGTCGTACCGTTCCTCGCGGAGTTTGCGCATCGCCAACTTGTTGACCACGGCGAAGACGAACGGGTCGTAGGCTGAGTTCCCCACGGATTTTGTCTTGCCTGCTTCCTCAGAGCCCGGAACGGACGGTGGGACGAATTCCTTCTCTTTGCCGTCAAAGGTGTAGATGACGGCTTCCATCCTCTCGGGTTTGGGTTTGATCGACTCAATAAACATTCCCGTGAGTTCCTCCGCCAGCATCATCATGGGATTCATGCGCCTCTTCAAGTAGATCTTGACATCCATAAATGCCACATTTTGTCGTCCGGTCGCATACGACTCGTACTCCCATGCGGCCTTCTCCTTCAGCAGCTCGTCCGAGATGTTATCTCCCTTGTTCTTCACAATGTCCTTGAACAAGCTCACATCCCCAGGAGACACTCCGCCTTCTGCACTGGGTTCAGCATTCGGGATCGCACTGTATCCAACGACCGCAAACTCTCGCTCCAAAAGAGGGGCATGGACGGCCATCCATTTTTTTGCTTTGCGCCGGTTCGTCCTCGTTCCCCAGAAATGCACCAGAAGGGCCAGAAGAATAAAAGGTATAAGAACACCCTCCATCATGAAGTCGGACAGCTGGGTCCGTTCCCACACGCGATACCATTTCGTGTAAACCACTGGACGGCCTTCAACGGCAGCTCCTGTTGCAGTAGCAGCTTGCGCATCGGCGGGAGAGACAGGGATCGAGGCCGGCGAAGGCGCAGGAGCAGCTGCGAAATCTGCAAAATCTAGAGGCCCGGCATGAGTGAGTTTGAACGTGGTGTTGGGGAGTGTTGTCTATTCACCTGCATCATCGGCGACGACGGGCGCCTGGGAAGGCTTTGGGCCGAGAAGAGACTTAAAGTAGTCCATGATGGACAAATAAAGTAATGGTCTGGATCAAACAAATGACCCCGACAGTTCTCTATGCGCAGATAAGGGCTGCGCTGCGTTGTTTTGACACAGGAGGGAAGGGAAAAGTGCAGAAGGCCGAGGACTGCGTTGCTCCAGCTCTCCACAATTTCTTGCAAATGCACTCCGCGTGGCTTGTGGCATCCACTAGCTGCGCAAACTCTCCTGCGTCGTATTCTCGGAACGACCAGGTCACCAAGTAATCCCAAAATCCAGGAGAAATACCGACTTGGGGAAGGCTCTGGCCACATTAAACAGCAATGTGCGACGAAAAGGGTAAAGAACCAATTCTTCAGAGACTTGTTGATATCGTTGAGATCGTGTACACAAAACAACGGTACATAGAAATAGTAGTAATCCCAGCTCTCTGGACCTCCGAGAGGATCCTGAGCCTCGTAGGAGTCTGAATCTATCTACATCAACATCGTATCCTCATCACGCCATTAGTTGGTGGTACACAAGAAAAGAAACGCAAACTTTTAGTCTGAAAGCATCGCTCAAGGAAAATCAAAAGTGCCCCAAAAGCATTATCGCGCGTAGGCTGGAGGAGGATTCGCCTCTTCTTCACGGGACACTGGTCCAAAGCTGCCTTTAAGTCTTTCTTCTTCATACCGCTGCGCCATCTCGTTCGCCATTTTCATCATCCAGGCACGCTCTGCAATGCTGCCTGCATTTGACGGGTCGGCGACAAACTGAAGGAAATTCGGAAGGGCTGGCCGCGACGGGCCTGGGATGGAGTGGAGCTCAGCTTTCTCGCTGACAACAACCTTAGGTTCGGCCGGCTGTTGAGACATGGGTGGCTCCTTCTGATCGAGTAGATACATCGAAGCTCGAGGTGTCTCATCGTCATCGCAAGCAGTAGGAAGTGTTCTTCGAGTCCGAAGCCGAATGGTGGCGTTAGGATCCGTAGCTCGGGGTGTTTGGTGGATGTCCAAGGAGGGTTCCTCGATCTGATCCATGGACTCCTGAGCGGGCGTGCCTTCACTGACACTCCGCATCCCTCCCTGGCGGATCGGTTCGAACGTTGCTGCTCGCTTGATTGCCACAGGGCTTCTCGGCGGGGTCACAGGATTGACACTTTGGGTTGGATCAGAAGACATGGTGGTGGTGGCGGCGGGTGCCGAGAAGACGGACGCTGCAGTCGATGTGCTTTCCGACACACTCGTGGAATCAGCTGTTGAACTATCTTCGACGACCAATTCAGGCTCCCCAGTTTCCGGATGAGGCCGCAGGTCGACTACACGCTTCTTCCTCCTGCGCGCTCTGTGTGCTTGCCCGTGTCTTCCACCACTCATGCTCAGACCGTGGCCTGAAGAAGCGAAGCTCGACAAAGGTGGCCGAGACCATCCGCTATCAAAGGTATATGCCGTCGACGTGCTGAGACTCCCAGCGTACGAGTGGCTGCGAGACAGGGCTGGGGTTGTTGTTCGGGTCAGAAGGCCCGTCATCTCTCCTCGTTCCAATGGACCGGTCCAGGCACGGAAAACAGCATCTCGAATGGATGGAGTGAACAAAGACAAAGTTCGGTGTGAATCAGTCAAGGTAGCTAATCTTAGGAGATTCTTTCGTGAAAACAATGACTGCGTCTCGACCGACGAATCCAGTGATAAAGATGCAACTTCTGCCGGGGTCAACACTGCGCCGGTAGAGTCGACCGGGTCTTGCGGTGGACTGGCCAACGGATCAACCACGACTTCATCTTTTGATATCTGTGTGGCCCCAAGCTGACGTTCCTCCCGTGCTTTATCCTCGGGTACTAACAACTGCAGTGAAAGTCGATGGATGATAGCAGGCAGCTCGTCCATCAACAGCCCGCGTAGCTGGGTTTCAATCTCCTTTTGAAGGAAGTTTGCAACGAAAGGTATCGAGTCAAAAGTAGAGGAGACGCGTAGAGACTCCAGAGGGTCGTTGCGAAAGACCAGAGTCAACCCTTTCTGTCTCGAAAAGACAAGAATAATGAAGCCGGACAAGCGGAACTCGGACAGGGTGATTTGAAGTGGTATGGTCAGACCGGTGTCGGCAGCCAAGGGTCGTGGTGTAGCAAACGCGGAGCGAGTGCGTAGGTATGTGTTCAATGGATTTGCTTGAACTTTTGTCTTGAGAGTGAGATATGCGTTCCCATTGTACATCATCTTGAAAGTTCCACGGAATCTATCCTCTGCCAAATCGCCGATCTCCAAAATCTCCAGCTCGGGAGGAACATCTCCCAGGTTGAGTTCATTGACGATTATGTCGTCGACAATGATGGCAGGCTTAGGGTCGGCTCGATTGAGAGCATTGGTGAGGAGTTCTTGGGCGCGCGGTAGGAAGCCGGCGTCCGTGGACAAGGGCGACCAGTTGAAGTTGAAGGCCATGGTTGACGAGCACCTGCGAGGTGTGTTTTGGCCTTATGGATAGGGACGACCGCGTCGAGCTGGCATTGTTTGTCTTTTGTGCATCTATGTTCTGACCTGGATGCCTGGATTGCTCACTCAGACCGAGCACATGCGCGCAGCCGGAGGGAGGGCCAACTGATATGACCTGGTGACGCGATCGGCGGCTGTGCAGAGTCTGCGCACGCCTCACCGGTCGCTTGATGGAAACAGAACAGATAGCACGGAGGTCAGTAGCAAAGAAGATGTTTGCAACGCCAGGGGAATGTCGTTTGGTCGTGGTTGTTATTGTATCCTGGCTGTTGGACCCCCAGGACCAAGTACCGAGATTAAGACCAAGAAATTCTTTGCCATTGCATTTGCTTCCGCCCCGCCGTCTCGCCGTCACCTGAGTTTCGGAAGAAGCAGGCGAGCAGCTCGTCTGAGTTGCCCTTTTGGGTAACTGCCGGATGACATCACCTGTGTCACCCATCACTCCACATGGGTGACATGTTCAGCCTCGTGAATATCAAACCCTTTCTAGTACGAACAATGTGTCAACTTCGTATTGTGGGTAAACGCTCTTTGGGAGAGCATTTAGTTCAACATTGTACCTACTTGGAGCCCCTTGCAGAGGTCCGCATGCCGAAGACCAGAAAACCATCAGTTCAGCAAACCCGTTCTGCCACACCCGGACCCGCTCTTCTACAGATCTTCACACAGGGTGAAGACCAAAAGGTGAGATTATATGGGCATCTGGAAATTCAAACATATCAATTAGATTATCAGAAAATCTCCCAACAATCACAAAGACCCCTACTCAGGAAAGAGGCTACAAGAGCCAACAAAACACAATGAGAGAAAGAGACTTAACGAAGTCAACAAGCGAAGGAAATGGTTCTAGTAGGCGATCCTCCGATCCCACCTCCACCATCGAATGAGATATACCAGGTAACCTGCCCCGGGCAGGAATCAATGTATCTCGACCGGAAAAACCTGCCACTGCGGGTTTCACTTCCCACCACCTCCTACCAAGGAGCTGGTGGAAAAAGTTTTTTTGCTACTTCTCGGTATTGGATTTTTTGGTGGGTGACCCTGTATGTTTGTGTGTTGTGTGTTGGTGGGGTCGTTGTGCCCTAGTTGCGATGGGCTTTTGTCGACCTCCTCGAACTCAACCAGCATCTCAACAGCCAGACCTTGTGCCAAGGCCCAAAGCCTCGAGGCTGGCAGCACCTCATACTCGCATAGTACTTGACTCTTCGACTGGAGAGGAGGCGAATACGCGTGTTGATCTATTGAAGCTTTCCCCAGTCGTGCATTCTGCTCTTCCATGCAGCCATTCTCTCAGCCACATACTTTCTCGGAATATGGCTAAAGCCCTAGCAACATTTGGATCTCCAAGGTTGCTTCGGCTTGTATCGCTACGAATCTTCTCCCGTCCCAAGACACGATGTCTGCGCAAACAGTGCCAGAGGTAGGCGTCATTTTTCGTCCATCCTTAATGGACCCGACTACTTGTATCAAGTTGCACTTAGAACCCGAGTCTGGAGTCAACAGAATCGATGTGGCATGGGGAGGTTTGGGGTGCTCACGAGCTGGCGATGTTTAGATCACAGCACGGAGGAATACTGAGGAATACCGCATGGATTGAATTCCCAGACTCGTCCGGGAACATGAAAATTGCAGGCCTGGACACAGCTGTCGATATATGTGACCGCCGCTACTCAAAGCAATATCCAGAACAAGAGCAGGGAGCGGCCCATACTGCCCACCAGAAGAAATGGCACGGCCCAAGCAGCTACAGGACTTTACTGTGGCTGTTGTCTTCAGAGACGCATCTCGGAGCACCTTCAACGACTCAGTCCGGTATTCCGCTTTGGGTTGGGAGAGCCAGAGAAGGTGACAAGTCACCTTACACATATCACACGCCACCAAAGACGTCTCGTTTACGGCAGTCTTCCATCTCTCCCCATGCCGCCACGGATGCGTCAACTCCGGCCGAGACTCCACCTCCACCTCCACCTCCACGCTACTCCAACCCGTGCACTTTGGTTGGAACTTCATGCCCTTTGCCGCTTAACAACGCCGATCGAAAAGCCGAACCAAAAGCCGAGCTTGAACGCGAAAACAAGGAAACGCACCGTCTCTTTTCCCTATCTACCTGCCTGTTTTCCTTCTTCGATATGCACCCTTCACCTCGTCCATCGCACAATCTTTCTGCCTATTGAAAGGAAGAAACAACACTGTTGCTCCTAGCCGTCCGCGTGAGGGTCAGCCAATCAGCCCCAGCGACCGGCTAAATTCGACGACCTCTCGCGCGGGTCGTCTCCCACGGCGCGACACTGCTTCCTCACTTCTCGCCCCGGTTTTCCACCATCCATCCAGCACGACTAGCGAACTAACTATAAGAAACGAATGCTTTGAAGAGAAAAAAGGGCCGCGGCAAGAGGCCGTATGGGTTACTTCCTCATCAATGCCCGCAAGGCCAACACTCATCCCCGGTATTATCTTGACAGGACGGATGGGGCGTACGTTACCGATTCCCACCTGCGTGATGCATGTTGAACGGGCCAGTCTAGATCGGGGCGCTGCGTTCCTTCGTGGCAACACAGTACGATGGACAGCCGCGGCGGACACTTGTCGGTCCTGACTTCCATGAGCTGTCCAGGTGCTCTTCCGATCGTGTTGGTACTTTTGCACTGCCTACGCATCTGCCGGTCGCTTGATCGCTCAGCTTCGTCCAATGCTTCCACACAGATCGCTCGTCCCGGTTTTCCACGATGCAGTGCAGTGCATGCCGGAGGAGCACGCCGCACGCCGCACGCCGCACGCATCATCAAGGTGAAGAATGCGTAGCAAGAGCAAATTCACCCCCACGAACGAACTCACATATTTATGTATGTATGCATGCATGCAAGGCCCAAGCTCCTTGCCTGTATCTCTTTCTCTCTGTGTATCCATGTCTCCGCCTCTATGCATATCTATCTCGCCAGCCTCTATTCCGCGCGATGGAGCCATCGTCCATGAGTACGATGCTAATTCAGGCTGATATGCTGGATATGACACTACTCGCACCCACGGGCACGGTTGTATACGCCGGATGGACATTGTCCTCGGGACTGCAATACGCCGTACGATGAGTTCCTCGTATAGCGGACCTAAGATCTAGATACCTTGGTGGGTAGCCGAGTCGGCCGACGGACAATGGACAATGGACATTCGGAGGCGTTGTTTCTGCTATCTGTGTGCGCGTACGTTCATTCAGCGGGAGTAGGGGCGGAGTGCAATGAATGGCTAGGGTACTGCAATTTGCACTGGTCTGGGTATCTACCTACGCAGCACCATGTCTCTATGGCCGAGATAGAATCGCATGATTAGGGTAGTTGAGAGGTACTGTAGAAACTCATGAAGATGTTAAAGTCTTCAGTCTATTCATTACGCTTCGGCTCGCTCGACCCGACTTCGCTCTTCGTCTGATGCCGTCGGTCTGGCTTGTACAGGACCTGTCTTGTCTTGCCTGGGGGCGTCTGGATATTCTCGTCTTGACGCGCAGGGTGTATACATCTCCGTAGCACCGGGACGCCAGACGACCGAGTCACGGCGATGGATCATATCACACAAGCCTTTCCATCATCGCATAGAACATCCCACACCGTGGACCGAGTATGGTGTTACAGCTTCGCCCCTGCATTTGCGCACTCTCCTAACCACACAACGACCATGACCACGCACGTATCGACATTTTCGCGCGCGCAAGAGATGGATTGAATTGTGAGATGACCTGACACGCGACTTTACTTGACTTGGCTTGACGTGAAGCGGAGGTGAGGATGATGTCAATGTGCGAATGGCGAGATCAGACGACACTGCGGTGCTCGACGACGGCGGCGTCGATCTTCTCGGTGCCCGAGGCCAGGACGGCCTTGGGCTCGATGTCGACGAAGCCGACCTCGGCGTCCTCGCCGTCGAAGATCTTGGCGATCTCCTCGAGCGTGGGGCCCTTTGTCTCGACGTACAAGAAGTACACGAAGACGAGTTCCAGAGCGATCCAGCACTATCAAATCCCGCAAAATTGGGGGGTTTTGTCAGTATATGTGTGCATATACATTTTATATGAAGGCAGAAAAGAGCCCAAGGAGAAAGGAGAAAGGGGGTGAATTGGGATGCCAAGGGGGGAACTCACAGTGTAGATGGTATACAGCTTCCAGTTCGGCTTCAGGTGGTCGAACCCCAGGGGGTTGACGTACTGGTTGATGACCAGCGCGACCTGGACCCAGAAGTTCATGACCATCAGGCCCTTTGCGCGGATCTTGAACGGCAGGATCTCCACCGTGTACGCGACCAGCAAGCCCGACCAGGCGAGGGCGTAGGAGAAGTTGAAGATCCAGATGAAGGCCACCACGGCCTGGCCGGCGCCCTTGTTGTGGTTGTCCTGGTAGATGGCCGAGCAGATGGTCCAGATGGTGAAGCACACCAGCATGCCCGCGGTGGCGGCCAGGAAGAGCGGGCGGCGGCCGACCCGGTCGCACAGCAGGGCGCAGGTGCACGAGACGATCAGCGACATGATGGCCAGGCCGCCGTTGAGCCCCAGCTGGGTGTCCGAGTTGGTGATGCCGATCGAGTTGTAGATGTCGGTCGCGTAGTACGACACCAGCCCGTTGCCGGACCACTGCGAGAAGAGGCCCAGCGAGGCGATGAGGAGCAGGCGGTACCGGTTGCCGCGCGACTTGAGGAAGTCGAGGTAGCTGGACGACTTCTTGGCGATGAACTCGAGCCGCAGCGTCTCCTTGATCTCGGCGTACTCGAACTGCACCGTCGGGTGGAGGTCGTTGCCGTTGGCGTGGTACCGCGACAGGATCGAGAGCGCCTCGTCCGCCCGGTCTTTGGAGATCAGCCACCGCGGCGACTCGGGGATCCACCAGATGAAAATGATCTGGATGATGGACGGCGCGCCCTGGACGATGGTCGGGATTCTCCAGGACCATTCGCTCGGGATGTGCTTGGTGCCGAAGGACAGCCAGGTGTTGACGATGGACCCCAGATTCCACAGGCAGTTATAGATGGCTGTGATGCGACCCCGGTGCTGCGGATGGCACAGTTCGGTCAGGAGCAAAGGCGAAGAGAGCTGGGCCATGCTGTTTCCGAAACCCATCAGGAACCGGCCACCCTTGAACATGGCGAGATTCTGAGAGGCGCCTTGGACTGCTGCGGCAATGATCATGAGAACGCAACCGATGACGATGGCCGCCTTGCGACCATAGTGGTCAGCAACGAAGGGTCTGAGCAGCAGCATCAGCAGGCGATCTTTGATGTGTCACCGAAACGACTGCCATAGACTTACACAACTGGCAAACTCGCAATAGAACCAATGCTGTACAGCGCGGTCAAGAGACCCAGGTTCGACCCTTGGGGGTTGTCGAAGTAATCCTTCCATTGATCCAGAATACGGATGTTGTTCAACATGGAGCTATGAGACGTCAGTCGCCGTGTCTCAAGACGATAACATCCACGATTTATTTGCCCGACACACTTACCCATCGTAGCCGGTGGTCGCAGAAGCAACACAGATGATAGCCGCATAGAAATAAAGCTTCCTCAAGCCGGGATCTTGTAGCCAGTTGACTCTTTCGAGCTCCGGTGCTTCAGCCTGGGCAATCTGGACCTCGTCGGCGTGCGAGACGCTCTTCTTGATCTTAGGTACCATGATGGCGGTAAGGTCAAGCCGTGGATGAGTGATGGAGGTAGTCAAGGGTGTTGCACTCGGGCTTGAAGGAGTGGCAAAGTCAGTCTATCATTCCAGCGGGTGCATGGCCATATATATATATGTACTGCAGTCGATCACCGGAAGTTGCACTCTTTTTGTCCTTTGGAGCAAGAACCTCCCCAAAAGAGCCCATTGAGCCATCTGCCGACTTGGCCAGGCTTCCGGCTGAATTGCGGTAGGAGAATCATGCAGTTGTTGCAGCCAAAGGAGCATCATCAGCCTGGTCGGCTAAGGTGGCATAGGCCATAGCAGGAGTGGATCGACACGAGGTGCCATCGCAACCCAAAAAGTCTGTGCTGAATCACATTGTGCCGCGCCGTGACCCTCCAGAAGGACTCCTTTCGACCGCCCTGAGAAGAAGTAACCAGGAAAAATCGGCTCGTGTCCAAGGCGTAATAATCAGGATGCTGGGTGGCGGACGGGGGCATCCTCGATTCGTTCGCTTGGGGGTCTAGCGCTCCTTCTGGAAGCTAGATTGTCAATTGTTCTCCCAGGGGGCATAGCTGAGTCCGCTAACATGACACACACACACACACCTTCCTTACTCCGTTGGTCGAGACAGGGGGGTTACACGCCGCCAGTGGCTTTGTTGATGTTTCTTGGGTTGCCAGATTTGATTGATTGTTTTGGTCCATTATTGATATATTGATAATCTGGAGCCTTGTGGCGACAAGTGGATACGAACAACTGTCCGCCACTTTCCTACCCCAGACTGCAAAGGGCGAATGGTCCAGCCTTGGCCGTCGTGGGGAGACTGTGCAAATACGGAAGACGGCAGCAGAGTGGCGTTGTATGACGTCGCAAAAGGACAGAGACCTCGTGAAGGTTGTGTCTCTCGACCTCTCCCACGAGCCACTGCATGTCCAAAGCCAATCGACGGGCCGAAGATGCATGGATCAGCGGGTTTCTTGGGGACGCGGACTCCCTCACGAGGAACGAAAGAATGGGCCCCAACTCCTCTCTCCTTACCCCAGATTTGCGGTTGCAATTCCCACATGTGAGAGAGACAGCTGTCCTGGCTAAACGGCACTGGCCCATCAATCAGCACCGGCCCCTTGTCCTTCTGTCATTCCCGAGGACGAGAGCTGGGCATTCCGGCTAAATTCCCATCAGGCTAATCATTGGGCAGCCCCCACGGGGTATTTTGTCGTGATGGAAATGCTTTCGCCGGGTCTCCACGGTGGAGAGACAGCTGCTTGTCTAGCTCGGGTTCCGGCTCATCCCGTATCTTCTCCCGTGATTTGAGATTGCAATGCAGAGACGGCCGTAGTGGCCAGCCGTGCCGGCTCAGGTGGTTGACGATATTCGATCTTGCGTAAGATGCATGCCAGATCGGGCAGCAGAGGGCTAAATAGGCTGGAATGAGCTTGTCGTCTTCGGGGATTATCCAAGTCTGAGCGAGTTGGCACGCCAAAAATTGACATGGTCTGGGTTGATGGTGTGGTAGTGTCGTAGTTGCAGTGGCAGGAGACTTGAGCTCTTTGTCATGCACTCCAGCAGGCGACCAATACCACCGTTCAACCACGAGTTTTAAGGGGACATCCTTCAAGGTTAGACTCTGACACGAAGCACCAAGCACCAGAGTTGCTTCCAGAATCGAACCGAGAATGTGCCACAACAGAGGCAAAGTCGTTCTTGATGACTGATGGGGCCCCGTAACCCGGATTACTGGTAATACTTAGGTAGGGAAGGGAACGAGCCCAGCCGAGGCAAGCCGAGTAATTACAAAAGAGTTGTAGACACATACGGTTAGGAGAAAGACTTTACCTGGTCCAGCACGTCTCCTGCTCCTGTGCTTGTGCTACGTAGGTAGTTACCACCAGCCGATATCTGGCATCCTATACTGCGGAAGCATGCGGATCTACGCCTCAAAGGTAATTTATCCAGTTCACTACTATGAAATCCTGCAAGATAATCAGAGTAGTCAGGCCACATGTTGCGCAGAGATAGTGGCGATTTCAATGCACCGCTAGCTCTTCAGCACAGGGCTTGCTACCATCCCAAGGTATACGAGCATGATGCAGGGGAGAACCTCAACAAAGGCGAACAAGCTCAATGAGACACTTCGAGACAGGCAGATTTGAGGCAATGTACATTTTTGAAACAGGTATGACACTAGTTATCACTTTTATAAATCTCACTTCTATTAAACCCCAGGTAATGCGTCTTGGCTGTTGGGCACAAACCATTAATCTTACACAACCTCCTTGCTGGGCGCATCCACATTGATCTTCTTGTGGACACCGTCATCGACAGAGCCAGTAGCCTCGGATCGACCTTCATCCTCCATCTCCTTGGTAGCCTCCTCAGCAGGAAGATCCTCAATTTCTTCGGGCAGAGTCAGGTTGAGGATCATGGAGACCAGGGCGGTGATGGCGAAGCCCGTCTCGCAGATCAGAACAATGGCATCGTAGAAGCCGCGAAGGGCGTGATTGTCTCCGTTATAGGTAAACACATAGCTGAACCACGTGGGAACCAAAGTGGCTCCATACCCGAGGGCTAGTGCTGCTGTGAGGATGAACCGCGTGCGACGGTTGAAGGGGACACGGTTCACGATGGCCATTCCAGATACGGCGCTATCATTCCAATGTCAGTACCAAATAAATATTCATCGCTAGGGCAGACGACTTACACTGCGCAGAACAGGAATGTGGTCATGCCTCCAAGAACCGGGGCAGGAATGGCAACAAGTGCTGCGGAGAATTTGGCAAACACACCAGCCACGATAAGGAAAACTGCGTAATGGTCAGTGACTCGTCGCGATGCCAATCGGGAGTTTGTACGTACAGCAGCAGAAGTATCCTGCCTTGCGGTTTGCGCAGCGGGTTAGAGCAATAACACCGTTGTTCTGGGCGAATGTTGACATGGGGGTGATAGTCATCAAGGCAGCCAGGCATCCATTAAGACCATCAGCTAAAACACCACCCTGGATACGAGACTCAAATTGTCGGCCCTCGACTTCGAGGCGTGAGACATCGCAAGTGGCAGTGATATCGCCAATGGCTTCGCAGGCGCAGATGATGAAGACCACCATGATGGGCAAAACGATGGGCCCGTAGAGCGAGAGCTTGAATGTCTTGACCCAGATGAAGGAGCCGACGGGGGCCGCGGTGATGCCCGAATCGTCAAAGTATCCACAGGCTGCAGCCACAATGCAGCCCATCAATAGACCGATGATGACGCTGGTGGATTTCATGATCGGAGAGCCAAAACGCTCGCAGATCAGGATGGTCACGAACACCAGGAAGCCCAATCCGATAAACTCGGCGCTTCCCCATGGGAGAGCATGCGGAGCTCCCACTTGAGGGCAGACGGTGAAGGGGCCGCTGTCTGGGCGCGCGGCGCAGAGGCCTGAACCACCAGCCCAATCGTTGAAGCCTGATTCAATCAGGGAGACACCGATGAGGATAACGGTCGGACCAGTGACAATGGGCGGGAAAATCTTGCGTAGCGCCTTGGGTGGCAAGAAGGACAGCGCGATTTCAACCAAAGCACAGAGCGCACACGTGCCGATGAGGGCGCCATAAGCATCAGGGCAGGGCAGGCGGTTTCCGTCTGCATCTAGTTGACACTTGCCGTTTGCATACATCTGCGTGAAGGCGCCGGTGGCAACGGGAATAATTGCGAAAGATGTTCCCACGACCGAAATCAAGCCGGTGCCAATAAAGTACGGTGTCCTCCAAATATGAAACCGCGTGATCTGGATCGAGGACAGGATCCCACACACAATCAGAGAGGTGCTGACGAGGTATTGCTGGTAGTCGGCGGATAGATTGACGCCTCCTTGGCCGGAAAGGATAATGGGCGGCGTCATGATACCAGCCAACATGGCCAGAGCATGCTGAAAGCCCAGCAGGAGCGCCAGAACCATGGGCATGGGGTCATGGAGGCCGAAAAAGGGCGATGCGCGACGAGGCTTCTTGAGAAAAGGGAGATTCGGTCGGAAAAGGAAGGCATAGTCATAGTCGCCAATCAGGCCGTGCTTGGTGAAGAAGGTCTTGCGAATGCTGTTGGCACGGTCGGCGAGGGTCTTTTTGGGGGTCATGTCTGGCCCGATGCGGTCTGCTTCGCCCATTGCGAGTAGTAGGTTCTTGGTTGTCTCGACTTGAGTCTTGGTTCACCGAGGACGAGAGGGAATGGTAGAGTGAGTAGTCGAAGAGGGGGTGCTGTGGTCGCGTGCTCAATCGAGTGAGGTCAGTCGTCTGGGCACATTTTCACCACCCTCAATGCGAAGCTCCCCCTCTCTCTTTATACCGACGTTGCTGGAGCTGCAGCGCAGAACCTGACTCGACGGGCCATGGCCAGCTCCGCCCAAGAGCTGCAAAGTCAATTTCTCGTTGATCAGGCGCTGATCAAGATGGCGTTGGGCCAGACGGGGTCGATAGCGAGGCATATCGCGATGCAAATGGGCGGGACCCAGCACGGCGGGCGGCGACGAGCAATCAGAATGAATGAGTGCTAGGCACTGATTAGGTCGCTGTGGTCCCTTTGGCCCCCTTGGGCAGGATGCTCGTATTGGCGAAGGGCCCTGCGCATGGGCAACGATCAAGAAGAAGATGCAGAACTTTCTCCGAACACCGTGCACCGCGGTCGCTGGCTGCGTCGGGACACGCCTGTGAGGGACTGCACGTTATCGACGCGCGCTGATTGGCCCGGAGCCCACCGACCGCCCAGATAAATGGCTGGGCATTGGCAGGGCTTGACCAATGCCTGCGACACATTCTTTTTCCTCTCTCCTCTGTCCTCTCTTCCTCCCGCGACTGGGATGCGCCCCTTCTTGCTTCTTGCGCTTGGAGCATCTCGACCAGCGGCTTTCCATTATTCGACCTGTTTACGTTTGCCGTCACCGCTCTGACCATCGGATAAGAAATCCTGCCACGATTACCGAGTATCAGAAAGACCAGCCTGGTCCGCTGTCGGATCTCACCCACCTCGTGCCATGCCCTGCCCACACAGCATCTCTCCAGACCCATCGACAGAAAAGAAAAACGCAAACAGGTCACGCTAGTAATCCAATATCAGATCCTCATCGGCGCCCTCCTATTGGCTTCTCTGACCAGATCACACGAAACCCAATGTCATCAGTTTGGTGCAAGAGCATCTGACATCTGGACTCGGCTTTTCTCCCGCTGCACCTGAGGCTCGTGATGTATCTGCAGCTTCTTCTGATTCAGCTGTAAGGAACTAACATTTTCTACCTCACAGCATGGCCCAGATCGGGTTGATTCAAAAGGTGACTGTATTAGCGGTAACCTCAAAAAGTTTGACGAAACTGTGTACACTGCGCGCTTTGTCGTTCAATCTGGACCAGTCCCTCAATCCCATATCCTCACGTCGTCTATCTAAGTGATTGCCTTGCCCGCCTCTCGTTCAAAACGTTCTGGCCAACGGACTCCACCTTCTCAACGTCGGACCGAAGAAGAAGAGAACATACACTAACACCACCAAACCAATCGAGATAAATGCCAGTGTTGAGAACGCCCATCTGATGTCCATGTTGGCAAACATGGCAACACCAGCGTGTGCACACCCCGCGGCTATGAGGAAACTCGGGATAAGGAAAGCTGCGATGGCGCTCGCGGCCACGTTCGGGTACGAATCCGTGATGTAGTTGAGCATGGCCAACCAAAGAAGCGGGTCGCAGAAGCCGAGCACAGCGCCCGCCACGACTGGAGACCAGTATGATACGGAGCCTAAATCAGGACTTGTTAGGGCTCAAGGGATCATGGGAAAAACCGGCATCTTGATACTCACCATCGCACGTCCAAGCAAACCAGAACAGACTGATCGGGAACAGCCACACGCTCACCAGAGATGTGAGGAAACGGGCTTCGGGCCTATGGCGACCGTGCTTCAACCTGTCTCGGCGGAAGAGGTAGGTCTGAACGGGGACGAAAATAAATGTCACCGTGACACCTGTCCTCGGGTTAGAATAGATACACAGGCCTTCAAACGCGATCACGTACCAACACAGAAATTAAGATAGGTCAATGATGCCCCGATATAACTGAGCCCGTTGTCGAAGACGAACACATCGAAGACGCCATCGAGGTAGAGGAATAGCAGACCATAGGCAAACCCATTGTATCTAAGCCCACAAGTCAGTTAAATTAATCTCCGAGACGTGAAATCACTCACAGGCCGAGCGAGATGACGATGGGCTCGGTGAACATGATCCTCAGCGCCATTGTCGCCACAAACTTCACCTCCCGCATCACGGAGAGCTTGCTGGACCCCATTGCGATATCCAGGGCGTTCTGATCGACGCTACCCCGTCTCTTGACTGCCCTCGCAATGACGATCCGGGGTAGGGTCTCGGGCATGAAACACAGGCCCAAGGCGAAGGCACCGCCAATGATGATATTGATGTAGAAGATCCAGCGCCATCCCAAGCTCTCATTTTCGCCTATCCACTCTCCGATCGGCGAGCCCAGACTCGGTCCAAAATTGGCAGAGAGGACGAAAAGAGCCATAGGCTGCGCCGCCCCATCGTGGTCGCCAAAGAGATCGGCGATGGTCCCTGCAACATTACACAAGGCGACCGAGCCCGCGCATCCGATGAGGAAGCAGAAGATGACCAACATTGGGAAGTTGTCGGCCAGAGCGGTGCCGATGTTGAGAATCGCATAGGCCAGGATTGAGCCCACGTATACCCATTTCCGCCCTCCAATGTCGGATAGAGGACCAAGGAATGCAGGCCCGACGGCTGTACCGACGATGAACATGCTCTGGCCGAGCGTGGCGACCTGTGTGTTGCTGGTCCACTTCTCCATGATCAAGAATTCAACCGAGACGTACGTCGTCGACGTTAGGGTGACGAAGACTTGGAGAAGGCAGTACACGAAGACGATATACCACTTCTTCCATAGCGGCCACCGGATCGGATGAGCATCCGAATTGGTTTCGATCTTGGAGAGCAGAGCAAGGGGATCCTCTCTGTCGATGGTCGCCTCGAGGTCGGTGTTTTGTTGTATACTTTCCTTCTTTTCCAGCATGTCCGGTGACGGCACCAACGGAGGGGTCGTGTCACCCGTCATTATAACGACGCAGTGCGCAAGGCGCAAATTCCCGGTTCGAGGAAGCCAGAAACGCACTGTCTGCGGGGATAGATTTCAGTATCCAAAAAGCGAAGCCAAATCGACGTCGTGAAGGTGCCGACGAGATGGATTGACAGAGCGAAACTCCCTGCGAGCGGATATTGAAGAAATATGAAAAATAGCACAAGTGGATATGTGGAGCCCGGGATGGCGATGCCACGACCACACATCAAGGATCGGAGCTCGAAGCTTGCGAGTGCTTATCGCAAGGCTTGATGGTAGCCAGTGACGTGGTAGTGCGTCTGGGCAAGGATCGCCTCAGCAAGCCCCGATGAGGGAGCAGGTGCTTTTGCTTGGTTGCGAGCCATTGTTATCGATGGAGACGGCGACAAGGCAAGGCCGAGGCAGCGCGATGGACCAGTGATGGAAGCGGGATTCAAATGGGCACCACTGATAGCGGCACGCGTCGGAACCATATGGCGAGGTGGCTGCAACCTTGGAGCAAAAATTTCGCCCGCGATTTTCTGCTGATGACGTGAAGCTCAAGCTTTTGGCTGCACCGAATAGGAAGGAAGCAGACGGCGTGGTGGGTCTGGAGCTAGTCGACTTCCGGTTAGTGGCTATCACAGGACCAGCAGCCTCTTCCGAGGGCCAGCTCCTGGATAGAGGAAAAGGTACTACATCGACACAGCTAACGATACTGGTGCTCATCTAAGAAGCAGCTGAGTTCTGCACTCCAGTAAGCATGATAGATAGACATCGGTCTACTGATTCGCAGAGGCGACGGCCCTGATGCACTGAAGGCCAAACCCAATTCCTGACAACTTCGGCGAGCTCCTACGAACATCTCTCTCCTTCTCTCTGCCGACAGCACGGGCGGCGTGGGCAGGATGCGAAAATTGTCACAGTGGACTCCGAGGTCATCTGCGGAGAGCCGATGGCAATGCACCGCGAACACTCGTCTCGGCTACACGGTCCAAATGCGACTTGGGAGTCTTTGAACTCCATTTGAAATCGGATTCTACCCTGCAGTGCATAACCGGAAGCGGAAGCAACTACTCCACCAAGTGTATAAATTCCAAGTCCCCAGAGAGCGAGAGGGTTTGAGTGGCTCATCAGCCGAGGATCCGCGAAGCCTATGCGGCTACAGAAACTCTGCGATCACCTTTTCCTTTGACGAGAGACGCTATGTCAAACCTTTGACGATAAGAAACAGGGCCACCCCACAATCCCCGCCATATTCGGTGCTTCTTTCGAGCCGGGCTTGCTGTGAGGAACGAGAACCAGCCCGCTGCGCCTCTCTCTCAAAATGTGGTTGTAGACCAACTATGGTCAAGTACAACTGAGTTGAAATGGTTCTTGCACTCGCCAGCAATCAGTATCAGCAGGTGCCGCTCAACCACCGTTGGCCCGTGGTGACCTGTGAACTCTAAGGGGAGCACTATCTCTTCCAAATATCGAGCTGACATCACACGTGTAGTCCGTCCCACCATTCGTGGTGATCGCTCCACATCTTTTATCTTTGCTCTCAGGCGATCTCCTTGTGATTTTGTCGCAGGCTATTCCAGCCGAGCAGCACGACTCCTGACGCGCTTCTTCTATGATGAAGCAAGAGCCTCCGTCCTCGACTGACTATTGGGATCCAAGTACGGAGCCTCGCCGATTCCGACCGCGCGATGTCCAAACCGCTCGCCCAGCCCGTCGTAATCAAACGTGGCACAGTGGAAGACACATCGATTATCCCAGATAGCTGGTCGCACACAAAGAGAATCAGCATCGCATAGCTTTTCTAGCGACAGGACAGAATCAATCTTGGGAGGGCACATACCGATATCATTCTCATTCCTCCATTTGAACCTCACCTGCAAGTCGTGGTTGTTCACGATCATCCCGTGCAACTTCTTCGACAGCTCTTCGGTCTCCTCGGCGTTCAAATCGTTGAAGGCCTTGGGGAACGTCCCAATCGCATACACAGTCTTCCACCCGGTGACCGGGTTAGTCCTCACCACAGGATGCACGGCACTCAAATGCTTGCCCACATTCAACGGCGACCCTCGGGGTTGATCATACAAGGTCGCTCTCCCTTGCTGCTCGGCTCTGATGAAACCGTCTCCAATAAATGTGGCCGTTAATCCCTCGAGGAACTGCTGCCACGGTCGGCTCATGCGATCGTATATCTCATAACCACTTGCCCAGAGGGTGTCTCCTCCCGTCTTGGGCAGCTGGGTTAGCCTCAAGCTCGTGTAATCGGCGGGGGCAGGCTCGAATTGGATGTCGCTGTGCCATTGCGCGGCGTCGTATTTGCGCTTGTTCTTGATCTCGCCGTTGGCATCGAAGAGTTTCTTGCGGGACACGGACGAGATGTTGCTAATCTCCAGATCATGGCCGAACTCGCTGGATCCATTGAGGATTGGGTGGATGTGGAGCGTCGATGAGGGTGGCTTGCCGGTCAGCTCCCCGAGGCGCTGGATGAACTTCTTCTGCAGATCGTCCGTCAAGTTGTCCTGTTTGCGGAAGAAGACGACTCCCCGCTCGCTGACTAACCATTTCAGAATGGGTAAATATCTTGCCTGTAATATCTTTCCACGGAGTGCGAGGCTATGGAACGGATCTCGCGGCAATGAGATTGGATTGCGGAGTACCTACTCGTGATAGCGAGATCCCTCAAGAGCGTATCCGCGTCAGCGGAGTTGACCAAGTCATCTACGATATTGACTTTCGGAAACTCCCGACCGATGATGGGCGTGAGGTCTTCGGATTCGAATTTCTCATTCAGCAGCCCGCTCTGTCTGAGCGGCTTTCGGGGACCCTGGCCATCCCCAGTGCTGGAGGCCGCCGAATGACCGTTGGAATAATTCTCGCCAATGGATCCCATGGTCTCCAAGCACAGCCTTATCTTTTTTGGAGACGTCTATGGATGACCAAACTGGGTCTATGCTTTGGTGCTTATCACTTGGTATAAAATTTTGCTGTCGACAGTGCAGGATTGAAGATATCGACGCATTAAGAGAAGGAAAGGAAAGGAAAGAAAATCGAGAACTAGATGATAGAATCAACGATCATTACTGTTCAGTCTGATCACGCAATCCATGTTGGAGATGACCGAATTCGGCTGTTTATCTTAAACTTCTCCTCATCTTTCGGTTGAACCGAGCAGCGGGCGAATAAGACTTGCTGTCGACCGTTATTGATGGAACCGAAAGTCCACGTGGCAACGGTCTGGGGGTTGTCGTGTCGTGTGTACTCGGACTTCGCGAGGGCCCGTATCAGGTTCGCTTGGGTTATCGCTTGATTTACTCTCAGCTTCGTGTCCGAACACTACTTAGAGATGCTCCAAACCTCTGTCAGCCTGCTCCTCCTCGAGAACGCACAAGCTCTTGGTAAAGAAAACCAAGGTCCCCCTATCAAGGTGTATGCCGGGAGGTCGTCTGGACTGCTCCAATTCGTGCGGGCAGAGATGCTTGTAATCATCTTGCCCAGTCCAGCCCGGGCCTACTTCGACAGGCGCGTCTTCCAGTATGTCCAGCCTGGCTTCCTGTGGATCAAATAATCTTTGCTCCGGATCGCATGCCAGATCCCGATGATTCCTCCAAAGGGCCACGATGACGCGAGGCGTTGAAGCCATGAGCGGTTCCTTGTCAAGTACAGTTTATCCACTTTGACTTTGTCCCATACCGTTGGCAAATTCGCTGCGGCATAGCTTTCCCTCAGCTTACCGTACCATTCGCGATCGTACAATTTCCAGAACTCCTCCTCTGGATAGTATGTGTGTGAATACAGGACTTTGCGGCCGCCTAGCTCAGTTAGACGCCTCTCCAGATCCCGATTTTGCTGCACGAAAGTTTCGATGTTCGTCGATGCGGGTCCCCAGAGCCCAATATTCAGCATCGGCTGAAGTTTTCCGTCTTCAATATGACTGGGATGGAATGTCGGAGGATCCACGGCTCGTAAGGGGCAAAGCCACAATGGCCAGATACCTAGTCTCTCGGAAGTGTACTCGATGAACTCCTCCGCAGTGCCGTACGGTAGTGAAAGGTCCTGAATCATGAAACCGAACGACATTTCGCCTGCGTGCAGAACTCTGTACATCATCCTCGTGTGCATGAAATCGTTCACGAACCACCTGGTGTATCGGTTGAACGGGATAAGATTGAAATATTTGAATGCGTGCCTACCCACCCAAAAGCCACCTCGGTCATAGCGAAACAAGTACTCGGCAATAGAGATGTACTCTGTAGATGGTCCTTGTAGTGTCTTATCCTTCACATGGAGGTAGAACCATGGATCCCAGGAGCCACTGAATTTGTGGGCTTTAGCCGGGTGGGGGATCTCATCTGTCAGTTGACCAGTCATTACGACGCTGTGAGTTTTGGAGAAGATGATACCGTCGACGTAGTCATTGTCAGGGTTCTCCGTCTGCCGTTTTACGGCCTTGATAGTCTCATGAATGGTGAAATACGGAGAGTAGTGCAACTTGACGAACCGACGGGCTGGAATCAGCTGCAACTCTAGCTTGGTCGTAACGCCCAGTGTCCCTAAGGACCCAGCAGCACCCTTGAATAGGTCGCTGTTCTCGAATGAAGAAGCTGTGACCACGCGACCATCTGCGAGGACCATCTCAATAGATTTGACGGTTTGGTCAAAGTAACCGTATCTGAAAGAGCTGCTCTCTCCGGCAGAACCGGCAAATCCCCCTCCTACAGTGATGCCTGGGAATTCCATGACAACTGGGGGGATCATTCCCTGAGCAAGAGTGGCTTCCACGAGCTTGTCCATTGGAACATTGGGCTCTACGAGCGCCGTCCGTGATGAAGTGTCGATTTTCAGCACGTTGGATAAGGGGGTGATGTCGACAGCATGGCGTCGGTCGGTTGGGCGGGTGCTGTTTGTCGAACCATGAAAGATGCGGAACGGCTGGCCATGCTCAAAGAAGTCTCTGACGGCATTGGATATTTGGATGACATGTTCTTCGTGGGAAGGCATTTTCGTGGTAATCTCTTTCCAACCCACCGAAGGAGTTCATGTCTGGGGCATGACAAGCTTCCAAAAAGCAGGTAGGAGCATAGTACTCCGTACTGAGCAGAGCTGAGGCGGCCGAACAAGGAGTAGCCCCCTTGCCAGCGTTGGATTTATGCTAAGAAAAGGTGATGCTTGCGGGGGGAAGACGAATAAGGCTGGAAAGGGGGATACTGGGAGCCTTGCAGCCTTGGTTGGCACCCTAGCCTCGCTAGCCTTGCGGTAACTCCCCGTTTGACCTGCAACGCACCTACCGCCTGCCTATTCAGCTTCTAGTTAATCCTCCCTGCCTGGTACATGACTATCGTATATCCACCTTCCCTCCGCAGCTCTCGAGGGTCTAGTTGTCAGTACTGGTCGCCTGACTGACGCTTCGGCTTACATGCATTCTTAGTCATTCGCGCCGCGCAAGACATGACCCAGGTCAGTATTGCGAAGCCTTTCATTTTGCACCCAAGCTTCCTATCCTGGCAAGGCTCAAGCCCACTTATTGAGGTGTTCACTACGTGTCAGGCATGGCCCGTGCCTGGTGTCAAACCAAAGTACCTCTCAAATTGTGTTAGTCATAGCTGCGTCCACCCGCCGAACCACCGTTGACAATAGGGCGGACCTCTTGCCTGAAGGATGGGAGAAGAAGGGGGCCAAGAGTTTGGACAGCAAATCAAGATACACCATTCCCTTATATCGGCCATTGACTGCATCCAGCGCCCGAGCATGGCTTGAGGTATTTGGGGGCACGTTGCCTCTAGGCTCAAAGCCACGTCAAGAGATCTTCCGATATTTTCGTCGACCCCGGCGAATATTCCCGTGAGAGGCCCCTTCAGACCGTCACCAGACTCCAAAACTCCGTACAATCATGTTGTACCTGCCCACTATGTGGTGGATGAGACCCCAAGGTGCTGTTGGATCGGATCGGTAGATCTGGCCGTGGTATTCAGCACCTCAAACATCCATATCTACGGCTGCAAGGCATCTCGCTGGCACGGACGACTTTGCCAAATTACTGATTTGCCCCTGGAACCCTCAGTGACAACGAAACCACAAGGCTGTGCTGCTACTATTGGTACTGGGTCATCACAAATGCTACCGTCAATACCAGATCGAGGACAATATTGCGCAGATTGAGGGTCTCTTTTGAGACAAAAATGCCGAATGCTCCCTCCTCGAGCGAAAGATCTTGTGCGAGGCTGGGTATCGGCACCCAATGTTCGAGGCACAAGTGACATATTGTACGGCAGCCTTGCAACCACCTGGCTTTGCACCTGGACATGCCTCTGTCTGAATATACCCCCACAAGAAAGTCGCCGAGGATGGCGATCTCTTTTCTACAAATTCCGGTGGCAGCTCTTCACCATATTCTTCCCCGAAGTCCTGGTGGCTACGGCCATGGAACAGTGGTTGTCCGCACACCAGTCGGTCAAGGTATTCCACAGGCTGGGCCATCCCGAGTGGACCACACGCCATGGCTTCTACGCAGATATGGGCGGTATCCTCATCGCTCCACGAGACTATCCTGCCTTTCCGGTTGACAGCCAACAACTGGCCTACCTCATTGAACACAAAAGTTTGGTCTTGCCAGAGATACCCGCGCTGGAAATTCAGGCTCTGAACAAAGCAGACGGGTTAGCACGTTTGGTGACGCTCATCCAGATGACCTGGTTCTGCATCTCTTTCATAGCCCGTGGTGCTACCGGCCTGGGATACTCAACACTCGAAGTCACCACGCTGGCATTCATAATTTGCACGCTTCACACCTTCTCCTTCTGGTTCTACAAGCCTCTTGACCCACAATCACAGCGCGTGGTGCCCATTGATGCCAACATTAATCAACTCTGCGAGCGACCGATCTCGGATACGGGTTCGAAGACCAATCCTGCCGTCACCGTCACCGCCAACACCGCCACCACGGCCCTCATCGCTAGTACCACGCTCATTGCCAGTACTGCCGCTGCTCCGGCAGTAACCTCTGCCTGCGCTGAGCCTTACTCACGGACTCCACTCGACTTCGTCAAGCCCGCGCCTGACCCGAAGAGTCTGACGATTCCGTTCTGGTACGGCTTCTCGGTCGTCTTCTTCTACAACCAAAGAGCCAAACAGAGGCCCGCACAGACCATGCCAAACAGCATCACCCTCCCGCCCGGCGGCCTCACCATGGGAGTGACGCTCTACACGATGATGTTCCAGCTCATGTATCACGGGCTCCATCTCGGCTTCGCCTGGCTGGCCGCGTTCCCCTCGCGGACCGAGTTCTACCTCTGGCTCGTGTCCAGTGGCACCGACTTCGTCCTGATCCTGCTCTACTGCTTCGCGGCGCCGATTGGTGCTTACAACACCCGTTTGCTGGGCCGGTACTTTTTCAAGCACGAAGCCACCAGCATCCCCGAGCTCGCGAACATGTTGCCGCCGTGGGTCAAAGTCCTCATGCACGGGCCCTTCGTCATTGTGTACATGGCTGCGAGGGCCATCGTGCTGGCCGAGTCGCTCGCCAGCCTCCGAGCACTGCCCGCATCCGTCTACCAAGACATCAACTGGCCTAACTTCCTGCCTCACGTGTGAAAGCGAGGCCGTAGAAACAACCTGTATGCCAATCTGTTCAGCCAAACCGGGTTTCATGCCCTCCTTTCACGACCGTTTCTCTCATTCTTTTCCAGATATGCCAGACCTGGACTACCTCTCCGCTGCTAATGGAGCCCACACTCGAGGAGAGAAGCAGGGAAAGCCATGCAAGCAACCGATGAGACACCACGAGAGCCCCGGTCTGATCATTCCACTGCGTTACGCCTTCCCTTTCCTCAAACTAGAGATAGTCCATCTTTGATCTCAGGGGAGCTATGTATGGAAGAATAGCATCGTATTTCTTGAGACGATTCCGGGAATCCATCTCTGACTAGACAGAATGGGAAGTTTGACGGGATGAAGCAAGGGCCTTGATCGAAAGCGGCATGGTCCTGTGAAGATATGCTCTCGTTATGCTCGTTCTGCATTCCCAGGATTGCCACTTTCGTCTTTTGATAGGGACAGCCTGATTGTGGGATGGTCTGAAACACAATCAAAGGTGTCCGTGGCGGTGTGCCACACTGCCTGCTGATTAGTCCACCTTCTTCAAACACTTTCAACTGCATGGAGTACGAATAGCGCTGTCAGCACGATCAGACAAGGGGTGACAGTGGAAAGAGGCGAAAGAGGTGAAAGTGGTTATGGCTTTTTGACTCGGCTCGCTAAATGTCAAGTGACGATGTGTCCAATCCGACCATCTATGACCCTTTCAAAGCTTTCACTTCCGCAACCAGTTCTGTTACCGTCTTGGTCAGACTGCTCAGTTGCCGGGACTGCTGGGCAATCATAGCCTTCATGTTCTTCATTTCACGCTCCACGGAATCTGACGGAGGGGTCGCCTCGGCCACATTCGAGGCTTCCCCCGCTTCGACGGTTTGTTCTTCTGGCATTTCCGATTCGGTCATCTGTTCTTCCATGTTAGCTAAAGGATGTGCCTGTGAGACAGGATCTGGCTGACCTTGTGTTTTGGAGCGGGCTCAGGGTCCTCGACATCTTCCCATACTTTACTCGCTGCGGGTGTGGGAGACTGCTCCTTCTTCTCCTCAGGGACGGCGTGTTTGGCCGCAGTCGTTCGTTCCACGGGCTTCTGGACCTCCTCGAAATCTGACTCGTCATCCTCTCCTTCTGTAGGTTCGGTGTCTTTAAATTTGTCTGCAGCACCCATCATTGTGGCACCTTGTTCCTTCATCGATGGAGGAGGAGATCGGATTGTCGTCGGGGTCGGTTCTGGTATCGACTCGGGAACTTCTTTCTTAGTTTCGACAGCCTTGACCGGCTCGGGTGCCTTTTTGACTGGCTTCGCCTCATCTGCTGCAACCTCTTTGATACCCGTACCCTCATACAAACTTTCCATGGAAATCTTTGGTGGCAATCCCTCGGCGCCATCAAGCCATTCTTTGCTGCTCATGGCTGGCTTCAGACCAACAGTAGGGGGGTAGATGTCCTCCTGAAACGTTTCTGCTCTTCGAGGCACAATAAAAGAAATAGGCTCAATGTAATTGTCATTGACCGTCTTGTACGCTCGAGCAACCTCGTTCTCATGTAGGTTGACTCCCCTCTTGGGGATGAAGGCCACTCCACGTTGAGGATCTGACGATTTGTACTCGGACAGATATTCGAACTTGTCGTGCTCATATTCGTAGTAACGGATGTTTCCGTCACCCCTGCCTGCAAGGAATAGACACTGGGTGCCTTCGTCCCAGAAAGGCATACACACGCCTGATATCGAGTCAAGCATTTGGAATCCATCGATGGGTTCTTGTGCGTTCCGGACGTCCCAAAGCGCAAGCTGACGGTCACTCATTCTGGAAAAGCCAGTTGTGGCGATGCGATCGTGTTCCCCCATCCACACGGCGCGACTGTTTTTGGCGCCTGCGTGGCCTGGCCCTTCATGCACGGGTTTTTCTTGTCTTGTGTCCCATATCCTCAACTTTTTGTCTCGGGAGGTCGTGACCAAAAGGGAACCATTCGCACTCCATGATAAAGACTGAATCACCTCGCCGACCTTGAGCGACAACTTGGACGAACCGGACTCGATATCCCATATCTTGATCGTAAAATCTCCAGCCGCAGATGCCAGGATATTCTCAGCGGCGGGATTGAAGAGCACGTGGCCCACTTTCCTGAACGGAATCAGTCATGGCTCCAAAGACAATGTACCAGTTGCGTACTTTGGGTGGCCGCTAAGTTTGCCCACTGGGGCAATGTCCTGGATCTCATCTGCGGGAATGTCGAGATGCAGTGTGAAGTCGTCCGGAACTCGCCATAGGAAGACCTGCGCAAATCAGCATTCCCTGATCATCAACGTGAGTGTATATCCCGACCTTGCCATCATCCGACCCCGAAGCAATCAACGAGTCATTGAAAGGGTTCCTGCGTTTGTCAGTCCCGCGCCCTTGTTTTGCTTCTCTTTAACAGATCGCCCACCAATCTGTGTCCAAAACCACGGCGGTATGTCCTCGGAAGAGCGGGATACGTTCGGGCAGGCGGCCTTTCTCTTTCGTAGGGATGACGGCAAACGCACCACCGCCGCTGCTATCCCAATTGAGGGCGAGGTATTCTGGATTGGCCTGACATTGTGAGCTTCTGGACTATTGCAGCTTGCACTTGGTGTATACCTTGATCAAGTTCGTGTCCCAAGCATTCTTCGATACCCTCACGTTGTCATAGCATTGTTCCTTAGCAACTCTTAGCCATGAATCCTCCCAGCTGAGAGTGAGTGAAGCCGCACCTTGCGAGTCGGGCGGCCGAACACGTGCCGATATTTTGAAGAGCGTACGAAACGGCCTGCCATCGTTTTGACAGGGAAGATGCTAGAGAGAGATTGCGGAGGAGAAACTGGAAAGACTGAGCCTGCAGTCTCGGTGGGCTTTCAGATTTGCCAGGCTGGAACAAATCTGAAGCACTTTGGGAGGCATTGGAGCTGACCGCAACCGCAGCCCTTGTGGTGCTGGTCCCTCCATCGGCGGGCCGGAGAGATAAACCACGCTAACCCCGTTTGGCACTACGGCGAACCGTGAGGGAATCTGCCGAACTAACACCTGATCGACAGCAGGTGCCCTACGAGTAGTAAAGAGAGCTATGCGCTTCCATCAAGGAGTGGCATCAGCCTATGAATCATGTGCTCCCTTATCTCCATGCGGTGGGCTGTCCATTATCCGAATCATACACTCCAAAGCGCTTCTCCCTCTGGGAAGAAGCTCCATACGCTCCGAGATGCGCAATGCAGATCCCTCTCCGCATTCTAGATTTGGGACTCTGGATGACTGCGTGACAAGGTATTAGACGCAGTTTGCGATACGTCCGCAAGGTATGTGAGCGACTTGTTCACCTCGACAAAGATTTGTCGCAGTATCCAAAATATCTCCGATACTCCTCCCCAGGGAGCCACGAGATACTCAGGGACACCCCCAGAAGGGTCTGGTGTCTTTTATTCCGACATGGATCTCATGGTCTCAGCATGCGACTTGGCGTATAACCTCTAAACAGCCTTTTGGAGAGTGAAAGGAAGCTGCGTCCCTGTCGAGCAAGCGCAAACCGAGTCTCGTCATTTCTACCACGATCCTTAGCAGCCTGTTACTGGACCGGGTAGTGGGATACTCTTTGTCTCACTGAGTGCATTTGAAGCCAGACAGTCCTCAATCGTGTTTTTACCAGCTGTGTCGACGATGGGCCCGGTCCACCTCCACCACTACTCGCCTCAGGGATATCCTTCATGGCGTGTCTCCGAAGCGTGTCATTGAGGAAATACCTGCCAACACGTCGAGTTGCGACGCTGTGCCAGCCATCGGACGCACGCTAGTGCCACAGCCAAGTTCTAAATTCCAAACGGAGAGTGATTCGAACCTGGAGAGCAAATGACGCAGGATGTTGATATTTCTACTTCAACTTGGTGAGATATTTGCTCGGCGCTGGAGCGAGAAATAAAACTGTCGCGCGACGACATTTTCAAGTACTCACTATAACTCAGATACCCGAACTGTCCCTCCGACTTGTCCCTCCCTTTCACCCTTTCATGACCAGGAGGAGGGCCTCCTGGAGGAAGTGCCAAGAGATATAAGAGCATCGGTGTTCACTTGCGCCAGGCTGTAACTGGAATAGCCCAACTGGTAACTAGACCCACACTGAGGCAGACTGTGATTGGTGTAATAGCTTGCCGAATTGGGAGGTGCTCCCGTTACAAAGTCGCTCCATTGCAGCCTCGCCTGACGATACCAGCGTCACCAACTTGTGCGGTCCATATCTTCTGCCGAAAGGGACCTTCAGATCGGAATACTGGATGCAGCGCAAGAGAAGAGGGCATGAGAGGGCATAATTCGCCCAGCGGTATGGCACCCCAACTTTGGCGGTAAGAAAACCAGTTATCCTGACCATGTGGAGAAACGGCATTTGACCGGGAAGGTTTTGACTGGCACTCTTCGAAGCTGGCCGGCATTGTCTCGCCCTCGGTAAAGAAGAATGAGAAGGACCCTAACGTTTAGCCACCCATTCCCGTAATTTACAACACTCACCTGTGGGTGGAATTTGCGGATTCTTGAATACAGCTTGTCCAGATTAGGCATCTCGTCAATCTTGCGGGGTTTCTCAGTGATAAGGGCCCCGGAAACTTCATTTTCAGTCGTCCGTCGAAAGAATCTCCCTGATCAACTGCAATTTGGGGCATTTACGCGTCCTTGAGGCGTATATACACAGAACCCAAGCTAAAACCGCCATTATTCATTGTGCGCGTCCAGAGATCATGTCCCATTGTGGCTACTTCTCACGGGCGCGGTCGAAAGGAGACAAGCTGGGCTACTACCGGGCATCTGTCGCGTGCGGTAAGTACTGGGGCAGAAAATCCGGGTTGGAACGATGTGGACACTCGCTCATTTGGTAGACCATTGCCGAAAACGAAAGGCCAGGTGCAGGCCTGCCGTTGGAGACCCTTTGCGCAGATGTGCCAACTGCGTGCGTCTGGGCTACCCATGCGTGGTGGTTAAAGTGGAGGTCATGGAAGCTCTCGATATACTGGGAGAAGACGGGACCCCTGAAAACATTTTACGGGTTCAGAGGTTAATTGGTACGTACGCCTACGGCTCATTATTACAACGGCCGTGCCTGGTCCTGATCACCGAACTTGCAGGGCACGTCAAAACTGGGACGCCATCAGAGTCATGCCAACAGATAGATGGGCCTCACACTGCATGGCCACTAACGTCGCAACCACCGGTTTATATTGACCCTGCTGCTACACCTTCACCTTGGCCGTGTCAGGTATCTGCAGTGCCTGAACCGCAACAACCGTTTCCACCTCTCGCCTATCCTCTCCAGGGCTCTACAACATCATACACAGCGCCCGTCCCGCACACTTATCCGGTATCTGAACGCTCCTGGCAACGTATGCCCGCAATTCTTCCGCCAGAGACTTCCCTCAGCATGCCAGAGGCTCCAGCGAGCGAGATTTTCTACAACATAGAGACGCCGCCTGTCCATCTGGAACACCCAAATTGCATTCACCTCTCCCAAGGTGTGCTTTCAACGGACATGTCAAATTGGCAGTCTATGCCTCCACCCATGGAACACACTCACCTTTATCCTGCGATGTATACAACATGGGAGGCAACTACTCGACAACAATATTCCGGATTAAGATGAGACAAGAAATGACTCGCAGGAAGACCTCGTCCCGATTTCGGTTCTCAGTGCCGGGTGATTAGTCCATCAAGTTCGTTACTCTATTTTCACCATTGCAATATTCGATGACCCACGATGCCCTCGACCGTTAACCAATTCAGGAGACTGATAAAACCCATTCGCACAAACGTGTCACAGTGCAGACTTCCGCAGTTGATCGTCATACCGCAGCACACTTTCAAGCAAGACCTGCGCCCCGAGAGCACTGGATATAATATTGTCAACTCGAAATGCCTTGTGAGTGGTGGGATTGGGGAGTCAGACGAAACATACCATTGCTCTGGAGAAGAATACTCGTCGGGATGGTGCGAGATCCCTCCCTTGGACGGCACGAAGACCATGCTCGTCGGGCACCTGTCGCTTGTGTGCACGCTGTCGTGGCCAGCACCTGCCATCATCTCTTTGACATTCTCCTCCCCGGCTGCGTTCCGTGCCGCGTCGCGCACACAGCTGATACAATCCTGATGGAACTGCACGGCCGGACTGTTCCAGATGTCCTCGATCTCAACCGTGCATTTGTTCGCCTGCGCAATCTGGGCGAATTCTGCACACGTCTCGGCAATCATGCGTTCTCGCACCTCGGTGGAGTGGTGGCTCAAGTCGACGCTAAAGACCACTTTATGAGGCACGGTAGCTGGCGATTGAGGCCACGAGTTGATGACTCCGACGGTCGACAGGCCGTTTGCAGCAAGAGCAATCTCCTCCACGCGTGAAATCATACGCGCGGCAGATGTGAGAGCACAAGCCCGCCGGTCCATCGGGCAGGTGCCCGAATGCTGGTTTTTCCCGTGGACGGTGATGATAAGCCACCCCATACTCTGCACGCCCGTTACGACGCCTACCTTCTTACCCTCGTCCTCTAGCACCGGGCCTTGTTCGATGTGCAGCTCGAAATGCGCACTCAAAGGATTCGCCTTGTACGAGGCGGGTACGCTTCCCAAAAACCCAATCCGCTCCAGCTCACTTTTCAAGGTCGCCGTCTTGGTCTTGTCCTCGGCAGCTGGGAGCGCGTGAGCGTAGTCCAAGGTGTACCGCCCAGACCAGACACCCGACGAGACCATGCCGGTGTTAAACCGAGCACCTTCCTCGTTTGTCCAGTCTATGACCGCCAGCGGCGCATATGTCTGGTACCCGTTCTCCTCGAGGACCCGCAGGATCTCAACGCCAGCCTGGACGCCCAGAATCCCATCGTAGCGGCCACCCGCCGGTTGGGTGTCGAGGTGGCTCCCAATTCCGATGGGGGCAAGGGAAGTGGAGATGCCCGCGCGCGTAGCAAACAAGCTGCCCATTTCGTCGACTTTGACGGTGCATCCCAACGCCTCCGTCGTGGAGACGAACCACTCGCGCACGGCTTTGTCCGTATCGGTCAGTGCCAGGCGCCGAATACCTCCATCCGGGGTCGCGCCCCATTGCGCAGTTTCGTGGATGGTCTTCCAGAGTCGGTCTTTGTTCACCGAGTATGAGGGAATGGTGGTCTGCGTCGTGCTGCTCAGCGTGCGGATGTACGTTTGGCCGAAGGCGACATATTGGGCACCCGGTAAACACGAGGTAGACCCGACTCTGGATGAAAGCAAGCCAAGTGCCTTTCTCGTTCCAGTGAGGAGCATTGCGTGGTGGGCAAACGAGAGCAGTTGGCTTGGAGGACTTCACGAAGGGGAACAAGAAAACCCAAAGCTGCTGTGGGAAGTCGATCTTCTCATGACCTTGAAGGATCATTCAGCATCCATAGTATATGTATACCAGCACATCCTCCCCTTCATCTGCTTTTGAGTGGATGTACTCCACAGTGAAAGTCGGAGAAGATGCACATCGACCCCTCCATGTAGCTGCAGTAACCCTCACCCGAACCATGCATTTTGCCGCTATTACAACTTACATTCATGTCACAGATTTCCAAGGCATGCACGCCTTGAATCGATGCGGTTGCAAAAGTGGAATGCCACGTGGAACGACCCTTGATAGAGAGGCTCGCTCTAGTCTCGATTGGTATATTCAAGAGTCGACGCTCGTCTTCAATCTGACACATTCGCACCAGATGTTCGCCTTACATGTTGCCATGGCGGGACTGTATCTCGCACGACGCCCCATAGTTGATTGACGGGCAACGGGACTGTATCTTTCAGCGCCACTACCCGCTGGGGTAGGAGCCGGGACTGTATCTTTTGCCCTGCATTAGCGTCGGGACTGTATCTCTGCTGATCTGTCCAGTCACCAAGCGCGGAGAATGGCCTACCAACCCCCAAGCTAGCCCTTTTGCAGTTGGAGAAACATACCTCGTACCAGCTTTATACAGCCTATTTGCCAGCAAAGAATGGTTCTAGGCTGGGGAGGCAACAGAAAGGAACTAACTAAGCGTTGAAGCGACCCGCGACCCTGGGCTGCCACAGCCCTGTCCTGCCATGATCCACATGGTTATATAACCCTGGCTTCACGAGAAGATCGGTGGGCAGGACTCCCTTTCTCGCGACACACAGCTCTCTGGATTGTCTCGTACCGCCCTCGAGACCTCCATCACTACACTAGCATTTGACTTGAAGAAGGGTTCTCTCGCCCCAGCTAGGACAAAAGGAAAAGAGGAGGAAGAATCTAGAGATGGCCACGGACGTCGAGAAGATCGGACGTGCCAATCCGACCGTCGAGGAGCCCGTGCTCGAGGGCAAAGAGAAGCTCGCCCTCGACCAGGTCGACGGTGCCCTGGCTTTCCTCCGCAATGAAGCCGACGCATCCATTGCCGAATTGGATGAGAAGCGACTGCTCCGCCGCATCGACTGGCTCGTTATGCCCATGTTGTTCGGCGTCTACATTCTTCAGTACATCGACAAGAGTTTGAGTATGTTTAGCTGTCGGATCACGCATTTGATTGTATTTCTCGGTGCAAAGAACTCGCTGCTAACGAATGGTGCCACACAGTCAACTATGCCAACGTCATGGGATTGAGCAAAGACACGCACATGAGCGCCGCCGACTTCTCTTACCTGGCCACTTTCTTCTACGTCACCTTTGCCGTCTTCCAGCCGGTGCACGCCTACCTGATGCAGAAGTTTCCGACGGCAAAGTACCTTGCTGTGAACGTTGTCTTGTGGGGTGTCGTCCTGGCCGGTATGTTGCAGACAACGGATTGATGATCGAGAAAAGATGTATTATGGGCTGACAGTTCTTTCACCGTGATAGTGCACAGCGCTTGCCACAACTTCGGCGGCCTCATCGTTGTTCGGTTGCTTTTGGGCATGTTCGAATCGGCCAGCGCTCCGTGCTTGATTCTGATTACCGGCATGTGGTACAAGGTACGTGAGCATCAACACCTGGAGTCTGTGACTATCATGGCTCGTGAAGATAAGCTGACCCTTTATAGCGTGCAGAGCAGCCCCTCAGGGTGGCCATCTGGTATTTGGGTGTTGGTGGTGGCACAATCGTCGGGGCCCTCGCATCGTTTGGCTTTCAATACTACCACGCAGACGCGTTCAAATCGTGGCAGGTGAGCAGCTTATCCGCACATTTCCAATCTTGGGGATTTCGGAAACTGATAAAGCCATCTAGATCATGTTCCTTGTCTTCGGCATCGTCACTGTGGCCTGGGGCATCGTCGTCTTCCTCGTCCTGCCCGATTCTCCCATGAGCTCGTCCTTCACACACGAGGAGAAAGTCTTGGCCATCGAGCGCCTGCGTGAAAACATGACCGGCATCGAGAACAAGACCTTCAAGCGGCCACAATTCCTCGAAACCATCTTTGATCCGCGGACCTGGCTCATCGCCGTCATCATCATTGCCGGCAATGTTCCCACGGGGGCATGCGGGACGTACTCCTCGACACTCATCAAAGGCTTTGGGTATACCTCCAAGCAGTCAGCCTTGCTCAATATCCCCAGCGGCGCGATTTCCATGATTGCAGTCCTATCCGCGTCATGGTATGCGGGCAAATTCAACAACCGTGGGTATGGCATTGTTGCTCTCCTCCTCCCTGGCGTGCTGGGCGGCGGTTTGATGGCTTTCCTCCCTAAGAGCGACAAGGCGGGGAAACTGGCAGGTATCTACCTGACCCAGATTTTCGGGCCAAGTAAGAACAATTTTCCCCCGACTCCTCTGACCCTCGTATAATGCTTATCTCTCAATGCACAGATCTCTCCATGATGTACTCCTGGGCCGCGGCCAACTATGCAGGGCACACGAAGAAAATCAGCATCAACGCCATCATCCTCTTTGCCTACGGTGCTTCCAACATCATCGGCCCCCTAACCTTCACCGGTTATACAGCCCCGGAGTACATTCCGGCCAAGGTCGCAATCATGGCCTGTCTGTCTCTAGCGATCGTCACCGCGTTGGTCTTGAGGTTCTTGTACGCCTGGGAGAACAAGCGTCGAGACCGTCTGGCGGCTGCCGAGGGATACGTCCACGTCCCGGACACCGAGTTCATGGATTTGACGGACAAGCAGAATCCTGAATTCAGGTATGCACTGTAGAGGCAAAACGCCGGGGTAGCGGGTACAGGATCCCCATCGGAAGTACGACGAGCAGATCGTCGATTGAAGCTTAGAGATCAGGGCCCATGCGCCTGACAAGATATAAATAAAGGCGAACTAAGGGCGTGACTGTCGAGGGAGAGATTCTTCCCAGGTCCCCGACTTCCACGTAATGGGAAAACGTCTTCAAACAAGAATGCGGTTGAAGGAACCAGTTACAGCGAACAGTCAGAGAATCACCCAAGGCTGCTGCTATTCGGGTTAAGAAACTTGAGGTATTTCCGACTCGCCCAAGCTAACTAAGCATATATTGACCCCCAACAGCCCAGCCACGCGTTGAAACCGTAAACCAAGCCTCTGAAAGACAAAAAACATCTCAGTGGAACTGTTGTGGAGCTTCCAATCATCGCTGGTCAGGAGGATCAGACCAGATGTGTAGTGATTCTGGCTCGTGGGCCGTGCTCTGTCTGCAGGATTTCATACGCATTTGTCATTCGCCGGAAGTCCTCCGCATCGCGCACGTTGTCCTGGGCCAGCCAGTTCATGAGACCAGCGCCATAGTTCGGATCATACTTGTTCATAGAATCTTGGGTCCCGCGCTTCCATCCTGAGGACATTTTGTCGATTCCGAAAATTTTCAGGTGTGAAAGGATCGAGAGCATCCCTAGCAATAGTAACTTGGGCCAGATGTACCAAACCTTGATCCACAGATGCTGGAAGAGCCCAATGTTGAATGCGAAGATGATAAAGGGAATGGATACTGCGAAAGAGATGCCAACTGAATATTGTCAGAGCTTAGGGCTTTTGATATCAGACTAAGGGCTGCCAGCTGGCTTACATATTAGACCACTGACATAGCCTCTTGGCCGGCTTTTATTGCCTTCTTTGTCCTTTGGGAATTGCTGGATGGCAAGGGCAAAGAAGGACGCCATGAACGCGAGCGGGAGCTTCTTGTGTCAGAGATATTCGGTCGCCAAAATGTCATTTGCACGGTATCAGGTTGTCACTCGATGGTTCAAGAGGTCAAATAGGATTCCGTGTACGTAGAGGTCAGTTGGTTCCGACTTCGAGTGCTGTTACTCTCTTCTCTTCTCTCCATCTTCTTCGGTATGCTATCAGGCAAGGCACCAACAACTTCGACATTCAGAGTCTCTTCATATAATACGCTAAATCGCCCATCCCATCGTTATCCCACTTGCTCTGCCCGTTGCCCAACCACCGGAACCGATTCTTGCTCCGCCAGACAACGTCGAAATGCTCGCCGCCCAGACTCTCCAGACAGTCCTTAAAGTGCAAAATGGTCCCGGCGTACGTGCCGGTGACGGTGCCACGTTCCTTGCCGTTCTTGTACCAGGACCGGCAGTTGTCTGCCCACACCATGGACTTGAGAAACTCCTGGGAATAGGTGTTGAAGTCGGCGACCGCTTCAGCCTTTGGAGTAATGGATCTAAATTGTAAGTCGTTGAGATTAGCTAGTTGTCCGTCCGTCCATCCGTTTCTTTTCACCCTCGTTCGCCTGCGCAATCACCTGCACCTGCAGATGCTAATCACAGATACCACGGCCGACGTGGCCAATAAGGGGAAAGCATTAAAACAATAGAGTGTGGTCCCTGTCGATAAGAGAAGTGCGAAAACTTACTTGATATCTTGAGTGGCAATCTTCTCCGCCCAGCGGAGAATATAGTCGCAGGTCCAAGAAATCTCGGTCAGGACGGAACCATGTGAAATGGGACAGTTGGGTCCATTGAACATGTAGTAGTTGGGCATGGTGTCGACCTGGACGGCGAAAAAGGCCTCGGGGTCAGTCTTCCATCTTTCGTCCAACGTCGCCCCGTTGAGCCCGACGAGTTTCCACGACGGGATGAAACTTGTGTCAAAGCCCGTGGCGCAGACGATCATGTCGAATTCTTCTTCCCCTCCTTCTGCCGTCTCGATCCCCTTGGCCGTGATTCGAGTGATGGGAGACCAGTTGATGCTCGCGTTTGGTTGTTGAAGAGCTTCGAGATATCCATCACCGGGCTAATCGAGATTTCCAGCTTGTTAGTGGGCTTCAATCTCTTTTCAGCGGAACATACTGGCGGAACATACTGTCAGGCGACGGCAGCCAGGATGGAAGCTGGGGATCAATTTGTCCGCCATCTCAGGGTGATCCTTGAGGATGGCGCCCATCTGAGCTTTACACGCAGCCTCGAGACCTTGCTGGAATGGATGACCCGTCTTCATTCCGAAGAAGAACCCATTCACCCTGGTGGTCGAGGATTTCCCGAAAGGTTAGCCATTGAGGTTTTCTGCAAACCCAAGAAAATATCCGAGAAAAACTTACGACGCTTCCAACTCTTTTCGTAGAGTAAAATGAGATTCGGGGTTTTCTCTGAATTCTTTTCGTTGCTCTTCGGTATACGAAAAGTTTTTGCCGTCGATGGTCTTGTCGGCGCAGAAATTGATCGAGATCCAGCTGGGATTTCGGATGTAGGTGACGAGTTTCGACACTTTTGGTTGCATGGCCGGCACGATTTGGATCCCCGAGGACCCGTTCCCGATCACGGCCACTTTCTTTCCCTCCCATGAGTAGTCCTTGTCCCTGCACAGAGAGACACTTCTCAGCCTTGACCTCTTTCTAGTTAGACTTTGTGAACACGTACCAATTGGCGCTGTGGACGAGTTTCCCTTTAAAGTCATGTAGACCAGGAATCGCAGGCCATTTCCATTTGCTTGATTTTCGGTTAGACATCGCTGAATGCTATACAGAGTCTTCTTGACTTACTTCAGAAACCCGGAGCCATTGACCAGGATATCGGCGGTATCCTCGCGGACGACTCCATTCGCGTCAAACTTGATCTTCCACTGTCCCGCCTCATCATCCCAAATCGTCTCCAAGATTTTGGACTTGAGCGAGACGTATTTATCCAGGTTGTACTTGGCCACGGTTGCCTTGATGTAGGCGTGAATCTCGGGCTGGGCAGGGTAGAACTGCGACCAGTTCGGGTTCGGCTCAAACAAGAAGGTATAGGCATCTAAGACAAACGATCCCCAAATGTTAGTGTGCGTGCTTTCTTTCATGGGCCAATGCCGTCTTCACAAGGTGAGAGCCTCACGAGCTGGGATATCACTAGTAATTCTGTGGTCAGGTTCTGATGTGCTCTGGCTGACAAGGATACAGGGGAGAGACACTCTTACCACGCGGCACCGGGATACGTGTTCTCGTACCAGGTCCCCCCGACGTCGGCGTTCTTCTCGTAGATCTGAAGGTCAATGACATCCTCCAGCTTCAACTCATGCTGGATCTTGTGTGCCAGAGTGAGGCCCGAGAACCCAGCACCGATACCGACGATCCTCAGTTTCCTCCTAGTCAGGACCGGAGTATCCAACAAAGGGACCCAGTTTGGCCGTTGGCTGACATCGTTGGGTGCTTTTTCCTGGATAGATCCCATTTTCTTTTTGGTAAGATGATTGCCCTGTGTCACTTTGTGTGTCGACAAGGAATATATATCTCCACGGGGAAGTATCCGGGCCCTTCGTCCCTTGATAAATAATAAAAGAATTGGGCGCCACGAGAGCGGTGTGAAGTAGTCTCCCATCCACTCTCTCTTCCTGTGGAGACCTTCTCGTGGACCAGTTTCATATTAACGGATGATGGTGGAGCACACTCGGTCGTGGCACCAAGCAGTTCTATGCACTCGGTAGACAGTAGTATTATGGGTGAAACGAAACTGGCAGCTGGTCCCAAAGGTAAAATGGCCATTGTGGTTCCAGCAAGACAGTATCATTCGCTGCTTAACGAAGGATATGTGCGAGTAGAGTATCGAGTAGGGATATTCCCAGTTCCCAGGTCCCAAGCAAGTCAGGTCCCCAGTTCGCCTGCTGGGGAAAGCTCAGGCCCAAAGGGTAGCTAACTATTAGGTTGTCACGCTATTCGTCGCATAAGGTGCCCGATCGACAGCACACCACCATGCTGGGATGATAGAGAAAAAAGTCTTTTTCCACAGACCTCGGCCAAGATCAGTGGTAGCACCAGGCAGGCTATTGTACCAAGTCACTCCACTGTGGCTTTTTGCTGTGTTGTCGTCAAGCCTATCGAGTGCTTATACCACCTAAAGTATTGTGTCGTGATCCGGAGCAGGTACTCTATCCTGTCCCTGAGCTCCTAACCAATTGGACACAACTACTCCCTACTCAGTACGCGTCCCCTTCCCAGTGACAGCCTTTCCCCCCACTTTGTCCCTCGTCCTCGCCATCCTTTTCGTGGGCGGCACCCGAATCGCCTCGGACTAGCGGGCCACCATCAAGTCGTCGGAGCCAAGAAACAAGAGAGTGACTGACTCGTGTCTCGATTTGTCTCCAGCTGCCGACGATCATGAACAAAGTTAGAGTAGTCTTTGAGTAGTCCGGGGCCGCACTTAGCCTTACTCGGAGATCTGGACCGGCCCGTTGAACACAATCCTCCGTAACTACCCCCCCCCTAAAGTTACTCCGCAAAGGGCTCCAGAAAAACCGTTAGAAACGAGGATTCCAATCCAAGGTACAAGGTACTTGGGTACGCGTACGAGGGACCAGATACTCGTTCCGTTGGCTCAGCCATGGCTCGGCTGCAGCCCTGAAACACCTGAAAGTCGGGGCTCACCCAAGATCGACGACACTTCGTCCGTATTGGGATGCCCATCTGGAGACGTGCACCCCCTTCTTAGTCCTTGCGTAGTTTTGCTCCAGCCACTTGTGCCCAGGGACTCGGATCCGAGGATCGAATACTGTTCCTGTTGTGCCTGTTCTTCAAGCTTACCCCTACAGTTCTGATCTGCACAATGTTAGGTAGCCATGCGTTTGCACTGACCCGACCGTACTGTGGATCCCCAGCTTTGCCCAACCTGCGAACTGTCAACCTCCCGACCTGCATTGAAGTTTCTCCACCGAGTGGTCAACACTTACGTACTCCGTACAAAGCATGTCGAAAAAGTCTAGGTCGAAAAAATCTAGTTCGAGAACCATTGCAGATTGCTTGCCAGGTTCTAGGCAAGTCGAAAAGGCGTCTTGGCTGATCGGCGCAACTAGCTCAACGGCTGGAAGGGATATGGGTCCCGGGCATATTATTTCGCACGACGAACTCCAGAAGGCAGTGAAATCTCTGGCGCTGAGTGCTACTTGGTACCGAGTACAAATTGGGCTTTTGAAAATACCGAGATTACAGTAGTCCCGAGGACTTTGGCCACTCTTTCGAGACCAAGGCTTCCTGAATGAAATCTTCAGGCCTAATACTACTTACTGCCCACTTCGTATTCGGCCCCGTCGCCTTGTGTCTTGTCACCAACTCATTCTCAGTTAAAGAAGCGGAGAACGATCTATACCCAGAATGACCCAGTTTGATTCATACTGTTGTTTTGGTTATGCAGATCATCCGGTACGCCTTGAACAGCTACTGCCCCGGACCAGGGATCAGGGACCGGGGATCAGGAACCGGGATTGCGCAAGGTCCAGCTCCAATTCTCTTCTTGTACAGAGTATGGCCTTGTGGATTCCCATTTGGGTCACAGTGCTCCTCAATGTATACTATGTACTCGGTACATGGCTAGTCTGAAGTGATATGAGACCCAAACGGTCTGGGATCTGGGATCTGGGGGTATCCCAAGGAGAGGCAAGTCAAGTAAAGACCCTTTTTTTTATAATACCTTCGCCTTGAGTGACTCTTTGAGCATTTCTTTTTCCTTCGTTATTACACTTCTTATATCGTCGACTCGCAAGCTCGAGTGGCTTTCTTTACTTGTCCCTTCCCTTCATCTTTCGGGTGTCCCCTTTTTTTCAGCACGACCAAACCATCCAATGTCTGCAAGCGGAGCTTTTGGACCTGCACCTCCGGGCATTGACCTGTCCGAAACCAAGAATGGCGCCATTATCAGAGCAGTTGTCAGCCTGATGGTCATCGGGACCCTCGCCGTCATGCTCCGTTTTGCGTCGCAGTTGATGCGGGAGAAAGGAAAATTCTCCTGGGATGACTACTTGATCCTCCCAGCATTGGTGAGTTTCCCCGATATTGAGGAACAAGGATAAAACAACATGGACTAATTCTCGACAAAAAACAGCTTCTGGCACATGGTACAGCAGTCTGCTCGCTCGTCAGTGAGTTTGAAATCTTTTCCCCCAGCACACGATGTTGGAAAATTTGACAAAAATGACCAGGTCTTCCATACGGTGGTGGCAAGCATCTTTGGGCCGTGTCGGGAGAAGACTTTACGACCATTTGGCAGGTATTTATCCATCCCATTTTTCTAACAATCTATGTTGCCCTTGTCGCCTCTGATGCTTTGGGCGAACTCGAACTCTCCCAGTTTTGACCAGTCTTTAATTCTCCCGAACAGATTCTATTCTCCTACGTGATGATCTACGCAGGCGCCGTCAGCTTCACCAAAGCATCCATCGTCATGTACTACTGGCGTCTCTTTCGCCAGAGGTGGTCCACCTATCTCGGTCTCTTCTTGGTCTGGAGCTATTTCGTCGTCATTGTCGTCACCATCAATACCGGTTGTCAGCCATTGGAGTATTTCTGGGTGAGTCGGTCCCTTTCCACATACTCTCTCGGCAGAGTGACAACAAAAGAAAAACCGACAAGGAGGGGGAATTGTACACACGCTGACCCCGTTTCAAAAACCACCAGACTCAGTATACCACCCCCGGGGCTAAGGGTCACTGTATTGACGTGCCGTTATTCTTCTTCGCCAACGGCATCTGGGCCATGCTTGTCGATGTTTGCATCTTGATCATCCCAATTCGACCTCGTGAGTATCCTCCCACTCCTGTTAAATACTGGCGGTGTTTCACATGCTAAAAATATTTGCTACAGTTCTAGGATTGCGCATGTCCACAAGGAAGAAGTTCATGGTTGGCGGCGTCCTTGGACTCGGAGGCTTGTAAGAGAGTCCGCAATTAGCGCTTTTTCTTCCCGAGAAAATCTAACAATAAAACACAGTGTCTGCATCGCCTCAATCGTGCGCATCATCTCGATCCATCAGCTCATCCACAACGACGACCTGACCTGGTCCATGGCCAGCGTCTTCATCTGGTCGTGCTGCGAACCCTTCATCGGCATCCTCTGCGCCTGCATGCCCTGCTACGCGCCGCTGCTACGGCGCTTTTGGAAATCGGCCGGCTCGCAGTCCCGATCAGTACCCACGAGCGGCTTTTCCAGCGGGAACATGAATGGGTCCACCATGGGAAAGTCTAGCCAGGGTATCCCGATCAAAGTCAAACGGGACTGGGACCGCATCGTCAACCCTACTTTTGGGGACGACGAGGTTCAGTTGACCACCTACACGACGGGACCGGGAAGTACCCGCACCAAGGGCAGTGATGAGTCCGGGTCAAAGGGTATCACTGTGAAGACGGACATTCACTGGGAGTCTCACGCCGTTTAAACACGCCTCGTCCCCGCGACGCATATGTGGGAAATTGACTGCGGTGGCACTGCGATGGAAAAAGCACACACATACACTCGTTTGTGGACCGAGCTCGGTCGTGAAAAAGGAAGAAGAGGGGGTGGTCGATAAAACAACAACAGTATCTCAACGCAGTCGGGCAGTCGGGCAAGTGCGGATATGAATGGAGCCATCCATCCATCATGGGATCCCCAAGTCTTGTCACACTCACCCGTCTCGCCTGCCTCAGATTGGGAAAGCCACTTGTATTTGAAGGCCTTGTCCGGAAGAAACCAGCCGCGAGAAGCGAGCAAAAGTAAAAGCAAAAGCAAAACACTCAAGGTCGAATCAGCCGGCCGGCCGGTCGATTGTGAGTATCAAGACATGTATTATATATATATATATACACAGTAAATATACCGTGTAGCAAAAGTTGAATGAAAAACTATGGCTGGCCGGTCGGTCCAAAAGAATATTATATAGACGGACAATCAGTCGGGGGGTGCTAGAGAGATCTCGTTAGAGACCCCACTGGCGACCCCGTTGGCGACCCTCCTCCGTTCACCACCGCTCATGTGCAGAGTGGCGCACGGAGCGAGTGATATCTTTAGCGAAATGGACATGGTTCGCACGTTCAAAGAGAGGGGAAGATGGTATCTGTGTCCGGTTACTACGGAGGACGAGACTGTCGCATGCATGGCATACCTCGTACATAGTCCATACCTACTGTACTGCTCCAGAGTACATGGTACCTAGAAGTACCTCGTAAGTACCAATCGACCGTGTTAGACACAAGACAGACAACACTACTAGATGCCAAAGAGAGCCAAAGGGCACCAGGACGAATTTATGTTAGAGTCACGTGAAGTAATTCATGCTGCGATCACCTGACTCCAGCATGAGCCAGCTAATCAGGGAAGCCAGGTTGCCCCAGCCAATCAAATCCGCGGCTTTTTGGGATTTATCCTTTATCAGCTACAACGAGTATGAGCAACGCCTTACTGCTTCGCTTCACTCAATAACCTATGGACGAGAATCGTCTGACTTATTCGTAGTTCTAAGCCTTGCTAGTTCTAAGCTTTGCTAAGCAGCCAGGCACCAATTAGACATTATCACCATCACTACCACGGCGACCCTGTTCTTTCTCCCGGACCCTTTGTGTCCATATTACTACCTCACATCGCAACCCCCTCAGCGCTCTTCTGCTTATACGCCTGCGCCGCCACCAACACACCCGCCTCGCGACTAAACTTCCCCTCCTGCGGCTGCAGCGGATGATGCCAGATGAATTCCTCTCCATTCGCCTCGACTGTCTCTCCCTCCTTGCCGCGCGTGACCCAATCGTCATTGTTGTAGTCGACAGCATCGACACGGGCGAAATTGACCAGCGTGTCGAAACACCGAATGACGGTGCTCGTGGGCGTGAGCTGGTCTGGGCCGAGTTTACTCGCCAAACCGGGCGGGAGGCCCGGAGTGTCGACGATAGCAGGGCACACGGTGTTGATATGGACGTTGGCCGTGGTGGCGGCGCCGTTGCGGGCGAGCGCTCACACGAGCCCGATCAGCGGATGCTTGCTGGCCGTGTGCTGCGCGAGGATGGGGATGGGGAAGATGCCGCCCCCGGAGGCGGTGATGATGATTTTGCCACCCGATTTAGGTGTGCCGGCGTGGGTGCTCGGCACTGTCATGTAATGCGCAGCGAGTTTGATGCCGTAGAAGCTGCCACGCAAAGAGTCAGAGATCAGAGTCAGAGATCAGAGTCAGAGTCAGAGTCAGCCAGGGGAAAAGACGGAAGAGAGGGACGGACTGTATTCTCAAAAAAAGAAAGGGAGGTAGGGAAACTTACGCCCCAGTAACATTCACCTCAAACGGCCGCGTATCCGGCTTCGACGGCGGCCTGTCCACATCGCCCGAGAGATTCTCAAGCACGTCGTCTCCATGGTCGACACCCGCGTTGAGCGCCACAAATCCAGCCGCCCGCTCCACGCATACGCTTGCTTGAACAGGTCGGCCTGGTCCTGCCAGGAGGAGATGTCCGTCTTGACGAATAACGTCTCCGGCAGGGACTCCTTGGGGGGTTGATGTCGGCGACGACGACGCGCCAGTTCAGCGAGACGAGGTGTCGGACTAGGGCGTTTCCTATGCCGGACAAGCCACCGGTGACGATGGCGGTGGGAGGTCCCATGGTTGGGTTTTGAGAATGTTCAAAGCGAAGTACTCCTCGCAAAGATATTGGGATGTAGTGTATAGGAGGTGACTCGGTGCTAAAGGTCCGACGGGCGAGTGAGTTTGGTGGTTTGGGGGGATATAAGCTGCCACCGCCAGATATGGCCAGCAACGCAGAACCATCAGCCTACTACCAAAGCTGTATTCTTCGCAGCACATCTTGTTCGTTTCAAAAGTCTGTCGTTATCATCCGACAAAGCCGAGCAAGGCCATCGAGCCGCTACCCAGGACAAACTAATGGTGAGCCGACCGTATTAGGAAATGCCGATAGCTGAAGCAACAACCTCTTCGGCTCCTGACAATGCCGACTGTTAAGCATGTCGTGAATGCGGAGCGCTGAATCAAACGCACCGAGTAATGGAGGCGTGAAGTCTCGGGATGGAGTAGTACAAGTACAAGTACAAGTCCGCCATCTAGCAAAGACACCGGGTCGTCCATGTGACAGCCTCAAGTATCGAGGTCTCGCCGAGCTCAGTCCTCGACCTTTCCGTTTTAAAAGTCAGACAAGCACTGTGTCCTCTCCATCTCCGTCAATTACTTAAGTCTTTCACCTGTCATACCAAGCAAGCCGCCACTGTCACTGTCATTCTTCTTCGTCATGACTCCGCCACTCATCACCCTCGAGGAGCACTGGTACTCGCGCGTGGTGTTCGACTCGTACGACAACTCCCTGAAAGAAGCAATATCCAAATGCCGGGGCCCGGGGGAAGGGGGGGGGGGGCGCGCTCGAGAGACTGTTCGACGCCGCCGACGTGCTGCGGCTCAAAGAGATGGACAACGGCAAAGTGGCTGTCCAAGTGATTTCGCACTGCGCTTGAGGCCAGAGCCATACATGACAGTCAAGTGTCGCAAACAGATCCCACCTGGTCAGCAGAATTACGGTCACGGTGTCAATGAACACATACGTGGACCCAAGCCATCTTGAAAAGAAACCTGCGTCAGTCAAGAACTCAAGAAGATGTGGTCAGAATCAAAGCCTTACGGTGTTCATGCCAATATGGGCTCAAGGCCGATCAAAATCGAAAGGGGTTCTTTTGGCATGGTCCCTCCTCCCTCTCGTGAGTATGAGATAGCTAGCCTCTACTCCATCCGTATTTTGCAGTCTGTACGAGGGAATCGAACCGCTGCATAGCTACTAGTGCTAGATTGTCAATGTCATAAAGGAACTTCGTACACCATCTCCTTCGCCATCGCGGTCTTTGGATACGTTTTTTGATTATTCCTTCCCTCTTCTCACGAATTGGGACAACTACATCGGCTAAGAGTCCCTGGAGAGCAAGGGTTTATGCTCTCTCCCAATCCACGATTCAGCACGACGCGCTACGTCTGCACCTCGCAATCCCACGAGCCCACCAGCCTTCTACCAAGGCAGAATTCGGGCTCGGCGAGCACTCCACAGCCCATCACCCTTGCCTAGGTCGATTCGTTCCTCGACTTCCACGCCGCGAACAAGTTGCGGAGAGCCCGAAGGCCGTACATCTGCACTGTTCCACTGGTTCACTCGTCCGCAGACTCTGGGGTGAGGCATATTTGCCATTGGATCGAATATCAGGCGGCTCTGAGGAGGCTCGCCTAACAGCCCGTTCAGGTGGGAACGCAATATGCAGCACCATGGCAGGTTGCCTTCAACATCGACTCCAGCCCCAGGGAGGTGAAGGACTGATCAGGAGACAGATACACTCCATACATCATAGACTTATGGTCTGAAACCACATCATCACTATGTGGTCTCCAAGGAGAAGTCACGTAGCCTAACGGCCTGGCAACTCCACTTACAGTATGTATGTAGTTATTGTCACTGTCTGTAGTCCAAGGTGAGGCGTAAGGGAGAGGAAGAAACGACAAATGATTAGCATGGCTGTTTACCCACTGAAGGAATGTAACATTTGCTTCGATAGGAAGGGCACCGACGGCATGGAAGGACGAACGGGAGAGAAGAGGCCAAGGGCTTGTCGACGCTGTCGGATCCATTGGTTCGAAGATCTCGATCGGTAGGCCGAAGCTGTAGGTTTACAGCAGACCGTCCTCTGCACCGGGTAAGTCATTGCTCTAGTGTCGATTGTGTTTTGGGAGCAGTCAAGAGAAAGCTGAGAGAGGGAGGGAGACAATGTTTGGGACATAGCGAGAGGATTCCTTCGCATTCGGAGCCTCAGAGGTAGGCATGGCGGGCTAATCATACAAGTGGTCGTTATCACCGGTGCCCAATGGGCGAGTAAGGTTGGCGACACACCATTCAGGCCAAGCAGTCAGAGCCTTCGGCCCCCACGACCGGTGCCGGATCGAGCGGGTGTGGTGTCGAGTCACCACGTCTGTGCCCCCCGGTTGATCTCGTTCTGATCAACAGCCGACCAATTCATGGACCATACCGAAAACAGCGGGGGTTATTGTTGCTCTCGCTGCCGAAGAAGAAATTCGCTAGCCTGATCAGTCCAAGACTAACCGGTGTGGTGAAAACATTGGGCTGAAGCACTCCTTGGCCCTTTACCGGCCGCTTCTGTCCTGTAAATTGATACGACTAAGAAGGGAAGTCGCTTCTCATTCCGCTTTTGACGTAAATTTACATCGGCGTATGGGTCCATGGGGTGACCATATTAAGAACTTTGCATATGTAGTCTCAGGGTGACGCGTAGCCTCATACACTTGGGTCCCAATGATACCAATAGCAATGTGCTTCTTGACAACACAGCGAGTAAGGCGCACACAAGGCGTTTTTCAAAGATGTAAGCGTTTGCGATGAGTCGATGTATACTGAGCTGGTCTACATAAGGTTGACATCCCATCCTGTATGCAACTTCCATGATACTCGTCCAAAGACATTCCCTGCTTTATTGTTCGTGATCGCGACCGTTTTTCCCTTGAGCATCCAATCCTCCTGATTGCAAAGTGAAGAACAAATTCTTTCTCAACATCTTCACAATGACCAGATATCCTGTGCTGGACCGAAATGATTACACGGCAGGATGTGTATGTGCCTTGGCCGTAGAGGCGGGGGCAGTACTGGACATGCTGGATGAAAAACATGCTACACCGCCGCTACCAGAAAATGACGACAATTCTTACCAACTAGGAAGGATTGGTGAGCACAACGTTGTGATTGCGTGTTTGCCTATTGGACAAGTGGGAACCAACCACGCCGCGGCCGCCGCGATGCTTATGCAGTGTACCTTCACTTCGATCAAGTTCTGTTTGTTGGTAGGGGTCGGAGGAGGTGCTCCTAGCGATGACCACGACATCAGACTTGGCGATGTCGTTGTCAGTGTTCCCGGCAAGCGCAATAATGGTGTCATCCAATATGACTATGGGCGGCTGATCAACGATGGTGAATTCGAGCACACAGGCGCAGTGAACGCACCTCCCAGAAAGCTACTCACGGCAATAAATTTCCTCAAAGCACAACACGATCATGTCGATCATCAATTGGTTCAATATCTCTCTGTGAGTGACGCATCACGCAAACCGAAATACCCATATCGAGGAGCGGGAAACGACCATTTATTCAAGGCGGAGTATAAACATCGTAAGGACGAAAAGACGTGCGACCGGTGTGATATGAGTCAGTTGGTCTCACGATCCTATCGGAGTGGGACTGGACCTGTTATTCACTATGGAACTATTGCATCTGCGAACAAGGTGATGAGAGATGCTAAAACTAGGGATCGTTGGGGACGCGAGGCAGACGTCCTATGTTTCGAAATGGAAGCGGCCGGACTGCTCGCCGCATTCCCTTGCGTCGTCATCCGAGGAATCTGTGACTATGCAGATTCACACAAGAACAAAGAGTGGCAGGTCTACGCGGCGGCAACCGCAGCAGCATATGCCAAAGCTCTTTTAATGGTTGTTTCGGGAAGCAGGCCTTCAAGTCCATCTTCCATTGGGAATGATGTGCCACTTACACAGATGAAAGCTCTGAACTTGAATTCACCCCGAGTCAGTGATTCAATCTTGAGACTTTTATACCAGCGCAGGTATAGCGAAGCGGAGAGTACCTATCAACGAGCGCAGAAAGAAAAGAGCATGTCAGAGAATGAACACGTGAATATTTTGATGACACTTCAGCACTCAGGAAGTCTGCTTCATGATCAAGGCAATTATCGCGAAGCAGAAAGGATATACCGATTGGTACTAGGAGGAAGTGAGGCTATACTGGGAGATATGCACCTGAACACTATATCGGCCGTTGATGATTTGGCATCGGTGCTTCATGATCAGGAGAAGTATGAAGACGCAGAACAGATGTATCGCCGAGCGCTCGATGCCAAGAAAAGAGTATTGAGAACAGATCATCCAAGTACTCTGGCAACTATCCATGATCTAGCGGTGGTGCTCCAAGAGGAGAAAAAATACGAATATGCCGAGAAGAGATATCGACGAGCACTCGAAGGAAGAGAATGTACCCTGGGAATCAAGCATCGGGATACATTGCACACTCTTACATGTTTAGCATCAGTGCTTGCCGACCAAGAGAAGTATCCGGATGCAGAGAAAACCTATCGCCGGGCACTAGACGAAAGAGAGAAGAGCCAAGGTGTCAGACACCCTGATACCTTGGAGACCCTGCACAGTCTAGCATCGGTACTTGACGACCAAGAGAAATATGCGGATGCCGAAAGGATGTATCGACGAGCACTCGAAGGACGACAACAGACCCTAGGCACTAAGAATCTGGACACCTTGGACACTCTTACCTGTCTGGCATCGGTACTCGCCGACCAAGCAAAATACCAGGAGGCCGAGAAGCTTTTCCGCCAGGCACTAGCTGATAGAGAGTATATTCAGGGTATCAGGGACCAAGAAGTCTTAGAAACCCTTGAGAGCCTCGCAGCGGTACTTGACGAACAAGAGAAATATCAGGAAGCCGAGAAAAACTATCGCCTCCTCTTGGACAGAATGGGTGAACACCCAGACAGGCTAATGACTCTTGAAAATCTAGCATCGGTGCTTGAAAATCAACACAGGTATCAAGCAGCAGAAAACATATACCGTCAAGTTCTACATGAAAGAAACCTCCTGGGAGCTGAGCATCCAGACACTTTGGCGACTATGGATAGCCTCGTCTCAGTACTTCTGGACCAGGAAAAGTTCCGAGAGGCGGAAACTATGTGTCGATCGACGCTAAACGCCAGACAGAAGTCTCTCGGGCCTAAACATCTGGATGCCTTGGAGAATCTCCAGAGTCTTGGAGAGATTCTTGGTGATCAAAATAGGTATCTGGAAGCAGAGAGAATATATCGCCGAGTTCTCGAAGAGAGAGAGATAATACAAGGATCTGGGCATCCCGATACTCTAGCGGTTATGGACTGCCTCATCTCAGCCCTTGTGGAGCAAGGAAAGCTCCAAGAGGCGGAGACCCTGTGTCGATCGTTGCTGAAGACGACGCAGACGACCCTCGGCCCTGATCATCCAGACACTCTGGACGCTCTCGAGGGACTTGCAGAAATTCTTTACGAACAAAATAGATGTCTGGATGCAGAGAGGATATATCGTCGAGTCCTCGATGGAAGAGAGAAAATACAAGGGCCTGGACACCCGGAGACTCTCGAGACTATGGACTGCCTCATCTCAGCCCTAATGGAGCAGGGGAAGCGTCAAGAGGCGGAGACTATGTGTCGATCAACGCTAAAGGCTAGACAGAGGACTCTAGGGCCTGAGGCTCTAGAGACTCTGGACAATCTCGAGGAACTTGCAGAGATCATTCAAGATCAAAACAAGTATCAGGAGCCAGAACAGCTATTCCGTCAAGTTCTAGAAATCAGGCAGAGAGTACAGGGGGTCAGTCATCCAGATACCAAGATGACGGCGGAGAGGCTCAAGGCACTCCTTCAACGGCGAAAGAGCGCGGTGGCGAAAAAGAAAAAGGGAACTAGGAGAACGACCAAGGGAAAGAAAAAGACTACCAGCAAGAAGACCAAGGGAAAGCGGACTGTCAGCAAGAAGACGACCGGAAAGAAGACTACCAGCACAAAAAAGGGTGTCAAGAAGAGGTCCACAGGAGTGAAGAAGAGAACTAAAAGGACTCGGTAAACTCGTTCCTGGAGAGACAGAGCGGTTTATGTGCTCTAATGGTGGGCGGATGAAATGAAGTACTGACAGCATTGGCCCTGTGTACTTTTGAACAAGAATACAATAACTGATCAATACCAAACCGTAGATGTTCATTCAGATCACCAAATCACAGACAGCTATGTGTGGTGAAGGCGTCGTCCCAAGGCTGAGACGTCGTGCTGCATCGTATAGTCGTCTTTTCGGCAGGGACCTCGTCGCGAAGGGTGACGCTAGAGGGTTTTTACACAGCACCAAATCTCCTTGTCGAAAAGTCCACCCTTTTAGAGAACGGAGCTTCTCAGACCGGACAAGTCAAGGTGTTGCCAGTCGAGATTCGTCGCTGCGGGACACGATTGTCGTCTCGGCTGTATATTTCAACCTCATCATCAACACCTAAATATACAGTCTGTCTTCTAGTATATGATTGCCTAACTGTAAGGCCATGTTTACCGTACCTGCACTTGCCATACTCATGCTCACTCTGAGATAGCGCCATAACACAGGCTGTAGTGTAGGTAGGGATAGCATCTGCTACGTACAAACGAACTTGCCGGTGTGGGCACTTGCGCTCGGAGTTGCGGGCCGAAGTCATTCCCGAGTTCAGTATTGTAAGGCTGAGACGCGGCGCCCACGACTGCTGCGGACTGGAAGCAGTACATAATGAGGAGTAAGTCGACTGGGCCTTTGCTGACTGGAAACACTAGATGACTTCGAAATGGCTGCCACTGATGAGAAGGATGAGGACTTTAAGCAGAGATCGGAGTCAGTCTAGGGGACAATAGAATTCAAGTCAATCGCGACGGTCAACGAGGCAGACGAGTCGTCATTGGCCCCAAAACAGAATGCTCTGTTGGCGGCAGATGCTGTAAACACTCACCCAGCAACCAGACTCAACGCAGTATGCGAACATCGTCCATTCCCATTGGATTCGTAGCGGTCAAGCTGTGCTGTGTGCTGGCGCCGGAGAAACAATCGTTGTAAGAAGCCCATCCAGACCAGCACGAGTGTCTGTGCGATTTGGAAGCAGTCCAGCGAGGCCGCTGATATAAACCACTGGTAGAGCGGCGATTATGGAAACACTGTTGAGGGATATTAGTAACGTTCCTTATCGACAAGCGCTTTAGGAAAGCAGCCATCGAAATGTTGCGCCCTTTGCGTCATGTTGCAGCTCCGCATCGGACCATTTCCGCCATCGAGAATGCGGCTTCAGCGCCCAACCTCGCCAGGAACTCGGCTAGGACAACAATGCTTACCGATGGTGCAGCCTCTCCCAGCTTTATCTGCTTCCTAAGGAATTACCTAGCATGATGGAATGCGCGCTGTCTAGTATATGGCACACAGGTGGTGGGGGAGAAAAAGGGTATAGGGCTGGCTGGGAATGGAATATAAAAGGGGAAGGACGGAGCTTGACGACTCGATTAACTTACAACCAGGACAAGCACAAAACAACCAAGACCGTGGAGACCGAGACAACATCAACCCCAGAGTGCAGTTCAATCAAGTCAAGCTCGTTGCCATCTTAGTACGAAGTCACCATGTCTGACGCAGATGCTTACCTCGACTTCGCCGCCAACCGGCGCACTATTTACAACCTGACGAACGAATCGACCATTTCAGACGCGAAGCTCGAGGAAATCGTCAAGAAGACCCTGCTCGTGACGCCCTCTGCATTCAACACCCAGAGCGCCCGCATCATCGTCCTCCTGGGCGAACAGCACAAGAAGCTGTGGGACATTGTCAGGGCCGCCTTGGCTCCACACGTGGCCGGCAACCCAGAGCAAGCCGCAGCCACCGAGGCGAAAGTGAACTCCTTCCAAGCGGCATATGCCTCGATCTTGTTCTTCGAGGACCCATCCACGTACGACCCGATCATGTCGTTCGTGGCGTATGCCGACAAATTCGAGGCCTGGCGAGAGCAAGGCAGTGGCATGCACCAATTGGTACTGTGGACCGCGATGGAGGCGGCGGGTCTGGGAGTCCATGTGCAGCATTACAACCCGCTCATCGACGACGAGGTGAAGAAGACGTGGTCGATCGATGCGAACTGGAAGCTGACCGCTCAGATGGTCATCGGGAAACCAGCTGGCGAGAAGCCCGCTCCCAAGGAAAAGAAGCCCTTGGAAGGAAGATATCGGGTCATTGCTTGAGCTGCTTTGATGGGCGAGGCTCGTAGACACTGTGGACGGAGAGACGGATTGCACATGATTTATTCTCCTAGACTTGCTAAATTTTGAGCACCAGTAAAATACCACACACTTTGACATTTCCTCTTTGCCTTTGTTTCTTTGTCCGGGCACCCTAATAGTTCATTCCCTCCGATCATTTTGAATCAGTGTAAGAACTTGTTGTGGCTTGCCGAAGGTCGGCTGGTCAGTCAAAACGGATAGCCTAAACGACAGAGGCGACTGCCACGAAGAAAGAGTTGGTGATGGTTGGAAGCATGATCAAGATTTCGCAAACGAGAGCGGTCTGCCAAAGGTGTCGCCAGCGCAACCTCCATTCGCTGTCGTATTTGCTTTCCGCACATGGTTGCAAGGGCGCGATGTGAACCCTGTTGTCGTTGCCGATATCCAGATACAGCACCTGGAGGAAGAGGTAGAGCGCGCCAAACGTACTCGGATCGGCCGCCCAACAGAGGGACCATAGCCTTTCCACGTACATGTCTTCAAATGGAAACCATAAACCTTCGAAGTTGAGCTCCTTGACAACAGACCTTCTTGGCTTTTTGAAGTTGAGGGTAAGTAGAGGATCATCGCACTTGCCGTCTTCCCATTTCTCATTCGAGATCTGCTTGACAACCCGAATAGCATACCAGACAGCGTCTTTGAAAGCATTGATCTTTTGGCCTGGATTTTCTTTCTCCGGATCACCAACGACGGCAATGTCTTTTTCATAACGACAGTAAAGGGGCCCCGAATAATTTCTGCTCCGAAGGTTCCAGACGTCACCCCGATTGGCGAGCTCCGTACGCCTCTCAAACAGGAGCAGCTCGCAGTGAAGCAGTGCCATGACAACATCGCGGCCTATACAACTTGCCCCGGGCACCCACTTCGCGGCCTTCAGGGAACCTAGTCCTTGACCTTTTTCCTTTATAGGTTCCTTAGAGCTGTCCTTAAGTTCCTTAGAGATGTCCTTAAGTTCCTTAGAGCTATCCTTTGTGGGTTCTCTGGGGCTCGAATTATTATTCTCTCCCGGATGGTAGAGCCAGCGCGCGAGATACTGAATCTCTTTCTCCTGGTTGTACGCGTTCAAGGTTCGCAGCCGCTCAGATACTACTTTGGACATGGCAGATTTGCACTCATCTAGAGTGAATTTGTCTCTGACAACGTCCAAGGCGCCGAGTAAGTGCTGGTACTTGTCCAAGACCTTGTGTTCTGACTTGATCTTTCGGGTGATCTGAGCTTCCAATCCATGTCCTCGTGCCGGCAACGTGTAGACCATACAGTGGCCAAATGGAGACCACAGTGGAATTCTGATATCGTCCAGTCGGCTCTTGTGAGGCCAGGTTGTGTAACACTCGTCGCCCATAACTGCGTGAACATATAGGAAGGCCGCAGCGACCGTGAGGAGGGAAAGGGTGTAAAATTTAGCATTCCAAGCACCCAACACCCCAGGGGTCAAGGCCAACCACACAAAAATTATGAGCCCGACGGGTTCGATGTAGTACATCCGCTTTCCCGAATGCCAGGGTTTTGGAGACATACCGGCCACGTCGACTTCTTGGAAACCTTTCTCGGTGGCTTGGATATCTTTCTCTGCGTGTTTGTTTGTCTGTCGTTGGCTATCTCGCCAGAGGTTTTGATTTTCTTGATCCCAAATAGCTAGAAGATGGAACACAAGCCTTACCAACCACCAAGAAGAAGTGATCAGCAGAATCCATGGAACAAAAGCGAGTCGAGCCATGCATGGCCAAAATCTTCTGGGCCGGCAGCACGGGTGATCGTCCCACCAGAACGCCGTGGAAAAGACCATTGTCGCCCAGGAAGTCGACAATGCAAACATCGACAACCACATCCGGCAGTCCGTCGAGTGCACCCAGCAGAGACTCGTCTGGTAGCCTGAAGACTTGACATGGAGATGATAGAAAACAAGCAGGACTAGACAAGCGAGGACGAGGCTCAGATGGATCGATCTTTGGAATTCGCTTTCCGACTCGGCTGCCGATGGGAGGGTTACGTTGGTGACTGAGGTAAACAGAAGTGAGCCGCTGAGACGTGTGTCGTTGAGATATGTGCTGGTCCCATATCTTGGACCAGTGGGATATGACTCTAGCGCTGGAATAAAATATAGGATTAACGCGATGGAGTTCCTAATAGATGTCGAGATGAGCAATTGAGCCTGTATTGCAGTGAAGGAATCTTAGACATACATACACCGCAACATATCCATGTCAGCATGATATTTCTCCCAAGTTAGTTAATGGCTCAGGGCGGAATTTGCAATCCTCATTGGGGCGAAGTTATTTTTGATAATGAATTGCCAGGAGCGCTCAGGTCCTCACCTCATCTGCATATATATCTCTGCTGTAACAATTTCCACCCACCACAACGAAGGATCATACCACAATGCGCGATACGAATGGCAGCTGTAGGGTCGGAACCATTCACCTTGGAGCTCCCTGGAGCTCGTATCATCGTGTGCTCATCGATTGAGAGTGCCTCGATAGGCTCAGCTTCGTTTTTCACATAAAAAATGGTGCCCGATTGTTCATTGCGCCTGGGCTGAAATCCCTTTCGGTCGGGCAAGTCTGAGCTCAAGGGCAGCGGCGACTGGCTGTCACCCTCTTAATGGTTTCTTGAGAGACAAAAGGCAGGACATGCAGAAAGATTAGGAAGGTATGAGGTTAGCTGCGGAGGAGGCGAGTGCCAAACATCCCCATGACACAGGCTCCTCGCTTTGAGGTAGGTGGCGCACACGTAGCGAGCGCAGACCATTTGCCATTGGCTTGCCCCGGGGAGATCGCTCGTCATCAGGCCATACTCGGGCGATCATCAGACAACAGGACCTTCCACAATTAGTCGAGTTGTCCCCTTTGGAGGTCGATCAGATGTTGATTCTACCGTAAACGGCAGGTAGAAGGATGTCGAAGAGGAAGAAAGATGATCACTCCGCAGTCTGGAGACAGACTTTCGGTTGAAGCCGAAGCCGTGATGGGCTAGAGCGACCACGCCATTGATGCTTGTTGTCTTTGGCTGCGAAGTTGACATTTTCTTACCAAACCAAGTGGGCAATACCGAAGGTCTACCTTCCCCTGCTTGACGATCCGCCATCTTGCTGCCCATTCGACCTTGGCGACAGAAGCGATTCGTGCTGTAGAATTGAGGGGTGCATTTACCACCATATTGGCCAAGCTATGTACCAGTATGTGTCACAAGGCGTACACCTTACTGGCGCGTGCCAACTGCGATTGAAATACATTCGAAGGATTCGTCGCTGGCTGCCCCTACTCAGAGTCACGTCTCTATCACAGCCATGGATCGCGACGCTCGCCAGCTCAGATACGAGGTCTTCCAATTTATCCTGGAGAGGTGCCGCCACCCTACCGTCCAAGAGCTCGTGGTTCCTGGCTCGCGTGACGAGTCGCAGGTCACGCTACAGCTACGCAAGCTTCATGACCTCCACCATCTAAAGCTGCACGACGAGGGAGTGCCGACACCAACTCCGATCGCAATGGTCCACCCATTCTCCCATCTGTGAGTATTCCAGCAGCAGTAGCGGGAAGCTCAGCCAGCTAATATTCAAGTAGGCCTACACCCTATATCGTTGTAAGTGTCTTGAACAAAGACTCCGAATCCGTGCGCAACTGAATGTGAACAGTCGTTGACCTGCAGCTTGTCAGACAAAAGCAGGAAAGCTGTGGTGGGTGAATTGTGCATGGTGCGCGTTTGGTCTTGCTGCCATGCTGTCGCCGGGCGAGGTCAACGTCAAAGTCCTGACTCCGTCCCAAGGGGAGCTTTTGACCTTCGAAGTCGTCGATGGGGACATCACCAAAGTAATTGGTGAAAATGGAGAGAGATCACTGCAACAGTACTATGCCTTCTTCTCTGCGCCTCCCTCCAAGTGGTGGATAGACGTTCGTTTCGCCTGCAGCGGGATCCAGATTTGCACGTCTGAGCAAGAAGCCCAGAGCTTCGCTCAAAGACACGCCTTTCACCACGGCGATGTGATCAGCCTGGACAAACTGTGGAAATTATCAAAGGTAATTCTGCTACTACCAAATGAAGCCACGGCCAGTCTGCTAAGAATTGTCGCAGGCGTGGTATTCCAACAAGGCCGCTTACGACTATGACCGGATGACTCCACAGGAGGTAGAGAAGTTGTTCATGGACTTGGGTCTGACTTCGCTATATTGGACGAGTTGAATGTCCTGCTAGGGTAGGAGGAGCTCACTACCAGGAGCGTGAAGAAATCTAGTTTGCCGCCGAGTCCACGATGGGTCTATGCTGTTGCCTGTTCTAGGCTGGTGTCAAGTGCACATGCCTGGTCCCATGTATTCTTCTTGTGGCTCTCGGGTTTCACAATTGACTCCTGTGCCCAAATGTGCCGATGGATCCTTGGGGCAAGCCATAATCAGGCATCACGGTCTACCTGCGATTTCGCCACTGCCTGCGTGTAAGTTTCACTCAAACCGCTGGAAACCTGTTCTGGTGCCACTTACTTTGAATGATCTCATCCCATATTTCATCCATATAAAACAAGGACGATATGTGGCCTCCCGGCACCAGTTTGTGCTTGGTGGACCTGTAATTGTCGACCAGCCAGTTATTGGTGCTCCCGCCGATTTGGTCAACGTCTGAACTGACGACGAGGACTGGTTTCGACGCATGCTCTTCGTCAAGCTCCTTGGGCTCAAATCCCCAGTCGGAGTGTATCACGTCCGAGACCTCCATGAAGCCATCCCAGTTCACACAACATCGGATAATTCCTCGCGCCATCTGGTCCAAGAAGGCGTCCTCGGCCAGGTCATTCTTCTCCAGCCATTTGCCGAACGTCGACTTTTCTTCGTCGTCCATCTTGTCAATAAGCGTCTGCCGGAGGAACGTCTTCGCGCCGTCGACGGTGTGCAGTTTCGACTCGACTGCGAGGCGGAAAAGCCGCTGGAGAAGGTGGAAGGGAAGCACCCGTGTTGGGGGCCCGAAGGAGAACCAGTTCTGCCAGTTCAGTGTCTTCGCATAGCCTGGGTGGTATTTGAGGGGCGCGAAGCCGCTTAACAGGACGCACCCGACGATCTTGCGACCAGGAGGAAACAGGTCATACGGCGCTCCGTACAGCATTTGTGCCTGCACCGTGCCGTACGATCCTCCCGCAACGTAGAGGGCGTCAAAGGCGTCCGTGGGGTACAGATGCGCCAGCAAGGCGACCATGTCTCTCGCCAACGAGACGTAGTAGGGTACCTTCTTGTCGCGAGTGCTGGAATTCCCCATGCCCGGGAGCGTAGGCGAAATCCAGTGCACCCCGAGGTCGCGACACGGGGCAGGCGTGTTCGGTGCGGTGCCGACGCTCATGATGCCCGTGAAGAAGATAACGACGGTTCGAGACGTTGCGGGGCCGCTGTGGGCGTATGCCAGTTGCCGGTCGCCTGGTAAAGGGAGGATATGTTCCTCTTCTCCCTTTACCTTGTCATAGTCATCCATTGTCGCCATTATTTCCAAATTGTTTGAAGGTATAGAAAGTGCGCACTGTTATCAGTCGGGCTTTTTATTAGATGCCTGTTTGATCAAGGATTGTGCTTTTAAAGGGCAGCTCTTTGGTTGGTGCCTGGTGGCCAAGAGGTGTAATGACAGCAAAGGCCACTGACCAATGGAGCCTCCAAAACAGCTAGTAGGATCGAGATCACTTTCCTAGTAGGGCACTGCTAGTCGCAGATTGGGCGATAGTTTCAGTCGATCTTAAATGTATGTGAATGCTCAATGCGTGGTATAGGAGCTGGCAAGAGCTCGGTGCTGGGAGATGGTGTATACACTCCCGGGTTCATGGTTCTCTTGGGTTTGTGGGCGCAACTCTCTTGTATTAGTTTCCCAGAACCACCTCGCTGACAAGGTACAGGATTCAGCCGCACTGAGCCGTAAGTTTTCAAGAGCTGCCCTTTTCTTGTCACGCTGAATGCTGTTCAATCCTGGCTACGCGTCCGGCCCGTTGGGCTTGAAGACCACCTTGTTGACCTCGGCCCGTTCAAAGCGCCGCAAAGCATCTACACACGATTCATCCAGGCCCGGCAACACCAGATCTATGAATCCCATCTTCTCGATCGTGCTTTTGTTCCGGATCAGGGCTTTCAGGGCCTCGTTGAATACGAACCTTGCCGGGCACCGGCCGAACTGGATGTGGACATTCTTGTTGTAACAGTCTGCGGCCGTGAATGGGAGCTCGCCATTATGTACGCCTATTGCCGGTGTGGTGAGCGTTGAATCAAACAAGGGGCCAATGTGAGTAACAACATACCTACTGAGCTGATCTTGCCGCCCGGACAGATAACGTCGTAAGCAGTCTTCAGCGCGGGACTCAGACCAACCACTTCGATGACTGCATGAGCGCCATTGCCGTCCGTAAGGCTCAGTACCTCTTTGACAGCATCTACCGTCTTGAAGTTGAGAGGGATGCAGCCCAGGTCTTTGGCCCGTTGCAGACGATCAGGGACCGAGTCGATGGCGATAATTCGCGCGGGTTTGTATTCGAGGGCGCAGATGATCGAACAGAGCGCTACAGGGCCGCAGCCGATCACTACCACGGTCATGTCCTTCCACTGATCGCTTGGAGTTTCTCGGAAGGCGTTTCTCGCCCCGTTGAATCTGGTGTGCCGTTTCATCAGCCGGGCCTTGCGATCAATGGAAAAAGTAGGTGATTGGGGAAATGTCTGCCTACCCGGTAGGAAAAATGTCGGTCATCAAGATCAGCAGCTCTCCCAGGTCACCTTCATGCGGAGTGTGAAACAGCGTGGAATCTGCCAACGGCACTCTGAAATACTGGGCTTGCGATCCGTCCAATGCGACGGATCCAAACGACTTGCATTTCACGCAACGGCCGGTGATGCCCCTCTTGCAATGGAAGCATTCGCCACTGCAAATATTCAGTCTTTGCAATGCCAGAAACCGGACCATAGTACGAACCAACTGATGGTGAACGGGGCGATTATTCTGTCGCCCTCTTTGAAGTTTCTGACCTCGCTGCCGACCTCATGCACGATGCCCATGCCTTCGTGTCCACAGATGTAACCGGGCTGCATGTTGATCTTCGAATGCCCTCGATAGCGGTGCAGCTCACTTCGCGACATTCCACAGTCAGCACTTGAGAGCATTTAATCATACCGGAGGAGATAATAGTACCTCCCACACAGCGCTGCAGAGGTTGTTTTGACCACCACATCCGTCGGGTCTATCACGTGAGGGACTGGGTGTGGTCAGTAACACATTGCCAGGCAAAAGTGGCTTGTCTCAACGGACTTGATCGGTCTTCTAATCTCACATCATATGGGCCATGGAAAACGAGTGCTTTCATCGTTTCAGCGGAGCCCATTGTGGCGGGTTCAGTCGAGCGATGGGACGACGAGGCTGGCCTCCTTTCTTTTCGACGATGTGAATCGGGTGGTGGTCGCGGGAATCCCTGATGGCGAAGGCAAGCTGCTCGTCCGCTCTGAGTTTGCACTCTCGACGACACTGCACTTCTCGAAATGTCATGGATCACTTCGCCCCATCAGTAATGACCGGGTCCCCCATCTATCGATCGCTTCTACTCCATGCGCGTTGGAGAGAGCGCTCCTCGGTAAATGCTTCTGCGGGGAAACAACCTCCGGCAGGATCTCAATCACCGGGAAAAACGCCGAGTACGGCGGCACGTCACGCCTCATTGTGGTGATCAATGGTATGGATATGGCGCAAATGTGGTCGAGGTCCTTAGTTGGATTCTCACAACGCCAAGTCTGTCGAGACGGATGACAGCCTTGCGAGCCTGGTCATGGCCTCATGGACCTTTCTAAATCCTGTGACATCAATCCTTCGCATACCTGACAGCTCCGAGCTCCCTAAAAGCCAGCAAAGGCACACTCAGATACCGATCGTTATGCTTTTGATATTCAAGTATTCCTCCAGCGCCGCGATGCCTCCTTCCCGGCCCAATCCGCTCTCCAGGACACCGCCGAACGGCGCCTCAGCCGCGCTGACCAGCCCGACTCTGACCCCGACCATGCCCACCTTCAACGCTTCACTGACCCTCCACAGCCGCGAAATGTCCTCGGTGTAGAAGTACCCGGCCAAGCCGACGTCGGACGTGTTCGCCATCTTGATGACCTCCGCCTCGGTCTGGAAAGGGGCCAGAAAGGCCAGTGGGCCGAAGGTCTCTTCCTTCATGAACTTCATCCCCGCCGTGCCTCCCTTCACCACCGTCGCGGGGAAGAAGTTGGGGCCCAGGGTGTTGTCCTTGCCGCCGGCATGGACCCGAGCTCCCTTGCCCAGAGCGTCGTCCAAATGATCTTCCACCTTCGCGATGCCCTTTCCGGCGTACAACGGCCCGAAGTTGACCTTTCTGTCCCACACGGACCCGTAGGTGAAAGTGCGTTTCAACCCGTCCGTCAAGGCGTCTGCGAACTTGTCCAGTATTGATGCATGCACGAAGATGCGATTTGCACAGACGCATGTTTGCCCCGACGATCTAAACTTGGAAGTAATGAGACCTGGACGGTGTTAGATTGCATTTCCCCACCGTGAAAATTGTTGGAGGGCCGTTTTCCCGTAGACGATAGATCCGATAGAAAAGGGAAGAGAGAACACATACCCGCCACAGCCTTCTCGATATTGGCATCTTCAAACACAATAAACGGGGCGTTCCCGCCCAGCTCAAGACTGGTCTTCTTGATCGTTTTGGCACAGATCGTGTTCAGCAGACGGCCCACGGCGGTCGACCCCGTGAAACTCAGGTGCTTGACCGCCGGGTGACTACACAGTTCCTCGCCGATCGCCGGAGTGTTCTCGACGCCGGCAGTGACGATGTTGAACACGCCAGGCGGGCCGCCCGCGCGCTCAAACAGCTTGGCGAGCGCAATCGCACACAGTGGCGTTTCGGGCGCTGGCTTGCACACGACCGTGTTGCCGGCTGCGATCGCGGCGCCCACCTTGCGGGTGACCATGGCCACGGGCGAGTTCCAGGGCGTAATGCAGGCGACCACGCCCTGAGGCTCCCGGATCGTCAGGATTCGGTTGTTCCCGCGCGCCGCAGGGATGGTCTCGCCGAAGGTGCGCTCGATGCCGCCCTCGAACCAGTCGATAAAGTCGACCGCATACTGTACGGTGCCGAGTGACTCGGTGTACGGCTTGCCTAGTTCGAGAGTGCACAATGCCGCGAGGTCTTCCCTGTTGGCCTTGATCAGGTCGGCCCAGCGCCGCATCAGCCACCGCCTCTCCCGGTGGGGGGTGAGTCTGTACGTCTCGAAGGCTCTGCTCGCCGCTTCGATGGCGTTGCGGGTGTCTTCAGCGCCCAGGTCGGCGATGTCACAGATCTCAGCATCGTCCTCCGGGTCTACATTTCGCATTAGAGACGAGAGGAGATTGCTAGCCTCAGGAGCCGCTGGGCGCTCTCTCACCCGTAAGTTTGAACGTCTTGCCCGACGCGGCACCAACCCATTGGCCTCCGATCAACGACCGCGTGTCAATGAGAGTCAAGTCTTTGAACTGATGTTGCAAACGTCAGACCCGTGCCGTCGCTATTGAATATCCATCTCTCACCTCGTACGGTATAGACTTTTTGAACGGCGACTTGTTTGACATCGTGGCGTAAAAGTTGCGCTGTGATCTCACCGAGGCAAAAGCAGCTGGTCGTCTTGCAGAACGCTTTGGAGGCACATACAAAGGTCTGAACGGCAGGGGTCGAACCTCGCTGATTCTCGAAAGCCTCGTCCAATTTATCCGCATGGCGCTCAGGTTCAAGCCACTGATGATGCTCTCCGAAACTCCATCCACGCCTCGCCAGCCAGGCGCAAAAAAGTGCCCCTAGCAACCCCAAATGTTGACAGGCTGCGGGGAGGGCGTGCCGAGAGAAAAAAACCATCACCAAAGGTCGGGCGTTGTCCCGCTTCGGAGAGTGAGTCTCCGTTTCGGCATGCTGACGAGCTAGGTGACTTTTGGTGGTGGTCGAGGGACGTGGCAGATTTGTTCTCGCTCGCTCGCTCGCCTGCCTCCGTAGCGAAGCTTCTAAACAAACTGCGATGGCTCGTTGTTGTTCGGCGGATATAACTAAACAAGAAAGCTTTGAGCGTCGAGTAAAATGTTCTATCTATCTGCTACCTCTTCTGTATGTGACTATCCTAGAGATTAAGATGGCCACTCCAAAGGAAGCGGGCAGATGCCTGACTTCATATATGCTTTTTCTGGGGACCCTGTAGAATACAAAGGGGGAGCTGGTCGCCTCTACCAGACACCTGCGAAGGTATTTAATCTTTTCCACAATTGCCCTAAGTGCTAGGTTGAGGGGAGTAATAGTGCTATTCAGCGACGGCAGCGACACTTTGTAGGCGTCTACAGCTTCGCCAACTGTCCGGTTTGTAGAGACGATCTCGCAGCCCATTGAGCAGCCGCTTTGCCCGCCCGGCGTCCAAACACCGCGCCTGAAGTGAGGCCACTCCCGCCGGGGTAGTTGGAATAGAACAGCCCTCCAAGCATTTCGCCAATGCAATACACCCCCGGTATGCCCTCCCGGGTCACTGCACTCTTCAACTGCGCCGTCTCCGGGTTCACAGACAACCCGCCGAATGTGAATGTCACTCCACAAGAGACTTTGACAGCGAGGAATGGCCCTTGGTCGATTGGAAGCGCCCAGTTCGACTTGGCCAGCGCCAGTTTCTTAGTGGAGGATTGTGTCGAGAGCCCGTCTTTGATGGCCGGGTTCCAGGTCGCCGTGGGGTGCTCTTGCCGATGAGCATAGACAGCTTCGTTGTACTCCCGCAATGTACTGATGAAGCTCTCGCGGTTGCGCAGTCCCCGTTGCGCACATTTGTCGGCCAGTTCCTCGATGGTATTGGCGGTGATTCTCTCCACGCGCTCCTCCCGGTATTCCTCGGTTCTCAACCAAGGGCTCGTGCGAGAGTCCCATACTTGGAACGCCACGCTCTCGGGCTGGGCGAGGATCGCACGACCAAATATGGCATAAGTGTAGTTCCGGAGATCGACTCCTTCGTCCACAAACCGCTTCCCTTGCGTGTTGATCATGACACCGAGAGGGTATCCGGATTTTGTATATTCGTTCGATGCCAGTCGATCGCCAGTGTTGGGGTCCGCATTGGCATCCCACGCAACCGAGTGGCATCCGCTCCAGTTCCCAGCTGCTAGAGCAGAGACGTCTCTCATAGCTATTTCCAGACAGTCGCCCGTGTTGAAGGGCGTCCCACGCACCAGAGCCATATCCCATCCAGGACCTAGGTACTGGCACCGTAGACGCGGGCTTGCTTCGAAGCCTCCCGCGGCAAGAATCACGGCCCCAGCCTTGATGGTGTGTTCCTTTCGGTCTCGGTGGACGGTTGCATTGACCCTGCCATTGGCCTCTACCGACAGACCGGTCAGAGCGGTGTTGAAGGAGAGCGCAATCTTCTGCCGCCGCGCCATCTGGAGGTAGTCTTCGATCAGACCTTTACCTCCGTCCTGAGTCTTGAGGTGTAGCCCGCCCCAGAATTTGAATCGACCGTTGACCTCGTAGGCTTGTCTGTTGAATGAGAGCTGAAACCTGACTCCATTCTGAGCCAGCCATTTGATGGCCGAATTGGAATCTTTGATTAGAGCCGTGGAGAGCTCGGGGTTTGATCTGCCCCCACAGATACGGTGCATATCATCAGAAAAGTCCTTCTCCGTGTAGGGATCCAGATCGATCTTTCCCGCTAGCTCTGCGTCCACATTGTTCACGATGGGCAAGAGGTCGTTTAGGCCATGATGAACGGTCCGGTATGCTCCAGCAGTAAAATAAGAATTCCCGCCCGCCCAGGATTCGGGACACTTATCGATGAGTAAGATCCTCTTTGCCCCTGACTGAGAGGCCGAAAGGGCGGCAGCGAAGCCAGCATTGCCGCTGCCGACAACAAGCACGTCGCACGCAGCGGGCAAACTCATATTGATCTTGTAGTCTTCTGTTGTTCAGTCGAAAGTGTGTTTGTTGATGTGAAGATTTGATTGTCAAGGCTTCAGCAGTATAAGCAGTATATATTAGGCGAAAGCAAGACCCAAGTCCCGTCTCAAGCTGGAACACACGAGGCTGTGATCAGGTCACTGTCCTCCTCTGTAATTTCGTCCTGCTCGATATCATTGGTGGCGGTGTAGACCTCTCATGATCGAAGCTGATAGACGGCAGGACAGCGACCGACCTCTCCCCGGCTAGCCCCCAGCTTCGGAGACTCTCCCTCCGCAGACACGGGTTGATAGAGCATCAAGCTCCGCCATCCCTGCAGAGTCCAAGCCGCGTTACCCGATGCTCACTGGCACTCACCGTCCTCTGCGTGCCGCTAGCGAGAATCTGGAGTACATCCTGCGGGGAAGGGCATTGCTCCAGACTTATCCCTCTCCCGTCCTTCCAGCAGGTCTAAACACCCCCATGTGCCGGCCCAGCCTCGCACCGCCAAACGCAAAGGGGCATGGTGTTGGCCTGTATCTTCGGGGCCCATTACTCCAGGAGGTTCCAGGCGGTGTCTTCTGATACTTAGAGCAAGGCCGTCGTCCCTATCTCGCTTTTCCAGAGCAAGTCTCCTGTGTGCTCAGTTGCCCACTGTCTTCCTTTTCGAAAAGCGCCGTCTTTGCTTTTGTCAAGGCATCTCGCAGTGTCTCTTTTGTGCTTGGAGTCATTACCATGACCAACACCGCGGGCGTCAAGAATACCGCCATGCACCATGTGGAAGATGCAGAGAAGCAGAGCCACTTCAAGGACCTCATCTCCGAGCAGGTGCAGCACGATGCCGACGAGCTCGAGCAGAAGTACCACATCCCGCTGAAGGCGGTGCTGGAGTCTCATCTCGAGGAGGACCCCAAGACCGTCCGCAAAGTCATGTGGAAAGTCGACCTGCGTCTTGTGCCCATGCTCTCTCTGCTCTACATGTGGGCGTTCATCGACAGGTCCAACCTGGGAAACGTGAGTACTCCCTCATTATACATCAATGTGTCTCTTGGGACAACAACTGACCATGTCCGCAGGCCAACATCGCCGGCATGAGTGAAGACCTCAAGACCAACATCGGCAACCGCTACTCCGTCTTGGCCATGATTTTCTTCGTTGGATACTGTCTCGTCGACATCCCGGCGACATTCCTTGTCCGAAAGGTCGGCCCTGCTCTGTGGATCGGTACCATTACAACCATATGGGGCGTCGTGACCCTCTGTCAAGGCTTCGTCAAGACCTGGGGTGAGCTCGCCCTGTGCCGTGTCCTCCTCGGCTTCCTCGAAGGTGGTCTCGTCCCGGCAGCCATGTTTCTGCTGTACAACTGGTACACACGCTACGAAATCCAGGCCCGCATTGCCGGGTTCTACGTGATTGGCAATGCTTCCAGCGGCCTGGCCGGGCTGCTCGCCTACGGGATCGAGCAGATGGCTGGAGACTCCGGGTTGAATGGGTGGTCGTGGATCTTTATCATCGTAAGCCCAAGTCTACTTTTCCCCAGGTACAGAGTGGCATCTTCTGACTGTTTGGATACAGGAGGGCATCGTCAGCACCATCGTCGGCCTCGTCTCCTACGTGGTCATGGTCGACTTCCCCGAAAAAGCCACCGTCAAAAACTCCCTTGGCCTGCCCGGCTTTTTGACGCCCGAGGAAGCCGCCATCGTTCTCGCCCGCGTGGAGCGTGATCGTGGCGACGCCGTCGAGGACAAAATCACCTTTCGGATCGCCATGAAACACTTTCAAGACTGGAAGCTCTGGGAGTTCACCCTGTACCTCCTGCTCAACAACACGGGCGTCTACGCCTTCTCATACTTCCTGCCCGTGATCTTGAAGGACGGCTTCGGCTACTCGACCGGCCGGGCCCAGCTGCTGACTTTCCCTCCATACGCGGCCGGGGCGGCGTGGATCATGATCTGCGCGTTCACGGCCGACCACTTCAAGATCCGCGGCCCGGTCATGCTCTTCAACGCGTCCATGTATATTGTCGGGGTGTCCCTGACGGGTTTCGCCGACAACGTCCACGCACGCTACGCCGGGGTGTTCTTGGGCGTCATGGGCATCATCGCCAACATCCCTACCCAGTGGGCCTACGCGCACAACAACATGGTCGGGCAGAACAAGAAGGGCCTCACCATGGCCCTCATGGTCATGGGCGGTGCCTTTGGCGGCATCATCGCAGGCAACGTGTTCCAGTCCAAGGACGCGCCGGGCTACAGATCGGGCCTCTGGATCTGCATTGGCTTTCAGGTGAGCGCAAAATATCCCTCCGGACGGGGCGACTCCAAGATCGAATTTACTGACCTGCCGTCTAGATGCTCTACTTCGTGCTTGTGGCCAAGAACTTTGTCATCTTTTACATCCAGAACAAGCGGGCCGACCGTGGCGAGATTGTCATTGAGGGACAGCCTGGATTCCGATACACCTACTAACCGAGTTTCGCTGCGAAGGAGGAAAGACATGTGACGAGTGCTCAAGAGGATTTCAAGTTTAATTTTCATCGGCGAACATTAGCCTTGAGGAGCGTGAGCTGCCTGCGATCGAATATGAAGAAGGGAATGCCCCAATGTAGACGTCTATTCTAGTTTGGCCCAAGCTGCCACCCCTGAAATTGGATCCGTACTCGGTATTCTCACTCCACTGAAAGCATCCCCTTTTCTCGGTAATCGTTTCTTTGATCGAAGAAAGGGGTTGTTGGTAAAAGACTCCACTTGCGAGAGCAGATCAGATCAGATAGATTCCCATGCGTTGGACCCGTGCTTGTTGGTAGCCACGGCAATGCCACTGCCACTGCCATTCTCCAACTACTGGTGCAAAATCCCCCTTTTGGGGGGGGGGAGGGACCATCGGAGAGAGATTCTCCCACCGAGTCAAACACCCCGGATGGTAGACTTCCGCGCAGACTTCGCAGAGAGAACACATCCGGACTTGCAACGTACAAGTAATGCACCAGACCAAAAACGCGCTTGAGGACGGCTACATGTCCCGATTTGGCGGCGTCGGGTGGTCGTAGATATACAGCCCTCACAAGACCATCTGTGCTTCGCTTTTGTTGTCATCGACGTCGCAGTCGTTTGTTTTTGTTTTCCTCACCCCCCCTCATTTGGCCCAACACCTGTAACCTCTTCGGCAAAAATGGCCACCGGCTCCAGCTGGAAGATGGCCCGGGAGGAGCTGGTCACGATCTCGATCGCGGACGCGACAGACCGCTCGCGACGCGCCCTCCGCGCGGTGGGCTTCACGGACCAGGACGCCGACACGATCTGCGCGCACATCATGGACGCCCAGCTGCGCGGCTACGGGCCGACGGGGCTGGCCAGGGTGCTCACGATCGCGGAGCGGGTGCGGGAGAAGCTGGTGGGCAGCGCGGACATGGTGGTGACGCGCGAGCGGCCGGCGTCGGCGCAGCTCGACGCCCACGGCGCGATCGGGTACCTGGCGGCGCACCGGGCGACGGAGCTCGCCATCAGCAAGGCCAAGGCGGGCGGCGTGGGCGTCGTGGGCGTCAGCGACACCTTCTACGCGGGCATGCTGTCGTACTACGCCGAGATGTGCACGCGGCAGGACCTGGTGGCGCTGGTCACGGCCAGCGCGGGGCCCTGGGTCGCCCCCGAGGGCAGCTCGACGCCGCGCTTCGGCACGAACCCGCTGTGCATCGCCTTCCCCTCCGCGTCGAACCAGCCCGTCATCTGGGACATCGGCACGTCCAAGATCATCCACGCCCAGGTCAAGCTGGCGCAGCTTATGGGCGAGGAGCTGCCCGAGGGCACGGCCTTCGACGCCGACGGCCACCCGACCCGCGACCCCTTCCGCGCCTTCGACGGCGGCGCCATGGCCGTCTGGGGCGGCCACAAGGGCAGCGGCTTGGCCATCGCCATCCAGCTGCTGGGCGCGCTGGCCGGGGCGCCCGCCCACACGGGCACCCACGACGGCTGGGGCGTGCTGGTCATCGCCATGGACCCAGAGATGTTCCGGCCCCTCGCCGACTTCAAGCGCGAGGTCGCCGCCTACTCGGACACCATCCGGGCCAGCCGCCCGCTCGAGGGCAATGGGCCCATCCGGATGCCCTTCGATCGGAGCTGGGAGAGCCGTGAGCGCACGCGGGAAGGAGGGGTCGTCGAGGTCGACAGGTCCGTGCTGGAGGGCTTGCAGAAGCTGATAGATGGAGCAAAATAAGAAATGTTACTCGTGGAATGACGATATCAACCAAGACCTATCTCAAGTTTGCGTGGCTAAAGCTGTTCGATCAGTAGTTTCCAGCTCGTTCAAGGGCGTTCGTTTACATGCCGTATCTCCCGTCAGTGGAAGACGCAGCCTACGCAAAGTCGAAGATATACCAATGATTGAACGTCCATGTATCCCATTGTGTATCAAGCTATAGTATTCTAATCTCCCCAACCTGAAACGCATCGCAAAACCAGTCCTGCGGCATCACTCGTCCTGCTGCGGGAACTTGTCCAGCCACTCCTCGTCGCCGCCAATGTACCGATAGATGACCTTGGAGTCCATGCCGGCGCAGCGCGGGTCCTTGCCGGCCTCGACGTAGGTGTTCCAGGTGGTGGGACCAACGCACAGCTTCGCGCCGACGCGCTCGCACGCCGCGATGGCCAGGCCGATGTCCTTCTTAACGTACTCGATCTTGAAGCCCGGCTTGTAGCCCCGGGACGAGGGGGCGTCGGGGCTCAGGCCGGGGACGGGGTTGGCCCACTGGGCATTGCGGTTGCAGCCGGTGGTGGTCTTGAGGATGTCCTGCAGCGTTCGCGGGTCCATGCCGGACTTGATGGCGAAGTTGAACATCTCGGCGTTGAGCAGCGTGATCGACGAGCTGAGGTAGTTGTTGCAGAACTTGGCCGTCAGCCCCAGCGACGGGCCGCCGCACGTGTAGATGTTGTGGCCCATCAGCGCCATCAGCGCCTTCAGCAGCGGCAGCAGGGGGTCCGACTTGGCGCACCCGATCATGAACGTGATGGAGCCCTTCTTCGCGCCCGCCGTGCCGCCCGACACGGGGGCGTCGAAGAAGTGCGCCCGCGGGTGCTGTTTGCGCGTCTCCTCGCCCACCTCGAGCGACGTGGCCGTGTCGATTGTGCTGCTGTCGATGAGGATCTTGCCGCTGAGGTCTTTGGCCGCCAGCACGCCGTTTTCCGGATCCAGGTAGACTGCTCGGACGTGTTTGCCCTCGGGGACCATGGACATGAACAAATCCTATTCGCAAGGGACTTGGGTTAGCGAGACTGGAATGGTACCGCCATCCAAACAGGAATGGAATGCATACACTCTTCTCGGCGACCTCTCTTGAACTGCTGCAGGGATCTAGCTTGGCCACTGCGCCCGACTCCTTCAGCCCCCTCTGCATTGACTCCGGGTTCACATCGTAGAAGTGTACCGTCGAGGTCTCGGGCAGTTTGCTGACCAAGTTGGAAAACATGGGGAAGCCCATATTGCCCAGGCCCACGAAGCCAATGTTGGCGGGCAACTGAGGTTCCGCGTACGAGCCCATTGTTTGGATACTGCTGGCTGCTGATGTTGGTGGTGGTTGATTTGTTCGTTTGTTTGTTTTTCGTGTGATGAACCTATGCCAACATTCGGGAAAGGCTGCTACCAACCAACTCACTAAATAGTTACCACAGTGATTGCCACTTTGTGATCTTTGAAGTCGATAGCCGGCACGATGACCCCGCGTGGTCCTCGCCGGCAACGAGTCGCTGCATGGACTCCGTACTCTCGGGTACTTCCAGCTCGGGGGTCGATTCTCCCCCAATCTGCAGTGTCGCTTGTCGAGTGAGGGGATGCGTGAAGCGTGAGGCTAGGCCGGAGAATGAGTCTCCGGACGCAGGGTCTGAACTGCTATGCTTGTTCGGCTCATGAGGCTGGGGACTTGGTCTCCATCTACCCCGGGCGAACCCCGAATGATACCCCGTACCATGGCCCCGCTGGGATGCTATACCTTGCACCAATCGGCCTTTCTCCGTCGTGGCTTTGCCTCGGGGAAGGGACCACACTCGACCTGGCATTCTTCTGCCCGGAGCACGAGGTGCGGTATTCGGGAGTGAGGAGTGGGGGCGACACCTCTAGCATTTGCTCCAGCATCACCAGGCTGGAGAGTGACTCCAAGGGAGACTTCGACACGGGGACAAGATACTTCGATGTCGCTTTTGCCGGTTCGAGAGGCTTCGCACATAAGTGGTACTCGGTCGTGTATTGATCAGATCCATCAGTCCTGCTCTGACACATGCCAACAAGCACGGCAGCTCAGTAAGATCCAAAGACAGGCCCCCTTACAGCAACGGCAATGGGAGATCTCACGCACAGACCTGGCGACGACGCTCTGCGTCTACCACCCCCGGCGCCAAACCAGGTATATGTGAAAGTGGCAGCCCTGAACGGGGGGTTCTTGACGCTTCCGGAGCGCAACTTCGTGACGGACCCCGACCCGGAGAAAGGCACGACGGTGCCGTCGATGTGCTTCCTGATCGAGCACCGCGCGACTAGCACGTCCAAGCCCACGCGGGTCGTGTTTGACCTGGGCATCAAGCGCGACCTGACCCGGTACGCCCAGCCGGCGACGCAGCACCACATCACCACCCGACAACCGGTATACTCGTCGGCGGACGCGCGGTCGAGCCTGATGAGCGGCGGGCTCGACCCAGCGCGGGACATCGACTACGTGGTCCTGAGCCACATCCACTGGGACCACATCGGGCTGCCGTCCGACTACCCGCAGTCGACGTTCGTCGTGGGCTCGGGCACGCTGTACATCCTCGAGAACGGCGCACCACACTACCCGCTCGAGCGCATCGAGAAGGGCGCCCTGCCCGCGTCCCAGGTCACCGAGCTCCCGCCCGTGCCGGACTCGGACAGGAAACACATGGCGGCGCCCGCGCAGACGAAGCACCAGTGGACGTCCATTTCGACGCTGCCCTACGCGGTCGACTTCTTTGGCGACGGCAGCCTGTGGATCATCGACGCCCCAGGCCACATCCACGGCCATGTCAACGCCCTGCTCCGCGTCGGGCCCGAGAAGTGGGTGTATCTGGGCGGCGATTGCTGCCACGACCGCCGCATCATGACCGGGGAGAAGCAGATTCTCGAGTACGACAACGGCCAGGGGAAGTTGAAGAGTGCGCACGCCGAGCTGCACAAGGCCCGGAAGACAATTGAGAACGTGCAGAGGCTGATCGAGGTCAATGGCGACGCGGTCGAGTGGATAGTCGCGCACGACTGGAAATGGGCTTCGGAGAACCAGAACCGGTTTTTCCCACGGTGGATGTATTGAGATCCATGCAGACTATTTTGGTTCCTCTATCCTTTTCTATGGCAGGCATGGAGATGTTCAATATGCCCTGCTTTTCTGCAAAAGACAGAATTTACTTCTAGCTGCCGCCCTTACACCTTCTCCTTCAGCTGTCTCTGGTGCTCTCCGCTTTCAATCATCTCGTTGATCGACGTCTCAGCCACTTTCAAGGCCTGGACACCGGCAGGCACACCGCAATACACCATAGATTGCATAATGACCTCTCTGATCTCAACCTCCGTCACGCCATTTCGGATAGCTCCTTTGGTGTGGATAGCCAATTCATGCCAGCTGTGCAAGGCAATCATGAATCCCAGATCTAAATTGCTCATTGTCAGAAAAGGTGCTGGGTGAAGGGACAGCCATTGGGGGAGCTCTGAACGTACTGACGAGACTTCTCGACCTGCGATCGAGCTCCGGGCGAGCCCAGACTTTTCCCCAGCAAAACTCGGTGGTGAAGTCCTGCAACGGTTTGGCGAACTCGCTTTGTCGCGCCGCCAGAGACCTCTGCACATGTGCTTCTCCTAGCACCGCGATGCGGACCTCCTTGCCCTTGTCGTATAATGAACTTTCGCCGCTCATTGTGACTAGCTCCGAGTGTTTTGCGATTCTCGACTCTGGCTCCTTCTGATACGGGTTACTGGAGCTCACCAGGGGTGCCAAAATATCGACGTATTATAGAGATTTCCAACTTCGGACCATCACTAGCACCCAGAGGGATTCAGGGATCCACGAATTGGAGTCCAGTTGCTAGGTTATACCCCAAAGCAAGGATAGTCGGACCAATTTCGCTTGCAGTCCCCGTGGCGGAGAGTCACATTCCGACAGCCGGAGGATGATCCTCCGGCTGCAGTTCCCTCCTTTAGTCTGGTTATCTTTTTCACTCGTTGCAGAGCGGACGGTGCCTCAAAGCTTCAATCTCCACGCTTTCCCCAGAGCAGGCGACTCGCTTTGATTGTATTCATCTTGGCCTCAAAATGCTCTAGTGCCATTGAAAAAGGTATCAGACATGTCGGTGTAGGGCAAGATGGGCTCGTCCATGAGTCCGAAGAGCGGATCATCAGGAATATCCGAGTCGAAAATCACTTCTCCCGAGTATTGCACATTTGAGCTCGTCACATTCCTCGTGGGGAACATGCTGAAGATGGTGTCAAAATCGAACGAGGATGGCGAGTAGCTGGGGTATATAGTTTCCTCTTTGGAGAGTCAGCAACTGACATGACAACATCCGAGACATATTTACCTGGCTGCAATACAATTTTGCTAGCCTCCATCAATCTTTGTATGATCTTCATGGGCTTAGAAACACCGGGATTCGCAAGACACAGCTGTTCAAGACAAGACAAGCTTGCCGCCAGGAGGGAGGTGTGCTCTCTGTTGTTGCCACTGGATGCATCGGCTGCGGCGTTCCGAACGTGGATCGTGCATGCAACATATATCGCATAGCTCAACAAGTACGGGGCGCCTCTGAGGCTGTATGCAGTTTTCCATGCCAGTGCAATGCTCGTGATACTTCGTGCCGCCGATGTGCAGCGACCCCAAGACAATGACGGAGTAGCGGTGGAGCGCAAGTGTCCGTCCGAGATGAACGGTCGGTGAAGAAGAATCAGCAAGGAATAATAGAGCGCGTGCACGTTCATCAAGTTCGGAGGGGGGTACGATGTCGGATCAGATTGCAAGAGTCGAGGCTGGAAATCCAGATTTGTTGGCAAGTTCTCCCTCCATGCTTGTAGCGCATTGTCGACAAGCTGCAGACTGGCCTGAGCGTTGCGAGGTGTTGCTCCAACGACATAGAATGTGTTGATAATCTTGGTCATAATCTTGGATAGCAGGCACAGCTGTTGGAAGGTCGAGACCGAGTAGATGGGAAGACCGGTAGAAGGGGAAGTAGTCTGGGGGCCGGGATATTTGGGATCTTTGTATGGCACGTATAGCTCCTGCTCTTCGAGAGTGTCCATAAAGTCTCGCGAGACATGCGAGTCTCGAAGATTGATGGCCGCTGGGCGTCCAAGGTAGAGACTTTGTAACTTGTCCGACACAAAGGCACCCCAAAAGACTCTCCGCCGGATTTCCACCTGCTCTGGAGAGTCGCTGGTCTCTTTTGGGTCAAGGTGCAGACCGAGATCATAAATCATGCGCAGGGCATAACCCGTGTATAACCATCCTTTCGAGGTCTCGCCTTTGGCATTGTAGCTCGATCCTAGGAGTAGGAGTCCAACCACGGTGGGAAGCTTGGGGTAAATCAAGAGAGAGTCTTCTGCAAGGAGCTCGTCACAACGTCGGAAAAACCGTCGACCTGCTGTTGAAGGGTCTGATGGATCGTCTCGGACCTCCACTCGGGCAGAAAACTTGCTTGTACACGCAAATATAGCATGAAGTAGGAACCTCGAACAATGAGGTCCGTTCCGTAACAGATCTCTTATAATCGCAGGTCGGTAGGTCAGCAATAACGTGTGGTGTTGGCGGCTCCAGTGCAATTCGAGCAAATGCATCGCTAACTCTGTCGGAACTCCATGGACGTCGGGCAGCGAAGCCAAGTGGCGCTCGTTCTGTCTCTGGAGCGCAGCTTCTGCAATCAAGCAGTTCCTGATATGGTCTCTCGCCAGAGAGGCTGCTGATTGCACCGAAGTGCTTCCCGACCGGGGATGGTAGTGAAGGGCAGAGGAAGGTCCAAAGCTGCTGGGTTTCCCTGCCTCATCTACAGACAGGAAAGGGCCGATATCGAATTCCTCGTCTGAGGAATCTTCCAGACTGCCTAGGCTACTCCGGCGCCGCAGATTTTGTGCGATGTTGGGCATAGCATCCTGGTTTCCCGCTGGCGGCCCAGCAAGGTGTGGTTGAGGTGAAAAGCGTGGTTCAGCATTACGTTCGTCGCTGCCGTCGTCCGGTAAACGAACCCGCCCATCGCAGATTGTTACTGATGTCAACAGTCTCTCTCGCTTTGCAGGTGGTGCCGATTTGAGCCTGGCGATGAAAGCATCAAGGGCCGAGTTTTGCTTCTGCAATTCGTGAATGCGCGCCAACGTCGGTCTAGATATGTCACTGCGTCAACCTAGCTTCCAGCTCCGAGAGGACGAACGTACCTTCTCTGCGGCGTCTCTTGTTTGTAGACGCAGTCCTTCCCCTGCGCGGCGCACGAGGTACAGCGTGGCCTTGCCGTATCACAGCGGGTTTTTCGAGCTCGACAGGACAGACATGCTCGTGCTAGTGACTTGGGGCCGTCTTGCTGAGACTTGTCCGCCATTCTTTCCTTCCTCTGCCCAGACTGCGTGCGCGGTGTCGTTGGGGTGGCCACCATCGCGAGCACTGGATCTGGATCAAGGGGCGATGAAACGATCCAATCGAACAAAGAAGTATGTGTGTAGGTATGTACTCGGTATGGGTCAAGGCTCAATTGAAAGGAGGAAGTTGGGTGCGGAGTCTGTTGTTTGGAGGCCTCGTGCATTTCTGGATTTGGCGGTCGCAGCCCAGTTCCCCGGGTGGCCGAATTGAGACTCCCAGGCACTCAGGGCACTTAATTAGAGCTTCCCCCACACTTATTCCGCCCATAACGATGCGGAGATGCAGACCAACCACAAGCACCTCGTATTAGTGTCTCAGCGATCTCTTACAACATTCTCACATTGACTGAGAGTTCCCCGTCTGGATAGCCTCGAATTTTTCCAAACTCCATGGATGTTTGGTGTATCAGATTCATATCCTATGCGCTCTAGCGAAGCTATGAGTTCAGGGTTTGTAACGCCTTCATCGTTGATCTGGTAGCTAATAGTGATATCAGTATTACCATATTCACAGGCGCTCACTTCTTGATATCCGCATATCTTCACGCTGCAGGTGATACTGTTCAATCCCTTCACCCTTTATGACACATAGGAAGAGAAAGCGATAGCCACGATTGCAGTCATACATAAGTGAAGTCCGGTATATCTATCTCGTCGACTGGAGGCTACACTAATCTTGAGAAAAAGATAAATCAAGAGGCTGGCTTCTAAAGGGACAATGGGGGGCCAGAGGATTCTTGTGCCCAGACGCCTGTTCATGGGCTCAAACTCTGCCCCTAGGCACAGCAACAAAAGTGAAAGACGGGGCAAAAAAAGAATAGATGCTCCTCCGGGTGGGCTCGAACCACCAACCTCCTGTGAGTTGTTAGTTTGGGAGTAAGATTCAGTTGAGCATAGTTCCCACCTGATGGGTGTTGATCCCCTTTGATCACTTGTTTTTCACAGTGTCAAATCGTGAATTAACAGTCAGACGCCTGGAGAAACACTGTTAGCTGTGTCGACTTAGCGGTCTTGCTGATACATACGCTAGCCAATTGCGCCACAGAGGAATGTTTCCTGTTGTGATTGTTGAAGGACATTCCGATGGTAAATATTATATTGTGTAAAAATCAGACACCCCGCTTCTGTGGGCGCTAACATGTTCCGTCTTGGCATCCCACGCTCGGTCTTTCGAAGGTGAGCCACAAAGTGTCCGAAATCTCCTCTCCCGGGCTGAGGCTCGGCATTTGGGGACGGACTCAGGTACCATTTCAACACACGTCAAATTTGCATTTTAAGTGGTTGCACGCCTTCATTCTACGAGAAGGGCGAGTAATAACGGCGAGCAGCTTAGCCATGAGCGGAAGATGGGCGATTAGGACTTTGATTGCTATTACCAAGACACTCTCCCAGTCACCAGCTTCAAATCAGCAGTGTCCAGCATTCAAGGGAACCCCCACAAACAATGGCTTCATATAGCTCCTCAAAGAAACTGTGTGCATTGGTTCACTGACACATTGAGGGCCTTGATATCCGAACCAAAGGAAAATAGTGCACCAGAGCATTCTTCAGCACCATTCCTCCACCTCCACCCGATCCCCTACCCTGATCACCGTCCCGAATGGCTCCGCAAAGGCATACCGTCCGAAACACGGCTTGTAGGGAAAAGCCGGATTCACCCTCCTATCCTTGGTCAGGAGTCTATAGAGCTGACGCTCGGGCGGCACGGTGCCACCGGTGCGGAAGTCCACGTTCAAAGACATGCAGCGGACCGTGTTGAAGACCAGGTCGAGGTGGACTGGGGCGTTTGTGGCGGCAGTGTCATCACCGGAGCTTGCAGGGACGATGTTGAGGGCCTTCCAGTTCTCTTCGGCATAGGGGGCTGAATGACTCTCGCCCCCCTCATCATCGCTCACGGAATCATGCTCTCCACGCGCAGAGACGTTGTCGATGTGCACATTCGAGCGGAACCGCACGATCACATCGTCTTCTTCACCCTCGTCTTCTACTACATTCTTGGGCACCCGACCCTTCGCGTCCCTTTCGGAGCTCACTGTCGTGATTAGCAGAGGTGCTGCATCAGCAAACTGTATCTTTTGGGCATGAAGTTCTTCCTCCTGAGCCTTGATCCAGGACAACAATCCGGTCCGTGGTTTTGGCTTGCGTGGAATTAATGATGGCGCAGGGCAATCCCGCGTCCCTGTGCTTCCGTCAACCATATATAGCAGCCGTGCTTTCTGTCCCAGATGCTTTGTAAACCATGCCGCGATCTCATCGCCCATATCTTCTCCCACGGCTCGCGTGCCGAACAGTTCAACGGTATATGCCTCAGCATTGCCTAGAAAACTCGGCGTAGGTACGAGGGGAAACTCGATCTCTTCACCACTGAGCGTATGTTTGACATTCAGCCTCCCATGCGAAGATGTTTCACCAGTTGACAGGATTGACGGCTGAAACAGGCACAACTTTGACAGAGATTTGATGGTCAGATGTTCCTGTACCGATGAAGTGTGCTCATCGGCGGCCACATCATCCGTCTCCTTGATGAGGATGAACGACCGATCATAATTCAGCCCCGTCGACGTGATTTCTGCTTCGGTAACCTCGACTGGGAGGAGAGACTTGATAGGATATATGAAGAGCTGTGAAGATGTACAGGGCAGATTATGATCAGCGTATGCAAGAAGAATTGAGTGCAACATATATGGTGCGTCCGGCTGGAGCTTCCAAAGTAAATGGAAGTATAGTTAACTGATTAAACTCACCCTTTGAATATGCATTCTGCAAGTTCCAGCAGAGTCGGATCCTGGCTCGTCTCCACGCTCTGTTCACAAGTGGTTGTGAAGTGTCTAGGTCCGCTGTTGCAGGATGCTAGTTGCTTCCTTGTGTTGAGGAGGCCGTAGCTTTAGGCCATATAATTGAGTTAGAGAACGGTGCAGTGGCAGCTTCTGCTGATGTGTAAGAAGCAGAAGCATTTCAACTGGGGGGAGAGAGTCTCACTGCCAAGGTCGGCGCTACTCGCAGTCCTCCCCAGATCGGGACGAGAGTGATGCCGCCCTAAACCCAGACCGCACGCTCTGTCTCGACCATCACGCCGAGCAGTCAGTTTCCCCTTAATGACAAGGTTGAAAATATCCGAATATGCTTGCAATGCTCCTAGGAGCAAGGTCTGGTCATGAGCCAGTTTCGAAACGGGGTGGCGTACTTCATCCCGCTTGAAAGATCCCCGAAAGGATTGAACAAAAGCCTCCGATCCGGAGAGCAAGAAAGCCTCCGGTACAGGAAGACCTCCGAGTACATCAGTCTGATCGATGTCCACCGTAGTAGCACAGTCTATAAGACTTTGGTGCTCCTTTGACTCGTGTGGCTTTCTTTTATCTTTGGTCTGTGGTCCTGTCAATCGTTCCTTTCAATTGAAGTTGGAATTCGCGAACCCCCTCGCCCAGGAGAGGCATATCAGATCCGTATAGCCCGCCCTTATCCCGCCAGGACACCCCCGATCCTTGAGAGTCGACGAGAGACAGTACGAGACCCTAGCCTGGAAGAAAATGAGTAACTTGGAAGAAGAGAGTTTACACATGGAGTCAAATCCGCATCCGGAGATGGACCTCTCCCGTGACAAGGCTGTGGTCAACTCCAGTGCCGGTATGGACAACGATGCAGCCAGCAAGGAGGCGGAGACAGCTGCTCCAAAAGATGCTCAGCTCTCGACCAAGCCCTCAACGACCGGACTGAAGAAAGGGTTGCGGTTCTGGATGATTGTGGTAGCACTCAGCTTCACAGGTCTGCTGACAGCGCTGGAAGCAACCATCACATCCACGGCTCTGCCGTCTATCATCGCGGATCTAGGTGGCGGCGACTTGTATATATGGGCCGTCAATGGTTACTTCCTGACCATGTAAGTACAACATATTCGTCTCGCAATCAGCTTCTTCCATTGCTGCATCAACGTGGTATTGACGAATTTTCGCGACAGGACGGCATTGCAGCCCCTTTACGGACAGCTGGCAAATGTCTTTGGACGTCGGTGGCCAACGATCGCCGCAACGGCGATTTTTGTGCTGGGCGGCGGAATTTGCGGAGGAGCAAGCAGCATGCCGATGCTCATCGTCGGTCGTGTGATTCAGGGAGCCGGCGCAGGCGGCATGAGCGTCCTCATCGAGATGATCATCTGCGACTTGATCCCCTTGCGACAACGAGGCAACTACTTTGCCATCATCTTTGGTCTGATTGCTCTTGGCACGGCGCTCGGTCCATTCTTCGGCGGGCTTATTGTTGAGTATTCCACCTGGCGATGGGTCTTCTACCTCAATCTTCCCATTGGCGGGGTAGCGTTGTCACTTCTCCTTGCCTTCTTGAAGGTGAGATGGAACAAGAACGTCAAGCTCGCCACCAGGCTGACCTCGATTGATTGGGCTGGTAATGCCATCTTCATCGCGGCCATCTGTGGTGTCCTCATCGCGCTATCCTGGGCTGGCGCCGTATATCCCTGGTCGTCATACAATGTTCTTGTTCCATTGGTCATTGGCTTGGTGGGCCTAGCAGGCTTTCTTGTATTCGAAGGGTCGCGATTTGTTCCTCAGCCAACCATGCCGCTGCGTCTGATGTCGAACCGCACATCCGCCATCGCATACATCCTCACTTTTTTGCACGGCATAGTCACCATGTGGTCGATTTATTTTCTTCCGGTTTACTTTCAAGGCGTCCTCGGCTCATCGCCCGCCTATTCGGGAGTCCAGCTACTGCCTACCATACTAATCCTGATTCCCTTTGCTGCAATGGGAGGGGCGGCCATGTCCAAGTTTGGTCGCTATCGTCCTATCCATTACGCAGGCTTTGCATTGATAGTGGTTGGCTTTGGTCTCTTGGATCTCCTCGACCAGAATTCCTCCACAGGCGCGTGGGTTGGATATCAAATGGTAGGTTCTGCTGGAGCAGGCCTCGTTATCTCCACGTTACTACCTGCGGTTATGGCGCCGCTTTCGGAAAGCGACACCGCACTTACAACATCAACTTGGTCGTTCGTGCGCGGTTTCGGCGGGACGTGGGGTACTGCAATTCCTGCTGCAATATTTAACAATCGCTTCGATGCCCTTGCGTCGACAGGCATCACAGATCCAGTCGCCAGAGGGCAGCTCATCGATGGTCAAGCGTATGGCCATGCCACAGCTGCTTTCCTCGATACACTGTCTGCTCCCACTCGCGAACAAGTTGTCGCAGTATTGAATGGAAGTCTCCGCCGAACATGGCAGGTTGGAATCGGATTTGCAGCACTAGGGTTTTTGCTCGCGTTCTTGGAGAAAGAGATTCCGCTGCGCCAGGACCTTGAAACCGAATTCGGCATGGAGAAGGAGGAGAGCGAAATTGGCACCTCAAAGGAAGAGGATATTGGAAAATAGTCTGGCCTCTAGGGGCTGCAGCTGAAACCAAAGGGAGATGTTGTACGGCCTGCACAGATCTCTGCCAGGCTCGTGCCAGGCTCGCATAAAAGGAAGGTGGCAGAACACCCATAAAGTTTCTTCTGTGAAATGAATGAGAAGATCTGGGACGAAGGAGAAGATCTAGCTTCATTTACTGGCGTCCTTCTGGCACATTTCCTCATAGCACTTAATTCCGTCGAGCGGTATTTAGGGTATTTCTGAAAGTAGGTGTCGCAAGATCGATGAAGATAGTTACCCGATCTTCACCGCGGTAGCATGCCTTGGAGACTTCTCAGTTTAGCTCTGAACGATTTCAATGTTGAACTGCCTGAATTTCCGGAGTTTCCTGCCATCTGCGTCATGGCCATATGTAGAAGCTGAGATAGTTCCGTAGAATTGAACAACCCCATCGAGTTCGGCGTCCTTTCGGAGAGGCCAAATTCCTTGGGCAGGCCTAAAAGCCGCTCGATATGGTCGAAATGATGCTCAATGATTTGTATGATGATCTTGGCATACAGATGTGCCTTCATTGACGGCAGACCAGCCACTTGAAACTCTGGCAGGTCCCGAAAGAAGCTGTATAGGTCTCCCAGTTTCGACAGAGCATCACAAACACGGCTGAAAATTGCGTCGTAGAGCTCCAAAAGGAGGAGATAGCATGACAGAAGCATTAGCACGACTGGGGTGCTCAATATGCTCAAGCTTGTCGATGGTGGATGAAGCGGCGAGGATGACGCAGGCAGCGATGTCTGCTGTTGCGAGGGATTGGAATTGGGGGTACCAGTGTCCGAGGCAGAGGATTCATGTGTTACGGACCCAGCGGTAGATGCGATTGGCTGTAGTGACAACGGAGCTAGGTTTTCGAGAATGGTAACAAATTGGGAAGTGCTTTGTAACATCTCAGCCATAGGGTTACCCTCGATTTGATGAAGCTTTTCGCGACAATGCTGCCCTGCGTTCACAGGTCCCCAGATGTGTGAACTGATACGGGATATCTGCCCAGAAATGTCTTCATTCAGTCGCGATAGAGAGGTGAGGGTGTCTGCAGGCTCTGGCAGTTTCAGTGATGGTCCTGCTATATGACTTTCGGGAATAGCAGGCAAATTAAAGTCATGCTGTGGGCGTTGGTAACGTTCAGTCGACGGTTCAAGGGCGAAAAGCTCGTCGTGGCTCCCCAGTTGCTGATCAAATTCATATCCTGCATCTGCTTCGGATGCCGAGCTCAGTCCTGGATTTTCGAAATTCAGGCCGGTCACGTAAGACGGGTGTTCCAGATAGTCTGCATACAGATCCAACCTCCCAGGCGCCCACAAGTTGGAGAACGCTTGCAGATCCTCTGTGGTCGATGGTAGTCGTAGAGAAGTCGATTCAGTGTCCGGTGCTTGGGGTGCTGTGAGTCCTGTTTTGATGGATTTGGTCCGGCGCCCAGAAACTGTCGTCGTTCTAGGTCGTCCCAGGGGTCGCGCGCTGCTGGTCACGCACTGGATCCCGACTTTCAGGCATCTGGCACATGGCTCAGTCTTGGACTGATCACTCCGTGGACAGCGCAGCTTCTGACCCCTGCAGCGATCACAAGCAGACCGTTGATGGTGCATTCTGGAGAGGCCACTGATGAAACGGTGGGCTAGGAGAAGGTCAAATTGCATGCGGAAAATTGCCTGGGAGATGTCCGCCGGGTCAGCCTTGCCTCCTTCAGCCTCGCCCTCATGAGGCAAAATGGTGATGCCGCCCTATGGTCGCCCGGAGCCGACCCCAGTGCAGCTAGTCCATATTAGGAAAGACCAGCCCTGAGAATCCAACTAAACCTGATTAGGCGATTTCAGTGGCGCGCTTCGAAGTGTTCAGTGTGGCCGCCCTAGGCGTCTATAACAGCCTGAGAGCGTGGTGGCATAGTATCTATCAGGCCTTCCAGTGTGTCTTCTCCTATCGCATCCCAAGCCTCTTGGACTTGCCGCTGTAATCGATCGTAGGAGGCCTTAACTAATATTACCCCTATGGCCAAGTATGAAAGTCCAAGTCTCCATCTTGATCTTTCTACATTGCGAAACAGATGACCAGGATCGGAAAGAGAATGTCAGCGCGATGGATACTGCACTTCCATTGCCCCGGGCTCTAGGCTCAGAGCCTGGTATCTCTGCCTGATAACTAGCCGCCATTAGTCCTCGCTGGCTGGTTTCCATATCCAAGTCATAACACATTCCACATTAAATCAGAACCAAGGTCACGCTCCCTCAAATAATTTTCATGATGATCCCAGAATTCAGTGTCGTGGCCGTATAGTTCATCATACGTCCGCCATGCTCAAGCCCTGTTCACGAACACCGCTGGGAAGACGCCTGCATCTCCTGCATATACTCCAAACCACCATTCATCATTGATTTCCTCCACCTCGCGTATATTAGCATATTTGGGGAACATCAGCTCGTCCTTGGCCTTGCCATCATCGTTGGGAGGTGGGTAGTAACCCCATCTGGCGACGCAAGTCTTGCCCCAGCCACCGTCCGGCGGGAGCTGCATTCCCGAGCGTGGGAGGGTGGAGGTTCTAGCTCGTGTTTTGCGTCGTGTACCAGCTTCGTCTTCTCGCCAGCTCCAGTCGCCTCGCACTGCGGAAAGGTTTGCTCTGTCGACCCGGTGTAGATTTTTCATCGCAAGTTTCCACGCCGCCACATCCGCCTCTGTCATTTGTACACCACCCACAATGTCACGGGTGATGATTCTGCGCTCATTGCCTTCCTCGTCCCGTTCAAAAGCCACAGCAATCATTCGGTGCCCATCGGGGCACAGTCGCCAGCCATCCGGCCCATCTTCGCGCTTCATCCGCCCCGTCTCAACAAAGCTATGGTAGCAAGTGCTGCAAATATCGTAGTCGCCTTTCTGACCAGCGTTTTCCGGAGTCGGCGTCGGATGCGTTGGGCAATGGTACCGGGTCTCTTGAGATGTAATTGGTCGAGAGCAAATGTCACAATTGGTTGTAACTGCTAAAGGTACAAAGTCGGGGCGGAGACCGGGATAAGGCCCAGTTCCCGAAGTGACGCTCGAAGCTGCGCTCTGAGCTGGGGAGATGTCGCGGCCACCAGAGCTGTACGGGCTCAGTGTAGCAGCACCCAGCCCTCCTCCGAATCTCGAGCTTGTCAAGTTCGGGTCGCATGATTTGTAGGCCACGGGCAGTAAGGGATGGTCACAGCAATGATTGCTCCCTACACAGTCGTTGCAAAATCCCCACTCGCCTTCATTGCAATAGTCACATGACCAGAAGTATTCGTTTGCAAAACTGCCACATCGATCGCAGAAGTTGCCCTCTCTTAGACGCGAAGTAGCATTAGCAGTCGTATTGTACCGCCCCGATTGTGCCGCAGTTGCTGAGGGCTTCTCATATTGTCGACTAGTTGGCAAGTGTGGTAGGCCCATGGACTGACTGTTGCGATTCGGCGGATGAGATGCGTTGAATTTGACCATGGCAGAGCGATAAAAACCGAACCAATGATTGCATCCACGCCCAGTTCTATAGCACCGCAGACAGATATCAACTTTGCAAGCATCACAGTGTTTGTGGACTTCATACTGAATGTTCGGACGAGAACACCGTGAGCAAGCGACGTATGGTTCATCAGACCTAGTTGAGACACTCGTTGCCGGTAGCTCTGTTGGCTCGGGAACACGAACTTCGGGTTCCACGGTGGGAATTGAAGTTGGGACGGGGCCGGTTGCCACACTCGACATGAGAGGCGGCACAGAATCAGGCCTTGGTGACTGTTGAGCGGGCGAAGCAACTTGCGGCGGGCTGGACATGTGGCGTCCACCGGCAGCCTGCCAAACTTCGGAGGCTCTCGGAGATGTTCTGGGCTCCGTATTAGATCTCTGCGCATGTGGCCCCTGCTGGAGTTGCTGGAGGCGATCCGCACCACCCGCATTCGAGTGAGGTCTGTTGGAGAGATCTGTCGCCGATCTCGCTGCAGGATGAGGTGTCCGATCTGTTCTCATTACAGAATTTTCGGACCTTCGAGTCTCATCAGAAGCTCGCCGTCGGTGAGCTGCAGTCTGCGGTAGCGTCAATAACTGGTCATTTGCTGATTGGGACGAAGCGGTAGGCTGTCGGGTGTTGGATCCTCCAATGACCACATTATGACTCGATCTTGGACTTGGTTGCGTCCGTTCACGATTGTTGTTCCTGGATGACTGGCGGAAATGGCGCTCGGTTTCGTCAGCCTGTGATCCCAGCGGCCTTGTCGTGTCCCCGCGAGGGTCGGGCCTACTGTCATCTGTGCCTGGTCGACGAAGTCTCTCTGGGTGCAATTGCCTGATCCGTTCAGCAATGGCCTCGCTAAGCGCGTCCTGTTCTTGTTCGGTCAGTTCATCAATATTGATGCCATCCAAGAGGCCTTCAGCCAGAATCTCTTGCATGAGTCGCGCCTCGTCTAAACTGTCGCCAGTGCCAGTGCCAGTGCCACTCTCGGAGGCGCTGACCAGGGATATTAGACTTGCTTGATGAGCGACGGTCCGGGCACCCCTTTGGCGTGCTTCAACAGCCTCGGGATGCCTGGGTGAACTAGGTGGGGGAGACAGGGACGAGGGATCTGCGGAGTGGGAAGAGCTTGCTGTTCGGGGTCGAGAGGATTCCACATCTGAAGTGTGCTGTTGTTCACGCCTCTGGCGACGGTCTGCATCTCTTTGCCTTTCCATTGTGTCTCTTCGTTCCCGACTTCTGCTACTTCCGCTGGTGCCCCGTCTACGGTCAGCCGAAGCGGGGTCCAGGTGTTGGTCGTGTCTGCTTCTCTCGCCGTTTGCGCCATCTGCATTCCGTGAATCTCCCAATCCCGAATCCTCTTCTTCGCGTCTTCTTCTCTCCCTCCTACGATTGTTCTCGATCTTTGGTAGAATCTCTTCGCCTGGTTTATACGCCTGCGACATCTCAGCCTTCTCTTCCGGAGTCCTATCCCTGCCAGGGTTTGCGATCAAGAACATCTCCAGCAAGGTATTTATCTTCGCATAGGGCCGGGCGTTTTTGACAGGAGCGCGACATGTCGGGCAGGTGTATGGATTTACGGAGGGCGGGGCACGCGAGTGGCTTGCTTTGCGGTATTGGTGCGAGAACCATTCTTTCAGACACGAGCCGCAAAAGGTGTGGAGGCAGTCGAGAAGGGTAAGAGGCTGATAGAGAACCTCGGTGCAAATGAAACAGACGAGCTCATTCTCAAGGTTGAGAAGGCCTGTGGCAGGGGCTTCGGTGATGGCAGCCATGAGCTTATAGAGTCGAGGTCATGATATAATTGCAGTGCTGTTGCGGATTCAGCCTCGGGGAATGTGCGCTTGTGGCAGTAGCATCCTTGATATACCGTCTCGAGTGAGCTATGACAGAAACGAGGGAAGAAGAGAGCATGTAATGAACGAAAAGGCGACGACAAGTTGGAAAAAGGCAAAAGTGAGCTCAGCTGTGTTGCGCAGGTGGTGTGGACTTGTACGGGCGCCCAGTCCAGACTCCACGGAGGCGAACTTCACACTTTGCCAGCCTTAGAACCAAGGCGGTTATTTTTACTTTGCGGGTTGCGGCACTCCGAGGTTTTAACTGGAGCAGCTCGGTTCGCTAGCTAAATCTGGGTCCTCGATGCGTCCATGGTCGCAGCGGGCCTCTGGGTGCCTCGCATCCTTGGGCGTTATTTTGGAGAGGTCTGCAACGCTGCCTCTGATGCATTGCCTTTTGATGCGCCTCTCCAGAGCGAGTAAGCAGAAGGGAAAAAAATTATCCTCAATTCTCTCGTGGGCTACCACAGTTGTGAGTCTCTGCACAGACTACTCAAATCTGCTAATCTTTCCTCCAGCTGTCCTACGATAACAACCGCGCTTCTGCTTCATATCAAAACCCATCTGTTTGTTTCAAAGCTGTTGTAATCGGGCATCCTCACGTCAGAGGAAGTGGCGGGGACTGATCGACCCGGTTGTCGGTGTTGTATGGGTGCAATTGAATCATGCAGCCTCGCTCTTTGCAATCTCCTGAGTTTGCTGACCGACCTCAGTATGCTCAGTATGATCGCTGTGACCACGTTCCCGGTGAACAGCGTAGCTCAGTCGCTTCTCAGTATCGACTTCACCTCGCTCCTCCCTCTTGATGTTCTGGTAGTTGACGTGGGTATTCCATGGTTTGACGTCGCTCATAAAGAGCTCCTCGACCTCTTCAAGCGTCTTGCCGGCGGTTTCAGGGAAGAAAAAGAAGACGTGGATTGTCATGACCGTACAGAAGACGCCAAAGATGATGTAGACCTTCCACTTAATGTTGACAAAGGCCGGAGGAACAAAGTACGACAACGCGAAGTTGAAGATCCAGTTGGCAGAGGTTGTCAGGGCCACGGCCTTGCCTCGTACGCGAAGAGGGTACAGCTCAGGCGGATAGATCCACGAGACAGGTCCCCAAGTCGGTGCAAATGATGCCACGAACAAATATGTGCAGGCAATAACACCTTTGGCTGCACCTCCGTGGATTTGCCAGGACTCCTCTGAGACGTGGTCGACTCCTCCCGGAGGTGCTGGTTTACCGTAAGAGGCCAACAAACCAGCATTGGCGTACATCCAAATGGCCATGAAGGTAGAGCCAATGATCAGGGGCCAGCGACGTCCCCATCGATCGATAAACACGAGTGCGAAGATGGTCATGAGGACGTTGATGACATATTGGATTGACGAGGCCACCAGGTTGGTATTGCCGGAGAGACCAGCCATGCCTATAATCCACGTTAGTGATTCTCAAGAATGCTAACCAAGGCTTCTTACCAAAGACGTAGGTGATGTAGTACTAGGCAATCTCTTAGCATATGCTCTCAACGAGAATGGGAATATAAAGCGTTTCTGTGGAGAAGGAGAACTTACCATCATAACGTTCATTCCGGTAAGCTGAGACCAGATCTGAGTGAAAACACCGATGTGCGTTCGGTTGATCATATTTGGTTTGAAGAGCTCAAGGTAGCTAACATCGGCGTTCCTTCGCTCAAATTCACACATCTCTCGGATCTCGTTGAGCTCGAGGAGGACGAAGGGAGCCTCGCGGTTGCCCTTTGCATGCACCAGGGCGAGAACGTTGTGGCAATCTTCCCAGCGATCTTTGCGTGCAAGCCATCTACGACGACGTCAGCTATAGTCCACGGCGACTCAAGACGGGTGGTTATACCTGGGACTTTCTGGAAGGAGGAACAATGCAAAGAAAAGAATGATGGCAGGAATCATTTGCAAACCCCACGGGATGCGGAACGCCGCCGCTCCGGAGACAAAGCTGCAGCCGTAGCTGATGTAGAACATGATCAGAATACCCCAGGTGATTGCCCATTGTTGAGCTCCCACCACTCTTCCTCGCTTGCTAGGAGGCGCCAATTCGGACACATAGACAGGAACTCAAGGGGTGTCAGCCACAGATCTTCAAGATGATAAACGGTGATAGATGTACCTTGAGCTGAACAAATACCGACGCTAAATCCATTGATAAAACGGCCCACGATGAGCATGCCTATGTTCTGAGAAGCGCAGACCAGGATGGAACCAATGCACCAGATGACGGCGCCGATCTGGATGGCCTTCTTTCGACCAAAGATATCTGACAACTTTCACAACGTCAGTATAAGTCACAACATCTGCACCTGAGACGTACAAATCCAGATGCCAAAGCGCCAATGAATGAGCCTCCAGGCATGGCAGCAGTAATGCCACCCTGGACGTCGGATCTCGGGCCGGAGCACTGAGGAGGTCCATTAGGGCCCTGGTTGAAATAGCTGGGAGAATCAATCAGTTCCTGGATAGCATTCGACAGCATAGTTCAGAGTGCATGTTCGTACCATTTGTATTGGTTCGTGCCGATGCTGGTGGAAATTAGCAAGGGCCGTCTGTTGGCATGTACAATCGTTACTCACATAGCAGACATCGACGAGATATCGAAGCCAAACAGACCACCGCCGATCACGGCGATGGCTGTGATGAAATAGATATTGCCTATCTGATACATGATGGCGACCGGCTGCTGTCGACCTGATCAGGGGACAGAAAAGGAGTCTCGAAGGGTTCACCAGAGATGGGAAGAGGAACGACCGACGGTAGGCGCCAGAAGGGGTATACTTGTATTCCCACACGGGCAGCGAACTGGGCCCGAACATCTCGAGGTATTGGACGAGATTTGCATCTGTAATGTGGTAGAGAACGGCATCAGGGTGTTCCGGTGACCTCTTGCGGAGAAATGTTACATGGTGCCACCTCATTGCGCCCTGCTTCCATGATTTGACACACCCTGGTGCAGTCTCGTCTAGGGGTTGTGGAGAGACGGGGGTAGAAGCTGGAGAAGGCAGAGGCAGGATGGATGATGTAGTGGACCATCACTCGAGGCTGCTCGTCGAATAGGCGTCTGATGCTTGTTCCCAGTTGTGTAGACGCCACCCCACCACTCTGGCCAATCCGGATCACTGTTTCTGTCTTGGCTCTCATTAGCATGTCTTTAGCTCCTCTTGGCTCGGGGATCGACGAAGCTAAAAGGCGCCTCCCTGCGAAAGGCCCTTGTGCGTCATCTGCGCCACTGACCGCATTCAGTTCAGGGACAGGTTGCCAACGGTGGAGATCATCTTCCCTCTCAAAATTCTAGCACTATGGCACTGTTCCACCACGGCTATCAAGGCACGGCAAAGCCCAACCTCGTGGAGGCCTGAATGCAACAGACTGTCGATCATGCCTGCTCTCGTCTATTGATGGTACCATAACTTTTCCCCTCACATCAAATACTCTTATGTTGATCGATGCAACGTCGCCTGCTTAGAATCAGTCAAGCGCACCAATCTATACAACGCTCGAGGTCTGCACACACAACCGCACTCGGGATATCTCTCAGCGAGAGTCAAGGGAGCTGGCTGTTTCGCTGCACCACATATCCGATGCTAACCCAAGACGCCAGGGCGCGTGCCGTGTATCCAGTATCCATGACTCGGGCGTGGATCTCGCAGCGCACTGTATATCCCAATTCATCTCCACGTCCGAAACGAACCCTTTGACCTCTCGCCGGATCGTCGACACGTGTTGGCATTCAGTTGCTGATCATGCAGCCTCACCACCAGCGAGCCCTCTCATGTGTCTTTGTGGATCACCAATAAAATTACATTGGGTGCTTCACAAGACCCACGAAGAGTGGAAAAGGGTTGCAGTTCAGGTGGTAGGATCCACAGAGCTGGGGTACTCAATCACAACCTGATTGATTTCATACAGCTTGACCTAACCTCCTACCACTGCGCATCAATCTGCCATCAGACCTCCCCCCAATGCTCCCTTCTACAATGTTCGTGGAGGTGATGAGCTTCTAGGGGATGACACTATTGCAACGATGTACTTCTTTGAAGCCTTTGCTAAAATGCAATGGGTTGACTTGTGCTGTAAGCGAGGCTGACCGATGCCGCTAGGCAGCCCAGCGACTGCGAAGTTCCCGACTCGTCACAATTCACACGCTGCGCTGGGGTGAGAATTAAAAGAATCCTCATTTTGCCCAGAATCAAAGTCGCCTGTTTTGTCTTTATAGCCTCTCTTTGGGAGGGTAGGCTCTCATTCATCGCAGCCTGGACGACTCGATCGAGGTCGAATGCGGAAAGAATATGATTGGCCAGCGATTGACCTGAGGAGTCATAATTTCTAGTCTTCAGTTGAACATAACTTCTTCCCAAAGCCGTGATCATGCCTCGAAGACGAATGCAAAGGGTCCGAACACCGTGTCCTGGGGCATTTGTTGCCTTTGATTTCTGTGTTTGCGGTTGTTGAGTGAAATATCGTTGCCTGGAACCTCATTCTCTATAACTTTGACAAGCCCGACCGCGACAAAAGGAGCCTCTTCCCAGCATATGCAGCCGAGACTCTTGTACTTTGCTCAGAAATATGGCGTCTTCTTCCTCACAGGGGCTGGCCGGGATAGTGATCAAACCAATCACCTCCGAGGCCGACATCCCCGTCTGCGCAAAGCTTGCCGACGCAGCCTTGAAACCAGATGGCTTGCACGAGTTTCGGAACCGGTACAGCAAGAGTGTATACGATAATACCGTTGAGAAGTTAACTGACGCGATCCGAGACGATCGCGGCCGCTTCTTTATTTTCAAGGCAGTTGTGTCACCCGCCCCCAGGAAAGATCGAACCGCAGATCTCAACTCCACTGCCGAGGTACCGAACAACGAAGTTCAAGGAGAGGAAGAAGTCATGGTAGGCTTCACACTATGGCGGAAGGGATACGTCGAAGTGCCCAAGATGGACCCGTTCGCACCAAAGAACGAGACGACCGAGGACGCGACCGTCGCGACAAGCATCACCAATGTGCCGATCTCCGAAGGCATCGACGCTGAAAGCGCGACCGACGTCCTAACCACAGCCACCCCTGGGATCAGCGGCGACGGCGCAGCTGGCCCAGGAGGAAAGCCAAAGCCGTTTTATGCAAATCCCGACGCCGAGTTGGCCCGGAAACTAGGCAATGCGTACGTCGGGGCCATCAGAGGGAAGAGACATTTGTGTAGGTCAAGACACGATTCCCAGTCGGCGCCCGGTTTCTCAATCTTGAGGACGCGTTCCCCTTATGTACACTTAGCACAAGCGCTGACGCTAGCAATCTGCGTGGGCAGATCTACACTGGCTGACGATCCATCCATCGTATCAACGGCAGGGCATCGGCCAAAAGCTGCTTGACTGGGGCGTTGAAGTTGCCGACAGGGAAAATATCGTTTCATGGTTGTTTGCGCGTCCGGCTGGGATTAGGCTGTACGAACGCAACGGCTGGAAAGCAGTGTTGACCATCGACGTTGATGTACCTGATGAGGATCTGAAGGTGGCTCCCGTGGTTGGCATGTTGCGGGTACCTACAAGGCAAAGACAATAAAGAGAGTCAGGATTTAGGAGGCGCTGTGAGAGGGCACGGCTCATGCCTGATACAAATCTGAAGATATGATCTGAGGATAGAGTATCTTCTGCCTCACCTAACGCAGGAGCCCACACAACTAACATTGGCGAACAGAAAATTGTATATCTGAGATCAAAAATAAAAATCATGTTCTGCCAGAGGATGGATTGAACTACCCTACCATATGTATCAGGGGACAAAAAGTTCAAATCCCACCGGCTCTGATGTTACCTTTCCGCTCCTCTTAACAATTGGATCTCTTCTCTTGTATGTTGATACTCCGAGAGGAGCATCACAACCCTGAGATCCAATTGTTGCATAATGGTATGGCGAGACCCCCCGCTACCTGAAGATGGTACTAGATGTTCACATATATCATAGAATGATAATGTGAATCTAATACTACCTTTGGTAACAGCAAGCACATACAATTATAGAGGAGGGGAAAGGCCCCGCCCACCAAACCAGATAGAACATGAACCCTTAAAACACATTTCAGACTCGAAGTGTAGCTTTTGGGGTCTCATTGCTGCTGTTGACTTCTTTCGAATTGGGAAATGTTGACACAAATTTGGCCGCTGAAAAATATGTAGGCGTGATCCGAAGCAGAATAGTTGGTGGTGTACAGAATGACTGGCTTTGCGGGAGAAGTGACGCTTAACATTCCTGAGGCACTACCAGTAGTGAAGTTGATTGATTTCAATTCCGGGTTTCATTTTGCTTCTTGGTCCAAAGTACAAGGCAAAGTACAAGGCTCATTTGGTCTTCCTGGCGGATACACTTTTCATCGCAAAGGCTGCGGAGATCTCTTGGAAGGCCGCATACAGAACCCAGAAAGGTATGAAGACCCACAACATGTTGAAAAAGACCAAGTATAGCCAGAGATAGACGGGGTCGTCGCCAGCAAGTGCGTTGTTGCCGCTTAACCACTCTGGTGCGAACGTCATGAACCCTCCATACAACTCTCCAGTTGCGAGAATGACTGCTGTCAACCAGAGCCGGGGTTGATATCGATTTTTGATGCTTTCATCCGTGGTGTTCGCAACCTTCGAGACCAGATAACAGATGTACACGGCAGCCGGACCAGCCAGACCAACGGTGAGAATCTCCAGCGATATGACGTTCAGGTCTGCACCTCCCCATCTTCGATCAGCTTTTGCATATTCCTGCCACAGTCTAGCCATGGGGCCTTGGGAGTATTGGGCACCATAACGACGGTCGGGGCGATTGTACAGGTAGGCTTGCGGCTCCCCGCCCCAAGACGCTGGATGCGAGACATCGGCGGTTTGCGGCGGCAATTGCTCATATGAAAAGAAGCAATGGTACAGGAAGCTGCCCTCGATGATAAAATGCGTGAGAAAATCATAGGCATGCCACAGGAAGAGGTAATAGAGCTTTCGAGGCGTGGACTTGGGCAAAGCAAAGGCGGCCAGTATTTGAGCTGAGGGCATCAGCGAGAAGGCGACGGCGAGGGAGAAAGCGGTGCCGGCGTCGAGCGTAAAAGGAGGCGAAGTGGCCATGGCCACAGCCGATGCCATGTTTGAATGGTAGGAAGGGTTCAGAAAGGCTGTTGTAAGTACCTTTGCTTGCCGTGACGATCGATCTGCTGGAAAGGAACGCGGATGCGGGAAGTTTATAATTCGCATGCACGAGGAGGAGCAGATGGAAAGAGCCCGAGCCTTGCAAAGCGCTGATCAGGTGCTGGGGGCCTGCTGCCCACCAAAAATAGTTAAGCTTATTACCACCAAGGTGCCCAGGTAGGTAGTTGTTGGCGGTTGCCCCTATCCACCTCCCCCGGGATAGCTAATTTGAATGCCTAGGTAATAACTGGGTAGCTCTCCCCAGCTTTTACCCCTCCCTCGATCCAACTTATTGGCAGCCGACTCGCCTGGTTAGGCACACCCCCACGCCAAACACAAACGCATTACTTTTCCGGGGGATGAGGGGTGTTGGGAATGCCTCGCCATGGCCTTCAAATCACACGACGCACATGTTCTCGGCGCTGCCCAGAAGGCGTTCTTCTCTTCTCTTCTGCACCCACCTCGCTCTCCGTCTTGATTAGGAATCAGTTCAGCTATTACACACCCAGCCTCCTCTTATCGAGCTTCACAGCGTTTTCCACTACCTTTCGGAATGATGGAGTCGGGCTGCGTCGGTCCCAACAATCCAATCCAATGACTCCACCGCCAACGATCAGTCCTTGAATCGAAGGCCAGAAGGAATTGGTGTCTGGCCACCCTCTCTCGCAAACATCCCCATTGCAGTCAAATACTCTCATGGACAACCTCACTCAGATGGCAGACGCCCTCGAAGACCGCGCTGGCGCTGGCGCGCTGGCCACGGCGGAATCACACCAAACTCTCCTGCCTTGTGACGCTTGCAGGAGGAGGAAAGTAAAATGCTCCAAAGAAGAGGTCTGCGAACGGTGCATATCGGCAGGACTGAGGTGCACAAGAGAGATTGCGCGAAAGAAGAGGGGGCCAAAGAAGGGATCAGGTTCTGTTCTCGCAAGATTGCGAGACGAAAGCCAGGCGACCTCGCCATCAGAACAAACATTCCCACCACTCGACTTGCCCCAGTTGCAACTACAAATGCCATCTTTCAACAGAGCCGTGACAAACGACAGTCCTTTGGCCTCGTCGTTAAGCTCTCCCACCAGTTCGTATTTTGGCGACACGTATGGCCCGACCTCGGGACCGTCGGCTGTCCCTAGATCTGTTCCCATCATTCAGAATGGCACAGAATTTGATCCGACTTCGCATACCGAATTTGCGCAAGCAGGCATTCAGTTCCCAGCATCATGGCAGATGCAAGCGTCGGAACTTCTGCAGTTCCAAACCCCTCTTTCGCCCCATGGATACATGTCAATAAGGGATCTGGCTCAAGAAATCTTCCAGGAGACGTACCCTCCTGTTCCGCATACAGTTCCTCCAAGGTCGAATGCGCAAACCCCGTCAAGGGCTTCGACCCCTCTCACCAAGCCCACTTCCCTCGAGGCTATATTGAATCGTGCTCCCACAAACGCTCCCTCTCCAACTTTCACCACCACGAGCTCGCCGATGCCACTACATGGACCAAAATTTTTGTATCGAAGCGACTCTGGAGATCTCCAAAGTCCACATCAGATACAAGTATTAGCAACAGAGTTCGATTTATCGGCCCGCCTTATGACTCAGTGCATTGCGCAGTATTTCAGACACCTCTACCCCATACGACCTACGATCCACGAGGGCTCATTTATTCAACGCCTCAATAGCTTCGATGAATTATCTAATGAAGAGAAAATCTTGATCTTGTCAATTTGCGCCAACACCGTTCTGCACGCGGCTCCCCAGTCAGATCTTCCGTTGGATAGGAAAATGCAACTTGGAAAGCAGTTCGTGGAGTTGTGCTTTCTTCTTAGATGCCAATATGATTGGGCAGAGTCTGCTACACTTCTGTCAATACAAGCCAGTTACCACATTTGCGTTGCGCTGTTCGAACTCAAAAAGCCTCGGGCGCATGATTTGTACCTCCGGGAGGCCATTTCTATGGCCTTCGAACAAGGCCTACACCTCGAATCCACCTATTTCGGCATGGATGAGATCCAGGCGATCTGTTCCAGACGGACCTTCGCCTTGCTCTTCATCACAGAACGTGGCCTCGCCATCCTCCGCAACAAGATCGCCCAAATTCCCCGCTTGCCAATTCTCTCCAGCGAATATTTCGATGAGCAGGACGGAATCATTCTGGCAGGATTCTCCGCCCTGGTCAATCTCTTCTCTATCCTTGACGAGAAGTTTGTCCAGCTCTGGAGCACCACTCCCCTTGAAACCGCATCGTCGGGGTACGAGCCCTACGACAACGTGGCGGCAATCCAACACTCACTGAACGAAATGTCTTTCGACCATTTCGCCATGACGGACATTCAAAAGGCCGACGTCCTCATCACGCACCAGTGGTTGCGCTTAATCTTCTGGCAAGCATCCATGCGCCAGGGCCTGATCAGCTACAGCGCCGCCGACCCCATCTTCTCCTCGACCTACCCGATCGCCATAGCGAAGGACCTGTGCGCCGCGATCGGCGACTTGACACCCAACGCGATCCTCGTCCACGGGCTCGGCATCTTTGAAAAGCTGTTCGAGATCGCATACACGCTGATGGATGCGCTGACGATCGCCAACACCAACTGGTCGGACAGCGAGGAGCTCCGGTGTCTGTTCGACCTGCTGAGCGCGAGTCCCAACAGTCAGAGCGTCTATGTGAGGATGTTGCGGACCAAGATCGAGGCTGAAAGGAGTCCCGCTGCGAGCCCACCTCACCCGGGGGCGCAACTGATCTAGGTCTATTAGAGTAGAGGGCAGTGTTAGTGAGCCAAGGTAAAACATCCCCGGGGACAGGGGTTGGACGAGGGATGGTCGACGCAGAGCGACAATACCATGCCCCCTGAAGTCAACGGAGCACATTTATACCCCTTCATTTTGCACATGCTTGTACAGTCGCAGTGCCGTTGGCATCACAACATCCAGATAGCACATGAAGGCTTTTTTGCGCCACAGTCTGCGCCATTTCACGAACGCGAGTCTTCTGGATACTCGAATTTGAATAGGTAGTTACGTAGTTACGTAGTTAGGCTGCATGCTCGGGCTGCTCTCGGCCGTCTATACCCTTCATCTGCGCACTTCTGTCTCGACTACGTCCGGCGAAATAGCGACGACTAGGGAACTGTCATATGTATGATGGACAAGGGAGGGAGCGGAGGGAAGTGTGGCCGATTCACCAACTAGCTAGAGCCGTCCTTGTGCTGGACGGAGATGACTTGTCCACTGGAGAAGACAAAGTGACAAGACCGAAGACAAGAGGAACAATTCTGGTTCGGCAGAAAGCGGCTTCCTCCATGGTAGATCGAGGAAGGGCTACTATCCATTCAATGGTCTGCTTGTTCAATATGCCGTCCCTGCAATGAACCCACCGTCAACACTCCAGCCCGCGCCGGTGACAAAGCTCGCCTTGTTGCCCGCCAAAAAGACGCAAACGTCCGCGATTTCCTCCGGCACTCCGAATCTCCTCATCGGCGTGCTCTGGACCGGGTTCTTTTCGAGCCACTCCCTGGTTGCAGGGTCCGGGTTTGTCATTGGGGAATCCACGATCCCGGGCAACACAGCGTTCACCCGGATACGTTCACACGCATAGTCGATCGCATCTGAGCGAGTGACTGCCAAAACACCGGCTTTGGCGCCGCTGTATGCAGGACAGTTGGACTGCGATGACAATGCGAGGCCGGAGGAGATATTGACAATGCTCCCACGCTGGGCGCGAGTCGGGGAAATGTGGGCTTCGGGGTATGCATCGCAATCCAGGGATTGAGTGCGCATAATCCGTAGGGCTTCGCGAGAACACAGCCACAAGCCGCGGTAATTCACCGTGTTCTGCCTGTCGAAATCCTCGAGGGGGAAGTCGGTCGAGCGGCCAAAGAGGATGATCCCTGCGCAGTGTACGGCATAGTCGAGACGACCGAATGTTTCTTTGACGTCGGCGTAGGCCTGCGTGACACTATCTGGGTTGGAAACATCACACTTGTAAATGTGGATTTTTAAAGAGGCGTTGCTGCCAACTGCCTCCTCGATGAGTTTCTGGGTGGTCGAGAGACCTTCTTCGTTCAGGTCGAGGAGCGCAAGACGAGTGCAACCTGCGTGCGCAAATGCTAGAGCTGTTGCTCGTCCGATGCCAGAGCCCGAGCCAGAAATGAGTGCGACTCCCGGGACGTCTGTTTTGCCCATCATTGCTTTTGGCGTGAAGATGAAAGCGACACCTGGTCGTTTTGGGAGTTTTTGAATGAGGTGAGAGTCGACGGATATGTTGGGAGGAGATACACAGCTGGATCACGCTTGCCACGTCAGTATCGATGCAGCTAGAGCAGTAGCTGGTGCGGAGTTCGTGCATAAAAGTATAAAGTACAATGAGGGAGCGGGATGTCACGTGTAGTGATGATGTGAGGTTCTCTGGAGTCCTGTACCCCCATGCATCATGTACGCCTGAGCAGGTTCCGATGGACTGTGCAGGGAGTGGATGGGCCGACCAAATATAGCGTGGGAAGAGAGTAGTAACGATCTTTTTTCGCAACAAAGATCTTCTCTCGTCTTCAGAAGAAATCGTCGTCGTCGTCATTCCTCCCAACAATTATCGGCCGTTGCTGCTGTCTAGCTTGGCGCTCTCCCCCGGGTCCCTGGAACGTGAGAGCCTGCTTGAACGCGTCCTCATATCCGCTTGCAGTGCCGCAACCTGTATCAGCATATACTCTCTCGGCATCTGGAAGCCACTTCTTGATCTGCTCGGCACGGTTGTAGTGGCTCGGATGGGTGGACAAGAACTGTGGAGGTTCAAATTCTGATGCTTGCTTCATGCGTTGCCAGAAATCCAAAGCTCCTCGGGGGTCGTAGCAAGCTTCAGCCATCATGAGAAGGCCAATGCGATCGGCCTCGGCTTCTTGTGTTCTTGAATTTGGCAGAGATAGTAACAATTCGGCGATAGTCCTTCCGGTGTGGCCGCTAATGTCAAAGATGAGAGACACCGCCCAAGCAGCAAGAAGGACGAAACTAGACCTCGAGGCCCTTTCGGCGGCGTGATGAGCGACGTTGTGAGCGATCTCGTGACCCAAGACGGCGGCAAGACCGGTCTCGCTCTGGCAAATAGGTAGAATCCCCGAGAAGACGAAGACTTTCCCGCCCGGCATCACAAAAGCATTCTTCTCTCGAGGGTCATTGATGACATGAACCCGCCAATCGTCGCCTGCCAGACCGCGCGTGGTTGGAAGTAGCTTTTCAACCACTTTGGCGACTTGAATTGTTAGAGGGTGATCGGCCGGAAGGATTTTGCCCTGGAATTCTTGAAGTACAGAGTTGTACATTCCCACTCCACCAAAGAATTCCTTCTCTGCCGCCGGAGACATCATGTTAAAGCGTCGTCGGTGAGTGACCGGGACCTCTTCGAGGTTGTAGACATAGAACACCCCACCGCCCACCCCAACCACAGTCAGTGGTCTCTGGTAATTGCGCCAAATGTACTGCATGCGATAGACGGGACCAAAATTGCTCCATTGCTGGCCCTGCCCTTGTCCCTGCCCAGACCCATTTCCATCGCCAAACCGCCTGTAACGCGAGTTCGGACCCCAGGAGGCTGGTCGCCGTGGCTGAAACTGTGGACCTCTTCCGAATCCGTGAACAGTATTGGAGCCGTGTTGGAAGCGTCGGCGAGCTGCTTGATTGGCAGCTCGCTGGAATGCCCGGAAGGTGAACATGGGATGGGAAAGACGTCTCACAGTATCCCTGGCGGCCTCCAGGTACCAGATTTGATAGCTGATGGCTGATTAGATGATGTCCTCCCTCGGTGACTGGCAAAGCATGACTCTTGTCGATCTCTAAAGATCAAAGACTTGGTTCGATGGCAAAAGGCTAACGAGTCCAAAGTTGAAATGACGCAGGAAAACAGTGGCACTGGGTCATGTGATCTCTATGCCTACGTCAAGTTCTTCCTGCCTGCTACACCTAGACTTGTTCCGATACATCTGAGATATCCTGACATGTAACAATGGCATTGGTCGCATACTCAGATTCGGAGGGCTCAGAGGACGAGAAGGTCCTACCGCAACCGAGAGCTGACAAGCCTTCGACGAAGATTGCGAGCAACACGAACACCAACTTCACTGTCAACAAAGCGAACCCCAGAAAGATTCAAGTCAAACTACAAGATACACCCACAAACGGCAATACAGATGGAGAGCCTGCTCCGAAGCGACCTCGAATCGGCGGCGGCGGAGGAACATTCGGCGGGTTCAACGCGATGCTGCCTGCCCCCAAACGGGATGCAGATACCAAAGCCCCTTCAAAGCCTTCCACGAGGAAAGTCTTTAGCTTGAAGACGGGCGCCGAGCCCGGTTTCAGCAGAGAGGCAGATGAAGAGTTGCGCAGTCTGTTTGCAGAACAAGAGCAGCAAAGGAATACCACGAACCCTGAGGCGGATGAGACTATACCTGCAATCCCGAAACGCGCAGAGCCTGCGATAAACGTGCCGAAGGAACAGTCAATACAAGGAAATCCCTTCATGTTCAAACCCCTCTCCGTGGCACGAAACAATAAGAAGACAAAAAGGAAAGTCGATGGTCCGAGACCGGCCATCAGAGCAGGACACCATGCGCTCAGGGATATATCTTCTGCGACATCGCTGGCAGCCGAACCTTCTTTGCCACCGAAGAAAGTCAGCCTCTTCTCCATGGGCGGAGAGACAACGACGGCGCAACAGCCTCAGGCTCAACAAGACGAGGACGAGATCGTCGAGTTCCTGGACGAACCACTTGACGAGACCGTCCAAACAACGTCAACAGAAGACCCCGTCCATGGATCAGCCGGTTCTGAAGCTCAATCCCTTGACTCCATCGCTGCCGATTTGAATCTCTCAAAAGCAGCCCGGAGGCAGCTGTTCGGGCGCCGCGGCCAGTCAGGCGGTACTGCCATCAACGTGGTCAACTTCAATACAGATCAAGAATATGCAGCGAACGAGGTGCTGCGCGCAAGCGGGGAGCAAGTCCAGCACAATCCGGTGCGCGCCATTGCTCCAGGAAAACATAGCCTGAAGCAACTCGTGAGTGCCGCTACTGGCCAAAAAGAGGCACTTGAGGAGAGCTTTGCAACCGGCAGAAGGAATAAAAAGGAAGCTGGAAGCAAGTACGGATGGTGATATTGTTTATTCTGCCTCTGGTCGACGTTTGAGTCGCTCCATTCGAGCCTATTTTCGGACGACAGGCCTTTGACGACAGCATCATGGCACCGTGGCCCATTGGTTCACATAAGGAAATGAGGTATCCAATAATGAGTGCCGGAATGATAACACTAAGAACATCCCCTCCTTAGCCTTCGCCCAGGTGCTCTGGACCTTACCGTGGCATTTCAGGCAGGTCTCCCTTGGGGCCAGTGAAAAGCCATGGCGGAAGATGAAGGTGTGGCATTCTGATGCCTCGCGGCCTGCAGTTGGCGCCGTGTCACGGCACCTGGCCACTGGCAATCGGGGTCGCGCTTCCTCCTCGCGCAGCTGCCGCAGACAGGCTTCACAGCGTCACATCTCTTGCGCTGGAGGATGCAGCGCTCACATCGGTCACCGGTCGCTCGCTGCATCGCCTGAGATCTGCCGCGCCTGCTTCTACCGCCGCCGTCTGGGTCGTTGCCGCCCACGCCGACACCATTGATATTCTTTCCTGTGTCCCTTTCATGATGCTCTTCCTCTCCTTCGCCTCCAGAAGGACTGTCTCGGCGGTAGTGACCAGAGCCTCGTCTTGATGCCGCACTTGCACGCGCTACAGATACATCCTCGGGAACGGTTGGGTGCTGCATATTGCGAACCGTGTCAGAGGCAAGTGCTAACAGGAAGCAGAGCAGTTGTGGGAGGGCGAACCACATACCTGAGACTCCCATTCGCAGCCCAGCACCAGAAGAGCTTCTCGAGCATGCTGGACCAGACTCTGATGGTCTCTGCTCTCGGGTAGTATCGCCCTTCGTAAGCTGGAATGTCGGCTTTGTGATTCGGCTTGTTGTGCCGAGTTATTCGAACCAGACTCAGTGAGCGAGCCATGACCATGAGAATCGTCATTGTCGCCTGATACACCCATCCTGTCGCACCCAACAGATGATCTGATCCCGCAGGCGCGTCTCGGTGAGGGAGAGTCCGTGAGGTCGCGATACAGTGAGTGCAGGAGATGTGTTGGCCGTCAGTTTTCAGAAATGCCTCACCCTCGTCAACAATGGACGTCGAACGCCAGTTGGTGTTAGTGTTGGTGTTGGTGTTGGTGTTGTTACTGGTAGTACGTCCATCTTCACTCAGTTGGACTCCTGTACAGCACCAACCAACCTGATTCACTTTGGCCTCGTCTTCCTTCCTTCCTCTCTTCCTTCACAGCCATCACGTGAAGGTGAATGAGTGACTGATAGACCACCTTGAGATAGTCTAGTATATCACGTCCTTCCTCCCGACATGGGTTCCCTTTCTGCCTTGGCGTCGAGAGCAAGTGCTTCAGCGCGTGGGGTCTCGCCCTGAGCTGCTTAAAGAGATACATTTCCCGCCCGCCATCTGGATTTGCGGTTGATGTAGCTTGGCTAGATAGCTGTGTACCCAGGACGTCCTACCCAGGGAGTACTGCGTCCGGAGCACCTGTTGAATCCCGTCCATAGACAATCCGAAAGACACCTTTCCGCGCCTCGACTCTACTCTGGTGAAAGCGATCACACCCAAACCGCGAGCGTAGTACCATACCCATACCATGTGGGAGTGTAAAAGAGATGCATCCGTTCGAGAGCACCGTTCATTCAGGTTTCAGTTAGACGGGGAAGTCCTCATTACAGCTATGTACCCAGTCAATCTACATGCGATATCCTCAATCTATCACCCCACACTGCCCATCTCCCTTTAGACTCATCCCCAGCTTCTGTCCTTAACACACTCTCCAACTCTAACTCAGATCTTCCCGTCCTGGCATAGAAAGAAAAGAAAACGGGTCATCCAAAACGAAGGTCAGAGATGGATGAACTTGCTTTGTGCGCGACGAGGCTGCACTGTCAAGTTTACCCCTGAACGTCCACGACACTCCCAAACCAGCCCTTCAGCGCGGTCGCCAGCACCCCAGGCAGATCCCTGACGTCTCGGACGACGAGGTAGTACGGGAAGGGGAAGCCGTCGAGGTACCTCTTTGTGCGGACTCGCATTTCCGCTGCGCCTGGTCCGGTTCCCTTTCCCGAGCCAGACGGGCCGGCGGCATGGCTTTGGGCGGCGGGGTCGGGCTCGAAGACCGCCTCCTTGAGGTCGAGGATGCTCTCGTCGCCGGCGTCGACAATGACAAAGACAATCACTACGCGCTCCTCGTCGTGCGCCTGGCGGACCAGCCGGGCGATCCCGTCGTGGTCCGAACAATGCCCGTCGCTGACGATGAGTTGGAGCTGCCACTGCTCTTCGCGGCCGCCACCTCCTTGTCGTTGAGTCCTCGCGTCCCGGAACAGGCGAATGCTCTGCCTGAGCAGGCTCTTGACGTCCGTGCCTCGCTGCTCAAAGCTGAACGCGCGGAAGACCTGTGGGCCGGACTCGGCCGGCGAGAAGGGCTGGTCGAAGGGGTGCGCGACCGTGATGGCGGGGGAGTCGCCGAAGCCGACGACGCAGATCTCCCCGACCTCGAGCATGGCCAGGGACTTTGTGAGGAGTGCCAGCGTCTCGAACGCGAGGACGTCGGCGCCGGACTCGCTCATGGATTTGCTGTCATCCACCGCAATCATGATCTGGTAGTTGCGCTTGCTGGGCACCGAGCGACGCATCCAGATCTTGTCCCTCTTGTAATTCGAAGCGATGTAAGGGATGATGCGTCTGATGTTGAGCCGCTTGCCTGTGCGGTAGTCGCCGCGAAGCTTTGTGGCGGTCGTGGGCGAGAGAATGAGACGCAGCTGTTCCGTTAGGATGAGAGAAAATTGGTGCGTAGTGGCTGAGCATTGTTGCCAGAGCTGGGCTGCGTTGGAGCTGCTCGTCGGATGCGCAGCTAGTTGTGCTTGGTCGCCGCTGAGCTCGAGCTGTTCGATATCAGGCGACAAGTCATCAGACGCAGTGTCGCCAGAATCTGTCTGTCCGTCATATTCCCTCTGTTGTGGCTGTTGGTCAGGGACGAAAGCCCCTGCATCTCTGGCTGCCGCTGGCCTCTGCTGCGCCTTGAGACGGCTGAACCTCTCCGCAATATCTTCCTGCATCTCCGGCTCCAGGACATCAGGAAGTGCTGTGTCTTCGTCAATTGGCGCATCTTCATCTTCTATGGCTTTGCTTGGGTCAAGATTTTGAGCCTGATCTGCGGCAGCGGCACCGAGAGCTTGTGCATCTCCCTCATCTTCATCCTGGACATGCTCGAAATCAACATCCGCCATGTCAATATCCCCTTGCTCATTGGTTTGATCTTTTTCTTCAGCGGCCGGCAAGATCTCGCGACGTTGATGCCATCGGTCAAGGACATCCGCCAACTGCTTCAGGGATTGATTCTGCTGATACTCCAGGCTTTCTGCCCGTCCGGCACCACGTTCATACGCTCCAGTGCCGGTCTTTCCTTGCTCCTCGTCTTCGGAAGCCTTGCCTGGCTGAGATTGTTGAGGATTCGGTTCTTTGTCAGTCTGGTTCATGCCCTCGACGGTCTGTTCGGCATCGACATTCTCCTGAACCTCGTTCGCAGCTCCAGATTCTCCACCAGCAGTTTCTTCCAACTCGTGGACCGTGTCGTCTTCTCGGGGATTATGATCGTCTTTCTGGTCGTCTTCCGCAGCTTCGGGTTGGTCTTCCATAATCTCGTCGTCCTGAGCAACACCGTTCTCAGCCTGCTCCTCTTCTAGGTCAATATCATCCTCACTGGCTCCTTCATCCAACTGTTTCTCCTGCTGTTCGGTCTCCCCAGTCTCCTCAAACTCACCCCCTTCGACTTCCTCCCTAGGATTGTCCATATCCGACAACTCATCCATGCCATCATCTGAAATATCATCGTCTTCAATCTCATCCTCGCCAGCCAACTGCAGTTCCTCGGGCAGATCTAGAGCGTTCTCTTCCTCCACATGCTGGTCCATCTGTTGGCCTTCGGGTCGCTCCCCACCTTCGTCTCGGTCTTCACCGTCTTCGTCCATCTCCTCTTCTGACCCTCCCATTTCTTCCATTTCGTCCCCTTCGTCCCCTTCGTCCCGGTTCCCATCTCCTGCAGTCTGCTCTTCAGATTTCTTTCCTTTAGCCTTGTCATTCTTCATCTCCCTTTCTTTCTCCGACTCGTTCTTAATGTCGTCCCAGAGTTTCTCATCCACAGCGTTGGGGTCAAGGTCATCAACAGTGCCTGTCTCTTCGTCGAAATCGTTTTGCTCTTCGTCCCCAGACTGGTCCTTGTCGTCGCCTTGATCCGAGAGTCTCTCTTCAGTGTCACCCATTTCGCCTTCAAGGTCCTCATGGTCCATGTCAACCGCATCTTCCGTTTTCTCCATTTCCTCGTCCCTCTCTTCCTTCTGCCCTTCACGTGCAAGCTCAGAGAGATCTTCATCATCTTGAACATCCTTGCTGATATCCTCTGCACCTTCCCCTTCACCCAGCCCAGTCCCAGACTCTAGTTTGCCGGTCTGCTCCTCTCCATCCGCAGGCTCTGAGGGACGACAGAAACCCTGTTTTGCAATGACCGTGAAAGACCTCGCTAGCTGCAAGGCCATCCGGGACGTCTCCAAGTACAGTCCCACGTACCGCTTATGGAGATGCTCACATATGTGGTAATATTGATCGAGCACCGGCATCGCCACAAGTAACAAGTCTTTGGCAGCTTCGAAGTCCTCGGGAGCTAGATATTGAAGCTTTTGTGTCACTGACATCTCCAGTCGGCTGGTAATGGTGCTCATCTTTAGCGAGCTCAACGCCTCAACGATGTGTCTGTCCGATTTCGAGAGCCACCCTTGGTCTTCCTCTGAGCTGGGTATCTCTTTTGGGAGTGAAGACAGTCGCTGCATTGCCACAAAAACTTGATCTACCGCGTCTTTGAGATTCTGGTCTAATTCTCGAAGAAGGAAGTTCGACCGAGGAAGTTGTGTTCCGTTTGTCAGTTGTGGCACTGTTTCTGTCCAGGGAATGATTCGGCGCATGAGATACTCAACACGAGGCTCCTTGACTTGCCACTCCACCAGTAACGACTTGAGTTGAGAAAGGACTTCGGAACTTTTCTCCATCAGAGCTTGTGAGGTCTTCCATGTCAATCCCAACGGTGCTTCAGGCAGGTCAAGTACACTGAGTCTCAGGTCTGTGATTTGCTTTGCGTAGGAACGCAGTGAGTCCAAGCACCCTTTAATGTCGAACCCACCATATTCCGCCTGGAACTTTAAGATACGATGGGCAATATTCAAGATCCCTGCTAGCCATGCGAGGCGCTCTTGCGCAAAATCGATACTGTGAGAAGAGACAGTGGATTGCATAATCTGGCCTGATGGAGAAGACACCACGGACCTGAGCATAGACAACTGAGAACCCAGTCCCCTTATTTCGAATGCTTGCTGCAGACTTGCTTGACGTTGACGGATTGTCAAGAACAGCAAGCCTTCCAAAAGCCCAACGCAGCGGTTGATTTCTCCATCGGTGAGGTCATCAGAATGGTCTGTGCGAGCTGCGCGGACTTCAGGCATGACATCAAGCAATTGGTGGAGTGCCCCGTTGGCAGCAGACTGGATTGGCGTATGTTGGGTCATTGGTGAATCTGCCGCCAGTGCGAGAACAGCGGCACATGACGATTGCTTCTCAAGTTCAGAGGTTGGGAGGTTTCTCCTGACTCCCATATGCGTAACTGCTTTCAGCGTATCGGCAAGCAATCTTCTCTTTCTCTCCTGAAGATGGCGGACAAATGGAGTATTGTCTTCAGTCAATGTTGACGGTGTCTGAGTCTTCAATTGCTTTGATGCTTCAAGCAGGTCTTCCCGGAAGGAGGCCAATTCCACCTGAGCTTGGAATTCAGTATCCTTCGACTGGTACACATGTCTCATGCTTCTGATTGCACCTAGAGGTTGAGTAAGACGCTCAGGGCGCATGGTCCAATCATCGATTAGCAGGCGACATCGTCCTAATGCCGCTACTATAAGTTCATCGTTGTAGCGAGGCGCAGAAAGGTCTTCCACGATGCTGGTCGGAGAATTTTGTCCCGATTCTTCAGGCGCAGTGCATACAACAGCCTGGTTCAGCAGGTCACGATACTTGCGAACGATCTTGAACAGCTTGTGGTGCGATCGGCGTGCGCTTTCACGGAGCGCCGTGACGTTCGTATCCTTCCAACTCGCGAGTTTGATCTGCTCGCTCAAAGCCTTCTCCAGTCCAACACGGCCGCTATGCAGCACGGACTCAACGCCACCCTCATACCGGCGATAATGATCAATGATGTTTTGGACGCAGGCGGCAATTGGGTTGAGGTGCACATGATCATCTGCCAGAGCCTGCATAGTCTTGTTAAGTGTATCGAGCAGTCGCAAGCGGGATGAGTATTGGCCTAATGTCGCTGACTTGAGAAATTCCTGCAGTGTTTCGACCAAATGCCGTTGATATGAGAGAACACCTTCGTCACCGGCGTCTAGTTTTCTGGAGTTGTAGATGACAGCCTCATAGGCAATGAAGTACCAGGCTTGTGCGTCCTCCTCATGTTTACGCATCTCTTCATCGAGTAGCCTTGACCAAGATAAGAGCTCCAGGCGTCTCCAGCTAATGATCAAAGACGACAGTTGCTCAACGAGGGGGCTGACTGACCACTCCCTGCTGGCAATACTTTGCCATTGCGACACAATCTCAAATAGCTTCTCTGTCTTGGTGAGAAGTTTGGCGACAGGGTCGCCGAAGCTCAAATGGAGGACCTCTCTGCAAAACGACAGGACCTCTGCGGGGATAGCATGCTCGGGCCACTTCTCTTGAATGATGTAGAACCTCGATTGAATCTCATGCACTAGATCTAGCAGCTTCTGGCTTTGTTGAACATCGGAGTCGCTGTAGATGTTGAAAGTGCGGGTACCTTTGTCGCCAGTGAACTCGTTCATTTTAGCTTCCATCTGCAGGAAGACGGCTGGGAGGAGATCGATGAACGAACTTCCAGTGCCTCCGCCAACACCGGCAGCCTTGGGTAATGACTCCAATGTGGATAGAATGAATGCCTCCATAGCCTCTTCAGGATTCCGTCGAGCGTAGATCTTTTGATGCAGCATACTGAGTCGTGCTGCAGTAGCGCGAACATCGAAATCGTGTTGATGCATATCGACCTCCTGGTCTTCATCTTCGAATCGTGGAAACAGCTCGCTCATTTCGCGACTTTCGTCTTCCTCGTCTTGAAGCGCGTCGCCACGGTAAGTGTAGTATCGAGATCTCGTTGCAGCGTCGGCTTGGTCTTGAGTTAAGCGAGTTTTCCATTCGAAGTAAAAGCTGTCAAGTACCCCAAGAAATTCCTCGACGAGGAGCCGGTCCTCCTTCCCTGTTAGAGCAGTTCTCACTCCAATGTAGTCCAGCCAGTGAAATTTGACCACTGAAGATGTGGCATGAAGGGGTTCCGAGTATCGAATAGTGGCAAGGTTATTCGTTAACAGAGGAGTGCTGACGATAAGCTCGTGAAGAGCGGAGGGTGTGGTGCTTCGACTCTTCTCCCCAATCTCAAGCTTCAAGGCAAGATACAGGCATTTCAAAAACCATAGGATCGGCTTCACAAAGTCGTCGAACGCTCGATGGGAGCTTTCTAGTCGCTCAATGATGGTCCTCAGATTTGACATTCCCTGTTGGCTAGACCATTGCTCGATCCACTCTGCACCACCAGCACGTATTCCTTGAAGCGTTTGAGTGCCCTGGTATTCGAGCACGCCATTAACAATTCTTGTGAAGATCTCTTGAAGCTTGAAGAGTTCCTCTTTATCTGGTCTGACGACTGCCGGAGGTTGAGAGACAGTCCCCAAATCGAGAAGCTCTTGCTGCAGAATACGGATAACTAGAGCTGTGTCTGTTCCCATCAGGTGCCTGTGAAATTGCTTTTGCCCCTCGATTCTGGAAAGCAGTTCATCTTGTCGGCGATCATGGAGATGATACACAATTTTCGGGTATGTTGCGGGATCCATGGGCCTATCGGGCACCATGAGGATCAGGCCGGCAAGGGACAAGCGAACGAGGCATGTTTTGAGCTGCTGAGGACCAAATTTATCCCTGTCTTGCAACCGCGACAGGACAGGGTGGATCAGTCTGATATAGACTTCACTGAGGAGTTCGTCGCTGCGCCCCTTCAGGAAGACATCATTGATTGGCATGGCAGCCAGCCGAAATAGATCTGGTGTACCTCCTTCTGGAAAGCATTCTCTTGCCTCCGGCGTCAGGAGGGTGCGGAAGGAAAACATGAATCCTTCTATGATCGAGAGCAGATCCTCAGTCAGCGGAGAGATGAAGTCGCCAAGTGAGTATGTGTGGGTTGCCAACGCTCTCGTCAGCTGTTGTAGTTCTTCTTTCGCATGGCCCAGCGTGCCGAGAGGCTGCTGCTGGATCGAAGAAAGCTGACCACTCAGTTCCAGCCCAATGGAGCCATCATCCACCAGGATATCAGCATTCAGAGATGCAAGGCGGGCCAATGAATTAGGCACAGAGTTTTCATGCCCGACAGCTAGTGATTGTCCTTCAGACTGGGGCATAAACATCGCCAGATTCCCCAGGTCTGGCTCGTTCGGTATGCGCTTCTGCAACCGAACCGCCTCGTATACGAACGTGATGACGTTCTCAAACTTTCCTTGAAGGAAAAAGCCTTTCGTCGATTGCTCCTCCAGTCTAGACACGGCTTCTTGAAGATCCAGCATCAGGGACTCAGGTTGTCCTGAATCAACAATCGACGCATACGCATTTTGCAATCTGAGCTTCAGGCCTGAGAGCGAGTTTCGAGCTTGCGGTAAGGAGCGACACGCAACGTCGAATTTACCGATGAGCTCTTCCAATGCAAGCTGGCAATTAAGTTGTGGCCATGTGCTTGCGGTCTTGGGCCGAAAAACTGGCCACATGAACTGAAGTCCGAATCCAGTCTTGAGCCCAGGTTTATATGCTCCTAAAGTCTCTAGACAGTTTGAGAATTGAGCGGCAATCTCGGGAAAGTTTTGCCCAACGAGATGGATTAAGTCGGTTCCAACTTGCAGGTATGCCTGGAACGAAGCCACGTCGATCGTTTTCGTGTTACAGAGGAGGATGAGCTCGTGAGTAAAACAGAGCATTCGTTCTACTCCATCTGCCAAGTCCAAATTCCTCATCGCTTTGATCTCCCTTTGAACAAGTTCGGCAATTAACGAGATAACAAGCTTTCCAAAAGCTGCAATGTTCGGGGCTGCACCAACTGCTTCTCGCTTTGGGATAGAAATTGATCGCTCGAGGATTGTTTGGTCTTTGATAGCGAGAGTTTGGGCTCGAGTTGACGCGTCCTTCATGATTGAGTCGATTTCTGCTAACCGCCGTGTGAGGTACCAATACCTGGTAAATAGCCTGGTGAACGAAGAACTTGAGAATGTATTCCCGGAAAATGCTCCTAGCAAGATGAGTGGCTCGTTCAAGACGGTCATTTGTGGAAATCGGTTGTCCGCAGAAACTCCCACAGAACTAAAGGTGCGGTACACGCTTTCTACCTCGAATAGATTCCTCTCGCGGATCTCCTTTTGCAGTGAGTCATTGGTGTGAGCACCGGGCAATGGGCAGTCTGCATGTGAGATCAACTTCATATCTCTAAGATCGAGATTGTCGACCGCAGCTTCGATACTGTGAGCTTGTTGGATTTGGTCAGCAGTCTCCGACAAATGTCGTAAGCGAGTAAGAGCCGAAGCGATCGGATACTGGACGGGAGACGCATTGGAGGTCTCTTGGATTTCGGGCATAAAAATCTCGAGCGATCGATTCCTCATCGCCCTCGAAAGCTCTCCGTAGCGCGGATCCATCGTCAGAAATATCCTGAAATTTGGATGTGGCTCAATAATTCTCGTGCCGGCACTGCCACTATGTTGCTCGCTGATGGCAAGTGATCCACCAGGTTCAAGCAATGAATTCAGCCTATCCAAAACAGACGGGTTGCATAAATTGGCGTTTTCGAGCAACAACCACGAACCCTTCTCGATAGCATTGACGAGAATGCCATCATTCCAGACGAACCGGAGATTTTCCTGATCTGCTGCATCTGGAATAGTTGAAATGATTTCGACTTGTGCTCGGAGCTCTGGCAAAATAGACAGTAAACCTGAGATGGCTGCCTGAAGATCAGGGATATCTATCTCATCGCCTTCGAACAATCGCCATAGCCTCAGCAGTTGAATGTGGCCTGCTTCGTCGGCTTTATTCAGTAGAGATGCTGCAAGTCGTTCTCGAAGCACTTCTCGTACTTTGGTCTGGACCTCGCTGACGTCGCGACGGACATCGTATTGGTCGAATCCGCCCACGAGGTCTATTGTATCCACATCAGAGTTCATTGAAAACTCGACGAGCTCGACCCCCGCTGCAGCCGCGAGATATCGAACAAGAGTTGTCTTCCCTGAGCCTGAAGGCCCTGCTAGGATCACAGGCCAGTTCTGTTTGACGGCCGTAATGATAGAATTTGAGGCAGGAAGTTGCCATACAGAGGGAGTTGTGTTCGGTGCTTCAGTGTTCTGCAAAACTGAGTCCCTGGGCAGAACAGCGTTGCCAATCTGAAGAAGGGATTCAGTTATGTTGTGATAAAAGCTTTCGGGCGTAATGGAAATGTAACTCGATTCGGTTTCCTTGAGGATTAGGTCTCTTTGAACAGAGGTGCGAAAACGCTCCGTCACAATAGTACGAAGATGGTAGGACGAGGGAAGTGTCGGCTGCTCCTTACACAGTCGCAGCCATCGGCTCACGTCGCGGAGATTCAATTCCCAAGGTCCCCCGTGCGCAAAGGCTGAGCTTCCAGTGACGACCTGCTCCAAATGCGTGGCCGTGTCAATCACGCTCTCGAGTTGGTCACGGTTAACGTCCGGGAATCTGGACTCGCAAATACGAACCAAGTCCACACGCTGGAAAGAATCCGCGTATACGACCGTGAACCGATTGACAAATGAAGCTGGAAGTCCTTTCCGACCACCGCCTTGATGATGAGGATTTTGAGCAGCAAACAGGGTAAAATCTGGATGGCAGAGGAATGACTTATCCAGCTCTGCGATGTACACTTCTCGGCGGTGATCCAAGCAAGCGTTCAGGCCTTCCAAAACAGATTGAGATGCCAGGTTCATTTCATCAAGCAGGACCCATCCACCGGATTGCATGGCTTTCAGCAGAGGTCCGTCTTGCCACGAAAACTTCCCCACGCCCTCGTTGTCGGATGGGGCATCTGCTCCGAACAAATCCATAAGGTCGGTCTGATCAGACAAATTGATTCGAGTAAACATCTTGCCGCAGGCTTGGGCAAGCGCTGTCACTATCGCTGTCTTTCCTACACCGGGGCTGCCTTCCAACAGGATGGGCCTTGCCATTTGCAGAGCGCGGACGATCCTCATTGTATTTTGTGCGGTGGTCGGAGCGTTGAAAACAAGATCGGTTGTTGGCTGACTCGAATTTTCGGTTCGAGGGAGAGAGAATGGGCCAACATGGATGCGTTCACCAGTAGACGAAAGCTCGGGGATTGTTTTATAACTCTCCGAAACGTCGAGGCTCGCCAGATCTTGTAATTGATTGAGACACTTTTGCCTTGACCACTTCAAGTCGCTTGTGCCGGTGGAAGTCATTCCCGCTGGATTTGCGCCGATGGAATCAATATAGACCATGAACGCCCCATGGACAAAAGCAGATTCCACGCCCAGTGACTCAGCACGATTGATGAAGTCTGCCCATGCCAACAGATCTCGCAACGCAATACTTTTGGATGCCGCATTATGGAACTCGGCACGAAACCAGGCAGCAAATTCGAGCATCTTCTTGGCTAGATCGCTCTTTCTCGTTCCCAGCCTATTCTGGACAATGGGCAAGAGATCTGCTATTTCAGACAGAGGAGGTACCCATATCTCGGTCAGCCGATTTCGCAGTGCCGCTGACAGCTCCCTCTTTCCGTAATCCCCTCCGGGATTCATGGTGGCTAGGAATTGGAATCTTGGGTGCGCGACGACGAGATTATCGACAGAACCCTTCTCCGCGAGCAGAATTGTCCGGGATGGCTCCAGGACACTATTCAGACGTTCAAGGACGGAATCTTCAGCCAGGGAAATCTCATCGAGCAAGAAATATTCGCCCCTTTTCATGGCTCGGACGAGGCTGCCATCGTTCCACGCAAACAGAGCCTCATATGCTCCGATGCTAGATCGGAGATGCTCGACGAGTCTGGGCTCGTAGTTAGATCGATCCAAAGTTTTGAACAATTCCACAATTCGGTCAACGCCTAGATCTTCGATCAAGATGCCATCAGGTCTGGAGCCAATCAGGGCTTGCCAGCTTGCTTGCACGTTGTTGACAATCTCGGATCGGTTACGAATTGGGCGCTGAGAGCCAATGAGGTCACCAGTTTCGGTATTTGTATGGGCATTGTAGATATCGAGTGGTGTGCCAGTTGCTTCGGCAATCACTTGACAGATTTGAGTCTTTCCACACCCAGTCTCGCCGACCAAGAGAACTGGCTCATTATTCTTCAGTGCTTCAGCCACAAGAACAAAAACTCGTCTCATTGCTGGGGTCCAGACAATCGAACCATAGTGCTGAACAGTGTCCGGAATCTTCGACGCACCATACAGTACACTTTCGTCAATGACGACTTTGATAGTCTCCTCAAGAATGCTCTTGACCACAGCACGCTCTGCAGGTTCTCTTACCCGTTCAGCCAGCAGCATGAAGCCGTGATGTGCCAACTGCTGCCAGTCATCCACGGGTCTTGAGGCCCATCGAAACAGATCTCGTAATGTGGCAAAGCTGTTGCGCTGTTCGAACAATCTAGAAGACTGCCTGAGAAGTGACAACTTTTTGTAAACAGCAACAATTTTGGTGCAAAAAGAAGGAGCAATCTGTGCCCGTTCTCGCAGTATTATCTCCAGTTCATCCTCAGGAATATCATCAAAGTGGATTTCGAGAAAGCGATTTCTGAAAGCTCGAGACAGCCGCTTCCGGCCTCCATACAGGCCAGCTGGATTCTGCGTGGCGAAGAGCATGAAGTTAGGATGTGGACGCACGATTTCCTGAGACTCTGGAATGAGGAGCTCTCTGTTATCGTCCAGCAAGCGATTGAGGGCCTCGAGAACATCACTCGGAGCCAGATTCAGTTCGTCGAGCACGATCCAGTGGCCCAGACGTAGAGCATCCACCAAGACACCTTCTCGGAACACGAGTTTGCCGTCCGTATCTGACATGTAGCTGCCCAGATATTCTTGGAGGTCTGTGTGCTCGTGGTTGTTAATCCTAACAAATTTGTTGCCTGATAATTTTGCAAGATACTCCACCATACTGGTCTTTCCAGCCGACGTCGGCCCTTGTAGAAGAATTGGAAAGCGTCGCATGGAGGCAGCGCGTGCCAGATTGAGCAGATTGCGTTCGACGGAGGGTGTTCTAATGTAGTGCGGTTGAAAGTCTGGAGGCATTGGACCTCTCTTGACGATGTGATGTTTGAAAGCAATGTAATCTTCTCCAGTAAGTGGCATCTTCGGTTGCTGGCTGAAGAATGCCTTTCGATTCTTGACACTTGAGAGTAAGTGCTTTTCAAGAAATGGCAAAGCTAGACTTTCCGCCGCTCTGCTCAGTACTGTGAAGAAGCTCATTGCAAATCCCTCGAACATGGCACGTCTCAGACCGTGGATCGCACTGTGTTGTGAGACATATAACAGGCACCGAACAAGCGATCGAATGCTGAAATGCGGTGTTTCACCTGCTCCATCGGTAAGCTGGTGTGCTTCATTGAGCCTCTTCAGCTCGAGGTAGGAGTTCGCGAGATCTAGGGCAGCTCGTTTGTCATTGTCAAGTAGGGTCCCAAGATAGGTTTGAATGACCTTGGTCAAGTCCTCAAGATTACTGTCACCAGAGGGAACATATATCTCGGTAAATTGTGATCGCAGGGCAGGCGGGAGATCCTTTTTTCCTGCATCTGTTGCCGGGTTCATAGCAGCGAAGACTCGGAAATTCGGATGGGCAATGATGGTCTCAATGTTGCCCGCTTCGGTGAGCAGCAATGATGGCTTTTCTTCATCTCCATTGTGTAGAAGGCTGACGATGTGATCTAGAGTGTCTGAGGGAGCTAGATTGATTTCATCGAAGAGTACCCATCCGCCCTCTCGGACTGCTTGCACCAACCTGCTTTCGACGAAGGCGAAAGTGTGCGTCTTGCCACCATGGTCAACAAACGCACGAATCTGCTTCAAACTTTCGGAAAAGTCGGCCCACCTTGTGCGCAGGACTTCATATCTTGGTGTGTCTAGCCGGCGCTTCTTGTTTGCATGGACAGATCCGTTGGTATGAGGATGTTCCGCCGTGTTGAGAGAGGTTGCTGCCATTTGAATTGCTTCATTCCACAAAATTATTAGTCTCGACCAGTTCTGTCTCGCAAATGCCTTGGCCAGAGCGATCTGGAATTTCTCGTTCCTTTTCGCAGAGAAGGTATCATCGAATAAGGTATTGAACTTTTCGACTACTGGCAGGACCAGAGATCGAACTGTCACAGGCTTCAGCCCCCCAATAAGGTCACCAGCTTCGCTTTGTTGTGAAAGGTTGATCACGGTAAGTGTCTGGCCCACAAGGTTGGCAATGTGTTGCACCAGCGTTGTTTTCCCAACCCCAGTTTCACCAACCAAAAGGCACGGTTCCGAGCAGTCTGCACACGCGGCGATACGGTCAAGCGTTCTGCCAGCCGAAGTGGTGAGTGCGAAAGGGGCTTTTTTAGCCTGTCGACGGCGAAGGGCAATTTTTGTGAGAGTGCTTCGCCCAACCTGCACCACATCTTTGTCCTCTGAAAAAGCTGGAAGAGCTTCATTCAGACAATACCGCATCTGCTGGGGCGATATGTTCATCTCAGCTGCAATACTCTCAGCCATCACGTCGTGAATTTCCTCGTTGTCAAGGTAGCCTGCATAGCAGTCGACAGCATCCTTGAATATGTCGAGTTTTGCATGTTCGGGGAGAGGGTCCGTCTCTGAACGGCCACCATGACGCCCCAGTCTGCGAACAATCCTCCTCAGCAGATTGAGCAGGTCTTTTAGAGAGGGAAGTCGTGTCTGTACTCTTTTTAGTGCATGGTGGTCTTTGTAAAGAGAAAGAAGATTTCGGTGAACCCGCAAGATTGTCGGAATGAAAACACTAGCATTAGGGTATCGAGAATAAAGTAAAGCCTCGACCTCTTCAGGTGGGTAGTTGGCCGCTTCGACAGTGCTCCAGAGTCGAGGATTGAGTAACCACGATTGGCGAGAATTTGTCGCGGAAGAGGTCTGCCTGGTTGCCTCGACTGTTGCCAATATGCGAAAACCATCCTTTGGGCGGATCTTTTCGTTACGACTAGGCAGGAATAGATCGCCGTTCTCAAGGATCGGACGCAGCACTCCCATGACCTCGCCAGGCGTCCGATCAATATCTTCTATCAGAACCCATCGTCCCTGCTGCATGGCCTTGGTCAAAACGCCGGGTTGCCAGGTGAAAGATCTGCCATCGGCCGAAGAGGTGTGGATCCCCAATAAACTCTTAGCATCGGTTTGTTCGTTGAGGTGCAATGTGATCATCGACGACGTTTGATTTAGGAGCCTGGCGGCCTCGTGAATGAGCGAGGTCTTTCCGGAACTGGCCGGTCCTGAGATGAGGATCGGTCTCGAATCTAGCAAACGCTGGCCGAGCAACCGTAAATTGCGCTTCGCAGTGGCGGTCAGAACGAAAGTGGAAGCAGAGGAGCTTGGAGTCTGGCCTTCCAAGGGCAAGTGAAGAACGCTGCCGATATCAACGATGCGTGGTGAGAAATTTTCAGCAAGCAGGTTGGGAGCTTTTGAAGGTGACGGTGGTGACGATTGCCAGGACTTCTCAATGCTTGCCAGCGCACGATCAAGGCTTTTCCAGCGCCTCTCTTCCCAAAGCTTGAGCAGTCGATAGTCGATCCTGCGGCCCTCCCACTCGCCCCATATGGCTTCGTTGCCCACATATGTCTTGACCATCGTCTCCGAAAACGCATCGGCAAAGTGCATGATTATGCACAGACACTGGACAGCCAAGTATCTGACTGACAACGAGCGATGACGCAAAAAGGACGAGAAAAAGACAGGAGTAACGATGTCGGCGAGCATGCGTCGGTCGAAGGAGAGAAGGCGGAAAACCGCGAGCAGAAGCGAATGGTCGACATCGTCTTGAGGCTCGGTGGGAGCGCTTCCTAGATCCAACAGACGATGCCGTAAGAGGTCTATCCGAAGAAGACACTTGACATGAGGGCGCAGATATGTAGCAAGTGGCAAAACCCGCGCCAGACATGAAATAGTGGTGACAATGTCCTTGAGGTCAGTGGTGCGAGTGGGACTCGACCACCTCGCAAGCAGCTCGGGCAAGAGAGGTTTGTAAAGCGGAAAGAGCGCATCTGTGTATTGAGCATCTCGAATAGCGTCGGCGAGGGACTCCAGATATTGAGATGCTGTTGATCTGATAATGAGTGATCGGACTTCTGTCGGAAGTCCTCTGAGAGAGGAGTGGTCTGCGTTGAGTTGCGCATCAGCCCATGAGCAGAATACTGCTATGTCTTCCATGGCAAAGTCGGATGCTGCAACTCCTCTTCCCTACTTTCAGCCCCGAGAATCAAGAAGGGTAAATGTACAGAAGATCGTTGTCGATAGAAGGCAATTGTCAAAACATGATATTTCTTGGCGAGGCGGCGGCCAACAAAAAATTTCGCGTGGCGCGAGGCTGAACAAGGCTGGCACCCAGCATTGACCAATCAGCAGCTGAGGAAGTCCCGGTCTATCAAACATACATTGAACACGAGGAAAGGCGACAATTGGTCTCCCGACATCATCTCTACATGTGCAGTGCGCGAGAATACTATGTCCAAGTGCGATGGAGATTTGACAGCTGCAATACTATGCACCGAGCAGGGCGTAATCTATGGAATGTCGCTTTGACCGCTATCATCAAGCCGCTTCTGTTACATTGGGTATAATACTCCAAAACAAAACACATGGAACCGCTCAACTTTTGAAGTGCTGTAGTAAGCTCTTTCGCTCCACACAGGGGGTTCTTTCTTCGCTGATCTTAGAACAGGCAACATAATCAAGAAAATGAACATGCACATATGGGAGGAATTTGTACATAGAATCATGTCGTAAAGGCCTCATTACTCTTCAGTCAGAGCGTCGTCGCCTGTCTCCCTCCATTCCCTCGACTGCTCCGTGAGCCTCTTGACCCCGGTGACTCGTTCCGCCCATAAGGATTCGGATGCAGTTCTAAAGGTATAAGCCCGTTGGGACGAGATCACTCCAATGGCCTGGAGAACTGCTTTGCGTGAGTCGCGTGAGAACACGGCGGGATGGTTGATCCACTCAAGGCTGGCTTCGATGTCGGCGTCGAGAGCATTCATGATGGTGTGATCAACATTAGTCGAGCGCGGAATAGGGGTGCTGGCGTCTGAATGGGGGCTGTGGTCGCGGGCGTGGTCCGGGGTGGCAGCTCTGGGACTTCCGGCTTTTGACTGCGGACTGTGGCGTTTATTGACCGGATGAGTGGCGCCTGGAGGCAGTGGTGGCAGCCCGCCTTTCGCCAACCCTTTCAGAATAGTTCTTGTTTCGTTCAACAGGTGATGCGCACGCTCGTGCTGACCGCGCTGGACAAGAGTGAGGGAGCGACTCAGCATGTCGGACGTCAGCAGCTCCATGCGCCTTTGCACGATGGATGGATGGGGAGGGATGGGAGGTGTTGGCGGTCTTCCATTCTGGCGCGAGCGACGATTCGAGGGTAACATGGTGATGGTCAGGAGTGATGGCCGGGGTAATTGCACCATGGAGCCTTCCCGGTGCAGATCGCCAAAGGAGAGATCCGCTTGGAGCAATGGCAGTTCCTCCACGCTTTGAATCCTCTGATCATCGGTATCAAGGGAACCACCCAGAGCTTCGAGACCCGACACTATCGATTCCCAAGCATCCTGTGGTGCAGGCTCCGAGGTCGAGGTGTCCGGGTCGATCACCAACTGCACCAGCACGTCGCGTTTGTCGCCAAAATGGAGGTCTCCCAAGCTTGCCTCTGCATCCCGACCGGTGGCTCTCTTCGTCGTCTGGAGAGCACCGTTGATTTTGACGAACTTCGCGGGCGATCCTTCAGGCAACTTGAGCTTGAGCTTCACGTTCTGGTGAGATATCGACTGAAGCGCGCCCAGGACGCCACCCGCACATTCGCGGAGCATCATCCAATCCTTGACGTAAAGATACGATGCTTTTGTCCGACTCGACAGCTCAAGCATGCTCTCTGGTTTGTGGGTGAGACCCAGGCCAAAAGAGTATATACCGACCCTGGGGCAGTTAGCAGAGAGAAGAACACGAGACAGTCGAGAACATACTTTGCAGCTTCGGCTCTCTGAACAACGAAATCCACGCCTTCCATTTCGGATGTCGAGGAATCGCTGATCAGGAGGATAGTCGAGATCGGATTTGCGGCTTTGCGTTGCATCAAGAGATCCATGGCCACATTGGCGCCATCCACCACGTCCGCCCGCAAACTCTTCTGTCCAACGGGTCGAATCGAATTCAGCACTTTGTTCCATCCACTCCACGTCTTGGTGGTCATCCCAACCACCGGAACTCCTCCGCCACTCGAACCAAAGGTGACGAGACCCATCCGATCGCGGTCGCCCAAGTTGTGCACCAGGAAACGCAGTGTATCCCTCAGAAGGGTAATTTTCAGACCTTGCATCGAGGAAGACACAGGAATGACAACGACAATGTCTATGGGGACGTGGAGTGAGGGAGGAACCCGCTTATCGACCATGTTCTTCGACATCGAATATTCCGTGGCTGCCGTCGTAGCCGACCTGGGTCCTCCGTAGGACGAGGCAACTGAAGGCACACGTCGGACATTGCGCGTGGTCTGCCGGCCGTACTCTTCCTCATCCGTGCCGGAGGTGTCCGGTTCGTAGTCCTGGTTGAAACGCGGAGAGGGCTCGGTGGCATGAAGGTCTCGCAGAGCTCGTTGCCAGATTTCCAGCTTGTCTCGGTCCTGGAACAAAAGATGGAATGTAGGCAGCTCGGCCACGGACAAATTCAACGTCAAGATGCACTCGTCTGGAGATGCATGCACCTGCCGCAAGTGTTTCTTGATCAGAATCGAGCCTTTCAGTGTGCATCTCGTCAGTTTGCGGCCGGAATCGGTGATCAATGGAGGCTGAGCGTTCTTCTTCTCCTTGACACAAATGAGCATCTCTCCGAACAGGTAGCACTCAAGCTCTTGCCAGGAGTGACGGTCCTTGCCCACCCTGATGACACTATGCAGGCGTAATTTTCCAAATCTCTGAAACTCGAGCCCATGCCAATTATCCACACGCATCCTCAGTTCTTCGGTAATTTCGTCAAGGATTTCTGAAGACTCGTACGCGAGAGGTGGCCGCTGGATTTCCTGGTGTCTATGCATTGCTGGAATACCGACGCCAGAGTCGCTGGGAAGGGGTGGGACCGGAGGCGTGTTCTGCATTTCTTCGAGTTGACCATGGAATTTACCTTCGGGAACTTCAATAGTAACGAGGCACGTAACAGTCTGCTGTTGACGGGACCGAGTCAAGGTCGGATACTCACTGCGAACGGTGACAATAGGGACCGGGATGGGCTGCTTCATATCTTTGGTCTGAGTTCCTGGGACGGTGGTTTCCATAGCGTGGAGGTCATAATCGTGCTTTCGTGGATGACCCGCATGGTCATTGGCGTAGTCGGTCGAGGAGGCATTGCCGCTGTCGTTACGTGAATGAGTCTGTGATCCGAGAGTGCCATGACCGGTGCCATGACCGGTGCCATGACCGATGCCGAGGCGTTCGATGCGCATTCTTTGGCTATCTCGACTGTCTCGGTTGGGGTTCTCGCGGCTGAGTCTTTCACTCACAGCTTGTGAGCTGTAAGTGTCGTCCTGGACCACCTGCCTACTGGGCTCCCAAGGCATGGGTGTATTTTGTGAACTCCTTGGTGAAGATACATCTTTGGAAGCGACGGCTCGGACCATATTACTCAGTTTGGCTATGAAGTTCGGTTAGAAGTGATCTGAGCAGACCGGCAACGAGGGCACTCACTCAGATCCAGGATGCTGCCACCGCGGAAAGAATCCAGACTCAAGGGAGCGTCGCATGTTGGGCAATATTGGGAGTCCGAGTCGCGAATGTATTCGTAGAAGCAAGCCTCGTGGGCGACATGGCCACAGGAGAACTGTAGAACCCTCTCCCCCCTCAGTGTATGTTCCAGCAGCTCTTCGCAAGCGGCGCATTCCCCTCCAACAAATGTCCTTTCTCGTCGTGATCGTGAGCGGTCGGAGTCGAGCATGCCGGCCATGGGATGCCCAGCTCCAGGAACGCTTGTCGTGGGGGAAGGAGGCGGCCGTTGGTCCCTCGTACGCGGACGATGGTTGTTCGGGGTATGCGGTCTACCCAATGTGCCCGAGGAAATACTAGACTGCTTGAAGGTCGAATTGTGAGAAGAGGCGCCCAGTGATGAGGCCGCGCGAGGAGGATATCCGTCGTGACGGGCTCGCGAGACCTGGTCTGGGAGGTACAACACCATGAGTCAGTTCTATCGTTTTCCTCGCTTTGTCCTGCTGAAACACTAATTGACTGTGGAAAAGCAACGCTGGAGGAAGGGAGTTTCGCCGCCGCAAGAAAAAGGAACGCTGCTGCTGGAGGTCTTACAGTGGTGGGCCGGTTTCGAATCGTTTGTGCTTGTCCGAGACCTTGAACGAGGACGATTGAGAAGTCCCAACTCGTAGAGGTTTTCGGTGGTCTCTCTCGACACCTCGGCGCTGGAGTAGGAGCGATCGTGTTTGGTCATGGAAAAGAGATGCCCGACTGGCAGTGCTCTCCCACTCTAGCGTCAGACCAATTTCATCCAGAGGGAAGATCCTGAGAGAACTAGGGGAGATCGGTAACCACGTGGAGGCCTTTCAATTTTGTTTCCTCAGTGGGCACTTCGGGAGGACGGGGATAATGAGAATAGAATCCAGAGGGGGGTTACAATGGCTAGAGTATAGTATTGCACTTGGATTGCTGCTTGGGGGACTTGGAGGGAAGTAGCACTTTGGCCGTCTGAAAATGGTGGATGCTGCTTCTTTCTCTCCGACACGGTCAACCCGGCCTCTGTGGGGGGGCACTCTCATTCATCACTGACCACGAGCACCTTAGCATATGAGACCATGAGGCACGATCGATTCTAACCAGTTGAACCGGCTCGGTGGGGGAATCCCATGGCGCAACGCTGTGTGGAGCCCTGCTTTGGGACGGCGGATGTCATGTCAAGACAAGTTTGCCAGGCTGGAGGGGCCTGTGACCGTGCAGTGGTGGAGAAGCTCAACTGTCTGTGGACGAGCGAAGAGGCATCTGAGGGCCTGGGGGCATGCTCCGTGCTCCATACCAGCACCGGGCATGGAGATGGTGTTGCACCGAGCGCCTGGAACCATGCCGCTGTGGGAAAGAGACTCAGCCGGCGCCATGGAGCCGGCATTAGGCGCTATTAGACCCAGAAACCAGCGAGGACCCCAGGCAACCCCCTTTGAAAGGCTGCGAGAGGGCTCAGGGCAGGCACAGCAGCGGGGGCCATCGGAGGATGCCACTGATGCTAATGCTGCATGGGATCCCGACACTGGCGGGGCGATTCACGTCTCTTCCCACCTGCCATTCGAGGGGAGGCTTTCTCTGGGGGGGCGTCGTGTTGCAGTAGTGATCTGCGTCCAGGCTTTCCTTGCCAGGTAAAGCACCAAGGGGAAATGTCAACCAACGTTACCTGAAGGTCTCGAGCTAGCTGTTCCGGCCCTATCCTGGACTCTCGAGCCTCCCCCCAAGACATCCCCCAGAAACGACGCGTCGGAAGTCCAAGCCTGGTAGCCTCGGTTTTTGACACCTGTGGCTCCTGGCAAAGGAAACGGGCCCACGACGGCAGGAACTCAACGTCACGGACAACCCCCGTGGACAGGTCGAGGAGAAGGGTTCGGAACATTGTGCCCACAAGGACAGACCCCGTATACTCGTAGGTACACACGCAGCGAGCCAGGCATAACCGTTACAGTAGTACATACCTGGGCGTGATGGCCCTTTGTCGGCGTTGACATTGCCCATGGGGGCCAACGGCCACACAGGCAGGGGGAACCTTGCGACATGCCAGCAGGAACACTAGGAACAATGGACTCGCCAAATGTAAGGTACCACACAACACTTCGCTCAACGGTCGACGGTGTTGGCCAACATTAGCAGACGCCTTTGCCTTCTGGGCGGGTGGAGCAGGGCGAAAGGAAAAATAGTCCCTTGGGCATCATCCCCTTCCACTTTTATCGAAATTTCCCGTGTCGTGACGAGAGCTAATATGATCTCAAACCACGTTCCTTCGCACCTACCTGTGCCTCTGAAATGACTGATCGACAGAGCTAGACCTTGACTTGCAGCATATTAAGCGATGGCTCGTTTGTATTCGGTATGTATCTCTATTGTTCCCTCTTTCTCTGCGGAACTGAAGGGCAAAGGGAACCCCGGGAGGAAACCTATGCCTTCATGCCTGATGCCTCGATTTTTGGGCCTCCTGAGAAGGCAAAACATGGTTGATCCGTCGCATGAAATCCCTGAATTAGACCAAGCCAGGCGTGTTGGCGGGTTGGTTGGATTGCCAACAATATCTGGGAAGAAGCTGGTCTCGAGTCAGCTGGGGGACGGGCATTGTGCAATTCGGGGACGCCTTCCCACGGTCCTTTCTGTTCTGGGGAGAGTGAATCTGCATCGTATACACTAGTGATCTCGTTGATTCTGTGTCATGATGCCATCATCCATGAGGACTGCAAGCAGCCCAAGAAAGCGTGGCTTGTGTCCTCAACGTTCAACCGCAGACGTCCTCAGGAGGCCCCCGGCTCAATCCTCATAGGCGAAACAGGGTGGCCCATGTCTATAAGGTGCCACTGACAGGGGTTCCTGCATGAATACTCCGTACGAAGGCACAACTGACTGCCATATTGGCCCCACGGCTGCCCAGAGAGCGATACGTAAAAGGACCCAACCACTTGCATACCTCCGCCGGGGACCTTTTCCCAAAGCATCCGGCTGGTTCAGGTACCGACTCAATCGCCATGTCGTCGTTGCCGTTGGTGTCCAGGATTGCAGTGGTCATGCCATGGCCCTCGTCCTCGAGCTCGTCTCATTTGTCCATCGCTATAGAGAACCTCGTCATGTGGCGCAAGCAGCCCGATGCGAAGGACTTTCACGAGACTGTTCACGGGCAGAGAAGGATACAGCGGCCTGGCGTCGTGTGTCGATGGCCCTGCGCATACTTGCCTTCTTTCGACCAAGTACATGAGCGATAGTAGGCAAGGCCAACAGCGTGAAGCGTGAAGCGTGAGAGCTACAGTCGCCACCGTCAGCAAATTACGTACCACTCACCATCTCGCAAGACACTCTGGCATGTAAAGAAACGTACTCGCAGATACCCAGTGAAAGTTACATAGTCGCGGGCAGTAAGAGCGCTCGTGCATTCGGCTCCCTTCCATCGCTTTACTTCTCAAACCCATCCTCACTACCGGTGCTGCGAAGTCCAGGGTTAGGGCACCCGGGGAAGTGACTAGCAATCCAGATAGTTGTTCATCAGATTCCCCAATCCAATCGCCCAACCGAGAGACTAGGGCAACGGGTTTCATCCCCTCAAACTGCCGGCATTGTTAGATAGAACCATAGTACCTGAGCAGTTCGTTTCAGAGTGCACAGACACCTCTCACTCTGTTCCTGTAAGCGAGATATGGTGGCATGACTTTTGCATGAGCTGTTCTCAGTCCTCACTCCTCAGTGCTCCGTACACTTCTAACCCCCTGATCGCCCGGGTGTACGAGTAAGTGAGTTCTGAGTACTCCGGACGCAGTGTCTATCCACAATGGCCCGTTCCAAGATGCTCGCACGCTTTGAGCCTTTGAGGAGGCAGGGCGGGATTGTGGCGTTCGGGCTCCTATCAGACCTGTTGATTGTGGAAGGTGACGCCTCGCAAAAGCCCAGCGTTTGGGTTCGTTCGCGGCAAGGATCGCCGGTTCCTGAAGCTCCCACATTTCGGATTTGCTGCGTCGATGGCAGCGGGCACAGGCACCCAAACACCAAGGGGTTGGTGACCAATCCGAAGCGTCTTGCAAGGGAAGGGTATGGCCATTTCAGATTGGCCCTTTCCTTTCCCATTCTGTGGTTGCAACTCGCAAGGGCCCAATCCCCCTCCAGGCACAAACCATATTGAATCTCCCTTCAAGTATTACCGGGCAGCCTTGCAAAACCGACAAGTATTACCCTGGACACTTTTTGCATCCGCAATCGGCGCAGAGCAAGTCGAGACGAGCGACTGAAGGATTCTCAGAGCCATGTCGCTTGTCATCCTTTCTCCTCGTGGCTCGTGAAGGATTCCATCGGCTCCAGAGGAAAACCCCCATTCTTCCTGCATTAAAGTGGGCATTATGCTTCGACCTGAGGTCCGCAGCTTTGGGACCATCGATTAGGACTTTCTTGTCTGTCCTTCCTGGCCCAACGACGTTCTGAGTCCCTAGTGGTAACCAAAAAAACGTGTGCAGCTGCAGCAACGTGCTTGAGTGGAGGGGCGTGGAGTCTACAGACTGAGAGTTTTTCCTTCTGCGTACCAATGATTCTCAACTTTTGCAACGCGGTCCCTCGATCGCCCTCAAATCTACACCATTGTACGTCAAATCGAAGTGATCGACACCGGTAGGAAGAGATGGCTCCCCACTGAAGTGATGTAACAAGAAACGGCGGCTGCCATTCTAGGCGAAGGCAGGCATTCTACAACGGTGACTGGTCCTGAGGAACTCGTCGATTCCAAAGATCGCGGCGTGAAAATTGGAGCTGGGAAATCGTCACCAAAGTGGTCGATAGAAGGTCGAATCCTCGTATCAAGTCGCCGCAGGGCTCAGCACGGCCGCGGCAAAGTCATGACTCCCCCCCCCCCTGAAGCCCATTTGAGTTCGTTTGGAACCTGAGTCTCTGCGAGGTCGCCAGTCAAAATTATGTTCCTGTCCTGGTCGAGACCCGGGTGGATAAGCACTTTGTCCAGAGGTTCCGGCTACCGCGCAGTGACAAGCTGACGGCGACTCAGCTAACAAGTTCCGTTGTATCGCTTGGAGATTTCATTGAGTCGGGTATAGAAATACATGTATCTGACATCTTCACCACTGAGAGGAACCACGGCGACTGTGCGGTAGGCGAACCTGAGCGACAAGACGGATTCAGCAAGCACGAGTCCGTACTCTCTTAGCTGCTGTTGAGCGATTACTGGAAGAAGCAGCCGGGGGCGTTTTCTTTTGGCACCATCGAAGTCCAATCGTTCCCCGTGCCGTGCTCTTTCCCACCAGTGGACAAGTGGATGTTCGCTTAGTACCTCGTGGCGCACGACAATCATGACCCGTTTGGGTCGCCGCTTCGCAACAGATTCGAAATCTTCGCCGTGCCCGTTTTCGAGGGACCTGAGTTTGAGGCCAGAGCAGGCTAAGTTATCATTGCAGACTCTAGCAGTACCTGTATGTCGTTAGTCACAAGGGGTGTTAGAAGTTTACGGCCTGCGCATTAGTCTGCCGTTATCGGTGCAACGCGCATTGAACTGCTAATTCGGCATGCTTCGCTTCTTGAACCCATGTGAATTGACACGTTGTTGCTGATCATTTCGGTTGCGGGAAAAGGGATCGTCAGGAGGAGCACAGGTACAACGCGAGGCTCGGCTCAGCTCACTCGCATAGGTCTCGCCCCCAATTTTCTCCTGCCTGCCCTGTTTTTCCCGTAGGCAAGGAGGCCCCAGTCTCTGAGAGATGGCCAATTATGCACTGCCCCCTTTTGTTGCGGCCGACGACGACAATATATTGCGTCTTCGCCTCGTGGTAGTTCTGCTGTCAGGGCCCTAAAGTTCGCCAAAACTCAACCTAGAGATGTGTGGGACACGCGCCATATGTAGCGTGGGCCAATGTCTTTCTAAGCGATATTCCAGACTTTCTAGGGAGCGGATGATCAGCTGGGCTTCTAGGCCTTTCCCGCTGGGTCGTCTACGGAGTATCGCGGTCTACTGACAAGACCTCCAACCTGGTAACTTTGTGCATACAAGAGAGGCTGGGTCTGATTGTTTCGGGAGATTGATTGTGCAAGGAGAAAGTTGCACCGTGGCTCCATCACCCTGGAAGATAGATGCTTTGGACTAGACTCCTGAAACGGCACGCCCCCTTCTGGACTCGTACACAGCTGGTAGGCTCTCGCGGGCGATATCCAGCGAGGATCCCGCGTTGACTAGACCTTCTGCCGGACGAGTCTTCCGCTCTCCGGGTATTTCACTGTCAGGCGTCCGAAGTTCGAATCCAGTTCAGCTGTACAGTTATTTGACGGTCTCTCATGTCCATGAGAAAAAGGCAAAAGTGGAGGGTCCAGACTCTGGCAAAGAAAAGTTTGATTAAGTCGGCATTCTTTGAGGATCTGGATCCTCTGAGTCTGCCTGAAGAAGGCCTCTCGCTTCCTCGGGGCCTTCGTCGTCCTCCAGAGCAGAGTCTCGAACGGTTTCTGCATCGGCAACAAACCCACCAGCCTTGCGTCCGTCTGCCGATGCGGACAAGATCCACCAAACATCCTTTTTGGTGAGCATGCCTCTGAAAGCGCCGCGCTCAACGAAAAGGAGGTATCGAAGCCCCAGCTTCTGGAACATATGCACCGCCAGTTGGAGTGAGCTGTTCGCGTTGAGCGTGATGGGTGTCTGGTCCATCCAAGGCCGCAGGTCGATTCCAGAACCTGCGGCAATGTCGGGATGGTAGGTGAAATAACAGGGGGTTCTTGGATCAACAATCGTTTCAGCCCCGGGTCTGGATTGGTGACTGCTAGGATGCATCATCCGCTCCAGCGCGAACGCCAGTTCAACCCGAGAGATGTACCCTAGAAGAGTGTTCTCGCGCGGGTACTGCCGGTGTGAACCTGTTTCAGTGACATCGCCTACTGCCTTCCTGAACGAGACCACCGGAAAACCTCGATAAGATGTTGTTCTCAGAATGTTTTGCAGGTCCTCGACAGTATACAGCCGATTGGCATCTAAGCACTTCATTTCCTCCACTCTCGTCATCAGACTGGAAACGAGGACGTGAGGCATAGTTGCGTCGTCCTTGTTTTCGAGATATGGGTATTCGTTGAATTGAATCCAAGACTCGTAGATGCCACGTGTGGAGAAGACATCTCCGATCCATTTTGCAAGCATGACTGCAATCATGATTGGCAAGACATAAGTAAGGGCGCCTGTTAGTTCAAACATGATGACGACAATCGAGACGGTCATCCTTGTGACCCCGGCCAGCGCTGAAGCAGCTCCGACGATGGCGTATGTGCCCGGAGTAACACAGGGAACGTCAGGTTCGCAAGCAGCGAACAACAAGGATGTCGAAAAGTGTTTGTGTATCAGCTCAACAACCACACCAAGTGTTCTTCCATAGAGTGCGCCAATGGCCAGAGAGGGGAGAATGATGCCTGCCGGAATTTGCAGGCCAAATGTGACGCTCGCCAGCAAGAAACCTAGCAATGAAGCTGCGATCAAGAGCCACGCCATCGACAAAGCTCCCGCAGTTGTGGCACGACAGAGACCAAAGATGTCGTTGTTCCCGATAGTGGCACACTCTGCAAATAGATAATACACCAATTCAGACAGTTGGGCCCGCATGAAGAGGTTCGGATAGTTGATGACTGCAGAGATGGCGGAGACAACCAATATTTCCAGCAGGGGCCTGTTGCGAAATGGATAATTTGCAGACTTGCGCAGTCGTGCCACTAACATGTTCAGTTTGATGAACAATCCACCATATACTCCACCGATGATGCCGAGGAGAATGAATGGCGCAAGTTCGAAGCTGTGCCAACCCGTCGTGTAGGTGACTTGATACAGGACAATTTTTCCGGTATGGAAAGGATTTAAAGCCTGCAGCGTCACTGCTGCCACCATCGCGCAAACAAACGATTGCCACATAGTCTTGTCCGGGAAGTAATAGGCCAGCTGCTCCAGAGAGAATAGGACACCGCCGATAGGTGCACCAAAGGCAACGGAGATACCAGACGCAGCTGCAGCGGAGAGGACTTCTCGCTTTCGGGCTTCGTTCTGGCTCAATGATTCGAATGGCTTCATGATAATATTGGCGCAGCAGCAAGCCAGATGGACGAATGGCCCTTCTTTACCAAGCCACATGCCCGAAGAGACGGCGAGGATCTGTCCAAGTCAGCTCGCCTTCAAGAAGATCCATGAATGAACTCACCAAACCAAAAGACTTCGTGATCAGAGTCCATGTGCCGAGAAATCGTCTGATGACGAAACCTCCCAGGACGGTCTTGATTTCCGCTATACCGCTATGCTGGGCATATATCGAGTAATGTTTAACGAGGACCGCCGCTGAAACCGCAAACAGGATAGAAAAAACAATGAAGAAAATGTAGCCCATAACGAACTGGGCGGCCTTGGCTCTTATCCCCAACGCCGCAGGCCATGGAGTCCAATCTTGACATTGAGCAAATTCGTCGTGACCCCAACAGCAGAACTGCTTGTTCAGGTAGAAGTCTCCGCCGCCGACTCCCTTCTTGCAATAGCCTGTCTTGATGTCGCCCAGCCAGTCCGAGGCAATGTTGATGAAAGCTGCGACGCAACCCACGGAGATCCCGCTCGCCACGAGGACGAACCAAACATGGCTGGCGTCAAGCAGCTGTCTCAGGTTCCCAACCAGGCCCGTATAGTGTGCCAGAAGTTTTCTCAGTCGTTGTCGCTCTTTGGTATACTCGTAAATCCAATCGATGGCAGTCATGTCGTCGTAACCGACCCGCCTGCCTGGCCCTTCGACATACCAGTCGAGTGGACCATCGTCTTTTTGGCCGACGTGTTCAGGATTGTGAAAGTCACCCTCTTCAGTACTGGTACTTGTCTCGGCCGCCTCCCCGTTGGAAGAGAGCCGTACGGATGTTACCGTCGACGGTGTCTTCCTCGATCGCGATTGTGAGACGGGGGAAGTGCTTGTAGGGCGAGCCGGTGTCCTTGAGTCCAGCAGATTGGGTGCTCTGCTGTCCAGACATTAGCAAAACCATGTAACTCCAATCATAGACATTACCTTGAAGAGATATCACCAGTCTCCTCCGCGCTGATCAAGTCAAGGTCAGATGCATTGCTGTCGTCGGACCGTGGACCTGCCATGTTCGCAAAGTTTCGAAGACTCTTCCACGATTCTGCGAGACTTCATTATCATGACAGTGCTTCGACAATCACCCACAAACGTCAACATTGACCGGTTGGAGGACACATTGGTTGTTCATGCGGAGAGGACGGAGTCCAGGGTCGGATATTATGGTGAATTCGCGCCCAGGTCGCGGCGGCTGTCGCCCGTGCCGCGCCGCTTTTAAGCTATGACACACAGCCTCGTGCAGCCTCACCAGCCTGCTTCCGGCTTTCGAGGCCCAAGGCTGAGACGTAACATACGCACAGCATATCGACAGGATGGCGCCATGATTGCCGCCACGTTGATCTCATTCACTACACAACACAACGCGCTGTATATACGGCTTTTTTGGAAGCAGCATCCATTCTTCCTCTAGTATTCTTGCAAGTGTAACTAGCTTCCTACATCTGATACGTCCGCTGCAATACTTCTGTAGGCAACCTTTTCGAATCGCAGCAATCAGTGCCGGCGCCCAGGTCTGAACGAAAGTCGTCTGACAGCTCGAGGAGAATGCGACACGGCGACTTCTGCAAATTCCCAGTAAGTATTCTCGTGGAATTTGCATCTACGTTATTTCTGAACCTAGAGAGGGTAGGATGTTACAGTCATGATGGATACAGACACAAGAAGTCATTCTATCGGAATCACCCACTACAATTGGTTAACAATTCCAAGATTAATCCTTTGACACCAAAGTACACCCTTGCGCTTCAGCAGCTCCAACAGCTTGCTTTACCCCCGGAAATAAACCTAACTACCTCTCATTGATCGACCCTACATCGCGTAGAAGAAGTGCGATTGTTGCTTGTCAGTGAGATCCAGGAACTCCTCGTTCTCAATGTGGACGTACGCCTCGCCGCTCTCTTCCAAGAACTTGGTCTTCTGCCTGTTCAGATACCTCGCGTAGGCGAAATACATGAGCGGAGCCAACGATGAAACAGAAAACAGGACGATCATGGTCTTGAACCCGGTGGGGTACTCCGGAGCTTCCGAGGCGAGGAAGAACTGGGGCCCGATGATGAATCCGACGCAGTAGCCGACGAACATGAGCGAGGTGGCTACGGATCTCTTGGTGTGGCCGGCAATGTTGGTCGTTGTGAGGGCAAACATCATCGGCAGCGATCCGTTCGTGAACGGCGTGATGAAGAAAGACAACAGTCTCCCGACCCTGTTGGATGTTGGCAGCGCGTACACAAGCGCAGCCCCCAGCACGGCGGGGATGTTGCACAAGAACTGCATCAGACATCGAGTGTTAGGATAAGTGTAAGTTACGTATCCGGTCAGGAGAAGAGCGATATCTTCGACCACTCCCATAGGGCACGAGAGAAGCGACGTCTCAAATGATCCGAAGCCAAAGCCTAGACTCTAGTTAGTTCCACTGATATTCCTAATAGGTATTGCCACGGGTATGGGATGGTACCTTTGATGATGAGCGACCCGAAGTTTGCAATTGCCGTAGCGGGAACGATGCAAGCAATGGCGTAGAAAAACCCGTACCAGACCTTGAGGTCCAGCAATGCTTCCTTCATCTGCTCCTTCTTGAACTCCGTGTTCCGGACGCCGGTACGGTTCTCACGGAGGCGTTCAATGGCGATGGTTTTCTCCCGCTCGTTGAGAAATTTGGCGGTGAGCGGGGTGTCTGGAAAGTATAGCCACACCACGGCAGCCCAGACGAGACCGATGAGCCCGAAGATGATGAAAAACCACTTCCACACGGGGATCCCGGTGTTGGAGATGTGGCCGCATCCGTATGCAATGAAAGCTTGCAGAATGGCGGCCACGCCGTTGCCACAATACCAGATGGTGATCCGGAGCGGGATTTCGTTCTTCTTGTACCAAGTGCCGGTGATCAAAACGAATGCTGGAGAGATACCGCCCTCGGCAACACCAAGGAAGAATCTTACAATCATCATACCCGTGAAATTATAGGCGCCGGCCGTGCAGAACAAGAGAACCGCCCAGGCAAACGAGGTGTAGGCGACGAACCGTCCCAGCGGCACATAGTTGAGCAACCGTGCGAGGATGGGTTGGAACGCCAGATAGCCGAAATAAAAGATTGAACTGCCATGGCGATTAGCGACTCTGTTTCTATCCCTTTGTGACCGTTGTCGCCGCGTCACTTGTTTGGTCCACTTACGAGCACCAAGAGTACTGTTGACCGTGGAGTCCCAGGCTTGTGAACAGATCGTAGATGGCAGTTTGAGCCATGACACTCTTATCCATATACTGGATGATATACGATCCCATCATCTGCAAACATTGCCCGTTAGTTTTGTGCCCAAAACCACAAGCATAGTGACCCATTGGGTGGTTTTTGAAGCACTCACCAGCGGAACCAAGATCTTGTCTATCTTGCGCAGAACCGCTTTCTCGTCTTCTTTGGTGTAGGTGAAATTCTCGTGGGTCTCGAGGAAGCCTAGGGCTGCATCGGCATGAGTGCGCAAGACTTCCATCTTGCCCTCGATGGGGACCATCTCTGTGACTGGCTCCGTCGAGGCGATCGTGTCCTCGTTGTTGCCCATAGTGGAAACGTTGTGGCTCTCTATACGTAGAAGAAGGATACCCAGTTCATATGTCACGACTATACACACTTTTCTGGAGTATGTCGTCGACACTGACACTTCTACGCTGATATATTATTTCCGAGCACGAGACAGCCTGGGGACGGAGGGCTCATCGCTATCGATCTGGGGACGGCTACATGCGAGAAATCCAGTTATAACTTCGCAGAACTCCGCCGACCGAAATGATATTGTGCCGCCTTCACCGCTCAAATACGATCTGCCAAATACTTGGCTAGCCGGCTAATGACATTTATGAGTATCGAATACGCTTTGGATGATAGCTGGTACTGGCCTCCGACGTAAGATAGGGACCTGAGCAAGCAGGCGACGCCACCCAAATGGTCTAGAACAAGGAGCCCACTCTAGGTCATCACACGAACAAATTGTGGTGTGGGCGTATTCTGTACCCGCATTGGCACTGTTTTAGGCTAGTGGGCGAAATCCTATAGCCTGTTCAAGCAAGGTTATAAGCAATAAAGTTGAGAGACAGTCGGTTCTCCGTGCAACGCCCCCTTTGGGTGACCTTTGCCGTGAGTATCAGCGCCAATTTACCACCGCATTTTGGATCCATTCCTCTATCCATTACCATGTTGCCCTATCAAATTACCTGCCGACGGGGTACGATTGCCTGTGGTTACTTACCCGTACCTAATTCCGACTGGTCACCTCGGGTATCAGATATCAGCACCAGTGGCATTGAATCTACATTGGACTGTATCAGAGATACATACTGGGCTAGCTGACAGAGTGTGAAATCCTCGATGGGAGGGTAGAACTTTCAGAGCCAAACAACGGGGCATATGCAAGCTGAGGGGCTACAGATCCCTTCACTCCCCAGGCCACTTCTATGAAGGGGCCTTGTCGTTCAACACCTCATCAATAGTGCTGGCACAAGAAAGCACAAACTCATCATCAAGGTTCCTTCCGACCACCTGAACAGCCAGCGGAGCGCCATCCCAGAGCTCGGGATCATCTGTCCCTTGTTTCAGCACAGGCGGCACCAATGTGATCAGACGAAGGAGAAGTGAACATACACATGTCATAGTTCTCCTGGTCCCATTTTGTCACAGGAGAGTAAGTCTTGTCTTTGACGTCCACGGTCTTGTCAACCTTACCAACCGGGATGACAACTCCGGGCATGTCCAGCATGTTGTACTGACTGGAATATCCCCACCACCTGGAGGAGAAAGAGAAGGAAGGTCAGCAGTCTTCTGGCAATACATACCCACACATTGGGACCACGGTTTTCGAATCGACTTACGGCAGAAAGTCATGTGGAAAGCTCGCAGACGAAGCAGTTGGGCATAAAAGGACATCAATCGGTTCACCAGACTTGGTTTGGGACGCCGTTTTCTTCCAATGCCGAAGATAACCCTTCTTGTATTGGTCACGGGTAGCATTGAGCTGCGAATCCGTAGGTCAGTACGGTAATCTCCCGGTAATGAACTATAGGAACGGGCTACTGACCTCGTAGAGCTCCTTCACAGTCAGCTTTCGATCCCGAACAGCAGGGCTGTTGCTGATTTTTCCTGCCGCGGGTGGCCACGGCTCCCCGGACGCTTCTATAAGGTCCCTCATCTCTTTGGCTCCTGTGGCATAGTAGATTGGAAACTATTCTCGCGGTCAACCAAAGGACAATTCAAGCTGTATTTCAAGTAAGCGAGTGACAAATGACTCACCGCGATCTCCCAGGCTTTCAGGCTCCCGTATGGCTCGAAATCGACGACTAGAGAAATGTCAGGATGGTCTCGCAAAAGCACTCCGTTCTTGTGAACAGCATACCGTCATGTCCCGCCGAACGAAGCTTATCGGCAGCAGTCTTCATTGCTCGGAGAATGGGTGGGTGCGGCATGACCACGCCATCGAACGCCATGATTCCGATTCTCAAGCTCCGTTCAATCTTGGGTCGAGGCTTCCACTCCTTCATCATCACGTTGGGATCTTCCAGCCACGGTTCGGCTTCTGTGAGAAGCTTGCAGACCAACTCAAGGTCACGGATGGATAGCGACATGGGACCAATGACCCCGGGAATGGAAATTGCCCCTCGGACGTTCGCGCTTAGGCCGTCTACGCTCAGGCGTCGAGAGGATGGTTTGATGCCGTAGATACCGCTGAACGCGGAGGGGACTCGAATCGAGCCCCCTACATCGGTCCCCCAGCCCATGGGTGAGCCTCTCAGGCCGATCAGGGCTCCTTCGCCTCCAGAACTGCCGCCCGGAGTCAACAGACGGTTGTGGCCCAGAGTGGTCCGTCCGAACAGGTTACTGGTTGTCTCCGTAACCTGTAAAAGGAGTCAGAAAGGGAGGCCTTTGACTCGATGGACGTGGGTTTTGTTCACCATTCCAGTGACCGGCATGGTGGTCTTGACAAATATGATGCCCCCGGCTGCTTTCAGAACCTTGACAATCACAGCATCCTCTTCTGGGCGATTCTCCGCCAAAGCGCAGTACCCCATGGTGGACCTGAGCCCAGCAACATTGATGTGATCCTTCAGGCTGATGGGAAGGCCATGCAATGGTCCAGCCAGCTTACTGGTCCTTTCCAGCTC